AACTGCACGGAATCTCTCCTTTCCCGAAGATTACCGTAGCCGGCACAACCCCTGGACTGTCCGCTGTAATGTAACAAACAACAGCGGCGGCTCTGTTTTCTGTCCAAACCACGTTTTATATGACTTTCCTCCCACATGTCCGTTGGGTTTTATTTCAAACGCTGATTTCAAACTATAAATTTGACAATCAGACTCTAAAAAAATTGACTACTAGTTTCGGAAAATTTAGGTTTTCGCCGCTACAAAACGTGAATTTTGAATCAGAGGCAAGTATTTTTCACTTGATTTTTACACTTTTAAAACTAATTTAGGACGAAACTGAACGAATTTTAATTCATTTAAAAGTTGTTAGTAAACTAGTAGGATACTGCGAGTAACAAAACTCAGTAAAAAATCATAAAAAAATTGCCAGGAAGATACATTTAGACGCCTTTAGAAAGACCTCAAATAGGGTATAAATTTAGGAAATAGGGTATAAATTTAGGAAAACAATTTTTGATGAAATTTCCGACATTCTTATCAGTCTGTCGGGAAAATAATGCGTACAATGTCGCTGCGCCAATCACGTCGCTGGAGTGAAAAACAATGCGATTTTGCCGCGACACAATTCATTTTCTCGGCAAAAATGTGATTTTCAATGCGACAGAGTGCTCATTATTTTTCGGACAGGTTGATAAGTGAGACTTTTTTTATATTAAAAGTTGAGAAAAATGTGGGATTTGTTTACGAATTTTGGCATTAAAAATTTCATACCAATGTTCACCATTGAAGCTAATGCTTCCTCAAAAAGATTAGACTCCTAGCTCGTGGAAACGACCGAGAATTTTGGAACAAAAATTGGAAAAATTTCAAAATTTTTTTTTTGCGAATTTTAGCATCAAACGTTTCATTCCTATATCCAGAGTTTCCACAAAAAAACATAATTTTTTTTTATCCCGATACTACCAAAGATACGGTAAAAAAGTGTTGTTTCTGTCTGACCGCTCTCCGCATTTCGCGTACTCTCTCGGCCGCAAAGATTGCTGAATATCTCCGCTCTTCCTGCAAAGCGCGAGCTAAAATTTTCAGACGTTGATTTGTGGCCTATACAGTTTATTTTGGCAAAATTTTGAAGAAAAAATTTTTGAAATTTCTTTCAAAAATTTATCGACCTTATCAAAAAATATATTATATATATACAAAATTGGAGCCCTCCCAAATAATACCACCTATGCCATGCCCAAACAATAACAAAAATTACCTTTTTCCCCACTTCTTTCCCCCTTATATGTTGAATTTTCCATCACAAAACATAACCCTACGTTTACAGAACCTTGAAGCCACAGGAAGAAAGCGTCGGTTTAGTGTAAACTTTGTCTTTCCTGGGGTTCGTAGCCAAAGAAAACGGGGATTCGAGCACAAATTTTTGTAAAAACACAGAAATGTCAAAAAAAAACATGTGCTATGTGCTTTGTGTTGGTGAATTCTTGGGTAAAATGGGTGAATGGAAAGTTCGCGAAAGAATTTTTGTTTTCCGGGAATGATGAAAATACGAATTTTTGAAAGGATGGAAAAATAAAATCAGCTCCAAAGATGACTTTTTGAAGGCATGACAAGAATTTTTTGCAAGAAAAGTTGTTATTACTTTGTAGCTTTGCGAGCGAACCAACATTTACCAATTAGAATAGCGATTTTTCTACCGTATCTTACGTAGTATGATAGAAATTATGCAATTTAAAGTTATGGGAGTTTGTTTACGAAATAATGGTTTGTGAAGCTTCAAAAATTCCTGGTTAGCTTTATGATGACTATTCAGGCCATTTATATATCTGGAAGTTTGATTCGCAACATCTAACTAACAAATTCATCGTTTGAATTTCGTGTTGTAGGCAAATTTTGGCTGATTTCCAAACATACCAGAGGATTCTCCATGGTTCATCTAGCTGATAGCCCGCGATTGTGAGCCCGCCATTATGAATTTTTTTCAAGGATATACAGTGGGGGACCTAATCCAGTGGCAAAAAGCGTACCATTTTGCATCCGGACAAACACACGGATCATTTATGCCTTGCTTTATGTAGATTTTGGTCTACAATGGAGGGACCTGATCCCGTGGCAAAACAACGTACCATTTTGCATCCGGGAAGCATCAAAAATGTGGCAAAATGATTCCCTTTCCAAGTGAAAAAAACTTCGTTTTGAAGTGCCCTCACAAAAAGAGCGGGCGCGCTTTTGAAATCGGAGTTTTTTTTCACTTGGAGAGAGAAGTATTTTGTCACATTTTTGCTACTGCCCGCATGTAAAATGATACGTTTTTTGCCACTGGATCAGGACCACACACTGTATGTAGCAGGCAAAAAATGAACCTTCATTTAACGAAACTTCTATGACAAACAAACTTTTTTGTCTTTCGCAAGTCATTGTACAGAGCCTCTACTATGCTGTATTTAAGCTTGCAAATGTATTGTGTCCAGGCCGTTGATGAAATTTCTCTGTTTTCTGTTTAACACCACGTGTTGTATGACTTTGCTTTCTGATGTAAATTGGGGTTTACTCCCGTCAGACTCAAAAGAAAGCGTTTTTGCACAACAAAACACAATTTTTTTGAGTCAGAAGCGTCTACTAACATCCTAATTAAAATTGGGGACAAATTTAGATTAATTTTTTCAAAACAACTAACTTTTCTGCAAAAATTCAGTTTTTCCCTACAAATTTCGTATTAATCTGTCGGGAAAATATAAATTTTAAGAAGCTAATGGTTGAATTTTCACATAAAAATTGCCATTTTATAACGCTTCTCTTTTTTGTCATCAAAAAATTTCAAGTCATCAAAAAACTCAAATATTTTATCACATCACCTCAAATTTTACCGTGTAATAATCACACTATAAACAACAAAAGCTTTGAAATTCATCGCAACCGGGTGATATTACACATAAAAAATTTCGAAATTGTGATTCCTCTTTTGTTCTCTACAAAACACAAAACCCAATGTTTTCTCGGTACAGTGATGACATTGCTTTCACGAAGAGCAATTATAAGTTGAGTCAACTACGTTTTTTAACTGCCTTAAAGTTTAAAAAAATTGAAGTTTAAGAGGGGATTACACTACTTTCTAGATTTTGCGGACTGATTTTTTTTTGTTTTTTAACTTTACTATTAAAAAAATGAATCCTGTTAAATTTCGGCAAGGTTACAACGATCGAAAAAATTTGTCTTTAGACCTCAGAACTAGCAAAAAGTTACAACCGATAGGCCAGGTAACAATTTGTCAAAAATTTTGCATCCAGGAAGCATCAAAAAATGTGGCAAAATACCCTCCTCTCCAAGTGAAAAATCTCCGATTTCAAAAGCGCGCCCACTCTTTTTACAATGGAGAACCTGATCCAGTGACAAAAAACGTACTATTTTGCATCCGGGAAGGATCAAAAATGTGGCAAAATGCATCCCTCTCCAAGTGAAAGATCTTCATTTTGAAGGCCTCGCCATTTCCCTCACAAAAAGAGCGCGCTTTTGAAATCTGAGTTTTTTCACATGGAGAGGGAAGCATTTTGCCACATTTTTGGCACTTCCCGGATGCAAAATGGGACGTTTTTTGCCACTGGATCAAGTCCCCCACTGTATGAGGGAAAGGGCGCGCAGTTCAAGACAAAGTTTTTTAGTTGGGGAGGGAGGCATTTTGCCACATTTTTGATGCTTCCCGGATGCAAAATGATACGTTTTTCCCACTGGATCAGGTGTACGCTAAATGCGAAGATTCGTACCTTGGCCAGTTTTTTGCCTAAAAATTTGATTTTTTTGTGGAAACACTACTCTCTACGGTATAAATGACCATGAAACTCTTGGTCGCAAAATTGGAAAAAAATTTTGAAATTTTTCCCATTCTGGATCTAAAAATCTCGGTCGTTTCTGCACAGCGACAGCTAGGAGTCTTGCAAATTTCTTACAATGACTTATTCTAAATTTGGCCAAGTTTCATCAAAATTTTATCGTCACCTTGTGGTACTCCCCTCGAATTTTCTTGATTTTTTGAATTAATCCTGTTAAACTTCAAAAAAGTTACACTAGTCGAAAAAAATTGTGTTCTTAGACTGTCAGGAAGTTACAAAGTTACAGACCAAAACCAGAGTAATTTGAAAATTCAATGGACTTTTCTAGAACGTCGATTTTTGTTTGGTTTGGTGAAATGTGTTTTGAAACTACAGTTTATACGAGGCGAAAAGTTTTGTTTTACCTACACATTTTGACAAAACGTGAGACTTTTTGTTTCTAACAAGTGCAGTCCCAGAATTCCTTGGAATTTTACACACACCGTGGATCTAAGAGATCAAATATCAAGTCCCAAAAAATATAAAAATGCGGTTTGAAACGGCGGCTGATTGTGAGATATTCAACGATCTTTGGAGCACATAACAGTCCGTCGGGAAAATAATGTGGATTTGTTGTGGCAAAATGTCTCGCTTCGCCGGAGTCGCGCGCCAAATCTGATGGGCGATTTTAAGGCGACAATATGCTCATTATTTTCCCGACAGTCTAATATCAGTCTGTCGGGAAAATAATGTGAATTTGTCCCAGCAAAACGCCTCGCTTCGCCGGAGTCGCGCGCCAAATCTGATGGGCGATTTTAAGGCGGCAATATGCTCATTATTTTCCCGACAGTCAAATATCTGTCTGTCGGGAAAATAATGTGGATTTGGTATGAAATATCTCGCTTTGCCGCAATTCGCACATCAAATCTCCGGCTAGCTGTCGCAAAGCGATGATGGGCGATTTCAAGGCGAGATGAATCCACATTATTTTCTCGACAGACTGATGTGTAAACAACATGTGTAAGCATTTCCCAGCTAGTTTTTTTATCGATGAAAAAGTCGACCAAAGACCGTTTCGTCGATGAATTTTTTGCACGAGATCATTGATTCCTTCAATAACTTTTTAGATGTCATTAAAGTCACAAACTAACAATTGTAAGTCACAAACCGGAGTTTTCGGGTCGGTGACAGTTCAACACAAAATCAATTGATATGAGGTGTAGGACAAGTGGAGACCCAAAAAAAGGTTGTAGAAGGTGTCTGCAAGGCCTGGAAAAGCCGTTGGATGCTCGGCAAAGGCTCCGCCGAAAAAGTGCAAAAGGCGGAGAGCGGTGAGAGAGAAAAACACTTTTTTCTCATATCTTTGCCAGTTTTGTGAGAAAAAATTTGATTTTTTGTGGAAACATTACACTCTACGGTAGAAATAACCATGAAACTTTTTATGCCAAAATTCGAAAAACTAAATTTGAAATTTTTCCAACTTTCGACCTAAAAATCTTGGTTTTTTCAAGCAAAACTCGCGCTAGAAGTCTTGCATATGTCTCAAAAAAAGCTTCTCTAAATTTGCTCCAAGTTTCATTGAAATCTGAGCGTCGCACATGGCGTGCTTCACCTGTTACTACAAGCCTTTTTTTGCAGTGAAAATCGACCCAAAAGCAAAAAAAGCCGAGAAATTCCGTGACCTTCGTTAAATGAATCCAAAACACTGCAGTAATGAGCAAAGAAAGCTCAAACCCTAGTGTGGGAAGCCTCCAAAACACACATCACAAATGCGCCGGACAAAAAAGCCAAAGCAAAATTGCGAACACGAGCGCTTTTCGGTGATCTACGACTTCCGCGACGCCCTCGAAGAACACTGACCGAAGCTGTCAATTTTATTAGTTAGTAAAATTGGTCACTAAAGAACCGCTACATTTGACACACATTCCGTATAGTTTATGAAAGTTATAAAAATAAATTTTTTGTTGATTTGATGGCAATAGAAAAGAGTTTGTAACGGATGCAAAAGAAGAGAAGAAAACGTTTTTTTTGCAAAGATGTCGTCAACAATTTATTTAATAAATTTGTTGGAAAGTCAAACAATGATTTGATTGAATTCATCAATGAAGAATCTGCAAAAAAATCTTTTTGGAAATTAAGATTAACCTCTCTAAATGTCAGAGATGGCTTGGAAAAGCTCTGAGTGGACAATGCACGCACCATGGAAATGAATCACTTTCTAGTCCTATAGATAAGAGGATGGAATAAAAATGGGGGTATATTAGTATCAAATCCGGGCCAAATTGGCCAAATCATCAGGGACAATTACACTTTTACAACGGCAAAAAAATTAATTTTTCGCTTGTCTATACCGACCGGTCGGCAAGGGTTGGACTTCGGAATGTTTACTTTTTTGTTCACCGCTCTCTCAAGCGGTAGAATCCGTTTTTACATTTTTACATAGGGCTTGCCAAACTTTCGAAATCGACAAATTGTGAGGGGTACCCACAGTTTCGTAACGGACTGTAGAGATACACCCTTTGTTGGCAAAAATTGACTTTTCATACGCCGGACATTGCTCGTTATAGTTTCGTTGTATGGAATAATTGTCACACAGAACTTCATTATTTGGAAAACACGGTGAACATCATGATAGAATGAGTTATGTTTTGATTTGTAATCACATGGATCTGTGTAAAGCCGACCATTTTTTTGGCGCGCAATTCTCATGCAGTCACATGGATCAAGTTGGTCGTGTGGAGTCCGTTCTTAAAGTCGCTGGAATGATTTTTGGCGTCTGTGCAGAAACATTCAGAGTTCTAGAGACGGCCCAAAACAGCCTATTGCAAGGTACAAAAAGCCGAAAATTGTACAGTTCAAACGTGAACTCTAGCGACTTTGCAAACGACTAGTGTCATTGCATCATCAGCTATATGTTTTTTTAAATCGGAATCATTCGGATGCGTTTATGATCAACTCATATTTCGCCATGCGTAATTCTTGAAGCATTGTTTAAACGGAAGCGCTACGTGTCTCGAAATAAAACACATATCTCTGGTCAAGCGGACAGCGCGCTGCAGCGGTCATTTTTTACCACGTTCGGCATCTCCATAACAACTCGGGTTTCTTCCCGGATATTAAAATAAAATTATATTACTCTAGACACTTTCATACAAGAAGCATCCATCTTCTTGAACAAGAACAACAAATTTTCTATTTTTACTTGCTCCGTTTTGCATGAAACATATGGTCGCATTTGACTTACATGTTTTTCCGTTTCTATTTATTAGAGCTTTTTTCTAACCAGTCAGCGGCTTTGACCGATTAATGACCGGCGATATTCCGAAAATAAGAGCTCACACGCTTTTATTTGCATATTCATTCCGTTCCATGCGCATTCGAACCACTTATAGCTACATTACAAACGCCTTTTTGTAATTTACAGCACAATTTCTTACTGTAATTTACAAAAAAATCTAATTTTACTCAAAATTTTGCAAAATTTTTATGCATACAATAAGATTATCTGATATTTTGTTTGTTTTCCCACTTTTCTCACCATTCATTGCTCTCAAATACCTTTTACAGTACTCGCAATCGGACCGCTGAACTCTCACAGAAGAACGCACTCGCAGTTCGCATGGGCTCGGGCGCAGCTCGCCGCCGACTCGCCGTTTTAGGTTTTCATTTGTCTGGGTTATTTTCGCGGTCGGCGGGCCTGTTGTTTACGTGTAGCTCGCTCCATTTACGCTTCTGGACACAAATTTGTTTACGGAACATCTTCTTCCAATGCTTCACTACGTTTTTACCCTTTTTGGGTGATTTTTTTACGAATTTTGAGGATTTTGGGGACTTTTTATGTTGAAAAAATTATTTTCGAGTATCTAGGGTAATATTTGCTAAAATGTTTGGCTCTTTGTTGGAATATAGCTTCTATTCTACTCTCAGATTGTTTTATTACCAACCTTTTTTGACACTTTTAAGAAATTTTTGCTTTTTTAGAGCAATTTATATTGCACTTGACATCTGGCCTAAAATGCGATTTTCTCCATGCTCAATTCGAATTTTTTGTCCAATCTTTTTTCTAAAATGCTCCTTATGGCTTTCTGAATATTCTATACTAGACTACATCTTTATCTGACGACGTTTTCGCACTAAAAATTACGAAATACTAGCTCCACCCCTTAGTTTTTGGTAGGTTACGAAATATTCCTCTTGTATCCTCCTAACAACATTTTTCTTCATTCGTATTATGTCTAACTCTATGCGTGAGCCGGTATTCGACTACTCTGGTGGTTGTTCTGTTGCAAATATGACTTGACTATTCCGTTCCAGGTGCCGCACTCTTTTGGTAGGTCCCTCAATTTGGCCCAATTGTTGTTTTCTAACGGGTGTAACATTGTTCGTTAGAGTGTTGTTGAGATGTCTGAAGACGCCGCCGATCGTAATGTTGAGATTTGGAAGATCAAGCGACTGATCAAGTCGTTGGAGATGGCCAGAGGGTAAGCTTTGTAATTTTCGCTTTTTTTGGTGTTTAGGTGAAGATAATTGATGGGAATGCTGAATAGTAGAGGCGATAGGGTTCGTAGCTTCTATCTATGAAAAGATTTTGGCCAAAACAGTCCATTCTATACGATTTGTGAGCTGTTTTATGTCAACTGCCAAGTGTAATGTAACTCATATCTAAAACTTTCGAAATCCGTCTATACGAGTATGCCTAATGGCTTCCATTTGTAGTAACGGAACCTCTATGATCTCCCTGATCATCCCTCCTCGTGATCAAATTGCTCGAGTCAGTAAAATGTTGGCCGATGAATACGGAACCGCCTCCAATATCAAGTCTCGAGTAAACCGACTCTCCGTTCTCGGAGCTATCACCTCCGTACAAGGACGTCTGAAGTTGTACAACAAAGTCCCTCCAAATGGTCTGGTCATCTACTGTGGTACAATTGTTACGGACGAAGGGAAAGAAAAGAAGGTTAACATTGATTTCGAGCCTTTCAAGCCCATCAACACTTCTCTTTACCTCTGCGATAACAAGTTCCATACTGAGGCGCTTCAAGGTGAGGATTTTTATTTTGTTTTTGTTGGGTTTTAGGTATTTGTATATTGTACTTGATGTCTGATGGAATTCCTTTTGTTTCGAAGGTAATGAATGAAAATTTCAGCCCTCTTGGCCGATGATCAGAGATTTGGATTCATTATCATGGATGGTAACGGCAGTTTGTTCGGAACTCTTCAAGGAAACACCCGTGAAGTTCTCCACAAGTTCACTGTGGACCTGCCCAAAAAGCACGGTCGTGGTGGTCAATCTGCCCTGCGTTTCGCTCGTCTCCGAATGGAAAAGCGGCACAATTACGTGAGAAAAGTGGCCGAAACTGCGGTGGAGTTGTTCATCAAAAACGACAAGGTCACAGTGGCTGGACTTGTCCTGGCTGGTTCGGCCGATTTCAAGACCGAATTGGGACAGTCCGATATGTTCGATCAGAGATTACAGGTGAGAAATTTTATTTTTGTTTTGGTTTTTAGATCATCTACGGACTTGAAGAGCAACAAATCGATAATTTTACAGTTTTGTTGTCTAAACTCACTTATTTTAGGCTAAAATTGTAAAAACTGTCGATGTATCGTACGGAGGAGAGAACGGCTTCAATCAAGCCATCGAACTGGCTTCGGACGCTTTGGCCGACGTTAAATTCCTCCAGGAGAAGAAGCTCATCTCCACCTTTTTCGCCGAGATCTCCCAAGACACTGGCAAAGAGGTGTATGGTGTCCTAAACACTCTTCAAGCCCTCGAAATGGGCGCTGTCGAGACCCTCATCTGTTGGGAGAACTTGGACGTGACGAGATACGAGCTGAAGAACGGAAATAATGAGATCAAGGTGATCCATTTGACCCCACAACAAGAAAAGAATAAGGAGAACTTTGTGGACAAGGAGTCGGGATCGGATATGGAGGTGGAGAGCTCAATGCCGCTGCTGGAATGGCTGGCTAACAACTACAAGAAGTTTGGAGCTACGCTGGAAATTGTGACCGACCGGTCTTCGCAAGGAGCCCAGTTTGTCCATGGCTTTGGTGGAATTGGAGGTGAGAATTTTTTTGATTTTTTTGTTGACTTTTAGGGAAGTTGGAAGGATTTTCAAGATGATTATGACAGTTGGGAATATGAGGAAGGTTAGAAAGGAAAAATTTTTGTTGAAAGATGAATAGTAGGACCTTATTTTAGACAGGTGCTAGATCAACTTTTGAGTATCAAAAATTTTTGTCAAGAATAATAAAACTAATTTTCCCAGGCCTTCTGCGCTACCGTGTGGACTTCCAAATGATCGAAATCGCCGACGAACAGGATGACTTTGACCTCGACGACTACTGATAGCCCCCGATGGAACGGGCCATCAGTCACATCCCTTAAAAAGAGATGGCCAAAGTGGTCTAAGAATAAAGTTGTTTTTACCCATGGCTCCTGGATTCCCTGTAAGGACCGTCTCGATCGAAAAAAGCCGGTCCTCTTCTATTCCATCTTGTTTTTAATTTTAATTATTTCTGGTTCGTTTTGGTGAAAAAAATATTGTTTTGTTCGATGTTTTTGAATAATAAACAGGGTTGTTTAAGGCTGGGTGGAAGGAATGGGATCTAATTTATATTCTGAAAAGTATTTTCGGTGGAATTTTGAGATTTTATGAGCAGAAAATGGACTATTTGGGATCAGACATCAAGTGTAATATAATTTTTTTAGAAATGATATATAATTTATTTTGTATAAAAATAATAAAGCCTCAGGGCATAAAACTTGTAGATATATGTTCGATTTTTGATGATGTTCCAGTAATTTGGAGAAATCGACTTTTTTCATCAAGTGTAATATAAAATTTATTACCTTTTTTTTGTTTTTATGGAAGAATATAGTTAGAGAATAGACAGTGAGCATATAGATTACAGAAATACAATGGTATTTTCGGTTTCGTTGCGGTATTGGATATGTGAAGATGGTGTTCAGAGTTCGGTCTCTTTGGCGGCCGCGATTCCCTTCTTTTCGCGGCGTTCTTCGGCGCACACTCGGCCAACCATTTGACGAACAACTTGACGGACCTGAACCTTGTCTGGGACAGGGCGGTTCGCTGAAAAAATAGGGAAAATTAAGAAATTTGATGACATTGTGATTTTCGGACCAAAAATTGCGGAAAATTGCAATTTTTGGCTATTTACCCTGAGGGCAGGACTTTTTGCTACGAATTTTTCTTTCTGAAGACTCTAGAGGTCTTGTCTATCATTCATACTAAGTTTGGTTAAGTTTTACATTCTAATTTTCAAGATTTGACCGTATTTTAGTCACTTACGTCTAGGTTTGTAGACCTTTCTCTTTTTCACCGCCTGAACCTCGCCATTTTCGCCCTTCTCTTCGCTCTGCTGAGGTCTTGGCCGACGACCATGTGGATTTCTACGTGGTGGCCTTCCTTCCACCGGCTTCTCCGTATTCTCGCCGTTTTCCGAAGCCGCACTTCGACGTTTCGGGTCGGCATTCGATCGAGGTGCCTTGGATCTGGGCTGAAAAGTTATTGGTTTTGATTAGTTTTTGAATCAAAAGATATGTTGATACAGTTACGGACTGATCCAGTGGCAAAAACGTATAATTTTGCATCCGGGAAGTATCAAAAAATGTGGCAAAATGCCTCCCTCTCCAAGTGAAAAAAACTTCGTTTTGATGGGCGAGCCCTCCCCTCACAAAAAGGGGATTTTTTCACTTGGAGGGGGAGGTATTTTGCCACATTTTTTGATACGCAAAATTGTTCGTTTTTTGCCACTAGATCAGGTCCCTCACTGCAGTGATGCTAGAGTAAATTTGTGTGAAAACCGCCTACCTCGAATGGTTTTCGAGCCGTGATTGGTCGTGGAGGTCCACGACGAGGCCGTGGGCCGCGGAATGGCACTGCTTCTCCCTGAAATTAGATGAGTGTTGATCCAATCGAATTTTCGGAGTGATATCATGCCCTAAAGTGGCGGACCTGATCCAGCGGCAAAAGACGTACCATTTGGCATCCGGGAAGTAACAAAAAATGTAGCAAAATACCTCCCTCTCCAAGTGAAACAATCCTCTTTTTGTGAGGGAGAGGGCTCGCCCTTAAAAACGAAGTTTTTTCACTTGGAGAGGGAAGCATTTTGCCACATTTTTGATGCTTCCCGGATGCAAAATGTTACGTTTTTTGCACTGGATTGGGTCCGTGACTGTACTTACATTCTCATCGACCTTGGCGACTCTCTCAAAGATATCTCTCTTTGGTCCTCCTCTATGCGGTCTCTGTTGACCATGCCCACCATGATAATGATGACCCTGTTCATGGCCTTCCTCATGGTGTCTTGGAGGTCCTCGTCGTTGTCCCGGTAGTCTAGCCTCTCCTTCCGCAACTCCCTCTTCGCCCTCTTTCGGCTCTCTTGGCGCTCTAGGCCCTCTTCTTCGGTTGTTGAATCGTCGCGGAGGCCGAGAATCCGGGTTCTCTCCGCTTTCGGCGCCCTCAACCTTTTCCGCATCTCCATTCGCGGCGAATCGATCGTCATGCTGGAATCCGGGACGGGGATTGGGTCGTCGACGGCCGTGGCCGGGCCCAAAACGCCGACGGCGGCTGGTCGCGGCGCCGTCGCCGAATTCCGGGACATTCATCTTCCATTGCTCGGCGCTGAAAAGTGGCATTGGTTAAAATTAGATTTCAAAGTGCAGGCTACAGTGGGGGACCTGATCCAGTGGCAAAAAACGTACCATTTTGCATCCAGGAAGCATCAAAAAATGTGGCAAAACACCTCCCTCTCCAAGTGAAAAAACTCCGATTTTAAAAGCGCGTCCGCTCTTTTGGTGAGGAAAAAAGAGCGCGCCCTTCAAAACGAAGTTTTTCCACTTGGACAGGGAAGCATTTTGCCACATTTTTGATACTTCCTGGATGCAAAATGGTACGTTTTTTGTCACTGGATCAGGTCCACCACTGTAAGAATCTCCGTGATTGATCTGACGTCTCTCTAGAATGTCTACGCAAAATTTGAGGCAAATCTATCGATTAAATTTCGAAACAAACAAGATTTTTCAGTTACTTACAATTTTTCTCATAAATTTTTGGAAATTAGTTCAAAATTTTGCTGAAAAAAGTGCTTACGGTGTTTTGCCGGTATCCCATTCCCTTCCATTGGAGTTTCGGCTTTCGGAATTTTCCTTCTCTGGCCTCTCCTTCTTTTCCGCCTTGGGCGATGACTCTTTCTTTTCCTTCTTCCCTTCGATGGTCTTCACTTGATGGATCTGTTTGGCCTCGCTTTGGCGGACCTGAAAAATGGCTTTGAGATTGTCTAATGAGCTTATAAGCTAGCTTAATATATAATTCGAGATTTTTTGCTTGAAAAAATTTTTGATTTTTTCTCGGAAAATTTTGAATTTTTTTCATTTTCTTTTGCGATTTTTTCGTATTTTAAAAACCTAAAACACCGAAAATTTAGAGTAGATGAATAGTATGAGTCCTATTTGTCCCAAAAATTACCTTCGATCTTTCCTCAAGCTCCTTGTTTTTGCGCTGGATCTGCTCGATCTTCTCGTCCAACGCCTTCTCCTGGGATGGGGAGCGCACTTTGGCGCTGCTTTTGTCGGCCATTGAACCCTGGAAATTTTAACGAACTTTATATCATTTTGGAGGTAATTGAATGGTCTTTCATATTATCTATCAAATTTTTTAGATCCGCGATATTATTCATGACGTAAAATACGATTAAAAAAAAATTGAAAATCAAAAAAATTTTTTTTTTGAAAAATTTGTAAAATACGCTCAAACATACTTCGTGAGTTATACAATAATGTAAAATATGATTCCCAAAAAAACTTATTAAAAAATCATCAAAATTTGACCTAAAATTTCGAAATTTCCCGCAAAAAACGGTAAAATTTCGAAATTTTAACTGAACTTTTTGATGACTTTATAAAATAAATAATCAAATTTTTATTCTACACATGATCCACCAAGATACCAGCGTCACTTCAAACCAAATTTCGCAAAAATTTCCCGATTTCAAAGTCGATTTCGAAAGCGCTGAAATTCAAGCGTTTTCCATCCGTTTTTCAAATAAAAATCACAAAAGAGAAGTGGAAAGAACTGAGCAAATCCCCCCAGAAAACAGTCCGAGTCAAATTACAAATGCAGAAAAAAGTAGCCGCAGCGATTTGGCTGCTCGAATTTACAGGTTGAATGACCTAAATTAAGGTCATGGTGAAGGTCGGAATTAGGGGAAAAAATGAAATTTGTGGAAGAATAGGGAGGTATTGAGGGTGAAAATAAAATTTAGGGTAGAATACGGGATATGGGACAGTGGAATTTTTCGAAAAAAATGAAAAAATTTTAAAAATCAAAAATGAGATTTTTTGATTTTTTTCGTAGAAAATGGTAAAAATTAGAGAGAGAAGTAAAACCGATTGGGGTAAAATACGTAGAATATTCTGTTTTCTTTTTTTTTGAAAAAAAAATTTTTTTAATTTCCAAAAATTCCAAAAAAAAATTACGATTTTCCCGCGCAAATCACTGAAAATTCCACAAGATGCGAAAAAAAATTTGCTCAAAAATCCCCTTTTCTTGGAAAAAAAAATTTAATTTTCAAAAATCCCAAAAAAAATCACGATTTTCCCACTCAAATCACTCAAAATTCGAAAAATTCGCCCAAAAATCCCCCTAAAATCACCGAAATCCCCACTGATCAGCTAGCCAGATGTCCGACCGCCTCCAAAACTCTCGGCGATTGACACCAAAAAGATGGACTCCGCTTTTCGTGTGATTCGAAAAAAGATTCGCAGGCCCGGTGGTTGGGTGGGAGGGAGAGATCGCGGCAAACCGAGAAATCGGAAGAGGGCCGGTCACAGGTGCGGCTCTTTTTCGCTTCTCTGCAGCCCCGCTTCCACGTCTCTCCGGTTTGTTTTCCGCAAGACAAAAAGAGCTGTAAACGGGAAGGGAATGGCTGCGATTTTGTGGAAGGGCTGATCTGCGGAGGCTAAATTGTTTTTGTTCGAAAAATACGGCATGCTCGGTGAAAAACATGGGCACAGGGAAAACAATTGGGGAAATGGAAACCCTAATGGTTACCCGATCGTATAAAAGCCGTATACATGCCATCATAAAAGATTTTTGGGGTTAGATTTTGCCCGTATAATCGGCGCTACGACTTTTCGGGTCAGTTCGACTCAACGATACTATGGATCGCCTCGATTCGTTGTTGTGGGCATGGGGAGGCTAGGAGAAGGCTTCATTATTAGAAATAATAAGATTTATCCGGTCATAGGATAGCTTATCTCCTATTTTGAGGTATTTTCCATGTGTTAACATCAATAATATGTACAGGGTGCGCCAAAGAAATCTGGACAAAAATAAATTCCATACAGTCTTTTTCAGATGGCCTAAGATGGAAACTTTTAGCACTTTTAGAAAGGGTAACAACCGTGCTATACAGCAACGGTAATGCCCAGTTAGTGGTAGCTGGAATTAGAAGACATATTGCAAGTCTTCGCCGAGCCTTCGCCGAGCGTCCGCCGACAATCCCACGACTTTGACAGGCCTCGTAGGCACTTCCAAAAATCTTCTTTTGGGTGTCCACCGGACCTACGCCCCGTACCGATCGATTTTGTGTTGACCCGAACTGTCGCCGGCCCGAAAAGTCGTGACGGGTCGAAATTTTGCTCGTACGATCTATTGTAGTCTCATTTTAATCCCTGAAAAATTATAACGCGCGTCTTGCAAGCGCAGCCGAGATATTCCACTGTCATTGAACGCCGGGGCCAGGGCTTGACGGCAGAAAAAATTCTTGCGCGTTTCACTATTATCTCGGCTGCTCTTACAAGGCATACGCTATAATTTTCAGTTCTCTCTACCCTGACCTATGCGACATATAGAAGACCAAAATTTGCAGAAAAAAAGGAAGATCCGTCACAGGTTGTACGAAGTACCTAAACGTCTTGCAAGGCCGTTGAATGCTCGGCAGACGCTTGGCGAAGGCTCGGCGGAGACTTGGCGAAGACTTGCAATATGTCCAATTTTTCTATTGTAACATATATTTAAAAGACCAAAATTTGCGGCAAAAAACGAAGATCCGAGCCAACAACAAACAACTTTTACCTAGATATTATTTATGTGAGTACATGTAAAATACCTCAAAATGGGCGATCAGCTATCTTAGGACCCGATCAACCTTATTATTTCTACTAACTAAGCCTTCTCCTAACCTCTCCATGCTTACAATGACGAACCGACACCATCCATGGTATCGTTGACCCGAACTGTCGCTGACCCAATAAGTCGTTGCGCGGATTTCGACTTGAAATGGTTCTTTTTATAATGGCGTTTCGAGCTTTTATAGGCCGGATCGTCCGTTGTTCAAAGAATGAAACCTTGGGATGTTCCTTGTTCGTGACAACTAATCCCTCAACGATTTGTTGATTCAGCTGCAGGCAGTGTCCGGTGCTGTCCACTAACGAACACTGCTGTCGCAAAATCATGCTTTTTTTGGTAAAAATTTTGATAAAAAATTATGTGGAAATATCGAAAATGGGCTGAAAATCGCAATAATCTTTGTAAGGCACACAATAAAAAAATAAATCTAAATATATTTACTCGGAAAAATAGATGACATGGGCTACAATTTAGACGCGTTCATTGAGGACCAGCTTGTACTTGAGGTACAGTTTCTTATCTCCGCGATGATGTTGGTTCAATTCGGCGACGGCCTCATCAATGGCTTTGTTGTAGAAGTCTATTTCGGCCTGAAAGAAACTTTGGTGAAATAAAAACAAGGTTAATTCTGGAGATTTTTTTTTGAAAATTGTGGAAAAAGGTCTGAAGATTTCCGAAAAAAACAAAAAAAAAATCAAAAAGCAATGCAAGCTGCGCCCAGAAAATAGAAGATTTTGCATTTTGAGCATGATAAATTGAAGCCTAAGCTCTAATCCAAGCTTAGGCTAACAAGGGAAGTACCCCAAGTGCGACGATCAGATTTTCTCTGAGTCTTTAAAAATTTTCTGGTTCAAGTGTCTACAGAACACATTGATATTGCTGAAATTTTTAGCTTCCACTTTGCAAGTTCAGCCGAGATATTGAACGATTTTTGCCGCCGAGAGAGCACTCTAAACGCGGAGAGCGGTCAGAGAGAAAAGCGCATTTTGGCCATAACTTTGGCATTTTCTTGCGGAAAAATTTGATTTTTTGTAGAAACATTACTGCTTACGGTTGAAATAGGCATGAAACTTTTCGTGCCGAAATTCGGCAAAAAGTGGCAAATTTTGGCCAACTTTCGATCTAAGAATCTCGGTTGTTTCTGCAAAGCGCGAGCTAGGATTCTCGCATATATCTTAGAAAAAATCATTCTAAATTTGTGCCAAGTTTCATCAAAATCTGAGCGTCGCACTTGGGGTACCTCCTTTGTAAGCCTAAACTAAGCCGAGCCTAGCCGATTTTTCATTGTATAAAATGTCCTTCGCAGGTCGCACCCTTTTCATTTTCCCAAAGCTTTTGAATTCTTGGAGTGTTGGCCAATCTTCAGAACTTTTATTGTAGAAAAGGTAAAAGTTCCTTATTTTGGCCACAACATATAGTATAACTTTGCGGAAACTGGTCGGAATTAGCCCAAATTTAGCGTGCACGCTCAATTCATCGTTGTCAATGCCCGGACAGTGGATTTAGTTAGTGAGGTACCTTCGTTTTTACGTAGCACCTTACCCTTCAAAAGCGGCTGCAGCCTGTGATTTTACACTTTATACGATGAAACATGTCCGGAACTAAACTTATTGCCTCCGTATGGAACTAAATGAGTCGTCACAGCCTTCGTGGGTACCCTTAAAACTACAGAGCTCTGTACAGAGCTATTAAAGTAGTTCAGAGCCAGCTAGGTCGAAGCGTTTTTTCCTAACTTTAGTGCCCAAGCTTGGTAGTTCGCGGAGTACCTTTGTTGTGGCCAAAATAAGGAACTTTTACCATAAAAAATTCCATGTTTTAAAATCATCCCAATTTTAAGCAAAATCCAAAGCCCAAATTTGGGGGATCAGAAAAATTTCCCCTTGGTCCCCCCTTACCTACTACAACATCCAAGAAAAAGTCAAAATTTAATCTCTCAAAACCCTTTCCCCCTGCTTACCTTGATCTTCTTCTCGATGTAATCGGCCATCTTCGTAGCATTGACGTTGGTCACCACGTTGCGGACGGGAATAGTGAAGTTGATCGGATACGGCTTCACCACGTCGGCCTCCACAACTGCGCCGCACACCAGGAAGACCAGAAGAATCGCACCGGCTCTCGACATCGTCAACCCGAAAGAATGAGGGGAGAGAATGAAAGACGATTTGGGGAATTTTTTAAATTTGAATTTTTTGAAAATATGCAAATTTTCAAACTTTGGGAAAAATAAAATTTTTCTTTTTTTTTGAGGATAGCTAAAGTACGGTTGACCTTTTTGGAGTCAAAAATACAATTTACAATTGATTGTAGGGCTTATTTTACTTGAAAAAAATTTGAAAAAAATTGGTAAGGGGGGACCAAGGGAAAAATTTTTGAAAAAAAATCTTGAATTTTTGAAAAAAAAATCATGATTTCAACAAAATTTTGAACAAATTCAGATCGGATTTTTTTTATATTCAAGCCTCTTAGCTTCGCTTTGCAAAAACTATCGAGATTCATAAGTTGGAAAATTCATAATATTCAAAAAAAATTCAATTTTTGGTCTGAAAAAAATGAAAATTTCGCTTCAAAAATGGAGTAAAATTTATCCACAAAAAATCATCCTTTTTGTCCCAAAACCCAAAAAGAATAAACCAAAAAACTTTTTTCTCTCATCACTCTCGATCTCCTATGGTCTTTTGTCGTTAAACATTGTTGAATATCTCAGCCGTGCCCGAAACAAGAAGTCTCAAATTTTCAGGACATCATACCAGGACTACACAAGACACCTATGTAAAATTTTATGAAAATCCGAGGGTGCCTCATCAACAAATTTCCATTGGAAAAATCAAACGTCAAATTTAACAAAGTCCTCAAAAACCGGGGGAAAAAATCGCAATTTTTCCGCAAAAAATCGGCAAAAAATTATTTGCAGTCCATCTCCGGTGGGTCAGGTACAATAACACAAGCAAACATGGATCTTTTTATTGGATAAATAAGAGGAAAATAGAGAAAATTCCATCTAATCATAAGGGAGGCCTTGTTGCTCGAAAGGCAACAAATTATCGGTTCCAAAGACGGAAGCGAACGCATCTACGGTGACGGAATTCTCGACCGACATGCTTTGAAGGAAAGAAAAGGGGATGAATGGGAAGCATTCGGGCTGAAAAAGAAAAAAAAAATAAAAAAAAAAAAGGTAAAAGTTCCTTATTTTGGCCACAACTTATAACTTTGCGGAAACTGGTCGGAATTAGCCCAAATTTAGCGTGCACGCTCAATTCATCGTTGTCAATGCCCGGACAGTGGATTTAGTTGGTGAGGTACCTTCTTTTTTACGTACCACCTTACCCTTCAAAAACGGCTGCAGCCTGTGATTTTACACTTTATACGATGAAATATGTCCGGAACTAAACTTATTGACTCCGTATGGAATAAATGAGTCGTCACAGCCTTCGTAGGTACCCTTAAAACTATAGAGCTATTATAGTAATTCAGTGCCAGCTAGGTCGAAGCGTTTTTGCCTAACTTTAGTGCCCAAGCTTGGGCGCAGTTCGCGGGGTACTTTTATTGTGGCCAAAATAAGGAACTTTTTCCAAAAAAAATGTTTCTTTTCCTAAATTATTTTATTTTTTTCGTTTTTTTCCCAAAATTCCCTTACCTTCTTTTTCTCCGCATCAAAGTACAATATCTGGCACCGCACGCAATCCTTCTTGTATCCGCCCAGCGGGCCAGCGCAGGTCAGACAATTTCGATGGCATCTCTCGCACGTCTTCTTCGACTTATCCTCGTAATAAGCGTAGGGGCACACCGGACCCACACAAGTCTTCAGATTCTGGTCCGAAATCAAATTGAATAGGCAAGTTTTGCAGTGGAACGTCGATCTGCGCTTACTGTCGCATTCCTGGCAGAATGGGGAGCAGTGGGCCGGGTCGATTGGCTTCTCGGCAACGCATTCGAGCTAAAAAACAAAAAAAAATTATCGAAAAAAAAGTCGACAAAAAAATTCTGGTCGAAAAAAAAATCTCTCGAATTTCGAAAAATTACAAAAAAAAATTTTTTTTAAAATTTTTGATCTCAAAATTTCGGTGGTTTCTGCACATCGGAAGCCAAAAAATCCCGTTTTTAGAAGACTCTAGTCTCAGTCTGCGACACTTTTGATTCGAAATTTTGAAAAATCAAGCTAATTTTCAAAAAAAAAAAAAAAAAAAAAAAAAAATAATAATCCAAAAAATGGCCACAAATACCAAAAACCCCCAAAAAAATCGTCAACTATTGAAAAAAAACTCACAAAACCCCCGAAAAAATCCTTACCTTATCCTTCACCACAACAGGGAACATTGTATTAGCGGGGCAAGTGACTTCGTCCAGAGTGGGATACTCGGCTCCAAAGGTCTTGTACAGACCCTGAACGCTCTCTTTGAAGGGCTGATAGGACGTGGGGCGGAGATTGAAATCATAGTTCGTCGCCTTGGCGATTCTTTTAAAGTACTCGATGCGGGAATGCAGGTTGAATTGGGGGTTGCGGATCATTTCCAGTTTGGTAATGCCTTTCGGGACGATGCTGTTCAACGCAACGTGGCGTAAAATGTCATTGTTGACGAAACGAAGGGCTCTAAAGTCCAAAAAATTGAAAGACAAAATTTAATTCATTTTTTGGGGATCTTTGACAAATTTTTTTCGCAAGGAAAATACTTCTATGGGGTGTGGAGTTACAGGCCGAGACATACGTCAAAAAAATCGCAAAATTTTTCTGATTCAGAATATGTAAAAATTAGCTTCCCAATTTTGGTTTGTAAAGGCAAAAAACCTTCAGAACTTTTCTCACAACACCACGCAAATGCCTTTTTGACCAAGTTTTTACCAAATCAAAAGCTTTTTTGGAGCTAAAGTAAACCCTAGCATCTTGACAAGCCTCAAAATATCAAATTTGATTAAAAACGCTCCTTTTTTATATTGGAACTAGTAATTAAAATTAGTATTTCCAATATAAAAAAGGGCATTCGCATAATAAAGTTTGATATTTTAAGGCTTGTCAAGATGCCAGGGTTCTCCTTAGCTACAAACGAAGCTTTTGAAATGGTAAAAACTTGGTCAAAAAGGCATTTGCGTGGTGTTGTGAGAAAAGTTTCGAGGATTTTTTCGCCCTTACAAACCAAAAATTGGGCAGCTAATTTCTACATATTCTGAGTCAAAAAAATTCTGCGATTTTTTGATATAGGTCTCGGCCAGTAACTCCATACCCCAAGAAGTATTTTCCTTGTGAAAAAATACATATTTTTTTCTTACCCTTCAACTCTTCTCAACTTGGCCAAATAGTTGAAAGTGACCACATTGAACAGGTCGTGGATGATCAAGTCTCCATAAATCGAGTCAAACGACTCCAACAGGGCAAGGAATTTATCGTGCCATTGCTTGGTGGTTCTTTGGCCCATGGTCCACTGGTTGATAATAATCTTGCCAATCAGGATTTGACATCCCTCCAAGCCGTTGAAAAGGGTCAAAAGACCGTAATGGGAGCAGGCTAAACCCTTATATTATACTTGATTCAAAATTTTCGAAAAAATGAAAAAAGTAAAAAAAAAATCATCAAAAATTGGGCAAAATTTAAAAGTCTCATGCTGCAACTTAACTGAAAAAGCCATAGCAAACTTTATTTTACCATCCTACAATCCAAAATTAGAACTTTTCAAAAAAAAAAAAACTCCCAAAATCCCAAGAAATCGCTAAAAATCGCTAGAAAATTGTAAAATCTCGCAAAATCCCCTCTTACCACACCCTGAAAATTACACTTCCATACTCTTTAACCCCTTCCAGCTCCATAAAAATTCAAAAAATCCCAAAAACAATCAAAAAAACTAAAAATTTTCAAAGAGTCACCTCTCGCCCCACCAAAACTTCCCCGCCCACCTTACTTTTCGGGCAAGCTCTGGCAGCGTCTTCACTAAAATCGTTGCCATCAAAAGAGACCTCGCACGGCTCGCAAACGGCATGTTTCGCCTTGTTCTCGAGCAATAGGTCCAACGACTTGGTGATGGTTTGGCCGGCGGGACACTCAAAGGCACAGTCCGTGGGGCTGATGGAGACCAGCGGGGCTGAAAATATTTTTATTGCATTTCGTATTCGGTAATACGCACTTCAACGAGGACATTTTCAACTTAAAAAAAAAACAAAAATTCTCGAAAAATCAATAATTAAAATTTTTTTGACACTTCGTCCAAAAATTAGAATTGCAAAAAAAAATCGCGAAAATTGCATTATTTGCCTACTAAAAAACTGAAACTCAAAAAAATTTCAAATAAAAAAAATCAATAATCCAAAAGTGACATTTCGTCAAAAATTTTTAAATCTCTTTTACCGGGACAAATGGTATAGTCACTCAGACAATATCCATCGATTCGACGTTGACCTTCACAGGACACACACTTCTTTCCATCCACACTCCAGAACATCGGCGCTTTACAGTGCTGCAACATCGAAGAAAGGGTTAAAAACATATATATAAAGTTAATGTAAAAAATAAATGGAAATAAAGCAAATGGTCTTTTCATGCTATAATCGCTCTATACAGGAGTAAAAAACCACAGTCACTGCGAAAATTTAAAAAATCAAAAAATCCGCTGCACTGTGCAGAGCCAAAAAAATTTTTGTTTGCTATACAAAGAGTATGTTATAAAAAAAATTTTTTTGTAGCAAAAATTACAGAGACATCCCAACTCATGTCTTTTTATACAATTTTGGTCAGTAAAACTCAAATGCACAGTGCAGACATAAAAAAAACCAAATTTGCTGCACAGTGCAATTTCCAAAACAAAAAATTTCTACAAAACGCGCTAATGGAAAAATTAGATATCTTATCTACCAGCCTGACCATAGACATGAAAAACCGTTCCCGCAAATTTTTTCAGCCATGTCGCTTCAAGATTCAACACTAAAAACAGAAAAATAAAAAAAACCAACGCACCGTGCAAACCAATTCCGTGCCTTTGTAATAGCAGCCGCCTTTGCATTCCTCCGGACAGCACACTTGCTCAAAGTTGGCGTTTCGCGGCGACACACCGTTCGCGCACTCCGTTTTCGCGACGCCCGACTTCTCCAGGTTGTACTGGTCGCGCTTGAACTCAACATGAAGGGTGGTGTCGTGCTCGTGGAAGATCTCATGCGCCACACTTCCTCTTTCCTAAACAGCGAATGATCTGAACTTCCCCCATCCAAAATGACTAGTACAGGTGGACAGAGCAGGTCGACTTTGGTTAAAAAACGCATTTTCCAGCTGCAAAAATCTCTTTTTTTCCCACAAAAGTCGACCTGCTCTATACGAAAATGACTAGTGAAAACCTGCACTAGTCATTTTCCCGAGTGCTGGCGGAAGTTCAGACCTCAGATTTGTCGATGGCAGAGGCAAAATAGGCAGTGATTCTCAGCACTCCGTGGTATCCTAAAAAAAAAAAAGAAAATCGAGAAAGAAAAATTCGCTTACGAAGCAGATTAGCCAACGTCAAAGGACGGCAATCCTCGTTGGTCGTTCTGTAGGTGATCATCTCAATCGCGGGCTTGCTCTTGTCCTTATTCACAATTCTGGCCAGATTCGAAAATTGGAGGTATTGCGAGTGGTGGGTGACAATTTTTAATGATCCAGAGACCTGAAACAAAAATTAAAAATAGGAGATTCTAGTTTAAAAAAACCTTTTCATCGCATGCCCAGTGCATTTTGCCTCTTTTTGCACGGTGCGCGGGCCATTTTGCGGGCGTCGCGACACTTGCGGAAAACCACTTTGCGGGCAACCACTTTGCGGGCAAAATATGGGGGGTCACATTTGCGGGCAGCCTGGGACATTTGCGGGCAACCGACACTTGCGGGCAGCCGACATTTGCGGGCAATCGGCACCTGAGGGTAACAGGGTGGAGGTGGAAATATTACTGCGATATTTTGGAAATTTGCCGACATTTGCGGGCAACCGACACTTGCGGACAGCCGACACTTGCGGGCAACAGGAAAAAACAATCACACAGACTGTATAGGAACTTTTGGAACTGTTGCCCGCAAATGTCGGCTTTCCGCAAGTATTGCATGCCCGCAAAGGTCGGAAAACTTCCAAAATATCGCAGTAATTTTTCCACCTCCACCTTGTTATCCTCAAATGCCGGTTGCCCGCAAATGTCGGCAAATTTCATAGTAATTTTTCCATCTCCACCCTTTTACCCTCACAATCAGGTGTCGGTTGCCCGCAAATGCCCAAGGTTGCCCGCAAATGCCGGTGCTGGCCGCAAATGTCGGCTGCCCGCAAAGTGGCTGCCCGCAAAAAAATTGCCCGCAAAGTGGTTGCCCGCAAGTGTGCGCCCGCCATTTTGGGACTGAAATCGGCGACACGCACTGTGCGAAAACAAAATTTCATTGCACTGTGCAATTTCCTCCTTTTTGCACCGTGCAACAGGCTTTTTTCTGTCGCTCGCACCCTGACTTTTTTTCGCACAGTGCAAACACCAAAAAATCAGTCCGGCGACTTTTCGGAAGGATCAAATGCACCGTGCAAAACGGGTGGTGCATTTGTCTCTTTTTGCACGGTGCGTGGGCCATTTTGCGACTGAAATCGGCGACACGCACTGTGCGAAAACAAAATTTCACTTTGCACTGTGCAATTTCTTCCTTTTTGCACTGTGAAAAAGGCTTTTTTCGGCTGTCGCTCGCACCCTGACTTTCGCACCGTGCAAACGTCAAAAATCAGTCCGGCGACTTTTCGGAAGGACCAAACGCACGGTGCAAAACAAACTTTTTGCACAGTGCAAATCCGCGACAAAAAGTCTGTGCATTTTTGCGAAAAACGAAAAGAAAATAAATCTCTCCTTACACCGTACACATTCTGGACCGCCGACGTAATCGAGCCGGCGAAAGGAACACGCAGATCCAGTATGATATCGCCACTGATAAAGGCGCAATCGGACATGGCGAACGTCTGAAGCGTTCCAAAGACGGCCATCATGTAAGCGCGATAAAAGTCGTCGTTATACAAGTGCTTGAATCGTTCGGCTTCAGTGGACAAACCTAAAAAAAATGAAAAAAATTCTCATCCTGTAACTTACGATATGCAATCTCGTGCGCGTTAATTGCAAGGTCCCGCTCTCGCGGCGTGCCCAACAGCTCCAATCGCAAAGTGGGGCACATGGTTTTCACTGAAAATAGATGAATTCACAAAGATGAAAAAAATAAAACCAGTCCGTGCAGAAAGTCGCCGGACTGACTTTTGGTGTTTGCACTGTGCGAAAAAGGTCAGCGACAGCCGAAAAAAACCTTTTGCACGGTGCAAAAAGGAAAAAATTGCACAGTGCAAAGTGAAATTTTGTTTTCGCACAGTGCGTGTCGCCGATTTCAGCCCAAAAAGGCCCGCGCACCGTGCAAAAAGGCAAAATGCACCACCCGTTCTTCACGGTGAGTTTGATCCTTCCGGAAGGTCGCCGGACTAATTTTTCGCGCTTGCACTGTGCGAAAAAAGTCAAGGTGCGAGCGACAGCCGAAAAAAGCCTATTGCACGGTGCAAAAAGGAAGAAATTGCACAGTGCAAACAAAAATTTTGTTTTCGCACAGTGCGTGTCGACGGCCTAAAACCGGCACTGTGAGAAAACAAGTTTTCTCTTTGCACTGTGCAATTTCTTGTTTTTTTTTTTGCACCGTGCAATAGGCTTTTTTGGCCTGTCGATCGCATCCTGACTTTTTTTGCACAGCGCAAACGTCAAAAATCAGTCCAGCGACTTTCCGGAAGGCCTAGTACAACTTGCGCAACATAGAGTAGGTGTCTCTGGAAATTGGGGGGAAATTTCGTAAGAAAAAATGAGATCTTTAACAAAAAAAATAATAAAATTACATTTTTGAGAGTAAAATTCGCTTCGATTACTGTGAAAACTAGCGTTAAATCGAAGGAGAAGGCTTTTCACATCAAGTCGGACAGAAAAATCTCACTTACCGGACTGAAAATACCGATTTGCAGAGTACGCCAGGTCGGAGGGGGCCACTGCTTTCGCGTCGCCAAACCCGCTGTTTGCCAGCAACAGAAACGCGGAAACCCATATCCATGGGGTGCTCCAGACCCGAGTAGCCATGCTGCACTCGTTGATGGCCTTGTCGAATCACTGAAATTGAAAATAATTGCGATTTCTACATTATCCATGCCATCAGATGGGAGATTTCGGAAAAATAGGGCAAAATCTGCTGTATTCAACTGGATGGATGTTGAAACTCACCTAAGTTCAACTCGGATTGACGACCAATTCACACGACCGTTTGGAGTTGAAAATCCAGCGCCGGATGCGACCAGGGCAGGTTCAAGAATGAGAAGAAGATTGGACTCCATGCGAATTTCGAACTCGTTGCAAATCCCTGAAATTTGCATAAAACTCGAGGTATATTTGAATAAAAAAAGAATTCCACGACATCTTTGACATGAAATTCGTCAATTCCCTGCGAATTCCGTGACAAATTCCACGAAAATCCGACTTGAACGAAGTGTCCCCAATATATTTGTGGCATTTCGTCCAATTGCTTTTCGGAAGAGAACATCTTTTTTTGCGATTGAAACCCTGACCAACTTTCGTTCCTTCCACGTTAAACTCGCCGCAATTTATCTTTTTTTATCGACTTTCCCTCGGGTTTTATTCAAATTATATTATCCTTGCCATGTTTACTCAAAATGCCCAAAAAAATGGGTGAATCAACCCGAAATCCGTAGGAATTTATATTGTTTTAGTGGAAGGCTCATTTTTCTTTATGATTCAACACTTTTTTCGCTGGATTTGACCGGTTCTGGAGAACACACGAGGATTGTTTATGTCTGATACCTAAATTTACGAGAATTGTGCGGAAATTCGTGCAATTTTCGGCTGAATGGGCCGAAAATGCCCGGAAGGGAGAAAAAAATCCTCTTGACGGGCCTCCGAAATTCTCTACGCACTTAATTCGCTGAAAAAATGGGATTTTCATCCCGGAGGCTTGTTTATTTTCTGATTGAAGTTTTTGGTTTTAGAAAACGTTTTACGATTTCGAAAATGGCCGCAGGCCTGCCCCTCGGGTGTGTGAACTTTTGTGGAACAATATTATGAAAGAATTTACGAGGGGAATGGGGATTTTAGAGTTTAAATCCAGCTTCTGGCATCCGACCTCATGGATAATATAAATTGATATAAAATTTAGGGTTTTCTTTGCTAAGACCGTTGCAACTTTGAGGAGAGGTCGAAGAGACTTCGAATTACGTGAATTGAAACTTTCCGAACACTCTGGGCAAAAATATTGTTGTTTTAATTTGTTTTGACAGCCGTGTTTTCCCCTGCATTCCCTCGGGGAATTTTGGAATGAAGATTCCGCTTTCCCTCTGCTTAACGTAATCAAATTTTGTTTGCAGGCATCAATGTTGTTCTCCGATGACGATCCACCAGTTATCGATGTCCGCCAGCAGTCCGGCCCACCAAGACCAGTAGATGTTTTAGGGAACAATGATCCTCTGTCCAATCCGTTGGAGCCAACGCAGGAGGTGGATCTGGACGGGCCTACTACCCCGGTGAATCCGATGGTAACATCGACAAGGCCGGCCATTGGGAGTCAAAAGAAATATGGAGAAAGATATGGCCAGCAAAGACAAGATTCAGATGTCGCGGAGAACGATTATCGAACTGTAAGTTGGTTTATGTTATTTTTTCTTGGTTTTTAGGCAGCTCCAATGAAGAGTCATCCTTTGCACGTTAAAATAACCTCTCCTTCCAAGAATTTCCCTTTATGCTTTCATGGGTAATATAACATACCAAAAGTTTTCGAACCTCCACCCGATTTCACCCCTTTAAAATTTCAGCATCGCACGGAAGAGGTGTCCTACGACTCCGAAGCTTGCAATGCCATTCAAGTCGACATTTCTGATGCACTTTCCGAGCGGGACAAGGTAAAGTACACGGTCCACACAAAAACGACTCTTACCGCCTTTGCGAAGCCCGAAATGTCAGTCGTCAGAGAGCATGAGGAATTTGTCTGGCTTCATACTTGTTTGGAAGACTGCGAGGAATACGCTGGATTTATTGTGAGTGAAGTTTCGGAGAGAAATAATGTGATACTTGGGACTTTTAGTTTGGACATCGAATTTTTGCATTTTTATAGTTTTGATGAGGATAAAATGAGATTCTTTAGATCCCACCAGCCCCACCACGTCCAGATTTCGATGCTTCCAGAGAGAAACTTCAGAAATTGGGAGAAGGAGAGGCCACCATGACCAAGGAAGAGTTCCAAAAGATGAAACAAGAACTGGAACAGTAAGTTTCTTACTTCCATTGGAAGATTATGCTTGTTTCTGTTTTTAGAGAGTACTTGGCGTCCTTCAAGAAGACTGTCGCGATGCATGAGGTGTTTTTGTGTCGGTTAGCGGCTCATCCAGTTTTCTCGAGAGATCCGAATTTCCGAGTCTTCCTGGAGTACGAAAACGACTTGTCTGTCCGTGGGCGAAACAAAAAGGAGACCGTGACCAATCTGTTCAAAAGATTCTCGCAGTCTGCTGATGAGGTTCTTCTTTCAGGACAGGTAGGTCAAGTGTAATATAAAAAATTTGCCGACGTTATTTTTTTGGGGCGTTGAATTAAAATGGGGCCGGTTTTTTATGTGTGCTGGTAAAAGGACGGTTATTTGGAAGGAAAAATGTTGTTGTAGAAGACGACTAATATCATGGATAATATATTTTTTTGCCCAAAATGGCTGTAAGATGACAGATTATGTGGTGTGTTGGCCAAAACAATGATTTCGAAAAAATGCCCTTGAGTGGTGTCATGTTTTCGAAACGAAACTCAATCATCCAAAGAGCCCCTTTGGTTGTTTTTTTTTTCACGACAAGCTTGAACTTGATCATGCCTATCAAAAATAGCGACATAAATAACCCAGTTTTTCGAAGCCGGTGTAATGTGTTTTTTCGGAGTTTGGGTTTTTATATAAGAAGTTGAAGAATTGAAAATAATTGTTGATGAAATGTAGGAGCAATGTAAAATTAGACCTCAATAACGCGTAATGGAGTGAGAAATTTTGTTTTCTAAAGAGACGATACGTCATGGTTAGGAGGGAATTTGTTTTGAAATGACCTCCAAAGATTTCCCAAATGAGTTGTATTGGAGTAAATTTATTTTACAGAGGCTATGTTGTAGGTTTTTTGATGGGTAAATAGCCGTAAAGTTGCCTCGAACGAAGATTATAAGCGGCTTAGCAGATTTTCGACAACGTGAAGAATCGAGTTCTTCATGAAGGGTTATTTTTATTCCGGGGAAAAAGTGGGAAAATTTTGGAGATGAACGGATTTTAATGGAATTTTTTGGAAAATATGGGCGTTTTGGGCAAAAAATTGGACAATTATGATGTAATGTAAACTTTGGAAGGGCTAAAAATTGATTTACATCTTTTTAAAAACAGAATTTTAGAGGCTTTTTGCTGAAATTTTGATTTTTCCCCGGTTTTTTGGATGTTTTCCGAAAATAACCTTTGATTTCTCTCCGAGTATACCTCCAAATACGTTTGCAATGAAGTTTACTCCGAGCACAGGTCATCACCTTTCTCCCTAAGGACCGCCGAGAATAGGCGGTGACACGGAAATGCCCGTTTTTCTCTCCATTCCCGCCCCCAGGGTTCAAACCGCACCGGATGTCCCTTTAATTTATTTGATTTTTCGCCGATTGTGGCCGCCTTTTCCCAATCCCAGTGATCTTTGGAAGATTTTTTAGAGGGTTTTGGAAAAGGACTTTTGAAAAGAAGTGCGTCTTTTTGCTTTGGGAAACGGAGCAAGGAACTGTTTCAGACAAAATAAAATGATTTTGTAAGGATTTTGGAGACGAAAAAAGTTGGGAGAAGGGAAGAAAGGCGGGGAAGGAAGCGATAATTTGCCGTAAAATACGGTGCAGGTTGGATGGAGACATGTTTAAGGTTGTTCGGTGTAGAAAGAATGATGGATTTTTAATTGATTTGTAATAAAAAAGTCGTCATTCCTTTTACCCGATAATTATAGCGATGAGAAACCAGTTAACGGCTGATTTGTGTTAAATACGGCGTTGTTTTTGTTGTAATTGGATGTTTTGTACATCTGGCGTTCACTGTTGACTTGTTACGAAAGGAATGACGAATATTCAAGCGAATGTAGTTTGAATATTCGTCATTCCTTTTGTCAAGCTCAACATCTATCCTTGAAACTCTTGAAAACCACGTTATTATGACCTCTGTAAGTCGAGGGACTAACAGGCGTTATCCTAACGTGGTTTGAAGGACGTCTTCTTGAATTGTGATCAGAACTTTGAGTTGGGAATTTCGAACTCTTCGGTTTTCCCATACTTTTGAGCTCTTATAGGGAACTTTGTCGGTTTTTCATGTTGCTTATGCATAACAATTGAGTGGTCGATTTTGTTATGGGAATTTTTGAGTTTGCTTCTTCTTGATGGGAAATCGAAGTGACGTGACTTTTATATTTTGTGTTGGCTGTATGCATCTTGAAGTATAAGGAAGCTGTCTGTAAGGAAGGTGTGTCTGGTCGTGTTGAAAGCTCTTCTAGCAGAAGGACAGCCATTATGATGCATTGTCCAGGATTGGTTTTTGTTGTCATTGTAAATTCCTTGTCTGGTTTTGTTGAAATGCTTGCTCCTTGAACTGTTTATAGCGTCGTGTCGCTTCAACGGAATGCTTTTTTTGTAATGGATTTTTCCGATCATAGATCACAACGTCAAGCGTGAAATCCTTTTTTATATTGTCGTTAATGCTGGCTTTTGTTGTCTTTGGAGATTCCGCTCGAGGTCTAGTCACAATCAGGAACTCGGCCCGAAAGGCACGGAGAACGTGAGAATATAAATAATTTGTTTTGGGACAGGCGTTGAAAAAACGAGAATTTTTGGACTCTAAATTATTAAGCGTGTAAAAAGTGGTCTCAACGGAAGAAAAGCAATGGAAAGTCCAAAAATTTGCTCTCATCCTTTGAATTTTTTGATTCGGCTATTTTAAGAATCCATATAATGATTATGTTTACTATAACGTCACGAGACGCTCTCTGTCGAATGATGTTTGCGGCTTTTTTGCGATCACGACCGTTTTCGGAACGCTTTTTATCCTCGATTTATCTTTTGGATTGTGATTCATTCCGCATGATGTTTGATTTTTCCGAATGACCGGCCATTCTGACGTCGGGGTTTTTTGGGCGCTATTACAAAGATTAAAGTCTTATGACGTTCTAATTGGATTATTCGGTAAGCTGTAATTTGAAGTCCTTTGGGCGTAAATTTACTTATGAAATTGAGCGCACAGAAGGTGTATTTAGAATGGAATTTTCAGAGTTTCTAAACTTTGGTCCTTAATGTTGGCAATACTTTTTTTTGACTGTTTTGTCTTCAAATTTTGCCGGAATCTGTATTCGTCTTTGTAGAAAAATTACTGTCCTCCACTTCTTCCTTGGGCGTGGTCTTCAAATTTCAAGCTCGAAGTCGGTAACCTTTCTCGTCAATAAAGTTGTCGGAATAGAAAATTGTTTTGTCTCCAGATGTAGGAATGGAAAGTACCATGTGCAAATAATAAGTTGCCAGAGCCCTTCTTCCACTGAACACTTAGACACCCGTATTCCTTGTGTGAATTGGGGGTAAACAGTAAAAGGGACGACGGTCTCGTTGAAGAAAACGAACCCCAAATGTCCTCTCCGTTGGGTTTTTTTTCGCGATTTCCCGATCACCCGCTGACGCAATGAGACGAACCCGGGTGACGCTATTTTTGGGATCCGTTTTCCGAGTTTTCGATTGCCATAAGGGGTCAATTAGTGGCTGCTGGGCATGACGTGGGCTCGGTTGATCGAGGTCACACGCCTCAGTGGTCTATATATAAGGCGGCTGTGAGTGGTGTTGAAATGGTTTGATTGAGACTGTTTCAAAGAGTGACGTTTGAATGGATTTGTTTTGCTTCGGAAAAGTCGTTTATTAGTGATGCTTATTTTGAAATGTTTTTGTCAAATTCATCAAAATTTCGTCCGGTTTTTATTGTTTTCTCAATTGCTTACCGCCATGAAATCTTTTCCCCCATGCTTTATTCCCCAAACCATGTGATTTGCTCTGTGATTTGGGAATTTGGCTGGAATTTATTATCATGACGTTGTTTTTTGACTTTAAACTGAAAGGTTATGAGCGACGGTTTTGTTTTTACCAATGATTAGAGAATGGTTATTTGAAATCTGGAGGAGCTCGTTGTACAGTGGGGGACCTGATCCAGTGGCAAAAAACGTACCATTTTTCATCCGGGAAGTATCAAAAATGTGGCAAAATGCTTCCCTCTCCAAGTGAAAAAACTCAGATTTCAAAAGCGCGCACGCTCCTTTGTGAGGGAAAGAGCGCGCCCTTCAAAACGAAGTTTTTTCACATGGAGAGGGAAGCGTTTTTCCACATTTTTGATGCTTCCCGGATGCGGAATGGTACGTTTTTTGCCGCTGGACAGGTCCCTCACTGTATGGGAAGATTTGAGATAAAACTTTTTTGCTGTCATAGGCGCTAATAATGGGAAGCTAAAACAAAAAGCTAGAGTTTGATCAAATTATAAAGGAAAATTCATGAGAAGCCCATTGAAATGAATTCGGCAATTGCAAAAACCATGTGATTTGAGCAACGTCACGCCGTGATGTATCATAATCACGATGCTGGAACATGAATAATATCAAATGCAGCTGATTTTTATTGTCTTTTCAGAGGGATGTGGACGAATTCTTCGACCGCGAACGAAATTACTTATTGGAGTATCACACTCATGTCCGGGAAGCCACGCATAAAGCGGATAAGAGCTGTAAACTGAGGAAAAGTAAGGATTTTGAGCTTTTTTGAGAGGAAATGCGAATTTTGTGAATTTTTTGGATAAAACTCGATTTTTTGACGTGTTTTTTTATGAGTTTTGGGATTTCGTTGACAGTAACAGGCCTTGTTGATTGTAGATGTTGCCGATTCGTACGCAAAACTGGCCAATCAGCTGGAAAAATACGGCAGTTTGGAAGCCGCGAATGGTGATAAGGAGTTTGGATACTTTTTGAGCCGTATTACGGACATGCTGGAACGCCTGAAGAAACTGGAAGCTAGAGTGGGAACGGATGAAGAACTGAAGCTAGCGGACACCCTTAGATATTTCATGAGAGAATCTCAAGCTGGAAAGGTAAAGATTTGAACTTTTTGTCTAGTGTAATATAATTTTTGGAAAATACTCCCCGAAATTTGGGGTTACTATTGATTACTGTGACTTCAGGACCTCCTTTATCGCCGACTCCGCTGCCTCGCGAATTACGAAGCCGCCAACAAGAATCTGGAAAGGGCCCGGGGCAAGAACAAGGACATTGTCAGAGCCGAAGCCGAACAAACCGAAGCCAACAAGAAGTTTGACGCAATCACAACGCAAGCGAAAAAAGAGTTGGTGGATTTGAAGAAAAGGCGCGTGGATGCGTTCAAGAAGAATCTCAATGATCTGGCTGAACTCGAAGTGAAGCATTCCAAGGTAAGGACCAGAAGAAAAGATTAGTAAAAATGGCAGACTGCGCCCTGGAAAAGAGTTGGAGACAATTTAGATAGGCCTAAAAAGGCGTTTAGTAGCTTTTGGGGGAACGTTTTGTTTTCGGACTTATATAGTTTTAGCGATTTTTGAGAATGGCGAGCTGCGCCCGAGGATAAATTTAAATTTGACAGATTGCGCCTTAGAATGGGGATGAAAAGGTAAGTTTAGAGCTGGAAAGATGCTGGGGAGGTTTATACATTCGATTTTTTGCGATTTTTGGGTAGTTTGTTTCCGCGAGCTGCGCCCGGTAAAGAATCAAAAATCACTGAAAAGCGCTGAATTTCGTAAACTCTTTGCTAAAATAGGTCATAATACGCCTGATTGCTCGACCAACAGCCCGTAACAAGTTTATTGGACGAACTTGTGACACTTTTACTATTAAATTTTGAGCGGGGTTTTCGTTTTAAAAAAAGTTTTTTTTCTAGAGGGCACAAGAAAAAAGCGTGAAATTGATATGATTTTTATCGGCTCATTGAGAGCGGTTCTCTCGAAACGCGTTTTGGACTACACTCCCGAACCCCGTCATAGTATAGCCGGAGGGGATTTGCGTTAAGTTTAGACTATTCGGAATTGGAAAATTTATTCAAAGCGCACCCCGACGTGAGCCGTTTTTCCGCGATCATGGGATTGATAACACTGATGGGCTGGCCGCTACGGTTGGGCTTATCGGAAATTTCCCAGGAATTTTCAAAAATTATTTGGCAATGGGGAGAATTTATCAGTTTTGAGGGAAATTTATAAGCGGAAACGGGGGAATTGATTGGAAAAATGATAGTGATTTGATGCGAAAAGGGGTTAGGAAAGAATACCATGGCAGTAGATGGCGGTATACGGGATTGGCCATAAGTTTTGGACGTGGTTTTGGCCGAAAAGTCAGAAAATTTGCTTTTTTTACAAGGAAAGTACTTCTACGGGGTATGGAGTTACAGGTCGAGACATGTATCAAGAAATTCGCAAAATTTTTCTGATTCAGAATATGTAAAAATTAGCTGCCCAATTTTGGTTTGTAAGGGCGAAAAAATTCTCAGAACTTTTCTCGCAACACCACGCTGCCTTTTTGACCAAGTTTTTACCAATTCTAAAGCTTTTTTGGAGCTAAAGTAAACCCTGGCATCTCGACAAGCCTTAAAAATATCAAATTTGAACTTTTTTTATATTGGAACCGCTAATTAAAATTAGCAGTTCCAATATAAAAAAGGGGCGTTTTTAATCAAATTTGATATTTTAAGGCTTGTCAAGATGCCAGGGTTTACTTCAGCTCTAAACAAAGCGTTTGATTTGGTAAAAACTTGGCCAAAAAGGCATTTGCGTGGTGTTGCGAGAAAAGTTCTGAGGATTTTTTCGCCCTCACAAACCAAAATTGGCAGCTAGTTTTTACATTTTCTGAATCAGAAAAATTTTGCGGTTTTTTGACATATGTCTCGGCCTGTAACTGCGTACCCCGTAAAAGTACTTCCCTTGTGAGCTAAATTTGATCAAAAACCGATTCTCTTTGACGATTTTGTGAATAAAGATGGTTTATTGTGATGTAAAAAAGGGATTTACGACGTCTAAAGTGCATTTTATTATGTTTCAGAACAAACTCTCACTGCTCCAATCGATGCTTTCCGCCCTAAAAGACGGCCAATCGACCTAATTTTGCGGGTCGAAAGACGCGTTTCTCTCCCCAATTTGAGCGCCTAATTTATTCAACAGTTTGTCTAAAGTGTCTTCCAACTAGAGAGTTGCCAACATCCTAGCATATTTTGTTATATTCAACTTGTTTTTTTTCAATTTTACATCAGTTCCCCTTTTTGGGATTTTTTTTGATTTTTCAAGATTTTTTTGGCGATTCCTGTGATTAGAGTAATATTACAGTAATCCAAACAGTAGTTAGAATAATCCCAAGCAGATTTTTTGAGTATTACATATGCGGTTCCGACTATATCCCCAACACTTAGCATTTTTTCGGTGATGTTTTGTCCGCCGGTCAGTCTAAGATAAGTTTTATTTATTTTGCTCGATATGTCTAATGTGATAATTATTTTTGAATAAAGCAAGAGTTTTACATGCAATTTGTGATGTCTTCAATGATGTGATCCGTTTATTACGGTGAAATTACTCGATTTGTCCGGACTTTTTTTGAAATTTCTCGCGTCGCGGCGCGATTTTTGAAAAATGATCGTGGATGGGGTAAGAGGGGACTGGGTCGGGAGAAATTTTGAATATATGTTTAGAGAGGCATAAGGGTTCTCTTGATAGCTGATTTTCCGAATTGGGTCTTTGAGTTTTGAGTTATGTATCAATTTATATTAGACTAGGTAGTATAATTTAATTGATGATTTTTGAAATCAGAGAAAGTCAAAAGAGGTAGTTTTGAGAAATTATGACTATTAGGTCATAAGTTATGAGTTGCAACAAAAAGTTTTAATTTTGCTTCTGTCGTGACCAATATATAGATAAATTTATATTACACTAGACACCAAGATGCACTTTTTGTTTTTCGTGATCTTATATATAGATTTATTCGCTGAATTAGCTTCGCATCGCCTGAACAAGAAGCTGTTTTCAGTTTTCAATACAATTGAGAGCTTCGGACAGTCTGGCTTACTGTGAAATCGACCAAATCCGGAAGAGTTTGCGGTCCCATCAAGGCACCGTCGACTTTCGGGGTTTTCCTCAAAACCCACTCGTCTAGGACCACATCCAGAACGGGTATCACTCTCTAGTCATCAGCTAAGGTGAGTTGGGGTTGGTGGTTACAGTAATTTGTGTTTTTTTGGAGATATATTTCGATTTTTTGGAAAAATTTTTGGAAAATGTTACAAATTTTTGGAAAATTTACAAATTTTTGGAAAATGTTGCAAATTTTTGGAAAATTTACAAATTTTTGGAAAATTTACAAATTTTGGGAAAATTTACAAATTTTGATGGGCGGATGTTTGCAGTTGAATGGCAGAGATGCGCACAGCTTCGTCCACCTCGACCCTGGTCCACGCGTCGAACCTGCAAGCGGATTCGAACTTGGCCTCCTCGTCCAGCCCGAATCTCACCGCGCAGCCGAATTATTGGCCCAACGCGAGAAGCGACTACGACCTACAAGATGCCATCGGAATCGGAGCCACTGCAACCGTCTATAAAGTGAGTTTTGAGCGGGATTTTGGAAATTGAAAGGGATTTTTGGGGAAAATTTGATGTTTTACACGAAAATTCGAGAAATTTTTGATTTTTCAGAGTTGTTATGGGTGATATTTGGTGCTGCAAGCCTTTTGGAAGGCTTAATTTTTGGTTTTTTGAAGAAAAAGTGAAATTTTTTGCTGAAAATTTTTTGGATTTTTAAAAAATTTTCGATTTTTTCTCGAGAATTTTTACTCAATTCCTCGCTCCAGGCGTTCTGCAAACCCCGCGCCGAGTACTGTGCCATAAAATGCATTAACCTGGAGAAGTGCCAAACCTCGGTGGACGAGCTGAGCCACGAAATCCAGGCGATGAGCCTCTGCCATCACCCGAACGTCGTGAATTACTTCACGTCCTTCGTGGTCCAAGAGGAACTGTGGGTGGTGATGCGCCTGCTGAACTGCGGCTCCATGCTGGACATCCTGAAACGCAAGATCAAGCTGATGGGCAAAGAGCAGGCGGCGTACGGCGTCCTGGACGAAGTCACGATCGCCACGGTTTTGAAGGAAGTCCTGCGCGGCCTGGACTACTTTCACTCGTCGGGACAGATCCACAGAGACATCAAGGCCGGCAACATCTTGTTGAGTTCGGACGGAACCGTCCAAATCGCCGACTTTGGCGTGTCGGGATGGCTGGCCGCCAGCGGAGGCGACCTCAGCCGCCAAAAGGTCCGTCACACGTTTGTCGGCACCCCGTGCTGGATGGTAAGTGGATTAGAAGGTGTGGAATGGAGTCTAGATTTTTTTTGTAGTTGATGGCGACAGCCGGTTTTGTGATTTTTGCGGAGAAATTTGAGATTTTTTGAGGAGGTATGAGGTTTTTTGACCATAAATTAAAATTTTTTTTTTGATTTTTGAAAATGATGTTTGATGGAAGGGAAGTGATAAATAGAAATAATTGTTTAATTTGAGAATAAAATTCATGAAATTTGCTTTGATTTTTGAAGGGAGATTTGAGATTTTTTGAAAAATTTTGGGATTTTGACTAAAATAAGGTTGTTTGATCAGTAAATGCAAATTTTTTGTCTCTGTTTTGGGTGATTATTGTCTATTGTGGACCTGTTGTCCTTTTTGAAGGGTTGGTCTAGGAAGAATTGAATTTTTTAAACACTTTGGGACCTTATTTTATATTGTACTAGACATTTTCTCTAAAATTAATAAAAAATTTTATTTCCAGGCCCCAGAAGTGATGGAACAGGTCCAAGGATACGACTTCAAAGCCGACATTTGGAGTTTTGGCATCCTCTGCATTGAGCTGGCGACAGGAACCGCACCTTATCATAAATATCCACCAATGAAGGTCCTCATGATGACCCTTCAAAACGACCCTCCGAACTTGGAAACTAACGCCGAAAGAAAGGACCAGTATAAAGCATACGGAAAGAGCTTCCGACATGTGATCAAGGATTGTTTACAGGTAAAAATTGGAGATTTTGGAGGGGGTTTTTGGGAAAAGGGATTTTTTGGATTTTTTGATAAGAAATTTGACTTTTCCCAAAATTTTTTTAATTTTTTTGTGAAAAATCCTATTTTGATCGTATTTTAGAAGGACCCGACGAAACGCCCCACCGCCGCCGAGCTCCTGAAGTACTCGTTCTTCAAGAAGGCCAAGGACAAGAGCTATTTGGTCCATTCTTTGATCGAAAACCTCGGCTCAACCCCGCAGCCGACGGTGTCGGCCCCGAAAAAAGTGGCCAGCGGAAAGCTGAAGAAGGACAAGGACGGAAACTGGGAGTTCGAATACGACTCCCCGGACTCGGACTCCGAGCCTGAAGGAACAATCCAGTCGGCGAATCGGGCTCAGCGAGGAACTATTGAACAGACAATACAAGCCCCAGTTCAGACGGCTCAAACCGCCCCGCAGACGCTGAATTTGGTAAGAAGGGAGATGATGAGGGAATGAAATGGGTTTGAGGATGTATAAAAGGGAATAAGATGGGTTGATATGGGATTGGAGGGATTTTAGAGCGATTTTTGAGGATCTGGGATATTACCTTAGGCAAGGTTGGAAAATTTTGGAGTTTTTTTTTTGATTTTTGGGTGTTGAGTGGAATGAGTTGATGTAAAATGAAGAGTATGGGTTTGTGGTGGGATGAGAAGAGGCTAGAAGGAATTTGCAAGGGTTTGGGATATTACTTTAGGTATATTTGACAAAAAAAAAATTTTATTTTTTGAGATAATTTTTGTTAGAAAAGCGATGGGGGATCGCTTTTCAGGATTGTATATTATGTATTTTTATTCTAGAGTACTTATTTTAGACCACCAAAAAATTTTTTTTTTTTTTAAATTTATTTTTAAAATTTTGAAATTTGATATTGGTTTGTTAGAAAATCGATTGTTAAATCAGTTTAAAATGAGATTCGAAGTATATTCTCTCGATTTCAGGTACTCAGAGTCCGAAATCAACAGCGCGAACTGAACGATATCAAGTTCGATTACACGCCCCAAACGGACACCGTAGATGGAATTGCTCACGAGCTGGTCACCGCCGAACTGATCGACGGCCACGACCTGGTAGTAGTCGCCGCCAACCTCCAAAAACTCATCGACCTGGCCCAAAAGAAGTCGGACAAGAAATCGATCACGTTCGCCCTGAACTCGGGCCTCGCCCCCAACGAAGCCCCCGACGAACGCACCCTAACCGGCTTCGCCCAACTCTCCCTCATCGACTAATTCACCAATAGTTCCATTGTAATGTTTTTTTTCGCTACTGTAATATCGTCTTGTTAACTGGTAAAAGTAATTTTTTTTTGGATTTTCGGGATTTTTAGAAAATTTTTTTGATTTTTTTGGATTTTTTTTTATTTTTTTAAAAATTTTTTTTGAAAAAAGAGGGTTTTTGGTCTGAAAATGAGTTTCGAGATGGTTGGGATTACTGTAATTTCGAAAAATTGAAGAAATTTTTTTTTTAATTTTTTTTTTGAAATTTTTTTCGAATTTTAATTTTTTTTTGAAAATGCGTAAAATTTAATTTAATGTTGAGTAAAGGCCATAAAATTTTTTTGGCAGCTGATAAAATATTTTTTTTTGAGATTAAAAATTTTTTTTTTTTTTTTTTTGAAAATCCGTCCAATTTTGGCTAAAATTTTAGAAATTGTCTGTCAAAAAACTCTCCATGTCCATTGAAAAATCGGAACCGCCCAAAAAATCGATTTTTTTTGTTCGTAGTTGAGATTTTTTTTTGATTTTTTTTAATTTTTGTGCCTTCCCATTTTTTCTCCCGAAATTTTTTTCGTCAATTCGCTATAAAAATTAGGCTAACGAATATTTAACTGTGTCTTTGTGAGTAAACAAATTTTGTCTAATTTTGTCATTGCTATTACAATTTACAGCTATTACTTTTTACAATTAATAAAGAAATAAAAAAAAGTTTTTGGATGTTCTCTCTGACCGCTCTCCACATTTCACGTACTCTCTCGGCCGAAAAATCGTTGAATATCTCGGCTGCGTCTGCAAAGCGCGAGCTAAAATTTCGTGTAATTACTATATGGAACATGCCTGAAGTGTGTGCAACGTTTCATTAAAATCGGAGCGTCGCACTTGGAGTACTTCGACTGTGTTTTAATAAGTGGAACCAAAAATTTGGGACACCCCGAATTTACAGGGACATACCCCAAGTGCGAAGCTTTTTCGACATAATTTTTCATTTTTTCAAACACAATGCTGATAGCAAACGTAAAGTGATCTTATGTACCTAGGTTTTGCTAAATTTTTCTTTACATTTTGCAAACTTTTGTCATAATTTTCCTTTCATGTCGGCTTTCTTTCTTTCCAGCCCAGTATAAAAATTTTCCGGGCCGAACCGGGCCGGGCTTTCCAAATTTTCCAAGCCCGGTCCCGGGCCGGGCTTGGAGATTTAAGCCCGGGCCTGCGGCCCGGGCCGGGCTGGCCCGGTTTTGCAGCCATGCTTATTTAGGATAGTTTTTTCTATAGTACATGCGAGAATTCTAGATCGCGCTTTGCAGAAACAGCCAAGATTTTTTAATCAAAAGTTGGCGAAAATATCAGACTTTTTACCGAATTTCGGCACGAAAAGTTCCATGCCTATTTCTACCGTAAAGTGTAATGCTTCCACAAAAAATCAATTTTTTCCGCACGAAACTGGCAAAGTTATGGCCAAAAAGCGTTTTCCTCTATGTCCGCTCTCCGCGTTTAGCCTCTCTTTGCCGAATTTCGACATGAAAAGTGTCATACCTATTTCTACCGTAAAGTGTAATGTTTATACAAAAACAAAAATTCATCACAAGTTTCGATAATGTCGTTTCCTACCACATACTTTTCCAGGTCCAACATACGATGTCTCCTCTTCCACAAAAGCCAATTTGAACTTCAAACACAATTCTATCCGAGGATTCTGCAACACCACAACGTTGGGACAAAACAGTGGAATGCAAGAAGAAGATAGCAACAACTTTAGAAAAATAAACCGTCATCCCTTTGCGAGGAGAAATGAGCTGAATGAAGGAAGTTGTGGCTTGTCATAACTTCATTCGGGGCAGAGGCTGCCTCCACAAAGTCTTTGTGGCCGGTCGCAATCTTAAGGACCGATCCGGATGCTCAGATGCGACGCTGTTGTTTTTCAAAGAAACCGTATGCCGCGCTGATGGTTAGAACTTGGAAAAAAGATCAAATTTTGAAAAAACCGGTCTGAAGGTGCTTTTCGGTCTCTTGAATACCGTAATATTGCTTCATTTATGCATAGTATTTTTTTCATTCAATTGGCGCGAATGTTTTATTGTTTCTTCTTTTACGATGAAACCGAAATTTTAAAAATTTACCAATTTGACATTTTGTCCATGCCTTTATCAATTCTGAGTTTCGTAATTGAAAATTTGTTAAATTTTCCAAATAAATCTTTTTTCCACTCCCGAAGCAAAAACATTTCAAAATTTTGTTCAAATTTCACAAAAAATCCTTTTTTCCAGGTCCCGAAGCAAAAACATTTCAAAATTTTGTTCAAATTTCACAAAAAATCCTTTTTTCCAGGTCCCGAAGCAAAAACATTTCAAAATTTTGTTCAAATTTCACAAGATAACCTTTTTTCCATGTCCCGAAACAAAAACATTTCAAAATTTTATTCAAATTTCACAAAAAATTCTTTTTTTTGCAAGTCCCGAAGCGAAAACATTTCAAAAATTTTTTTTTCTTTTTTTTTTTTGGTAAAAGGTAACCTCTAAGTTACCTATCCGATGGGTACCCTATTCTCGAAGCAACCTATCCTCCCCAAATCTGTAGCTTCTTCGCTCACGGAACATCTGTTCAGCAGCGGCAAACAGGCGTTTGACATAATCGGCGAAACGATCATTTATGTACACAAAATGTTTGTCTTTATTCGTCGTAAATCAAAGTAAAAGGCGTTAAAAATGGAGAGATTGCGTCGTGGCCTCGCATTGTTCCTCTGTTGATTCAACCAGAGCGAGGGGATTGCTATGAATCACCAAGCAGCTGATTTCCAGATTCATTTCGTTTAATCGAGCTGTTGAGATCGAAAATGGCATTAGAGCCAGTCAATCTTGGCCATAAAGTAAGTTTTTTACTACAATAATGCGGCTAAATCTTTGAACAATGAATCTCAGTGGGAAAATAATTGTTTATAAGGTTTCGTTGTACAGAGGTCTCCTTTCGCCTCTAAAATTGGCTTTTGGAATTTCATGAGAGGTGTTGTTAAACAGAGTCTTAATGTACAAACCTCTGTACAACAACTCACAAAAGAACAAGAAAAATTTGTTATACATAGACTTCGCTCTATAGAGACATATTTGGCAATTAAAATTGACGTTTGAGAGTATTGATATGGTTGGTTATAGAGAGGTTTCGTCCTAGTACAAAAGTTCGTTGTAGAGAGATCTTAACGTGCAAACCTCTGTACAACAAATCGCAGGGGTTAAAAAAAGAAATTTTGTTCTAGAGGGGTTTTCATTACATAGAAGTTTACCTGGCCCTATATTGTTTGTTATATAGAGGTTTGGTCCTAGTACAAGGGTTCGTTGAATAGAGGTCTCTGTTGAACGATGGTTGCAAACCCTTATACAACGAATGGGCCAAAAAAAAGGAAATTTGTTATAGAGAGGTTTTGTTGTACAGAGATGCCACAGTAATTTTTTGTAGGTTTGGACACGAATCATTGGCTATTTGGACGACACAACTCTACTAAACTTTATAACAGTCCACAAAAGCCTCTCTCCCTTGGCAATTGAGGTCCTTTACAAACGACGATGCTGTCGAAATCAAATCTACCGACTTCCGGGTGAGACTTGGAAAGAGGCGTTTGCAGAGTGAGTCATGATTTTTATTGCTGTGAAACTCTTCACAACGAATTTCAAGATACGAAAAAGACGTATGTAACTTATTTAAATGGCCTTTTTTACGCTATTTGTCCCACCATTTTGCTGCTTTTCACACAGTGCAACCTCGAAAAAATGGTCAAAGTCCACGCACTTTATGAAAAAAGTAGGATCAATCTGTCGTGAAAATAATGTGGATTCCTCGCGCCTTGCAATTGTCCATTTTTCGATGCGACAAAGTGCTCATTATTTTCCCGACAGACAAAAAAAAAAGCGACTACATTTTTGGTCGATTGTAATGCATACATTTTTTCCGCATTTTCAGCCTTGCAAATCGAGTGTTCTGGAACAAATGGGAGCCCATGAAGAATGTAATTTTTTGTGCTGAAAGGAACTGTGAGCGGTTTGGTTTTGTTGGCGAAAATGATGTCATCGTCACTTCGTTTGACCTCTTGGAGAAATTTGTTCGCCACTTCAAACTGGAGCACTCGGCACCGGAGTTGGCGGGCAAAAAAGTTTGGCTAATCCGACATGGCGAACTACTCGTTGTCTGGGTAAGGTAAACAGAAAATCCCTTGTAAACATAGCTCAGTGCTGCTGTTTTAATGAAAGTTGGCAAATTTTAGAAATGAAGCGTTTGAGGTGCGACGCACGTCAAACTGAGGAGTCCGGTGGCCGGAATAGACTCTTCGCTATAGGTTTTTTACACTTCGTCTTGATTTCGCAGAGAAAGAGAGAAAAAAGACACGCAAAAACATACTCTCTCGCCCCAAAAATTCCCCATTTCTTCCCCGACAAAACGTTTTTTCGCGTCTTTTTTGGCAAATTGCCAATCCATTCACCGGACTGTTTTAGCTTATCTCAGTTTGACGTGCGACGCTCAGATAGACATGGCAATTTAAAAGCATATATTTACTCTCAGTCTGCAGGGATTGTTCGTTATCTGTTTGTCGGGAAAATAATTCGGATTTTCTGATTTTATTTTGTCGGGAAAGTAATGTGGATTTTCCGATATCAGTCTGTAGGGAAAATAACGTGGATTTTCCGACATCGGTCTGTCGGGAAAGTAATGTGGATTTCCGATATTAGGTTGTCGGGAAAATAATGTGGATTAGCCCGCATCAGTCTGTCGTGGAAAAATATGGTTTTTCTGATATTATCAGTCCGTATTGAAAATAATGTCTATAGACAACTTCTTAAAAGAGATCCCAGCAGTAAATTTTTAGCTTGCTGGTACTTTCAAAAAGTGCATATACATTTGTTGCGGCACTGTGCACAAAAACAGTCCATTTTGCAGCATTTAGCAAGCTTTGAGCGTCGCATTTTGAGCACTTCTAAGAAGTCATTAAATTTCAGCTTCCCCCTCTCCATACCATTAAAATATACGAGGTGAACACCACCCAACTCATCCACTCGCAGACCTTCACCAAGCCCCAAACCCCCGTCAACGGCTGTCTTTTGTACGACGAACGCTGCAAACTGTTCAACGCGTACGATCAGAGCGTCCATTATGCAGACGTAAACGGCGACATTCAGAAGGTCTTCTACAAAGAGAACGGAGAGCATCTGATATTTTATCACGACGGCGGCGCTTTGAGGGTTTATAACTGTGCCACGGAGAAGATGCGAGAGGAAATTTCAACGCAAGATTCTCAGTGTCAACTGCTCAAGGGGACCAATGAAGTGATGACAATTCATGGGAGATATGGTAAGTATTCTTGGGCTGGCAAGGGAGGTTCTCCAACTTCGACACTGAGATTTTGGTGAAACTTGGCATGAATTTAGATTAATTTTTTCTACGATATATGCGAGATTCCTAGCTGGCGCTTTCCAGAAACGACCGAGATTTTATAGCCTAAAGTTTCAAAAAATTTGACATTTTTTTTGCGAATTTTGAATTTTGGCATGAAAAATTTCATGCCTGTTTCTACCGTAGAGGTGATTTTTTTGGAAAAAAAATCAATTTTTTCCGCACGAAAGATACGGCCAAAAGGACGTTTCCTCTCTGTCCGCTCTCCGCGTTTTGCATGCTCTTTAAACCCCAAAGACCATTGAATATCTCGGCTCTCCCAGAAAAGTCCGAGCTAAAGCTTTCAGGCTTTGATATGTGGCTCGTGTACGAGATGTGTGCAAAGTTTGAAGAAAATCTGAGTGTTGCACTTGATGTACTTTTCTTATCAATTTTGATGGACCAAAAATGCCGGCTCGACCCGCTTTGAATTCTCTTCGGCCCGGCTAGAGAGTTTTTTAATCAATCTGCCACAAAAATAACGATGACAATGTTGCTGCGCCGATTGTGTCGCCGAAGTGAAAAGCAATTTGATTTTACCGCGACACCATTCATTTTCTCAGCAGCGATGAGATTTTTGTCGCGACAAAATGCTCATTATTTTCCCAACAGACTCATTGAAAAAATTAATCTGATCGCTGAGATCTCTGCACCAACGGAATAGTTTTTTTTTCAGGTTTTCGAGACGACAGATCGCACAAGAAAGCGGAAATTTATGACGTCAGAAGTGGAAGCGATCCGGTCTGCTTCATCGATCTGCCTCGGCGCTCATCGATTCTGGAAGCTTGCCCTGGCCTTCTTGTGAAAGTCCCAGGTCCTAGGGAAGTGGTAGGTGATGTGTTGAACGGGCTTTACCGTCATAATCCAAATCAAAGAGTCCTGTAGAAGGGCTCTATTTAACAGAATTTCATTTTGGCCAGAATTGACTCTTATGGCACTTGTCCGTTGTAGAGGGGTTTTGTCCTATGGGAGTTTGTTTTACAGAGGTTTCACTGTCTGTATGTGTTTTCACATGCTTGTACAGTAGGGGACCTGATCCAGTGGCAAAAAACGTACCATTTTGCATCGGGGAAGTATTAAAAATGTAGCAAAATGGTTCCCTCTGCAAGTGAAAAAACTTCGTGTTGAAGTCCCTCCCTCACAAAAGAGCGCGTTTTTGAAATCTGAGTTTTTTCACTTGGAGAGGGAAGCATTTTGCCACATTTTTGATACTTCCCGGATGCAAAGTGGCAAAAGTGCAGGCTACAGTAGGGGACCTGGTCCAGTAGCATAAAACGTACCATGTCGCATACGGGAAGTATCCAAAAATGTAGCAAAATGCTTCCCTCTGCAAGTGAAAAAATTCCGATTTCAAAATCCCGCCTGCTCCTTTTTGTGAGGAAAAATGGCGCGCCCTTCAAACCCAAGTTTTGTCGCTTGGAGAGGGAAACATTTTGCCACGTTTTTTATACTTCCCGGATGCAAAATGGTACGTTTTTTTGTCACTGGATCAGGTCCCCCACTGTAAATAGCATGTCTTTTTTGCAGCAATCGACACGTGAGTATATGATGTATTCCTCATGGCCGACAGGAAAATGGGCTCGAGTCCTAAAACCAATCGACCAAATTTACGATGGCCCACCCGGAACCTGGCTAAAGTTGGTCGAGGAGTCCGAGAATCTCGTATGGCTCACGGCACTAAGGCCTCATGGAGAGACGCTGAAGACGCAGAAGTTGTTGTACTTTGAGGTTTTCAGGGGTGAGTTCTAAAGCCTGAAAACTTTAAAATTTTCTGTAACTTCTGTACAGCAAATACACCAAACTACTAGTACAAATTACAGTATTTTCTGCAATGTATACCGATATTCCAGGAAGAGTAGTCTGCAAAGCGATGGATCGAACTTTATCAACCGAAAGACCTCATTACTTCCACGAATTGTACAGGGAATTGCGAAACACCGTGCGAGAAACTTGAAATTATGGGATCGAAGAAAGCAATATAACACTTGGCTATACCGGATCTCACTTATACGTAGATGTTTTTTAGTAATCATTTTTTAAGACTATCCTGTAAAATTATCGTGCTGTATAAAAATAAAAAATGAAACTCTTGTAAAATTGACAGCGCCACAACTTTCGGGTCAACGACACTTTTTAAAGACTTAAAAGTCGACGATACAAATATGGGTCCAGAAAAAACAAAGTTAGCAATAGCTGGCATCAGAAAAGTGGGCATATCGAAAGTCTTCGTCAAGTCTCCGCCGGGTCTTCGCCACGCGTCCAACGGCTTTTCCAGGTCTCCTAGACACATTCTACAAAATTTTTTTGAATCACCACCAGAGATTGCCACGGCTCCGGAGCCGGCTCTTGGCTCCGGCTCTGAGCGGCTCCGGCTCCGAGCCGGGAGCCGGAGCCAGGCTTCTCAGCGGTCAGAAAAGTAAAAACTTCGTGATCTTTTTGTTGCATACGACTTGGCTGCAAAAACGTTCGTTTTCTGATCTCTGGCACCAATAACATTTATTTTTGAAAAAATATTTAAAAAAAAATTTTTTTTATGAGAGCCGTGATTCGGAGCCGGAGACCTTTTTAAATTTTTTATGGGAGCCGGGAGCCGGAGCCGGAGCTTTAAATTCGGCCTCGGCTCCCGCTCTGGGAGCTAAGAGCCGGAGCCGGGGCCGAAATTTTGACCGTGGCAATCTCTGATCACCACCTGCCTACTTCGCTTAATCGACCAGTTTTTTTGTTGATCCGAACTTTCGTCAACCCGAAAAGTCGGGAGAAAATTCCGGCTTTTTCTTTCAGAAAAATTACCCTAAATTTGTGGTTTTGTTTTGTAAATTTAATAAAGATTTGAGCACCGCCAACACTTCACCTATGAATTTTAGTGCAAAAAACACATGGCAAACACAACTGATGCTTCCAAACCTCCAAGCATGCGCCATAAGTCGGAGCATTCACCGAGCATCCAACGGCTTTTTCAGGCCATATAAGCATATTCCACAACGTTTGTTTGGTTTTCACCAGCCCTACGTCTGCTCTCAATCGATTTCGTGTTAACCTGACAATCGTGAGAATTCGGGACGCGAAGTTGCCGACCGCCCACTCAAAAAAAGTCGCCAATTGAGGACGCCTGTTGTCAATTAATCACCTTTTTTTGTAATGTACACAATGGCCTGAACGGATTACAAAAAATCGCCGTCCTTTTGTCCGCCCGGTTTTTTGGCCACCCATCGAAAGGCCAAAGCAAATTCATTCCGGATCTTTAATGGACACCCGGGGTTTTTCGGATGAATTTATAAGAAAGAAATTGTTTTGTTCTGAGGATTTTATGTACAAAAAATATCTTGTTTAGAGCTTGAAAAACGTGTTAGAACAGCTGGACGGCGAGGATCAGGTCAATATGGGCGTAGTTAATCAAAATATGGACAATTGGACGGCTGAAGAGATCTACAAACAACGATGCCTTCGAAATCAGATCTTCCGATTGCCAAATGAGACTTGGCAACAGGCTTTTGAGCAGTAAAACATAGTTTGCCTGCGATTTCAACTCCTTTTATCGTATAAATTTTACAAAATTCTATTTTTTGCAGACTTGGAAATCGAGTTTTTTGGTCCGAAATTGCGGCGAATGTTAAATTCTGCGGCGACAAAGATACGGAGAAATTCTGCGTGGTTGGGGAGAATGACGTGATTGTCTGTTCGTTTGACAATCCACAGCAACATTACAGTTTCATCGAATTGGACTTTTCCAAGGACGAATTGGAGGGGAAAGAAGTCTACCTGTTGAAGAGGGGAGAACTGGTCAATGTCTGGGTAGGTGAGCGTTTCCCAATTTGGTGGCTAGGAATAATGAAAACAATGTTTACGGCAGCCGAAGGCTTAGTGAATTCGTTGGGGGTTAGGAAAGTCCACCAGGCCCATATTGGCACTAACTATTGAAGTGTACATACAAACGGAGGCTCATCAAATAGCAAGTGTTATCTTTTTAGAAGAAACTATTCTAAATGGCCACTGCGCTTTAAAATAAAAAAGCAGTTTGATTTTGCCGCGATGCAATTAATTTTCTCGGCGGTGATGCGATTTTCGATGCGACAGAGCGATAGCTAACATTCAGAGCTTTAATTTTTCGGCCATCGTCTCTTCAAAGTCTCTATTTCAGCTCCCAAAGATCCAAACCATAAACTCCTACGACGTCGCCACATCCAAGCGAATTTTCTCACAAAAATTCTCAAACAAGTGTTATGTGGCGGACGGATCAGTATACGATATACGGGCCCAACAGTTATTCAACGGGTATAACCAAGAGATTCTCAACGTTCGAACGGAGGCCACGCTAAAATGTGTTCGCTACGATCCGGACGGGCACCACTTCTTCAGCTTCCTGTCTCAACAAGGCGCCTACACGTTGTTCAATTCGGGAGAGGAGTTGTTCCGACAGCGGCTGTACAACGCGTCAGAGTTTGCGGTCCTCCGAGACCTCGATTTTGTGCTGATTTTAAGGCCGAATGGTGAGTGAAAAGAAGTTGAAAATGCGGAGTAAAGATTGGAATAGAGCATAACGAACGCATTGATTTTTAGATGAGGAAGATTGCACTGTCGCGCAGCCGACATCACCGCCAAAAAGCCTTGAGATCTACGACGCACGCTTTAAGACCACTCCAATCCGCAGTTTTGATCTTCCAAGTGCCGAGAACTTCCTCATCGTTGGCCAAGAAGTGATTATAACTTCGCCTATTGCGGAACGAGTGGTAAGCATTACATACTACATATAACATATGCTAATATATATTCAGTGGCGGACCTGATCCAGTGGCAAAAAAGGTACCATTTTGCATCTGGGAAGTATCAAAAAATGTGGCAAAATACCTCCTTATCCAAGTGAAAAAACTTCGATTTCAAAAGCCCACTCTTTTTGTGAGGAAGAGGGCCCTTCAAAACCGAGTTTTTCAATAGGATAAGGAGGTATTTTGCCACATTTTTTGATACTTCCCGAATGCAAAATGGCAGCTTTTTGTCGCTGGATCAGGTCCATCACTGTAATATTATACTATCTATATTTTTCTGAAAATCAAATTTCTGTATATCAGTCTGTCGGGAAAATAATGAGCATAATGTCGCTATGCCCATCGTGTCGCTGAAGTGAAACGCAATTTAATTTTGCTGTGATGCAATTCGTTTTCTCGACGGCGATTCGATTTTCGATGCGACAGCGCGCTCATTATTTTCCCGACAGACTCTCAGACCACAGCAAGAGAGCGACGAGTATGGAATCTACACCTACTCCGAAGGCCAGTGGACCAAGAGTCTCCAATTTTTCGGAAGCCTTTACTCGAATCCGAAGGGAACTTTGAAAAAATTGGTCAAAGAATCCGAGAATCTGATGTGGGTCTTGGATCCCATGGGAACCGCCGAATACACCGCCACTTGGAGGGTTTTGTTTGTGGAGAAATCTGAAGGTAAGAGAGGAAAGAACAGGATTTGGCTCTCCTTTTTTTACTGCATAGTATTATCAGTTTGTCGGGAAAATAATGAGTGAAATTTCGATGCGCAAATTTCTACGATGAATTGAAAAGCAATTTGATTTTGCCGCGACACAATTCATTTTCTCGGCGGCGATTTTCGATGCGACATTGTGCTCATTATTTTCCCTACAGATTGATGTCAGTAAAAAAGGATAATCAGTCTGCCGGGAAAATAATGTGGATAAAAGTAAATCAGTCTGTCGGGAAAGTAACGTCATTTATCGCTTAGCGACGGCTAGCCGCAACTGGCGATTTGGTGCGCGACTGCGACGAGGCGGGATTTTTTTGCGACAAATCCACATTATTTTCCCATTTTCCCCGACAGACTGATAATATTAGTCTTTCTAGAAACTACGTAGACTTTTTGACTTTTCGTCGCAACGCTTTTTTTCATTTTTGCTTGTTTTCAGGGCAGCTAACATGCCGCCAGTTCAACCGTAGCAGCCCTGAGGAGCCCAGTTTCTACAGCAATCTTTACAAAGAGTTGCAAGAAAAGAACCTTGCAAAATCGGAGGTCTCCGAAGAAATGGAGACCTAGCGACTTCCTATATCCTAAACTATCATCAAAACTGCCAAAAAAGCTTTTCAGATTCATTTTTGTATCTTTTATTTTTGAGTATGAAGTGGCTGTATTCAGTTTTTTTATAATATTTTATATCTAGATATTATCCTATATTTAACTTATCACTTTTTTTATATTATCCGTTAAATTTAAATAAACCACCGTGCTGTGCTTAATGTAATGTAGTAATTGTATATGTGCAATTTCTTGCTTCGTGCAACAATAAGCGATTTTTTTGGGTGCCCCTCACGCTCTGGGAGTTTCAAAATTCGTTTTTTTACTCACAGTTAAAAACTTGCACAATTTAAAAAAAGGAATTCGTTTATTCTTCAAATCTCCCATTTCCCAATTCTAATGGGTCCAGGTGGGCTGTCGATGGCAGCTGAATCGGAAATTCTTAACCTCATAATGTAGATCGGAACGGCGGGCAAAAGTACAATGAACAGAGCTCCAACGCCAACAACAATCCTAAAAATAAAAAAAAACGTAAAATTCAAAAATCTAAACCCGAAAAAAGCCTATTTTTATATTTCGCACTGTGCAATAAAAAGGAAATTTTTTGTCGCACAACGCACTGTGCATTCTCGACAAAAAATCTTTTTCGCACTGTGCATCAAAAGTGCAAAAAGTCTTGCACAGTGCAGTAAAAAGGGTAAAAGTTCCTTATTCTGGCCACAACTTACAACTTTGCGGAAACTGGTCGGAATTAGCCCAAATTTAGCGTGCACGCTCAATTCATCGTTGTCAAAGCCCGGACAGTGGATTTAGTTAGTGAGGTACCTTCTTTTTTACGTACCACCTTATAAACCTTACCCTTCAAAAACGGCTGCAGCCTGTGATTTTACACTTTATACGATGAAACATGTCCGGAACTCAACTTATTGCCTCCGTATGGAACTAAATGAGTCGTCACAGCCTTCGTAGGTACCCTTAGAACTATAGAGCTATTATAGTAATTCAGTTCCAGCTAGGTCGAAGCGTTTTTTCCTAACTTTAGTGCCCAAGCTTGGGCGCAGTTCGCGGAGTTTCTTTGTTGTGGCCAAAATAAGGAACTTTTCCGTAAAGAGAAAAACTTTTTGCCGCACAGTGCATTAGCGACAAAAAAATTTTAATTTTTGTAAAAAATTCGCACCGTGCGACAAGAGTCAAAGGAGTTTTGCACTGTGCAGTAAAAATTAAAAAAAATTTTTTGTCGCACAGTGCATTCGCGACAAAATGTTTCCACGCACTGTGCAAACAATAAAAATCAAAAAAAAAATTTGCACAGTGCAAATCAATAATTCTCTTTACTGCACAGTAAAAAATCCAAAAAGAAAATTTTTTTACCGAAAATAGGTTCCAAAGTTCCCGTGTATAACTTGCGGTCGTTGTGGCATATACCATTCGTAGCCTCCCAGGGGATTGTAAATCAACTTTTGTTCCTGTCCGTCCCTTCTCAGCTGAAAAATAAAATAAAAGACTTTTTGAGTGACTTCCAACGCTAACTTACCCAAATCAGCGCTTCAAAAGTCTGGTTTCGATCTTTGTTAAAGACTAGGATATTGTAGTAGTCCTGAAAGTTGCAAGAATAAATGTGTAAAAACGGAAAAAAATCGAAAAATTCTAACAAGGAAAGTATTTCGGGAAAAGTTCCTTATTTTGGCCACAACAAAGGTACTCTGCGAACTGCGCCCAAGCTTGGGCACTAAAGCTAGGAAAAGACGCTTCGACCTAGTTGCCACTGAATTACTATAATAGCTCTATAGTTTTAGGGGTACCTACGAAGGCTGTGACGACTCATTTAGTTCCATACGGAGTCAATAAGTTTAGTTCCGGACATGTTTCACCGTATAAAGTGTAAAATCACAGGCAGCAGCCGTTTTTGAAGGGTAAGGTGGTACTGAAAAAAGAAGGTACCTCACCAACTAAATCCACTGTCCGGGCATTGACAACGATGAATTGAGCGTGCACGCTAAATTTGGGCTAATTTCGACCAGTTTCCGCAAAGTTATAAGTTGTGGCCAAAATAAGGAACTTTTATCATTTTTTTTATACTCCCGAAATAAAAATCTTAAAAATCAGCATTTTTTTAAAGATTTTTTTTTTAATTTTTTTTTTTTTTTGCAACCTAAAGCCCCCAAATATTGTTCAAATATCCTCCAAAAAACGTGCTAATCTCCTACCCTGGAATTGCATTCCTTCAGCTGTTCCCCATCGATTGTTGTCACTAATGATGAGCCGTTCTCTATTTCCATTGAAATATGGCAACCTTTTCCCCAAATCATCTTCAATTCAATTTTCTCCACACTCCAAACAACAATATGCAACGTCTCAGCGGCGTCGATTTTGAGGGCATCAATGGAGATTGCGGACTTCATGTTTGAAGGGCTGCCAGTGGCTGCGTGATAACTAACAAGGGAAGTACTTGAAGTGTGACGCTCAGATTTTGATGAAACTTGGCACAAATTTAGAATAATTTTTTCTAAGATATATGCGGGAATCCTAGCTCGCGCTTTGCAGAAACAACCGAGATTTTTAGATCGAAAGTCGGCGAAAATTTGGGACTTTTTGCCGAATTTCGGCACGAAAAGTTTCATGCCTATTTCAACCGTAAAGAATAATGTTTCTACAAAAAATCAAATTTTTCCGCACGAAACTGCCAAAGTTATGGCCAAAAAGGTGTTTTCTCTCTGACCGCTCTCCACGTTGAGCGTGCTCTCTCGGCGGCAAAAATCGTTCAATATCTCGGCGGCGCCCGCAAAGCGCGAGCTAAAACTTTCAGGAATTGATATTTAGTCCATACCCGATGTGTGTGCAAAATTTAAAGAAAATCTGAGCGTCACACTTGAAGTACTTCCCCTGTAAATAAAAACAAGTCGTTTTTTTTTTGTTTTTTTTTCGATTTTTCTTTAATTTTTACATATATAGTAAAAATAGCTAAAACTGTTCATAAACTTACGTCACATATTCGCAGAGAGGCGTCAATTTCTGCCGCTGAAACAAAAAGAATTGAAAAAAATAAAGAAAGCCGTATTTTACAGCAAAACAATAGTTTTTTTCTGAAATTTCCCACGAAAATCAAGTCCAAGTCAAAGCTCGGGCGCAGCTTGGAAAAAATTTTTTTTGCGAATTGGTGAGCAAATAAAGTTCTACCGGTTTTGTAGGGTTAGCAATAGTCTCAAAAGCAGTAAAAATTCCAAAAAACTAGTTAAAAATCGAGAATCAAGTCAAAGCTAGGGCGCAGTTAGGAAAAAATTATTTTTTGGAAATCGGTCGGAAAATGAAGTTCTACGGGTTTTCTGAGCCCGGAAAAGATGTCAGAAGCCACTAAAACTCCGATAACCAACCACAAATTGAGATCTAGGTGAAATCTCGGGCGCAGCTTGGAAAAAGTTATTTTTTTGTGATCGGTCAGAAAATAAAGTTCTACCGGTTTCTCGGTATAGGAAAAAGTGTGAGAAGGCGTGAAAAATTCCAAGGACTACTTGAAAATCAAGATCCAAGTCAAAGCTAGGGCGCAGTTCGGAAAAATTATTTTTCTGGAAATCGGTTAGAAAATGTAGTCTAAGAAATTTTGCGGATTAGGCAAAAGTCTCAGAAAGGAAAAATTAGCTGAAAATTGAGATTTAAGTGAAGGCTCGGGCGCAACCTGGAGAAATTAGTTTTCGGAATCGGTCTGAAAATGAAGTTCAACTGATTTTCTGGGCTAGAAAAACGCTCAAAAAGCATTAAAATTGCAAGGAATAGCTAAGCATCGAAAGACAAGGGAAAGCTCGGGCGCAGCTCGGAAAAATAATTTTCTTTGAAAATGGCGATTTTACTGCTCTTTTTTTGAACAGAATAATGCCCAAAAGGCATAACTTCAAATCGTTGGATAATAATTGGGTTCAAGGATCGGGCGCAGCTCGAAAAACCGACTTATTATACTTACCTCTCCAATAAGATTATTTGGAACTGGATCCATATTGTCCACTGCCGTCCCAAATGCAGGCTGGCATTTGGCACGGAATTGCTGAGTATAATTAATTCCATAGCTAAAATACGGCGGCTTTAAGTCAGTTATAAAATTGCGCAGCACCCACTTTCTCACAAACACATCCGTAATCCGCGTTTGTTGTTCTATCGACACTTCCGACGGCTGCATAATGCATTCTACTGTTACAGCCAGAAATAAGAGAAATCCGGCCGAAAACAACATGTGAAAAATTGGGAAATGAATTTATTTTTTGAATATTTTTGATTTTTTGAAAATAAAATTTTTTTTTTTTTTTTTTTTTGATTTTTTTTGTCGTTCAAAGGTTTGTTTGAAGACTCTAGATGATTTTAGAAAGAAAATTTTAAAAATACACCTCAAAAATCTCAAATTTGTCAAAAAAATTTTATTTTAAAAAAACTTCCATTTTCTGGCCCCGGCGAAAAGAAGGTCTTGCAGCTTGCGCCCGAACAATTCCGATTGCATGGAATATCAGGCTTTAGTTTAGGCTTAGCCTTAGGCCTAGTTTAGCCCTTAGGCTGTTTCTTATTTTTATTCGCAGTCTGCAGGGAAACCAGGACGCAAGTTGCAAAGCGCCGGGCCAGAAAAAGGAAGTTTCACTTTTTATTTGTATTTTTGTCAGTAAAAAACGTCTCCTTAGTTTTATTTTAGGTAAAAGTTCCTTATTTTGGCCACAACTTATAACTTTGCGGAAACTGGTCTGAATTAGCCCAAATTTTATTTTTTTAAATTTTCTCGTATTTTTATTTTATTTTCATATAAAATGAAAACTTTTATTTGTTTTATTTACCATTTTTCTAATAAAAAATGAGTCACAGAAAAATAAAAAGCGTTCAACCCCTAAACTACAAATGTCCGAGCAAGAGGAGCACAAAGACCCAACCCTTTCGTCATGTCTTTTCCACGAGAAAAATAAGGGGGATTTTCTCGCATTTTTCTCTAAAAAAAACTGAAATATTTTGTTGCTATTTGATGGAGGAAAGATTTAAATGTTTGGATTACTTCGTGAGTAAAATTATTAAAAATTTGATTTAAATTTTTTTTTTATTTTCTAACCCTTTTAAAGCTTTTTTAATCAAAAAAAAATGAAAAATTTTTTTGGATTTAAAAATCTCAAAAAAAAAAAAAAAAAAAAAAAATTTAATTTTATTTGTAAAATACGATGACCTGTTCCATGATTTTAATTTTTCAGATCTGGAAGCGAATTTTTGACGACTGCGATTACGAAACCTTGGTAAATGTGGGGCTAACCAATTTATTTTTCACTAAACTGGTGGCCGAGCGGGTATATAAACACAGATGTGTCAAAAATCAAGTGTATCGATTGCGTGGAGAGACCTGGAAAGAGGCTTTCAAAGAGTAAGTTCAAAAAATGGAACTTCGATTTATAAATGTTTTCTTAAAAAATTTGCCGAAATTTTGAAAAAGATGCCAAAATAAAAATTGGATTTTTTGCAATTTTTGAAAAATATACTATTAATTTCAGTCAAACATGATTGCGTGAGTGATAAAAACAAACAAAAAATTATATGTCTATGCGCTTTATGAAAATACTATCGGTCTGTCGGGAAAATAATGAAAAAAAATCCACATTATTTTCCCAACAAAATAATATCGGAAAATCCACGCTATTTTTTAGACCAACTAATACCAGAAAATCCACATTATTTTCCCGACAAAATAATATCGGACAATCCACATTATTTTCCCAACAAACTAATAGCAGTACGGTTTCGAGACGGGAAATTTTTCGGCGACAAATCCACATTATTTTCCCGACAGTCCGATAAAAAAATCCACATTATTTTCCCGACAAAATAATATCGGAAAATACACACTATTTTCCCGACAGACTGATAAAAGAAAATCCACATTATTTTCCCGACAAACTAATAGCAGTACGGTTTCGAGACGGGAAATTTTTCGGCGACAAATCCACATTATTTTCCCGACAGACCTTTTTTGACGAGGCAAAACATTTTGCTGCGACAACCAACCATTATTTTCTCGACAGAGTAATGTCAGCAAATCCACATTATTTTCCCGACAAAATAATATCGGAAAATCCACGTTATTTTCCCGACAGACTGATGAAAGAAAATCCACATTATTTTTCCGACAAAATAATATCGGAAAATCCACATTATTTTCCCGACAGACTGATAAAACAGAATTCACATTATTTTCTCGACAGACTGATAAAAGAAAATCCACATTATTTCCCCGACAGACCGCTAACATCCCTGTCCTTTCAGCCTTCCAAATCGGGTCACCTGGGAGGACGATGACATGTATTCTCGAGTTCAATTTTGCAGAGAAGATGGGACAGATCGCTTTTTATACGTCGGCGATGATCATGTGGTTGTGACCAGTTTCGACAAGCCAATGAAGTTTATCAGATTTCTCAGCATGAAGTCTCATCCGCGAAGGAATTGGGCCGTTTCATTGATCAAGAAGGGAGAGCTGATTGTTTCTTGCGTAAGTGTTGGAAAAGAAATCGATTTTTATTATGATTGCGATCTTCTTAGTTCTTCTATTGGTACGGCCCAAAGACGGTTCAAGTTTACTCTGTAAAAGCCGGGAAATATATTTTCACAAAGAGGTTCTCTTGGTATGTCTCGTGCGCAAATGGTGCGGCATACGACAAGGACGCCGGAGTTTTGTTCAACGGCTACGATCAATCGCTAACCGACGTCGACATCGATGGCGATTTGAAGGACGCGGTTTATGGCCAACACCAACATCTTTTCTATTTCAAAGGGCCAAAAGTCGAGCTCTTAGAGTACAACGCCATGAGTAGCGAGATTCAACGGAGAATCGAGCTGGGCGTGGGATTTGCGACGCTGGATTGGTCGAAATATTTGGTTGTTCATAGTTATGGGCGACTTCAGGCGAGGGAAGATGGTGAAGATCGGGGTAAGCGGCTTGGTAAGACGTACTAAGATACCGAAAGAAGGAAGGATTCGAAAAAGGATCAAACCGAAGCCGTGCTGTTAGAATGTCGGGAAAATAATGCGGATTCTCCGATATCAGTCCGTCTGGAAAATATTGTGGACTTTCCGATATTAGTTTGTCGGGAAAATAATGTGTTTTTGTAGATATCAGTCTGTCGGAAAAATAATGTGGACTTTCCAATATCAGTCTGTCGGGAAAATAATGTGGATTTTCAGATATTAGTTTGTCGGGAAAATAATGTGTTTTTGTAGATATCAGTCTGTCGGAAAAATAATGTGGACTTTCCAATATCAGTTTGTCGGGAAAATAATGTGGATTTTCAAATATTAGTTTGTCTGGAAAATAATGTGTTTTTGTAGATATCAGTCTGTCGGAAAAATAATGTGGACTTTCCAATATCAGTCTGTCGGGAAAATAACGTGAATTTTCCGATATCAGCCTGTCGAGAAACTAATGTGGATTTTCCGATATCAGTTTGTCGGGAAAATAATATGGATTTGTAACAGCAAAATATCTCACCTCGTCACCGTCTGCACCAAATCGTCAGCGGTGGCTAGCCCTCGCAAAGCGATGATGGGCGATTCCAAATTGCGAGAGATCCACATTATTTTCCCGACAGACTGATTTCGGCGAATCCACGTTATTTTCCCGACAGACTGATATCGTAAATCCACATTATTTTTCCGACAGATTGATTTCGGCAAATCCACACTATTTTCCCGACAGGCCGATAGTACTATATTCACTGTGCGTTTGCAATAAAAGGCACATAAAGTCTACGAACTTTATGAAAATACTGTTGCAGTAAGGACTCCATTATCTACAAATTTCAGCCAGCAAGATGAAAAAGGAAGTCCTGGAGATCTACGAAACCAACAGCTCCGTGCCCGCTCTCACCATCGACCTTCCACCATCCCGGTGGTTCATGGAAGTGTGCCCTGGCGTTGTAGCGCGATTTCCAAAGTTCAAGGACGAGGTAGGCCGAAGGAAATGTCTAATATATATATTATCAGTTTGTCGGGAAAATAATGATCACTCTTTCAGAACGATAACTACGCCTTGTTCACTCGAAATCTTCAAGGCCATTGGAGCCCGCTTTCAAAGCCTTTCAAGGAGGTCTACAGCGGACGAAAAGGGCTGTTCCGAAAGGCGCGAGCAGCAGCGAACAACCTCGTCTGGGTTGTGGATCCTCTCGAACGGCCGAAGCCGTTTCTCACCTGGGATCTGGTCTATTTCGAGAATTTGAATGGCAAGTTTTGCACATAAGCCTGTCGGGAAAATAATGTGCATATTCAGATATAAGCTTGTCGGGAAAATAATGTGGACTTTCCGATATCCGTTTGTCGGGAAAATAATGTGGATTTCCGTTACCAGTCTGTCGAGAAAATAATGTGGATTTCTGATATCAGTCCGTCGGGAAAATAACGTGGATTTTTCGAACATCAGTTTGTCGGGAAAATAATGTAGATTTTCCAATATTAGTCTGTCGGGAAAATAATGTTGATTTCCGAGTATCAGTTTGTCGGGAAAATAACGTGGATTTGTCGCTGCGAAAAAAAATTTGTGTCGCCTCGTCGCTGTCGCTCACTAAATCTCCAGCCGCGGCTAGCCGTTGCAAAGAAATGATGGACGACTCCTAGGCCCGACAAATCCACATTATTTTTCCGACAGACTGATATCGGTGAATCCATATTATTTTCCCGACAGACTGAGATCGGAAAATCCACATTATTTTCCCGACAGACTGATATCGGAAAATCCACATTATTTTCCCGACAGACTGACATCTACAAAAACACATTATTTTTCCGACAGACTGATATCGGAAAATCCACATTATTTTCCGGACAGACTGATAGCTAAAATTTGTCCGTTTTATACAACACATTTTTATATCTAAATATTAGGTTGATACAAAAGTTTTTACACATTTTTTTGAGACACTTCAAAATAAAATTCCTAGAGCCTGATTGAATGTACGTTAAAACTGAAAGCATAGATGTATGGGGCAGAACATTGCAAAATTTTTGATTCGTGGCATTTTATTTTCTACAAGCTTCCTTTCAGAATATTTCAAAAATACTAAAAATTTCCCCGTTTGTGTCATCGTGAATATCCTGGGCCCTAGCAATTTTCCAGCCCACTAGAAAGTCTCGGGTTTTGGGTTATTCGTACTGGGGATGGCTGTAGTTTCTTCTGAATTTATTGCTCTACTTATATCTACACTGACGTTTTTTGTAGCATCCCATAAAGTTGGCCGGAGAGCCGAGCTATCGATCAAAAGCAGATTTTTAAAAATTTTTTGAAAGGAGTTAGATTTTTTTGACTCGGCTGCCATTCAGGTTGTACAAAGACAGTATGCTGATGATACATTCAAAAAGTCACCAACTGAAATTGCCTTATAAGGTAGAAAAGTAGCATAAACTGCACTTTTAGGCCAATTTTTGTAATTTTTTTAATGTTATTTCAAGAGGACCTTCAGCTTAGCGCATCTAGCAACTGATAGTGTATGTCAAGTAGGATCAATTATTTATTAAATAACTAGGATACCGGGCGAGAGTAATGAACAGAAAACGTTTTTGTAAAAATCCCCTAAATTACGTAAAATATTGGTAGATTAAAAAGATTCGATTTTTCTGCCGGATAGCTAAAGCTAGCGCGAATGTTTAGCATTGGCGTGTAGTGCTACTCATACACTACAATAACAGAAAGCGTTATCACTTAGTGCTTCTAATAGCTGCGTCTACAGGGTCTACTTTTGCCAGACCCTAATTTTTGATTTTTCGCACTAAAAATTTTTCGACTAGCCCTATAGCAAATTGTCCTCGATGCCATAGAGATTACATACAGGCATACCATATTCTAGAATATTAAGAAGATACAGCCACTCTAGACGTAACGCCGGCGGTTTACTTTTTCTTCCTTCGAGTAGTTAAGGTTTAACACGGCGCTACTACTACAAATTGCTAAGTTGTAAAAAGTTATTAATCTACTATAATCTACAAACAGCCCTCTTTCTAACAAGATATATATCAGGCCCACTGGCTTTGGTCTAAATTTTTTAAAATTTTTTAAAGACATGTGGAAAAACTTTTGAATCAACCTAATATTTTCAGGTGAACTCTTCTGCAAGCGCTACAAACGAAGTGAGACGCCAAACAAAAATTACTTGAGGCATTTCCATGAGGTCATTATGCGAAAACACAACCGAGACCCAAAAAATCTGTCGGATCGGGTTCCAAATACAGTCTTCTAAATTCATTGTTAATTCATGTTATTTTGTTGATATCAAATAAAAACATATCCACTAAATATGTTTTTAATATATACAGTGACTTACCGTAATCTCGAAAATTTCTCTTTTTCTAATATAATCAAGAAGACAAGTCGGGTCGATAATGTTTGTCTGTCGCGAAAATTAAAGACCAATTTGATGGTTACTCTTGAAGATTGTCGTTCTTTTCAGGCATTATATCTTCTGTAGCCACAATTTTTTACTTGTAAGATATTTTTTTGTCTTGAAGTAACTTTATTTCGAGTATTTTTCCGCCAATAACGCACCAATTTCTATAAAATTTATATCAAATTCACGCTGAGGTACCCCATTTCTTGTCCACCAAATACAGTGCGTCCCAGGTTTTTGGTTCCACCCCATTTTTTGATCATATCTCTGGGGGTTTTTTCTCAAATGCCATGAAATTTTACACAAGTGTTAACCAACCTTTGAGAATAAGCTATGCGAAGTTTCATCCCAATTGGCTTCAGTACTCTGACGTTATGGCGATTTTTTAAAAATTTTGGGTGTCCCAGGTTTTTGGTTCCACGTGGAAATTTGCGAGTTTTTTGGTCCGGTTTTGAACCAACCTGCTCTTAATACTATTCATCTTGTACTCTGTAGTATTAGAAAGGGTATTACATTCGTATCTGCCGTACTTTTTCGACGGAGTGGCCCCACGAGCCATCTCCGACCTTGTACATCAGGTAAACATTGGTTTTAAAAAAAAATTCCGATTAGTGATTTATTTCCCGCAAGAAACAACTTAGAGTACTTGTACCAAATGCAAGATGTAAAACAAACCGATACCGATTAGTTTGAAGTCATTTAATCGACCTTTTAAGTCATTTAAGCTACCGTTTACCTTCTACAGTAACCTTCAAAGGCCCTAAAAACACAGAAAATTACTATCTATGGGAACTTTTTGCCCCGAAAATCAAACTCAGCATGTTAATAAACCTATAGCTGTATCTTGTTTCTTGCTTAAATGTTCTATCTGGCGCAGGTGGTTGGTTCAAGGAAAAATGGGTAAAAGCAAGCCTATTTTGGCCTATTTTTTTGTAGAACGAACTTTACAGACCCGATTTATTCTGAAACGGCTAATGATTGTAGCATTACGTTTTCAGGCACGCTGCGTTCAAATTTGCATGTCAAATTTTGTGATTCTCGTCCATTCCTCTTGGTAATTCGGGGTATAAAGTGTTACGGTAGCTACTTGTTGAAGATGATATGCCAAGAAAATACTCGAGATCATTGATCAAGCTACTTTTCTTCGTTAAGTAGATGCACACTGTATAATTTAACAGCATTGGCAAGTTTAATGCCCAAAAAACAGCCTGACTGACATTTTTTTCAGAACCAATCTTTATCTCATGTACAAGGTCGGAGATGGCTCATAGCGCCACTCCGTCGAAAAAGTACGGCAGATACGAATGTAATACCCTTTCCAATACTACAGAGTACAAGATGAATAGTATTAAGAGCAGGTTGGTTCAAAACCGGACCAAAAAACTCGCAAATTTCCACGTGGAACCAAAAACCTGGGACACCCAAAATTTTTAAAAAATCGCCATAACGTCAGAGTACTGAAGCCAATTGGGATGAAACTTCGCATAGCTTATTCTCAAAGGTTGGTTAACACTTGTGTAAAATTTCATGGCATTTGAGAAAAAACCCCCAGAGATATGATCAAAAGATGGGGTGGAACCAAAAACCTGGGACGCACTGTATAACAGGCCCTAGTTCACGGAGGCTCCCGTATTGACCTTTGATATCTTAATTCCAAATTTTGGAGCCGGAAATCGGTGAAACTTAAAAAAATTTCGCAAAGATTTTCAATTAGAGACATTTTATACGATGAATATTGCCTCGGCTTCAAGTTTATATAAATTTTATAGGAACTGGGGCATATTATTGGCGGAGAAATACGTGAAGTGACGTTGAAAACTCCGTCTCAAACGCTACTGTTTACGGCCGCTAAAATAGCAATTCCATTTTTTCAGAAAAAATGCGTTATTTGTTGATATACGGCGTCATCGTCATTTCGATCTCTGTGAATGGCACTCTGGCCCTAATTTGCCATTGCACGGAGAGATTCAGCAACTACGATGGCTACGGAGAAGTTGTTCCATGCATCAACAACACCTGTGAGGTCGGCAAAAGAGGATGTAAGTGAAGTTATCTTTGCATCGAATTTTTCTTTTCTCATTCTGTCGGGAAAATAATGAGCACAAAGTTGCTCTCGTCGCTGAAATGGAAAGCAATTTTATTTTTCCGCGACACAGTTCATTTTCTCGACGGCGATGCGACTTTTGATGCGACAAAGGGCTGATTATTTTCCCGACAGACTGATAAAATGGCAATTTTTCTGGGAAAATCGATGGACTAATTTCTCAAAAATTTTTTGTCATAACGAATTTTCAACCCAATACAAGCCTTAACAGGCCTAAACAAGCCTACCAGTCGTTCCAGAAAGTGCGCAGACTTTTTTCGACCCTTTTTTTGCACCGCACTGTGCATGTTTTACAAAGCGGTCGAAAATTTTTGCACTTTGCAATTTCTTCTCGCTCCCTTGAGAAAAGCTTGGCGATGCGATGTTCAATTCGGCAATATAAAGCGGGAGATAAAAGATTTTCTGAAAAATTTTAGAAATTTTTCTCTTTTCACTTTTTTTTTAAAAAAAAAGTAAATTTTGAAAAATTTCCGGAAATTTTCGATTTCTGAAAGTCAAAAAACATTCTTACTCCGAACGACAAATTTTTGGAAAGTTGGATCAAAAATGGCTCGCCAAAAGTTCGATCCGGAAAGTTGAAACAAAAATGGCTCGCCCATTTTATCTGGTGAGTAAGACGCCGTTTTTACTCACCAATTTATTTTCTTCAAAACTATTTTTGTGAGCTGCGCCCTTGATCACCCGGGAATTCCCAGATGTGTCAAATTTCTCCCCCGTAAGAAAATTGTTTTTTCCCTCTTTTCGATATTGTGTAGCCTGTTTCTACATGAAGATGGCATGAATACTAGACAAGTAAGTTGTTATTAGTAAGAGCAGGTGTTCTTCTTTCAATTGACACCAAATATTTTCCCTTTATTTCAGGGAAAGGTACAGAATTTCTCCAATTCGTAAAGCTAGTTTTTCACGACCATGGATAATGTAAGTGCGCTTATCTCGTTTTTTGTTCCGTTATTGGAGTAAACAGTTCTAGGCTGGGGCTTCTAGAGGACAACGCACTCTTTAGTTTTGTTATATTCTCCATCTATCAAACGCCATCAATTTCGATTTCTAGGTGTCATGTACAATATCGAAATCCGCTCAGATCTGCCGGATTTTTGCCCGAATGCGTTCTAAACTGAGGTAATAACGTAATAAGGCTCAAATAACGTTGTTACAATAACTTAGTATTTGAAATTTTTACGTCGTTATTCCTCAAAATTGATGGGGTTTCATACATGGAGAATATACATGAGAGTGGGGTCTAGCCTAAACGACGTAGAATCTTGACGTCGTAGCAAAAAACGAGATAATCTCACTTACATTATCCATGGCCATGAAGCTTTACGAATTGGAAAAATTTTGTACCTTTCTCTGAAATAACAGGGAAATTTTTGGTGTCAAATGAAAAACGTACATCTCCTCTTGCTAATGCTAACTTACTTGATCACTTTTCAGCCCATCTTCGTGGAGAACATAGCTTCACAACATCGCACAAACATAAAAATAATTTTTTCGGAAGAGAAAAACTTGACACATCAGGGAAAGACTTGGCGTCAACCTTGCAACCTGCAGTGCGGGGCCAAAAAGAGGAAGAAAGTAAAAACAAGCTCTGACTTTCCTCGACTCCGAGCGGGGAGTAAGATCCGGTCCTACTCCCGACCTTGAAGTCGGAAAGCCAAACAAAAAATTGACTTTTTTTTGCATTTTCCGGAAAGTAAACTGAAAATTTACTTTTTTTTTAAAAAAAAAGTAAAAACAGAAAAATTTTAAAAATTTTTCAGAAAATCTTTTATCTCCCGCTTTATATGCTCATTATTTTCCCGGCAAACTGATACCGGAAATCCACATTATTTTCTCGACAGACTGATACCGGAAACCCACATTATTTTCCCGACAGACCGACATCGAAAATCCACATTATTTTCCCGACAAACAAATATCGAAAAATCCACACTATTTTCCCGACAGACTGATATCAAATGATCCACATTATTTTCCCGACAAAATGATACCGGAAATCCCCATTATTTTCCCGACAGACTGACACCGGAAACCCACATTATTTTCCCGACAAAATGATACCGGAAACCCACATTATTTTCCCGACAGACCGGCATCGGAAATCCACATTATTTTCCCGACAGACTGATACCGGAAATCCACATTACTTTCCCGACAAAATGATACCGAAACCCACATTATTTTCCCGACAGTCTGATATCGGAAAATCCACATTATTTTCCCGACAGACTGATGTTCGAAACTTGCCATTGAAATAATTTGTTTTATTTTTTCAGCTTGCATGATGCTCCGCTCCTTCGAAGACGACAACACCGCCTTCCGCTGCGTCAAAGACTACCGGCTCCGGAACGATTGCGAAGACTTTATGATGTCCTATGCGAAAGGCACTGTGTGCACTTGCAACACCGGCGACGACTGCAACATCCACACCTGGTTTTCGGGACGCGAGACGAATTCGGAGGAGGAGAACGAAATGGAGAATTTCATTCAAGCGACGGTCGAGAAAATGGCTCCATTCAGTTATGGGAATCCGCTTTATGATGGGAATGTGAAGAAGTCGGACTATGAGAACTACGAGAATGCCGTGAAGTTGAGTTTGAAGCGAAAGCTGGTGAAGGAAAAACGAGAGGAAGAGGAAAGAAGGGCATTTTTGGAGAAACTGTATGGTGGTTCGGGGAAAATCAGCGCCTCAAGGCTTGCATTGGTCACTACGTTTATTTTGTTTGTGTTTTGTCTAGTCTGATCTGCAATTTCTTCAATAATAATCGCATTTTACAAGTGATGACTAAATAATTTTATCGTCGAATAAAAAAATTAAATAATTCGCAACATTTTACAAAGCTCTTCCTCCAAAACGATGACAACATCTACCATCTTCGTCGATATCCTCCATCATTTCTTCCTTGTCCGCCTCTTGCCGCAACACCTCCACTCACTTTGTTCCCATTGCCATCACGATCAGGGCAAGGGCAATATTCAGCGTCCTTTCCGGGTGCTCCCGCTGGTCCCGCCGGTCCCTCTTCCCCATCCAAGCCGGCGGCGCCCACAGGCCCAGCGCTTCCTGGAGCGCCCTTCGCGCCAGGCGGGCCTTCCAACGCCGAGTCGCCCTCATCGCCTTGCGGTCCTTCGGGTCCTTGTGGGCCGCTCGGACCCTTAGGGCCTTTTCTTGGGATCGGCCGTTCCGCATCCGTGCCGGGCTGGCCATTCGTCCCGGCTTTTCCGTCCTCTCCCGGAACTCCTTGAGGTCCTTGGTCGCCGGCGAGGCCGGGGAATCCGTCTCGGCCCGGCATTCCAGGATTTCCTTTTGGCCCACGCATTCCTCGAGGGCCGGGCCGTCCGGCCGAGCCGGGCGTGCCGGGACGGCCGGCAGGGCAGTTGAAGCAGCCCTGAGCCGGTTGATTTGAGATGTCGGTGTTGTCCAAACCAGGAAGTCCATCTTTCCCTGGGATTCCGGGAAGACCATTGGGTCCAGCCTCTCCTGGAGGTCCAGCCGGACCTGCAGGGCATTTATTCTCCGCGGCACATTGACATGGCGATTTTGGCGCCGCTGGCTGACTTGGGAAGTTGGATGGATGTTGAGGGCCATTTCCGGAGGGTCCATTGCCTTTCAGGCCCGGTCCAGAGGAGCCAGGCCCTCCCGGAGCGGTCCCATAGCCACCATAGCCCGTATTAGTGCCCGAGGCGCCATACCCACCATAACTTTGACGCCGTTGACGAGTTGTGGGAGTTGCGGCACCCATTTTCAACATCTCATTCCACAAATCGTCGGCCTGAAGTTTGAACTGGTCCAATTCGACGTCCAAAATCCTCCAAGTGGATTGGATTTCGTCATGAATCGCCGACATCGCATACAGACAGCATAATAAGGTAGTCAAGGACACAAAAATCCCTATGGAAGTGGCGATCTTCAACGACATTGCGGCGAATTCAGATACTTTTCGATAAAAGTGAAGCTTTTTATATATTTGACTTGAACGACGCGAATTATCAGAGCCGCTGATTTACGATGGCGCCGTTCCGTTGACGACGTTCCTTCCTTCTCGTCAACGGTTTTTTCGGCTTTTGCACATAAAAATCCGAAATGCGTATCCCGGACCCACGCAATTAATCCTCCGGGAATTACGGTTTTTTTTGTAGGGAGCTAAGGATTCTAGGGTTTTTTATGTGTAGTGATTAGGAGATTTTATGTAGTTGTGATAACGACTTCCGCAAGGAAGTGATAACCATAAAATCAAGGGCTCATTTTTAGTGGTAAGTAATCAGCTTTTGATCAAAAAAAAAAACAATTTTCAGCCGACATAATTTCAAAAAAAAAATCTCAAATTGACCTTTCTATGTCTTCCCAAAGTCTCGAAGAATTATTTTAGAGCCGAAACCGCTGAAACTTAGAAAATTTTTTTTGCCAATAGGCGTAAAAAATCATCGGCATACTGACCTTACCGCCAGATACAATCACCTTAGTTGTATATCAATCCCTGAAAGTTTTAGCTTGCACTTTGCAGACGCGACCGAGATATTCAGCAATATTTGCGGCCAAGATAGTACCCAAAGACGAAAAACAGTCAGGGAAAAAAGACTTTTTGACAATATCTTTGTCAGTTTTCTGCGGAAAAAATTGATTTTTTGTGAAAATATTATCTTCTTTGATAGAAATAGCCATGGTTTTTCATGACGAAAATAGCAATTTTTTTTTTCAGGTTTCGACCAAAAAATCTCGATAATTTCTGCAAAACGCGGGCTAGAAGTCCCGCATATGTACATCTTCTCAATTTGCGCCAAGTTTCATCAAAATAATGTCGCAATCTGAGCACTTCTCTCGCGGCAAACTTTGTACCTCCATAATCACCAATATTTCTGCTTTTTCCCAAATGTCTTTTTGTTCTTAAAACAAAAGACATTAGAATCTAATAATAGAATTCAAGGTTCAGCAAGGTCATCTATGGTTGCAAAAAGTCTCAAAACGCCTGAAACCCGATCAGTCATAACCGTTTTTTTTTACACTTCTCCGACCGGATTTACCCGGACTTTTTTTGGAAGTCGTCTGAAAAACAAACAATGCCGTAAAACAAACATGTTTGCGGAATAAAAATACATGTGTCAAATGTTCGAAAAAAGAAAATTTAAAGAATTAAGAGTACAAGCTTTCACTAAATAAACACAAAAAATATATATCAGTAGTTAGACGGCTATAAGTCATGGAGTTTATTGAACCTTGTGAACCTTATTTCATATGCTTAGCGTGTGTAAGTTTGATGACCCATAAATATTTATTGTTTGCACGGCTTGGCGCAGAGATCATCCTCTTTGACGTACTTATTCAGCTCGCCTTTTCCGGCATTGATGATCTTATTGACTTGTTCTTTCGAGAAGTTGTCCAGCTGTTTGCATATTTCGTCAGCCGCCTTTTTACCAACAGTACGAAGAGCAGCCGTAGCTTTTTCGCACTCTTCCTGAAATCAGGAAGTCATTGTGGCTACAGAAAAAGGAGTGTTTCGAGGAGTGTTTTGTCGACTGCAAATTTTTTTGTAACTCTCAATTCAAGCTATATGTTCTGTAACTCTCAATTCACCTTGATTTTGCACAACAACAAGCCGCCACCTCCACGAGCCCTCTCTTCAACGTCTTCTTTCGCGGTTTTGATCGAGTACTTGCACACGTTGCATTCCATTAGGCCTTGTGTGACATTGCCAATCTTTTCAACTTGTCCTTTGGCCCACTGATAAACCTCAATGCCGCTCAAGGATTTCCCGGCGTCCGACAGGAAGGGGGCAATCCCGAAGTTGAGCAGCTTTTGTTGAACATTTTCTTCGGCGAGCTGAAGCGTATTACCTTCGTCTTTTGTGAAAACTTACCGCAATTCCCGCTACGCATATCAACAGTAGACCGGCTCTGCGAATACTCATGGTTGACAAATGGGGATTTGGTTTTCAGATGAATGCTTTATATGAGGCAGAAAGCCTATGCAATTAGGCAAATTCCATTGTCCACGGAATTGAAAGGATCAGCGTGACCCGTGAATTTTCAATTTCGATGCTGACTACTGTTAAATGTGCAATTATTGATACTTGAAATGAATGCCCTTTAAAGAGGCGAAGTGCTGTTTTTAATTGAACGGATCGAATTACGGTGGGTGTCCAATCGTTCTACCGCACAACATATACAGGGTGACAAATAAAAAATGCAACTTTTTTTCATCGGTCCTGCCGCGAAAACTTTTAGGTTTAGGAAAATATTGTTCATACCATTAAATTCTCCGTGTCTTTTTGTCCTAGCCTCTCAATTTTCATACCCATATCGGTTGATTAACATGTTTGTTTCGAGTCTCAAACAGAGGGACCCCGATTTTAAACCTGTCACGGAAAGAAAAAGGACAGTAAAAGATTGCTAAATTGGTCGGTGTAGGAAAACCTGCCATACGAAAAGCCATCAAACGACTCAACGAGCTTGGCCATGGTGGTAAGTGTCCAGGAATTAGAAGGAAGCGCATCTTGAAGACTTCTGCCAACCTTGAGATCATCAGAAAGCGAGTGAAGCAAAATCTGATGGTGTCCATGAAGAAAATTGCCCGGGAGACCGGCATCAAGGGAACAACGGATCGACGAATGGTGATCAATGTACCGTAGAGTGAGTCTTACAAGCTCCAAAAAGCTTAGCGCCTCACGGAACACTACAAGCAAGTACGGCTCAAAAAATGTCGAAAACTCAACCGTCGCGCCGCAGCTCAGCGATGAGAGAAGGTCCTGTTCGCGGATGAGAAATATTTCAACATCCAGCAGGCCTACAACCACCAGAATTGCAGGAGTTGGACTGTTGAGAGTCAAAAACCATCCGCCATTTTTGAACCCAGTAAAAATCCGACCTCTCATGGCCTGGGACAAAGTCTTGCGCCAGCGGCGTGATATCCTTGGTTTTCCTTGGTTTTCTTGGATAAAGGGGTCAGAACCAAACCGATAAGTCTACCAGCGGCATTTTGTACACCATCGTGATTCCGTGGGCTCAGTAGCACTTTGGCGGTTCAAAACAGACACCGTAGCATGATTCCGCCATCAGCCATAAAGCAAAAAAGACGCAAGGCCAGGAAAGGACCTGTTTTCCCGATTTTATGTGGTCTGCGAAATGGCCGTCTACTCGCTGGATCTGAATCCGGTGGACTATGTTTTTTGTTTAGTTAGAAGCCAGGACCTCTAGTTCACGCCAAAAAAGTGTGGAGCCGCTAATTGATCGCTGCGGTAAGAACGGAACCAATTTCCCCAAAAAAAGCTTCGGCGAATCGGCCAAAATTTAAAGTCACGTTTTGAGCTCTATCTCGGGGCCAAGAACAGCCACCTTAAAACTGGCCGAGCATACTATTAACAATGCTCTATGTTACTGATATTCACCGTTACTTTGGTTAAGTTTGGTGTTTTAGACAAAATATGGCCATAAATATGAGTTGCATTTTTTCTTTGTCACCCTGTATACATAAAAGCCTAGAAACATTAAGTAACCCTTGAATGAGACTAGGTGTAAGGCTCTTAGATGGCCATTTGCAAAGAGACAGCAAACCGTAATTACAAAAATTTAATTTTTTTTCAGTGAGCAAATTATGAACAACAACAAGAGCGAATGTACACCATCGGAACACTGACGGAACACCTTGAAACCTTTACTTTGTTTTCTGAAATGGCATAAACTGAAAAATAGCGAAAAAAAAATAAAATTTTTGTAACACTTGTGGTTACCCGCCAAATAATTGAAATTTTATGCTAGTTATACCCTTTACGGACAATTTGGCAAGTCAGAGCAAAAGAAAGTGCAATCTGGAAGATCTATCCACTTCCTGCTTATCAGGTGTCACGTGGAAGATTAAACAAATTTTCTAACTGGTTGGATTGTCAAAGAACCCCTTAAAATCGTTAAATATAAGTTCTTACTGTGTCATGAACACAAAGAAAAGCGTAAAATACGATCTGTCAAAAAGTTGTATTTTCGGCTTTTTTCCACCAAAAAACCGTAAACTGTCAGAATCTTATCAAAATCACCTAAAATAAACTCAAGCTTGTATATTCCCTCCACTAAAGTCATTGCCGACCAATTCTCAGAGATTTGCGTCCATCCGGACTCGAACCCGGGACGTCGGATTGGTAGATTTTGTCAAAATCCACTATACCACGAAAATAGCAACACGGATTTTTGGACTTTTTTTGAATGTTTCTAGGGCTGAATTTTATGCTGATTAGCATATTAAAAATTCAGCTGTGGGTTTTTAGAAACAACCTTTTTACGGCCGACTTTGTGGGGCCGAAGCGTAAGTTTGCTATGTTACAGTAATCCTTTCGATCCGAAACCACCTCCATTGGATCCTCAGTGCCCAAAAACATATACGACCACAGTTCTGCGGCTCTGCGTCTCCTCAATTTTGAGATATTTGACGTTACTGTAAATTTCTTAAATTGTAAATAAAACTAGGTTAACGGAAGAATTAGGGCAAAAGGCTTCAGGAATTATATGATGGGTGCGGCCATATCCGGCTGTAAATCTCAAAAACGAAAATGTCCCGGCCTTGCACACCTGCTGATTTAGTGAGTCAGAAATCGTGTTATAAACGGTATCGTTGACCCAAAATGTCGTTGACCCAAGGTGTCGTTGACCCGAAATTTCAGGACGCGGTTTTTTACTACTATTGGTCCTTCTGGAAAGTCGCCGGGCTCTTCTTTGGCGTTTGCACGGTGCGAAAAATGTCAGGTTGCGAGCGACAGCCGAAAAAAGCCTACAGTGAGGGACCTGATCCAATGGCATAAAACGTCTCCTTTTGCATCCCGGAAGGGATCAAAATGACTCCAAACTATTCCCCTCTCTAAGCTAAAAAACTCCGCTTTGAAGAGCCCGCCTTGAAGGAAAGGGCGCGCTTTTCAAAGCGGGGTTTTTTAGCTTAGAGAAGGGAAGGGTTTGGAGACGTTTTGGTCCCTTCCGGGGTGCAAAATGAGACGTTTTTTGCCACTGGATCCGGTCCCTCACTGTATTGCAATTTTTTTTCCATTTTCTTGGAATTCCAAAAAAAATTTTTAGTCCAAACTTTTATTTTATGCAAATTTTCTCCCAAATCCATGCATTTTTTGACGCTTCAACTTTCTTTTTCCCACTTTCCTCGCGAAATTTTGGGCCGACCAGTCGCTTCCTGATGAAGGTCCCAATTCTCGTGATCGCCCTAATTTCGGGGACCTTGGCTTCCGAGATGCTTGGAAATCGGATAGCAGATTTACTCTTCAATTGCCCTGATCTGGCCCACTACATGCCTGAGGGTGTGAAACGTGCCGAGGTTTTTGCAATCTGGAACTACTCACGCCCGCATCTTCTGAATTACACATTCGACTTCGAACAAAAACAATGGAATGCATCAGAGTGAGTTTTTTTTTGCTTTTGAAATTCGACTGATTTCGGAATTTTGAGCTGAATACAAAATTTTTTTTTGTGATTTCAGACCTGTTCGTTTGTATCCAGACGACGGCAAGCTTTACTCGGCATTCTTCTCCGAAAACTTTGACCGGATTGCAGTTACGTACAATGGCCCCGGTGGGTGAGTATTAACCAAAAGTTGTTTTTTACTCTAAGTTCGACGCTCACATTTCGGTGGAACTTGTCAAAACTTAAGTTTTTTTTGAAGTCGCAGTAATCTTTTCAGCAAAATTTTTTACTTCTGGCGAGACGCGCCCGAACAAAGTTTTGAGATGCCCGGATTTAACCAAATATATAAACCAGTCTTTATGATCGGAGACGCGGTGTATTATTGGAAATATGCTTATGCATTCAACAATTCCTTGGAGCATCGGTTTTTACGAAGCCGGGGCAAACCCGGCGAATTCGAAAAGATTTATGAACGACGAACGAACCTGGACGTAACTGATTCCTGCCTCTACATGCGCGATGTGGATATTATGTATTATATACCCTACACGGGGGTGTGTATGCAGCTTTTTAAAATTTTTTCCAATGTAAGGAAATGTGAAAAAATTCGATTGTACGACAAGATTTTGTTTTAGTTAGGTGTAAAAAAAATATTTTTTCATTTTTTCAGGCAATGTACGACCAGCCATGCAACAAATCAATTGGAATTTTTGTCAGAGCCAAACCCGGCGTTATTTATCCGCTTGTAAGTTGTTTCACCTTTTTTTGGGAATTCTAACAATGTTTTAGTCGATGTTCGGATTTCATGGAATAAACTGCGACCCGTTAATTCATGTAATACGTGCCGATGAAATGGCGTATATCCGTTTTGAAGTCCAGCCGCCTACGGTAGGTGGAAATTATTTTCATTTTCGATGCACGGTGCAAAGCAAAGTTTGTTCTCAGCCGCAGAGTGCGAAACTTTATTTAGACAACAACGACGAGCACGACCACTACGACCACCACAACTACCACTACCACGGTATAGTTTTCTTGCGAATTTTTCATTTACTCTGCGACACAGTGCAGAAAAAAGTTTCGGTTCAAATGACGCTGTAAGTTTTATCTTATCTTCAGACCACCACGACTACCACCACTACCACGACTACTCCGGTGAGTTTATGGGCATAAACAAAATTTTGTTTTCTCTTTGTGACTGCACTGTGCGATGGGAAAGGCTTTTCCCTGTTCTGCGATTGGCAGAGTGCACAGTGCACAAAGAAATGAATTGCACCGTGCCATCGAAATTTTTGCGCACACTGCGGCTTTTGCGAGCCTTTGGGTTGTGGCGCCGCCCGATTGTGACGCAGAAATTTTCAGACTACAACAACAACAACAACCACTACCACCACCACCACCACCACCACCACCACAACCACAACCACTCCAACTACCACCACCACCATCACCACCACTCCAACTACCACCACCACAACCACCACTACCACCACCACCACCACCACTACCACCACCACCACAACCACTCCAACTACCACCACCGCCACCACCCCCACCACAACCACTCCAACAACTAGTTTGACCAAGTCTACCAGTACATCATCCACTACAGTGCCGTCTACTCTATCCCCAACCACAATTGATCCCAATATCAAGTCAAGTACAGATAATATGTCTTACGTCATCACAAAGTTGCCTGCACAGTACGTTATTTTAGAGCTGGCCAATGGTTTTAAAGCCCTTCGAAACGTAAATATCTTTTATTTTTAGCTCTGAAAAGTTAGTTATGCCAGCTGACTACTCAACTATCTACGTTTTCACTGGCTCGTTCCTTGGCTTGCTACTCCTTCTCTGCCTTTGTTCCATTGTAATTGCGCTGCTCTACAGAAGAAGAAAGGATAAGGTAAAGAAGTTGTTTAGGTTCCATAAATGTACCGGGTTTTTAGAAAGAAAAGACAAATGAGAGAAAGTTGAAGGCCTCGAATAAGCGTCGTCGTAGGTCGACGAGAAAATGGACCAAGACGAGTGGTACTGATGTGGAGACAAAGACGGATCCTCACTCTTCAATGGGAAACACGAAGTCGTCCAAGGTAAGGGAGGAAATTGAAAAAAAATTGTGACTGCACTGTGCAATGGGTAATCAATTTTTGCACAGAGCCAGATTTTTTTTTATTTTTACAAAAAATATGGAAAAGAATTAACGGCGCAACGACATTTCGGGTCAGGGACAACTCGGGTCAACGACAACTCGGGTCAACGACATTTCGGGTCAACGACACCTCGGGTCAACGACATTTCGGGTCAACGATACCGTTTAACATTTTCGCTTCGGGACTTGGAAAAAAGAATTTTTTGGTGAATTTAAAAAATTTTTCAAATGTTTTCGCTTCGGGACTTGGAAAAAAGAATTTTTTGGTGAATTTAAAAAAATTTTCAAATGTTTTCGCTTCGGGGCTTGGAAAAAAAGGATTTTTTGTGAAATTTGAATAAAATTTGAAATGTATGAAAACTGGGTTTCTGTTACCTTATAGGATTCTTTTTGAAAATTTTTCGACTTATAGCACTTTTAGACGTTAATGGTGTTGTTTTGGTGCTTAGTACTGCTTAAAAAACACATTTTTAACACTTGGTACTAAATAGTACTACCTGGTACTATTTAGTACGAGGTGCAAATTTGGCCGTAAGGCGGTAATGGCGTTGGTTTGGTGCTTAGTAGAACCCAAAAACACGTTTTAACACTTGGTACTATATAGTACCAACTGGTACTGTTTTGCGAGAAGTGAAAATTTGGTCATGAGGCAGTAATGGTGATGGGTTGGTGCAAAAACACGTGGTACTATATAGTACCAGGTGGTACCATTGGTTTTAGACAAAATTTTAGTGCTGCCGGCACCACAGTTAATATTCAGTCAGACACCCTTTTTTCTACTTCCGATGCGAAAACATTTCAAAATTTTGTTGAATTTTCCAAAAAATCTTTTTTTCCCAGTCCCGAAGCGAAAACACCAAATTTTTTTCAAATTTCACAAAAAATCCTTTTTTTCCAAGTCCCAAAGCGAAAACATTTCAAAAATTTCTCAAATTCACCAAAAAATTCTTTTTTCCCAGTCCCGAAGCGAAAATATTAAACGGTATCGTTGACCCGAAATGTCGTTGACCCGAAGTGTCGTTGACCCGAGTTGTCGTTGACCCGAGTTGTCGTTGACCCGAGTTGTCCCTGACCCGAAATGTCGGGACGCGAAATTAACAACTTTTTTTTCAGAAATCCAAGAAAGGAAAGAATCGAAAGCAGAGAACTGAGTCTGTCGATCGTTCTGTTCTGACCAATAAAAACTCATCGCTTATGTTCAAGACCACCGGCGGAACCCAAGAGTTTCTCTAGACTAGAAAAGCCCTCCAGATGAAGTGAAAATATTTTATCGTGAATAAAGAAAAAATTATTTCGAGCCTTGACTGAACATTATGCAGTCCGTTCGCAAAGTCCACGGAGTTAATTTTGAGACATAAGAGCGAAGGAATAAGAATTTTTTTTCGAGCTCGAGAATGTTTGCTGGATTCGCTACCAATTTCAAAAAGTAGCGAAAAGATCGATTTGCGACGTGGTCTCGGTAGCGAATCCTTCTTTTCGCGACCTCCGAAAAAAGTCGGTCGCGAATCGGCGTGTTCGCTACCTCCGCAAATGAGGAGGTAGCAAAACGGCGTTTTTGCGACGGCGCGGAATTGGAAGGTAGAAAATCCGTGGATTTGCGACCTCCCAAATTGACTCCGCCCACTCCGGCGGAATTTTTTTTCCAGCGCTCCTTTTTACCCTTTTTATATATTGCTAGCGAATAAAGCACTTTTGGAATTTCCGATGTTTTTCTTGACAATAACCATTTATTAAAGCACATAATCCGACAAAATAACAAGGCAATAAAGAGAGAATCGAAAAATTTTACATTTAAATCGATATAAAATAGTTCAGGCTACTAATTGACAACTAATAATAGAAAAATACTGCCTCTTGGAAGCGCACAGAAAATTAATAACGGATAATAACATATGACCTATTGGAATGACCAATAATTGCTTTAAACAAACATAATATGGCAAAGGAATGTAAAAAAGAGATACGGCCTTGAAATGGTGGTGTTTGTAGACGACGATCTTCAGGTCCTTGTGAAGACATGGACAAGGGACTTGGACGTTTAATGGGGCGTTCAGCGGCATAAGCGAAAGATCGCAGTGTTCATGCTTGGTGGATCTTCATTTGTTTCACCTAAAGCAATAAAAATAGATAAAGAATGTACTTACCACCTTGAAGACCCACGAATTACAGCCTTTTTGGGGTCAATACACATCGTCCGATTTCGTTTTTTGATCTACGCATTGTTCAATCGTTCGCCTAAAGAAGTGAAAACAAATGAACAACCTGCTTACCATCTGGAAAACCCACGAAGGACACACCTATTGCCACCATCTTTCAAACGGTTCGGAAACGCATCCACACCTCAAAATTTGGCCAAAAGACGCAGTCTCTTTCATGGATAAGGCCAAGAGATCTTTCTCGTTCTACTAAAACAATAAAATACAAAGAACAAAACTTACATAAATGTCCAAGCAGCAATTCGGCCCTCAAATCGAGTAAAACATCTTCTAAAAATAGAAATGCCACGAAAATTTTGCTTGTTTTTTCGAAAGACAAAACTTTGTTCAAAATTCACGAGGTCCCGTGGAAGGTTTGCAAATTAAAAATACATTTGCTAAATGTTAGAAAAAAACGAAATTTAAGCAATTAAAAGGACAGGGTGTACTATTTATAACAATGGATAGAAAAATCGTATCCATTGTTTATGTTTTTAAAAGACGATTTCTGAGTCAGTGCATCAGCCGTCCGTTAGGCGTGGACATAGGAAAAAATCGAGTTTGAGTTTTTTGCATCAAAATGACTGTTGGTAGGTGCTTTACAAAAGCGAACAATATTTTTTCCTAAAACTTTCAACAAGGTACCATTTTTTACAATTTACTGTTTTTGAAGTAATTGTTCACAACTGTCGTATCTTACCTTGAAATGCAATAATTCCGCGGCCTACTACGTTTTCGGCCCTTGCAAAGATGATGGAAGAATTATTTTTGGTCTCTTCCTACTGTAACATACCGTAATACCATATCGGCCGTAAAAAAACGGCCGTAAAATCTTTGTTTCTGAAAACCCACAGCTGATTTTTTGATATGTTAATCAGCATAAAATTCTGCTCTAGACGCAATCAAAAAAAGTGTAAAAAAGTGAATGACAAATTTCGTGGTATAGTGGTTAGTGGTCGGGACTACCAATCCAGCCTCCCAGGTTCGATTCCGGGTGGGTGCAAATCTCGAAAAAATACTGGAAATCGATTTTAATGCAACAAGCAGAGCTATTTGATTAATACTAAGTAATTTTGGACAACAACGATACCTGTATGGGAGCCTAAAACGGATTTTTAAAAAATTTTCGAGGCTGAATACGTGAAAAATAAAACGGCTTCAAACCGGTTGAAATTGATAGGACTTACTCTAGGGCTAATTATAAGACACTTTCCCGTTAACTTTTTTTGGGATCTTACTGTATCGTGGATTACTGTAACATAGAACTTATTCCCGTAAACCGCGGTTTACTTCAGAATTCTCGCACAAAATTTTTAGTTTTTTAGTTAGATATTTTAAAAAGAAAGCAAAGATCCACTCTTAGTGTTCAAATTAAAATTTTCCCGGGTCTTCAATGTGTGTTGACGTTATCAACAACTGGTCAAACTGCGTGAGATTACTCAGGTGTTTCAAGTCGTACCGCCATATAAAAAATATTTATACGCAACCCAAGCCTTTCTTAATCATTTTAAACGTAATGGTGGGGGTTCGAGCTTTCCGCGCTATGTGGTACACAAAAAACGGAATCGTGTTTCACGTTACAGTAATCCTCGATACAGTAAGATCCCAAAAAAAGTTAACAGGAAAGTGTCTTATAATTAGCCCTAGAGTAAGTCCTATCAATTTCAACCGGTTTGAAGCCGTTTTATTTTTCACGTATTCAGCCTCGAAAATTTTTAAAAATCCGTTTTAAGTTCCCATACAGGTGCCGTTATTGTCCAAATTTGCTTAGTGTCAATCAAATATCTTTGATTGTTCCATTAGAGTCGATTTCAAGTATTTTTTCGAGATTTGCACCCACCCGGAATCGAACCTGCGAGGCTGGATTGGTAGTCCCGACCACTAACCACTATACCACGAAATTTGTCATTCACTTTTTTGAACTTTTTTGATTGCGTCTAGAGCAGAATTTTACGCTGATTAACATATCAAAAAATCAGCTGTGGGTTTTCAGAAACAAAGATTTTACGGCCGTTTTTTCGCGGCCGATACGGTATTGCGGTATGTTACAGTAGGAAAATCGGAAAAATAATGATTCCATCGTCACCGCAAGGGTCAAAAACTTCAGTAACCATCAAATCATCGCACAGTAAGGTAAGGTACGACAGCTGGAGGCGATTACTTCTAAAACAGTAAATTGTAAAAAAATATACCTTGATGAAGGTTTTGGGAAAAAATATTGTTCGCTTTTGCTTAGCCCCTTCCAACAGTCATTCTAATGCAGAAAACTCAAAATCGATTTTTTCCTATGTCCACGGCTGACGCACTGACTCAGAAATCGTCTTTTAACTGGAAGCACGGAATTTAAACACAGACAGTGCCAGAGAGTGGAGTAAGAAGATAGTCGTAATGATTATGTGCAAATAACAAGTAAATCGCTAGAATTCCTTTTCCCAAGCCCCGAAACGAAAACATTTCAAAAATTTGTTCGAATTATAATATTTTCGAAATCAGCAAGGTCGAAACCCCCCGAAACGAGTATTTGTGAAAAAATCAAAAAAATAATACTCTACAGTACTACTTAAGGAAAAATTTAAAGATCAAAAAAATGGATGTCATTTGCGAAATCAGCGCTCTCAATCGTCCAACTCCGGTTTAAAGATAAACTCCGCATTAAACAGTAAGTTTTCATCTACAGTTAGCAAATCCTGAAAACATTGCTCAAACATGCATAAAACAACGCCAATGCCTAGTCATATTACTACATAAAACAATTTTACGGGGAATCTTCAGCATCAAACATTGTTTTAGACAGAGCAATGTGTAAATGAAGCAAATCACGATTGCAGAAAAAAATACATAAGCGCCTTGGAAACAAATCTCAATACCAAATCTCAGCCTTTTTACTGTTCATGAAGATCAGACAGCAAAACACGTAATTTTTTAGATCAAATTCAAAGTTTTTTTGCCGTTTCTAAGTGGATAAGCAAGTTTATTGATACTCAGAATCCATTTAACTCGGCTATTTCATCAAATCAGCAACCTTCAACTCGAAATTTAATATTCATTTTAGATGTTACATTCAAAACTTCTCATTATTTCAATTTAATACTTCGGAAGTAGGCTATAAATAATCCCAATAACCCCGGAAAACAATAAAAGAAATTGTGCCACAATGAATCCGACAAAACTGAAGCCGCTGAGGTCCGATTCTCCATTCTGCTGTCCCACCGTGATGAAAAAATAGGTCATCCCATAAACGGAGAAGCCGGTGGAAAAAATCGTTGCGATGGGGAGTACCAGAAAGGCGCGGAAACTCGAACGGACGGCGCCATACAAGCCGTAGTGTGTCCCAATGTAGGAGACTAAAACTGCGACGATTTGGAGACTGTTGTGCACCTTGAATGCGGTGAGACCTCTGTCGCTGTTCTGCAAGAAATTGTTTGTTTGTTTCCAAAAAAAGGCCGAACTTTGGCTTGCGCTTTGCAAAGGCAGCCGGCATATATATTCAACGATGTTTGCCGGGAGAATGTTCAAAGTGCAGCCGTGGGTCGGGCCGAAATTTCGGCCCGTCGGCCCGATTTCAAATCGTTTCGGCCCGGCCCGGCCCAGCCCAGAATATTTTAAATCCAGAATCTCGAAGCGAAAATTGGGGTTGATAATGAAAATAAACGCAATGTCAAGACACCATTGGTTTTTTTAAAGGTATTTTTGTTTTTAGATAGCTATGGAACACAGTATTTATCCATTTACATGATGATAGAAAAAAATTTGGTCATAAGGAGTTAGACTTGGGGAGACTTTCGTTTCAATGGGCCGGCCCGGGCCAAAGCAAATTTAAAACGGCCCGGGCCGGCCGACGAGCCGTGTCTAGTCTGGAACAAGGCGGATTTTTTGAGCCTAAAACGAAAAAAATCAAATGAGTCAGTTTCGTGATAGAAAATCTCTTCAGTTTACGCAATATTTCGCCTTTCGTCTGACCTTGTCCAAAAAAACCGTCATTGAGACGGATTTTTTGGACACTTTCATAAGCGGAAACAGAATGCCAACTTTCGTGTTGAATGATAACCCTTTGAGCGCAAAATCCGCAGTGCGGTGGCGGCAAGAATTCAAGATGCGCTGTGTGAAAGCGAAAAACTGTAAAAAGTCTACGAAAATCTATGGGAAATCTGTGCGTCGCACTTTGAACACTTACCTGGTGAGCGGAAGGCAAATGCGGCATTTGGGAACCGGCAGGCAACGGTTGGGAGTTGTTTCCCGAAGGTTGACTTGGACTTTCCTCATGGGTTCGTGACGAGTTCTCCGGTTTGTCAATGTAAGTCCACGCGCTCCGATCGCCGACGTAGAAATGAGGGGTCGTTGCGGAGATGATCAGCAACGCCGTTCCGACCAGCGCCGACACAATTGCTCCACGATGTAAATAATAGCGACTTCCATGGGACATCGTGAATTTTTAACAAAGTTTTGTCTTCCGAAAAAGCAAGCAAGACTGTCAATCAAAATTGTGTTTCATTTTGATTGTAATTTTATATTGTTTCTCATATTGCTTTGATGAGCAATGCTGACTCTTCCGCAGACATTCCATATTTCGGTTTCGAGGTTTCCAGAAATTTCAAAATGAATGAAAAAAGTGTTGTATACTTCACGCGCCAGTTGTTGTATGTAGACAGGTGGTGGTGAAGCTATGAAGTCAGCCAGATGTAGAAAGATAATAAGGAAAGATTTATTATCACATAAAAGTAATAATACGTAGCATTACACCGGAACATTCACTGAATAAATAATAATAATTGACAACGGGACAAACGCAATGCCAATGACGTTGTAGGGTTCGTCTCGGGACTCAACATCTCCCTTTGTGAAGAAGGATCAGCGGTTGCATTGGTAGCCGGAGCGTTGACGGTAGTTTGAGGAATCTGTGTAGCATGTTTCTTCTCCTGAGTTGAACGTAGGGATCTGTGTAGCATCTTCCCACTTTTGAATTGAACATGTACTTTGCTCCAATTCTTCTTTGAACTTCTCAGTGTACTGAGGAACCATCGTCCGAGCGTCGGATTCGACGAGGTTGATGTTAGACTTGCCCTTGTTATGCACTGTCATGATGCCCAGTTCCTTTGAAGCTCTGAAGGAGAGGAGGGTAATCTCACTGGAACTGGGACGATTGGGGAAAAAGACGATTGGGGAAAGGGACGATTGGGGAAAAAGACGATTGGGGAAAAGTACGATTGGGGAAACCGAAAAGTATTATTTTTCTTCCATGCAAATGTCGAAATTAGGATAATCGAGGGTGCTCATTTCGAAAATGACATTCTTTTTTTTGATTCTTACTTTTTTTCTTAAGTAGTACTAGTCGCGACATAAAGTCCTGACACATTTTGCACCGTGCACTCTTCTTTCATTTCATCCGCACTGTGCATCTTTTCGCATTTGTCGCCGCGATTTCCCCTTTTTGCACTAGCGACGTGCACTTTTGCCCGCGATAAACCCGAATTTGCAGGGGAATCCTTCGATTGCGACCCCGCTCGATTGCGACCTCGCATCGATTGCGACCCCGCATCGATTGCGACCCAAAATGGGGTAAAGCGACCCCGGGATGAAAATTCTTTGATTCTCTTCGGGAAAAACTTGCTTTAGGGGTTTTCGAGGGTGCTGATTTCGAAAATGATGTTCATTTTTCCTCTAGTACTACATAGTACTGTCTGATACTATATAGTACGAAGTCAAAATATCGCTTTTGACGTTAATGGTGTTGTTTTGATGCTTAGTACTCTTCAAAAACACGTTTTAAAGACTTGGTGCTATATAGTACTGTCTGATACTATGTAGTACAAAGTAAAAATAGGCGTACTAAGCACCAGAACAACACCACGAACGCCTAAAGGCCAACTTTACACCTCGTACTACATAGTATCAGATAGTACTATATAGCACCAAGTGATTAAAACGTGTTTTTGAAGAGTACTAAGCATCAAAACAACACCATTAACGTCAAAAGCCATATTTTCACTTCGTACTATATAGTATCAGAATAGTGCTATGTTGTACTAGAGGAAAAATTTACATGATTTTCGAAATCAGCACTCTCGAAAACCCCTAAATCGAGTATTTATGAAAAAAAATCAAAAATTACTACTTTACAGTACTACTTAAGGAAAAAAGTAAGAATCAAAAAAATGAATGTCATTTTCGAAATGAGCACCCTCGATTATCCTAACTTCGCCATTTGCATGGAAGAAAAATAATACTTTTCGGTTTCCCCAATCGTACTTTTCCCCAATCGTCTTTTTCCCCAATCGTCCCTTTCCCCAATCGTCTTTTTCCCCAATCGTCCAACTCCGAATCTCACTGAAAGCAAGAACAATTATCGTATCATTGAAAGTGTGACCATCATAGAATAAGGTAGCGAATTTTCTTCCGGTGTAATGCTACGTATTTCCCATCGCACAGTGCAGTGACATAGAGAAAACAAAATTTATTTATGCCCATAAATTTACCGGAGTAGTCGTGGTAGTGGTGGTAGTCGTGGTGGTCTGAAGATAAGATAAAACTTACAGTATCATTTGAACCGTAACTTTTTTCTGCACTGTGTCGCAGAGTAAATAAAAAATTTGATACATTTTTTATTAATAAATAATTTGGAAATGTCAAAATAGGTCTTTTTGGAAAAACGTGACGCCCTTTGCAATACGGTAATAACAATGTCCATTCAATTGATTCAAAATTAATTGATTTTCTGATTTGAACAAGATCACAATTTCTCAATCAGTTGTCGCTTCGGCTTCCAGAAATCAAATGCCGAACTATAATTGGAAACCTTCGTTTGCAATCCTACAAAAGAAGATGAATTGACTGGTATATAAAGGGCACCGGATTTCATTACGAGTAATTTGAAATGCGACTACCATTTGTCTTGTTGTTGGTTGTGTCTTGTCATGTGGCCTCTGGGAATTTATGGAACACGATCATCGACCCATTAAAGCAGATTCCCAAAGCAGTAGTGGATTCTGGTAACGCCATTAAGGTTAGCAATAGCAGTATAACCAGCAAAATTTGATTAATACGGTATCCTCATTTATCGTTGAATTTTCAGGACAAAGCTAACGAAGTTGGAAAAGCGGTTGTTGGTAACATCACCACCTACGCAAACCCTCGTAAGAAACTACGGTAGGGGACCTGACCCAGTGGCAAAAAACGTACCATTTTACATCCCAGAAGTATCAAAAATATGGCAAAATGGTTCCCTCTCCAGGCCCTCTTCGATTTATAAAGAATTGCTCTGAAAACCAAATCCCCATTTGTCAACCATGAATAGTCGCAGAGCCGGTCTACTGTTGATATGCGTAGCGGGAATTGCGGTAAGTATCCACAAAAGACGACAGTAATACTCTTCAGCTCGCCGAAGAAAATGTTCAACAAAAGCTGCTCAACTTCGGGATTGCCCCATTCCTTTCGGACGCCGGGAAATCCTTGAGCGGGATTGAGGTTTATCAGCGACTTTAATGGAACAATCAAAGCTATTTGATTGATTCTAAGTGATTTTGGACAATAACGGCACCTTTATGGGATCCTAAAACGAATTTTTTAAAATTTTTGAGGCTTAATACGTGAAAGACAAAACGGCTTCAAACCGGCTGAAATTGATACCACTTACTCTAGGGCTAATTATAAGACATTTTCCCGTTAACTTTTTTGGGATCTTACTGTATCGTGGATTACTGTAGCATGAAACACGTTTCCATTTTTTGTATACCACATAGCGCAGAAACTCGTATCCCCATCATTACGCTTAAAATGATTAAGAAAGGCTTGGTTTGCGTAGAAATATTTTTTATATGGCGGTACGACTTGAAACACCTGAGTAATCTCACGCAGTTTCACCAGTTGTTGATAACGTCAACACACATTGGAGACGGGGGGAAATTTTAACTTATACAACAAGAGTGGATCTTTGTTTTTTTATTAAAATATCTAACTAAAAAACTAAAAATTTTGTGCGAGAATTCTGAAGTAAACCACGGTTTAGGAGAATAAGTTTTATGTTACAGTAATCCACGATACAGTAAGATCCCAAAAAAAGTTAACGGGAAAGTGTCTTATAATTAGCCCTAGAGGAAGTGGTATCAATTTCAGCCGGTTTGAAGCCGTTTTATTTTTCACGTATTAAGCCTCAAAAATTTCAAAAAGTCCGTTTTAGGCTCACATGCAGGTGCCGTTATTGTCCAAAATCACTTAGTATCCCTCAAATAGCTTTGATTGTTCCATTAAAGCCGATTTCTAGTATTTTTTCGAGATTTGCACCCACCCGGAATCGAACCTGGGGAGCTGGAGTGGTAGTCCCGACCACTAACCACTATACCACGAAATTTGTCATTCGCTTTTTTGAACTTTTTTTGATTGCGTCTAGAGCAGAATTTTACACTGATTAACATATCAAAAAATCAGCTGTGGGTTTTCAGAAACAAAGATTTTACGGCCGTTTTTTAGCGGCCGATACGGTATTACGGTATGTTACAGTAGGAAGAGACCAAAAATAATTCTTCCATCGTCTTCGCAAGGGTCGAAAACGTTGTAGGCCGCAAAATTATTGCACTTCGAGGAAAGATACGACAGTTGTAGCCAATTACTTCAAAAACAGTAAATAGTAAAAAATGGTACCTTGCTGAAAGTTTTAGGAAAAAATATTGTTCGCTTTTGTTTGGAACCTAATACCAACAGTCATTTTGATGCAAAAAACTCAAATTCGATTTTTTCCTATGTCCACGCCTAACTGGCGGCTGATTCACTGACTCAGAAATCGTCTTTTAATACTTCGGAAGTAGGCTATAAATAATCCCAATAATCGCGGAAAACAATAAAAGAGCTTGTGCCACAATGAATCCGACAAAACTGAAGCCGCTGAGGTCCGATTCTTCAGTCGGTTGTCCCACCGTGATGAAAAAAAAGGTCATCCCATAAACGGAGAAGCCGGTGGCAAAAATCGTTGCGATGGGGAGTACCAGAAAGGCGCGGTAACTCGAACGGACGGCGCCATACAAGCCGTAGTGTGTCCCAATGCAGGAGATTAAAATTGCGACGATTTGGAGACTGTTGTGCACTTTGAATGCGGTCAGACTTTCTTCGTTGTTCTTCGTTTCTTCGTTCTGTAAGAAATTGTTTGATTGCTTTCAAAAAAAGGCCAAATTTTCGATATTCAACGATGTTTGCCGGTAGAGTGTTCAAAGTGCAGAGAGCGGTCAGAGATTTTTTCCCCCAATTTTTGGAAAAATCGCGACTTTGTATCGGTCTGTCGGAAAAATAACGGCGGATCGTCGTATCAAAATGTCTCGCCTCGCCTCTATCGCGCACCAAATCTCCAGCTTCGGCAGCCGTCGCAAAGCGATGATGGGAGATTCCGAGGCGCGACGATCCGCCGTTATTTTTCCGACAGACTGATACTAATCCGTTCGTAAAGTCGCTGGAATGTTTTTGGCGACATGCACTCCGCGAAACCGAAAGTTCACTTTGCACTGTGCAATTTTTGGTTTTTTGCACAGTGCAATAGGCTTTTTCGAGCTGTCGCCCGCACCCTGAGTTTTCTTGCACAGTGCGCGTCGCCGAAATCATTCCAGCGACTTTACGAACGGACTATTACGCTTTTTCAAAAGTGCAGACACATTTTGTCGTGGGCCGCACCGTGCACAAAACTCCCTTTTGCGGGGTGCATTTTGACCTTTTGCACTGTGCAACCGGATATCGCTGCGACGCAAGCTTTTCTCAACGGAGCCGGCGCGAATTTTTTGAAATTGCACAGTGCAAAAATGTTTCGAATCGGATCGCGTCGCGCGGGGAACACGAAACTTGCACTGTGCGGTGCAAAAAAGGCCGGAAAATGTGTCTGCACTTTTGAAAAAGCGTAATGTTCCGTCCGGCGACTTTCCGGACGGACTAGTACTAGTGGATGATACTACTAGTATACTACTAGTCCGTCCGGAAAGTCGCCGGACGGAAATCGGCGACGTGCACTGTGCAAGAAAATTTGCGACGAAAAGTCTACGCACTTTCTGGAACGACTAGTAGTCGTTCCAGAAAGCGATAATGGGCGATTCCGAGGCGGGACGTCGCATTTGAACATTTACCTGGTGAGTGTAAGGCAAAGGCGACATTGGCAGGTCCTCAAGCGACATTGTGGAGCTCTGAAGCGCTGTTTGGTTCCCGTGAGGTAACGATTGGGAGCTGTTATCCGAAGGTTGACTTTCACTTACCTCATGGGTTGGTGACGAGTCCTCCTGTTTGTCAATGTAAGTCCACGCGCTCCGATCGCCGACGTAGAAATGAGGGGTCGTTGCGGAGATGATCAGCAACGCCGTTCCGACCAGCGCAGACACAATTGTTCCACGATGCAGATAATAGCGAGTTCCACGGGACATGCAGAATTTTGAAAAAGGTTTTGTCTTTCGAAAAAACAAGCAAGACTGTCAATCAAAATTGTGTTTCATTTCGATTGTAATTTTATATTGTTTCTCATATTGCCTTGATGAGCAATGCTGACTCTTCCGTAGACATTCCATATTTCGGTTTCGAGGTTTCCAGACATTTCAAAATGCCTGAACAAAGTTTTTGCTGAAAGGCCAGTACGGTAGGTTGGCGCCCAAAAAAATTGAGGGGAATTTTATTGACTTGTCTTCCTCTGGCTTAAGTGGACGAAACGTCATGGAAAGATCCGACCCAAAAGCAACTTTCATGCTGGCTTTGGAGTAGTAATAGACAACCCGCGCAGCACATTCCGCCGTAACCATATAATTGCGGTGCAACGTGCTACATCGAAGGACATCTTGACTTATTGTCCTTCCAAATTGCGAAAAATAAAACGGGAGTCATCATTCAGGCCCAAATGCATTTGTTCGAAAGACTCTCTGTTATCCGGATCAGATGGTTGATTAAAGGTCTCGCTGTGGGACCGGCTGCGACCTCGGCGATCACCGTTCAGGCTACGAAGTCGGCCACGACCATCTCTGCGCAGGCGCCCACGGGCTCGAGTACCACTTAATGCCCTTCTTGGGGATGGTGTGCGTTCGCTGGCAGGAAGCTGAAGGCGTTGGCCAAGATCTTGCACGCCGGTAGGCAGGCCTAGGGAACCGAGGACACCAAGGCCAGTGAATGCTAGACCGTGGGGGCCAATCACTACCAGAACAGCCCGGAAGGCCTAAAATAACGCTGAAGTCTTGAAACAAGTAAGTGTCATTATTCCGTTTTCGGAGAAAATACCCAGTAACTTTTCGAAAGGCCGGTATCTGGATACAAACGAACAGGCCTGAAATCACAAAAATTTGTTTGTTCTTTGTATTCAGCTCGAAACTTCGAAATTAGTCGAATTTCAAAGGCAAAAAAACTCAATCGAGACCTCGTAACCTGACATTTTTCGCACCGTGCAAACTCCAAAGAAGAGTCCGGCGACTTTCCAGAAGGACTCCTAGTAGCAAACTGCACAGTGCGCAATGTGAAATTTTGTTTTTCCCGCGCTGCATGTCTCAAAATTAACTCCGCGGACTTTGCGAACGGACTACATAATGTTCAGTCAAGGCTCGAAATAATTTTTTCTTTATTCACGATAAAATATTTTCACTTCATCTGGAGGGCTTTTCTAGTCTAGAGAAACTCTTGGGTTCCGCCCGTGGTCTTGAACATAAGCGATGAGTTTTTATTGGTCAGAACAGAACGATCGACAGACTCAGTTCTCTGCTTTCGATTCTTTCCCTTCTTGGCTTTCTGAAAAAAAAAGTTGTGGAACCTTTTTCCATATTTTTTGTAAAAACGAAATAAAAATCTGGCACTGTGCAAAAATTGATTACTTGCACAGTGCAGTCACAATTTTTTCAATTTCCTCCCTTACCTTGGACGACTTCGTATTTCCCATTGAAGAGTGAGGATCCGTCTTTGTCTCCACATCAGTACCACTCGTCTTTGTCCATTTTCTCGTCGACCTACGACGACGCTTATTCGAGGCCTTCAACTTTCTCTCATTTGTCTTTTCTTCCTAAAAACCCGGTGCATTTATGGGGCCTGAACAAGTTCTTTACCTTATCCTTTCTTCTTCTGTAGAGCAGCGCAATTACAATGGAACAAAGGCAGAGAAGGAGTAGCAAGCCAAGGAACGAGCCAGTGAAAACGTAGATAGTTGAGTAGTCAGCTGGCATAACTAACTTTTCAGATCTAAAAATAGACGATCATACTATTAAAAACCGTTGGCCAGCTCTAAAATAACGTACTGTGCAGGCAACTTTGTGATGACGTAAGACATATTATCTGTACTTGACTTGATATTGGGATCAATTGTGGTTGGGGATAGAGTAGACGGCACTGTAGTGGATGATGTACTGGTAGACTTGGTCAAACTAGTTGTTGGAGTGGTTGTGGTGGGGGTGGTGGCGGTGGTGGTAGTTGGAGTGGTGGTGGTGGTGGTGGTGGTGCTGCTGGTGGTGGTTGTTGTTGTTGTAGTCTGAAAATTTCTGCGTCACAATCGGGCGGCGCCACAACCCAAAGGCTCACAAAAGCCGCAGTGTGCGCAAAAATTTCGATGGCACGGTGATTGATGCAGTCACAAAGAGAAAACAAAATTTTGTTTATGCCCATAAACTCACCGGAGTAGTCGTGGTAGTGGTGGTAGTCGTGGTGGTCTGAAGATAAGATAAAACTTACCGCATCATTTGAACCGTAACTTTTTTCTGCACTGTGCGGCTGAGAACAAACTTTGCTTTGCACCGTGCATAGAAAATAAAAATAATTTCCACCTACCGTAGGCGGCTGGACTTCAAAACGGATATACGCCGTATCATCGTAAAGATTTTTATGAACTAACGGGTCGCAGTTTCTTCCATGCCATCCGAACATTGACTAAAACATTGTTAGAATTCCCAAAAAAAAGGTGAAACAACTTACAAGCGGATAAATAACGCCTGGTTTGGCTCTGGTAAAAATTCCAATTGAGTTGTTGCATGGCTGGTCGTGCATTCCCTGAAAAAAAATGAAAAAAAATATTTTTTACACCTAACTAAAACAAAATCTTGATATTTCCTGCCGTAAAATCAAATTTTTCACATTTCCATACCTTGGAAAAAATTTGAAAAAGCTGCGTACACACCCCCGTGTAGGGTATATAATACATAATGTCCACATCGCGCATGTAGAGGAGGGAATTAGTTATGTGCCCGGGGAACCATCGTCGTTCATAAATCTTTTCGAATTTGCCGGGTTTGCCCCGACTTCGTAAAAACCAATGCTCCACAGTAGTTCTCTCTCTCTCTCCGCCTGTAGTAACTATATATGTCCAATAATACAACGCGTCTCCGATCATAAAGACTGGTCTATATAATTGGTTAAATCCAGGCATCTCAAAACTTTGTTCGGGCGCGTCTCGCCAGTAGTAAAACTTTGTGCTGAAAAGATTACTGCGACTTCAAAAAAAACTTAAGTTTTGACAAGTTCCACCGAAATGTGAGTGTCGAACTTAGAGTAAAAAATAGCTTTTGGTTAATACTCACCCACCGGGGCCATTGTACGTAACTGCAATCCGGTCAAAGTTTTCGGAGAAGAATGCCGAGTGACGCTTGCCGTCATCTGGATACAAACGAACAGGCCTGGAATCACAAAAAAAAATTTGTATTCAGCTCAAAATTTCAAAATCAGTCGAATTTCGAAAGCAAAAAAAACTCACTCTGATGCATTCCATTGTTTTTTTTCGAAGTCGAATGTGTAATTCAGAAGATGCGGGTCTGAGAGGGTATAGATTGCAAAAACCTCGGCACGTTTCACACCCTCAGGCATGTACTGGGCCAGATCAGAGCAATTTAAGAGCATATTTGCTATGCGCGAGCCATGTATTTCATGTGTTTCGGAAGCCAAGGTCCCGGAAATTAGGGCGATCACGAGAATTGGGACCTTCATCAGGAAGCGACTGGTCGGCCCAAAATTTCGCGAGGAAGTGGGAAAAAGAGAGTTGAAGCTTCAAAAAATGCATGGATTTGGGAGAAAATTTGCATAAAATAAAAGTTTGGACAAAAAATTTTTTTTGGAATTCCAAGAAAATGGAAAAAAAATTGCAATAGGCTTTTTTCGGCTGTCGCTCGCAACCTGACATTTTTCGCACCGTGCAAACGCCAAAGAAAAGCCCGGCGACTTTCCAGAAGGACTAATAGTACAGGGTGGTTCAGCTAAGTTCGCGGATGTATTATAAAATGCTTATAACTTTTTATAGGATTGTTCAATTTTTATGAGCAACAGCTCATTTTATTCCTTAGTAGTTACCATTTTGTTTAAAAAAAAGATCATCAAAAATGATCAATCCTACGTCGAGTTATGACCCTTCAAAGTTGAACTTGCCTTTTCACGCTTCAATCTGAAAATTTCCGAAAAATCTCGAAAATCGCTTATAACTTTCGACCGGTCGATAATTGTAAATTGTAAGTGGGCTTCAGAAGTCATAGAATTTTGCGTAGAATACGATGGAATCAAAAAAATCCGAAAATCCGAAAAAACCCGTAAATTTTTTTAAAATTTACGTGAAAAAGTATGTTTGACTTTGAAGGGTCATAACTCGACGTAGGACTGATCATTTTTAATGATCTTTTTTTTAAACAAAATGGAAACTACTAAAGCATAAAATGAGGTATTGCTCATAAAAATTGAACAATCCTATAAAAAGTTATAAGCATTTTACATCCGCGAACTTAGCTGAACCACCCTGTACAATCTCGTCGAATTTGAACTTTTTACAATTACTATTGCTTATCTTACTTAGTCATTCTCCCTCCCGAGTTTATTCAAGTAAAAGTGCCAGTGAATCTCACTAGTCTAATAGTAAGGTTCTAAATTGTCTCTTTCCTCCGGTGCTACAAAAAATGTGAATCTTATAAAAAAATAAGAACCCGGATCACGCGACCACTTCGTTGCCTATGCTTTAAAATTTGGGTTTGAAAATTTTCAATAAACTTGTGGTGGTTTGAATTTCCTTAACCGAGTAGACAAAGCCTAAATTTACGTTTATTGGATCATAACATGGGCAAATCCCAAAAGGAGATATGAGAAATACGGCGGAGACAATAGAATCGATTTTTTGGAGGCAGCTTCTCCATATTCGGTGTGGTTACCGTCTGGGTCCGGCGAAGGCGGAGAGGGAGTAGTCCTTGGCTTAGAGGGAGTAGTTCTTGGCTCAGAGGGAGTAGTTCGTTCAGCTTCCGGTGGGGTGTTTGTACTGGCATGAGGAGTTGCGTCAGTTACAGCAGTGGAAGTTGGTGCAGTCGTTGTAGTAGTTGTTGTAGTGGTCGTTGTAGTTGTGGTGGTCGTGGTCGTCGTCGTGAAACTTGGGCTATCGATGTCAAAGTCAAAGATATTGCATCTTTTCTCCACTGGAGGGTTGTATTTCGAACCAACAGGGCACCCAAAAGCCTCGGCAAATCCTTTAAAATTGGAAATGCCTCCCCAAACACGGACTGGAGCTGGCAGACGATGATACATTGTCCAAGCCCCCATTGTCTGGGCTAAGTTGATGAAAAAAAGTTGTTTGTTAGAGAACTGTGGAATTAATCGGGGCTCCGAGAGATTTCCAAGGGCGAAGTAGGAAGAATAGGCCAGACGAATACCTAAAATGACATTAATGTAAGTCTAAAACGTGTGGACGCTTGTTTTGAGGCGTGTGGTCGAAGCAAAAATTTCTCTTTTTTCCGCAGCTGCAGAATGAAAATGGAAAAACGTAAAGTTGCTCAAGAACGGTTCAAAAAGAAAAATCATCGGCAGCTCAATTATGCAAACTTTCACGACTTGTTTTAGCGCCCCAGCTGCTTCGGTTAACTTCCAGGGAAAACAGGCCCCCAGGAATTTTTATCTAGTCCTGCCGTAATGCGGCTAGTACTCACCAACATGGACCGCCACTTGCGTATGGACACACCAGTCCACTCCTCGTGGATCACATTGTTGACGGTAGAGCTTTGTAATACAGTCCCACCGAGCACGATGCTCCTTGTCCGGGTCCTTGTCACTTTCCAGAAATGCAATTCCTAAAAAACGGGAAACTATTTTTAAGGTAAATTTCATCACTTGCCAAAGGTCTCGCTTAATGTCTTGGCCATCAAAAACCCTGTTCCGGAGAAATCGAGAGACGCGGGAAAGTCAACATCGTAGTCTGGAAAGTCAACAACGCCAAAGAAAAAGTAAATTTTCTGGTCGTCCGTATGTATAATAGACTGAAAATAAAATATCAAAATTTTATTCCTGAAAAAATAGAAAGCCATACTGTTTTTCCTATCCCATATTAATAGTTAGAAAAAACGGCTTTGAACTAATGTTGCTCAAAAAGGATTGCGATTGTATTTTTGTAGCCTTGAACAAGGTCTCAGAAGGAATACGAAGCACCAGGGCTAGCTAAAAAAGAGTGCCAATTCAAGGCTCGGAGGTAACCGAAAAAAGTATTCTGTTGGAATACTGGAACAATACGAAGCTTCGAAACGGTTCAGGAAATGCGCTGGATTGACGTGTTACTTCCTATTGCGAATAGACCTACCTTGTACTCTGGGAGGACAAAATTCTTCAGCTTTATCACCGCGTTGAGCTTGAAGATATGGGCTATTCCATTCTTAAATCTCCTCAAAAACGGCGCATCCCAAAGCCGCACATCCACTGCATTCAGCTCATCTCCCAACAGAATTGGCTGATCCAAAAAGTGGAACTCAATCTCCGCCAATCTGTCCAGATAAATCTGTCGGGTCCGATTCCGCTTGAAGTTTGCGTTTTGCAGCATACGTTCGGCCGTTTTCTTAATCGTTCTTCCTTCCTCGACGAATTTTGCTTTCAGCTGATCAAATCGCTCCTTGTCTTGCATCTCCGCTTCGTAGGCAATTTTGGAAACTTGAAAGGGAAACGCCTCTCGAATGTATTCTTCACAGTGGGGAAACTTTCGCGTTTGGAGAGTTTGATCGGTTAAATACTCCATTAGATGATTCAGAAAGTTGGCACGATGAGCAGACTGGCTGGGCTGAAAAAAGTCGGTTGAGCCTGAACTCTCCCCCTTTTCTGAACTTTCCCCCAATCTGAACTCTACCCCTTTTTCAACTCTACCCCAAAAAAGGCTGAACTCTCCCCCTTTTTTGAACACTCCCCCATTTTGAACATTGAAAAAACGAGGTGTGACATGTTTATACGATGGAATTTTTTTTTCCAAATTGAAAAAACGAGGTGTGATATCTTACGCAACGAAATTTTTTTTCAAATTGAAAAAAAATAAGGTGTGACATCTTATACGATGGAACTTTTTTTCAATTTTGAAGCGGCCTTTTAGATGATCTGCCCGTTCGTAGCCTTTCGCCATGTAATTCCGGTCGTAGGAGACCCGATTTGCACATCCTCCAACGACACGGCAATAGTTCTGCCTGAAGATTATTATGTATTCAATCAACCCCGGTCCACAGTATTAATCACTCGCCACCAACATATACCAGTCTTTCGGGAAAATAATATGGATTTATCGCAGTGAAATTCTCACCTCGTCGTCTCAATCTGGCAATAAAAGCGATGAAGGGCGCTTTCAAGGCTCGATTAATCCACATTATTTTCCCGACGAACTGATATGTTCATATGATGCACAAATAACTTACCAAGCTTTTCCTTGGTCGACCTTTGGTGGAATCGTCAAAACTAATTTCCCCTTTGAAGCACCGAAAGCCCATGAATTAAAAATCGGGGCTCCCGTTTCAAACAGATAGGTGTACATTTCCAAGACCAGGTTGGTAAAACGGACGTCGTCATTGGCGACAACTTCGTTCTTCAATGGGAAAGTTAAACCTTTCGTTTTGAAAGACATCACAATCCAATTGTATATATTTGTACGTCCCGGTTCGTCCATCACGGCGGGATTCTTCACGCAGTCTGCGAACAACTTCTTAACTTCCTTGACGTTTCGGATCTGAAATAGAAAAAAATGAGCGTAAAGACAAAAAAAAAGAACTAACAAGGGAAGTACCCCAAGTGCGACGCTCAGATTTTCTTTAAATTTTGCACACACGTCGGGAATAGACTAAATATCAATTCCTGAAAGTTTTAGCTCGCGCTTTGCAGGCGCCGCAGAGATATCGGACGATTTAGGCTGCCGAGAGAGCACGCTAAACGTGGAGAGCGGTCAGAGAGAAAAACGCTTTTTGGCCATAACTTTGGCAGTTTCGCGCGGAAAAATTTGACTTTTTGTAGAAAAATTATCTTTTACGGTAGAAATAAACATGAAACTTTTCGTGCTGAAATTCGGCAAAAAGTCATAAATTTTCGCCGACTTTCGATCTTAAAATCTTGGTTGTTTCTGCAAAGCGCGAGCTAGGATTCTCGCATATATCTTAGAAAAAATTATTCTAAATTTGTGCCAAGTTTCATCAAAATCTGAGCGTCGCACTTGGGGTACTTCCCCTGTAAGTCAAGATCAAAAAGCGTTTCGTCATAATAATGAGTACCTCATCTCCAATGTTTGATTCCATTAGATGTCTCGTTCCGTTACGATCATCATAATTATATGTGGGATTTCCGGCAGCATAAGTGTAGAAATCGTTGCAAGGATCAGCTCTTGTGTCCATAGTTCTTTTTATGAGATCCAGCTTCGCTCGCATCGCATCATGATGATGAAGGGCCTGGACGGCAACGTTTTGCAGGAGAACTGCCCACAGAAAGAGCCGGCCGGTCATCTCAAATGACCTTCGAATGGACGGGGCCCAGTTTAGTGTCGACTTTTAAACCCTTCCTTTAGTGGGAAATTTGAATAAAAAACACGAATCTTGCTCATTTGTGGGAAATTGTCAGGGCTTTTGAAAACTTTGGGAGGGCCGAAAAATCACTCAATTTAAAAAATTTTCTGTAAATTTTTAAAATAATTAGGAAATTTTTAAATTAACTAGGGAAGTGTACAAACGAACCCTCACCAAATGGCAAGTGTTATACACCATTGGAAAGCCCTTGAAAAATGGTGAAAGGTACCATTTTCATTTTTTGCAGAATGCCTCAGGGCAAAAAATTATAAACGGTTGATTTGTTCCTTGAGTAGTTACAATATCTGCTGTGGGGCAAAATAAATCTTATTTCAAAACGCTAAATGGTAAATATTGCTACTAGGTTGGCCTAAGAATCATTATGAAGTTTGGCGCTTACCAGTAAAACCATTTTACATATGATATTTACTGGTTTTAAACACCCATAACGTGAAAAAACACTTTTAACTTTTTTTAATTTTGAAAAACATGTAAGTTTGATGGTTTTAACCGTAATCGACCGTTTTCTAGAAAAAATAAAGCGTTTGTAAAGGTTTAACTCAAATATTATCCTAACTGTAAGAACGCAAAACGTTTTTTCCCAAGCTGGGAATCGAACCTAGCTTGGTTTGGCTTATCAGCCTGCTCCGCAATCACTGCACTATTGAAGCAACCCTCTTCGAGGATTTTTATCCGCTCAAGAGAAAGAAAGATTTTTGTTGCGAAATGACCTAAAAATAATATAATTTACAGTGTGTCGTCGCGGAAAGGCATTCTGCAAAAAATGAAAATGGTGCCTTGCACCATTTTTCAAGGGCTTTCCAATGGTGTATACCACTTGCGATTTGGTGAGGGTTCGTTTGTACACTTCCCTAGTAAGCTTATTTCAAGAAACAAAAGTGACACAGGCGGTGATTATTATGTCGTTGTGTTCACAAACAACAGTAGATTGCCTACCATACGCAGCTACAGCCAACACTTTCTACTATTGGAAAATTGAGTCTGAAAAGCATGAGTGCAGCAGTTCTCATGTTATTTACACCACCACCAAGGTACCCCCGCCCGTGCTTCAGCGCGAATTAAAATAACATCTAGGGCTCTTGTGCGTCCTATTTTCATGTTTAATAGGCGTACACATCTGCTTTTCCAAAGTACATACCCATTTTAACATCAGCAAGCAAATTTTTTTTTGATGTCTAGTACAATATTGGGGTAGTGGGGTAGCAGGTGGATTTTTTGCAGCCTTGCTATATACGGCTTAAAAGCGCAATTCCTGATCTTCAAAACCGTATGTCTAACATATCTCGTAATGCGTTACAAAGCTCACAGGAATTTGCACAAGTCAATAAAAAAAAAACAAACAAAAAATTAAAATAAAAAAAAAAAAACTCTTGCTATATTTTTTTGTCAAGAAAAAGGTTGATTTTTTATATAATTCTTTATTATAATTAGTAAGTTTAATTTCCAATTAAAAAGTTTAAGAATTAATTTTTACATAATGTTCAGTCAAGGCTCGAAATAATTTTTTCTTTATTCACGATAAAATATTTTCACTTCATCTGGAGGACTTTTCTAGTCTAGAGAAACTCTTGGGTTCCGCCCGTGGTCTTGAACATAAGCGATGAGTTTTTATTGGTCAGAACAGAACGATCGACAGACTCAGTTCTCTGCTTTCGATTCTTTCCTTTCTTGGCTTTCTGAAAAAAAAGTTGTTAATTTTTTTTCCATATTTTTTGTAAAAATAAAAAAAAATCTGGCACTGTGCAAAAATTGATTACCCATTGCACAGTGCAGTCACAATTTTTTCAATTTCCTCCCTTACCTTGGACGACTTCGTGTTTCCCATTGAAGAGTGAGGATCCGTCTTTGTCTCCACATCAGTACCACTCGTCTTGGTCCATTTTCTCGTCGACCTACGACGACGCTTATTCGAGGCCTTCAACTTTCTCTCATTTGTCTTTTCTTTCTAAAAACCCGGTACATTTATTGGACCTAAACAAGTTCTTTACCTTATCCTTTCTTCTTCTGTAGAGCAGCGCAATTACAATGGAACAAAGGCAGAGAAGGAGTAGCAAGCCAAGGAACGAGCCAGTGAAAACGTAGATAGTTGAGTAGTCAGCTGGCATAACTAACTTTTCAGAGCTAAAAATAAAAGATATTTACGTTTCGAAGGGCTTTAAAACCATTGGCCAGCTCTAAAATAACGTACTGTGCAGGCAACTTTGTGATGACGTAAGACATATTATCTGTACTTGACTTGATATTGGGATCAATTGTGGTTGGGGATAGAGTAGACGGCACTGTAGTGGATGATGTACTGGTAGACTTGGTCAAACTAGTTGTTGGAGTGGTTGTGGTGGGGGTGGTGGCGGTGGTGGTAGTTGGAGTGGTTGTGGTGGTGGTGGTGGTAGTTGGAGTGGTTGTGGTGGTGGTGGTGGTAGTGGTGGTTGTTGTTGTTGTAGTCTGAAAATTTCTGCGTCACAATCGGGCGGCGCCACAACCCAAAGGCTCGCAAAAGCCGCAGTGTGCGCAAAAATTTCGATGGCACAGTGCAATTCATTTCTTTGTGCACTGTGCACTCTGTCAATCGCAGAACAGGGAAAAACCTTTCCCATCGCACAGTGCAGTCACAAAGAGAAAACAAAATTTTGTTTATGCCCATAAACTCACCGGAGTAGTCGTGGTAGTGGTGGTAGTCGTGGTGGTCTGAAGATAAGATAAAACTTACAGCGTCATTTGAACCGAAACTTTTTTTCTGCACTGTGTCGCAGAGTAAATGAAAAATTCGCAAGAAAACTATACCGTGGTAGTGGTAGTTGTGGTGGTCGTAGTGGTCGTGCTCGTCGTTGTTGTCTAAATAAAGTTTCGCACTCTGCGGCTGAGAACAAACTTTGCTTTGCACCGTGCATCGAAAATAAAAATAATTTCCACCTACCGTAGGTGGCTGGACTTCAAAACGGACATACGCACGTTCATCGTAACGATATTTCTGAAACATCGGGTCGCAGTTTCTTCCATGCCATCCGAACATCCTCTAAAACATTGTTAGAATTCGCAAAAAAAGGTGAAACAACTTACAAGCGGATAAATAACGCCGGGTTTGGTTCTGGCAAATATTCCAATTGATGGGTTGCATTGCTGGTCGTACATTCCCTGAAAAAAATGAAAAAATATTTTTTTTACACCTAACTAAAACAAAATCTTGATATTTCCTGCCGTAAAATCAAATTTTTCACATTTCCTTACCCTGGAAAAAATTTGAAAAGCCTGCCGACAAATCCCCGTGTAGGGTATATAATACATAATATCCACATCGCGAATGTAGAGGGTGGAATCGGTTAGGTCATTCTGGCTGGTCCATCCTCGTAGTTCAGAAATTATATCGAATTCGCCGGGCTTGCCCCGACTTCGTAAAAACCAATGCTCCATAGGATGTACGGCTGTAGTAAGGTTAGATCTCCAATAATACAACTCGTCTCTGATCATATAGACTGTTTTATCTATTTGGTTAAATCCAGGCATCTCAAAACTTTGTTCGGGCGCGTCTCGCCAGAAGTAAAAAGATTTGCTGAAAAGATTACTGCGACTTCAAAAAAAAACTTAAGTTTTGACAAGTTCCACCGAAATGTGAGCGTCGAACTTAGAGTAAAAAACAACTTTTGGTTAATACTTACCCACCGCGAGAGTAAATAAGTGCAATCCGGTCAAAGTTTTCGGAGAAGAATGTCCAGTAAAAGTCCGAGTCCGAAGGGCCGTTATCTGGATACAAACGAACAGGCCTGAAATCACAAAAAAAATTTTGTATTCACTGTCAGCTCAAAATTTCAAAATCAGTCGAATTTCAAAAGCAAAAAAAAACTCACTCTGAGGTTTTATTCCATTCTTTTTTTTCGAAGTCGAATGTGTAATTCAGAAGATGCGGTTGTCCATAGTTCTCGACTGAAAAAACCTCGGCACGTTTCACACCCTCAGGCATGTACTTGGCCAGATCCGCGCAATTGAAGAGCATATTTGCTATGCGCGGGCCATGTTGTGTGAAAGCCAAGGTCCCTGAAATTAGGGCGATCACGAGAATTGGGACCTCCATCAGGAAGCGACTGGTCGGCCCAAAATTTCGCGAGGAAAGTGGGAAAAAGAAAGTTGAAGCTTCAAAAAATGCATGGATTTGGGAGAAAATTTGCATAAAATTTTGGACTAAAAATTTTTTTGGGAACCCCAGGAAAATGGAAAAAAAATTTGCACTGTCCAATAGGCCAACCTGACATTTTTCGCACCGTGCAAACGCCAAAGAAGAGCCCGGCGACTTTCCAGAAGGACTATTAGTCCTGACTAGACATGGCTAGTGGGCCGAGCCGAACAAGTTTGAAAGGCATAAATCGGGGGTCTCTTTCAACTCGGGATCACTTTCGAAGGAAACCATAAATACTGCATTCATTACGAGATATAACAGATTTTTCTGTTATAACAATCGACAACGAATTTTTGAAACAAAAAAATTACCAACCATCGCCTAAAGTACAGGGTGGGCCACTCGAAACTCCCAACCTCTTTTCAGGTATTTCTCCGCCAATAATGCACCAATTTCTGTAAAATTTATATCAAATTGAAGCTGAGACACCCCGTTTCTTGTCCACCAAATATGGCCAACTTCATGGGGGCACTCGCACTGACCTTTTCCATTTTCATTCCAATTTTTGGAGCCCGAAATCGGTGAAACTTAGAAATTTTTTGGAATGATTTTCAATTGAGTTTCTCGGACTTAGAAAATTTTTGGATTTCCAGCAAGAAAAAAGTCGACAAATTCGCGGAAAAAAATTTCAAACATTGAACTTTACGTCCGTACCAAGTGCGTCAAACCCATATCTCAATCAGGCGAGGTACCAATTTGGGCGAATGAGAACGAAAGCTGTTTTCTCGGGCAATCTAAGCCTGGAAAGTTTCTATGCACCTTCGGGGTGGATGTGCTCATGCATGCAGACAGTTTCGCCCATTTTTTTCACATTTTGGAAAATTTCGAATAATTAAGCCTATTGCCCCAGGACACAAAATCAACGCCTAGAAGAATAATTTTGACTATTCCGTTAACTGCCATCATTTTTTTCTGCTTCTTATAAGAGTTTTGTTTAGTCAAAGGCGCGAACATTTTCCAATTCCGAGAAACTAAACTGGAAATCGTTCCAAACATTTTCTAAGTTTCACCGATTTCGGGCTCAAAAATTTGGAATGAAAATGTAAAAGGTCAGTACGGGTGCCTCCGTGAAGTTAGACGGGCCATATTTGGCGAACAAGAAATGGGGTGTCTCAGCTTCAATTTGATACAAATTTTACAGAAATTGGTGCATTATTGGCGGAGAAATCCTGGAAAGAGCTTGGGAGTTTCGAGTGGCCCACCCTGTACTTTAGGCGATGGTTGGTAATAATTTTTCACATGACGTCCAGTGATGACATCGCTCTGACTTATGGCCCATAGCATAGCTATCTTGCTACAATTGAGACCTGTTTCTTGCTCTATATGAGACCCAGAGATGGTGGAGTTGGAAGCTCGGCGGATTTCTTTGCCTCAACCCTGCCGCGGTAGTAAACCTTTTTTGCCAGAACGTTTAGATGTGTTGAAGACTTCCGAGTGAGCCGAGTAGATCTTCACAACTGAACGGCTTACCTGAGCCGAAATCTGCCACAATTAAGGTGTTTGCCGTTTCAGGGCCGTAATTCCGCCCGTCTCAAATTTTGCCACCGTTTTTCCTCGTACGATGACAGTAGGACCCCTAAAAATACCACCAAGCAGAATAACTTACGTTGCTTCACCGCCAGCGGCAAGAAAATTGCAAAACATTGCGCGAATTTATAATTTTGTCGCAAAGAAAATCACCAAAATTTCGGTTTTTTCAACCTTTTTCTAAATTGTGGAAACTCCGAAATAATTTTTTGGCACAAGATTTATAGTACACTAATACATTTTGGAGCCAAATATGGCACAGTTTTATTGACAACCACAAAAGTTACAGCGATTTTAAAAGTGCATTTATATACTCCCGGACATAAATTTCTGACCACCCATATCTCAAGTGAATCTAACGGAATCACTTTGAAACTAGGCATGTATACTAGTCATAGCAGGCAGAGTCTGCCACATAAAAATGTTTTTTGTATTTTTGTCCTTAGGCAAGTTATGCAGGTTTTTTAAAAAATTGGTGGACAAAACTTTCTGATCACCTAAAATAACTAAAGTTTTCTCAGTTACCTTACGCAAGCAACGTGATTCAGTCATCTTAAAGCACTATTTAGGGACGTACAAGGACGGTGAGTATACTTTTTTCCACGAAATTCGGCGTTTGCCCTCAAGCCACTCGTATTCTCGTAGCGCTCTTTTTCTCGTTAAAACCATGCCCTAAGCGGCAACGACGACTCTTTTGTTTTAGAAAAAGCAATAAGAGACTCGTTGGAGTTAGTGATACATGATCTTACTGCCCTGCGATGTGAAGTATGCCATTAACGCCTTAAGCAAACCACTTGATAGAAGCCGATCTCTAAATAATTCATTATAACCGCAGGCGTTTTTATTAAATCAGTCTGGAAATCCCCTACAGTACTTTTTGGTGCACACTGAAGAACGTAGGATAACAATCTCCCATTATCTTTGCATTTCATGCGCGCACTGACGCAAAATCTGAAAAAAACGCAACTATTCCGATTTTGTAATTACGAAATGGTCAAAAATTGCCAAAAAATCCTCAAGTTTACGTTTTCCTGGAGTTTCACCTCGACATTTCATAAGCCCGGGTCAGCACCAATATAGCTTTATTTTGCATTATGTAGGGCTAAGCCATGTTTAATTTCAGCCAGGTTGGGCTGATTCTGAAAAAGTTACAGGCCGCTAAAGTCCGGCCGGCTGGTCAGTTTTGTAATGCTTTTGCACATGCTTGATGAAATCCTTAACATCCCTCGGTATGATGGACGGAGATTGACTATGTGTAATCAATTACATAATCCTGTGCGTTTTTTATCCTTCTAGCCCACCGCAAGCCGTCGTATACTAACAAAATTGCGTAATGCGCAGAATGCATAACCCCTTGCGACGTATGTTGCTACTCCCCGATTTTTTGCCATAGATATATGTGTCTATGTCTGTGCTATGCAGTATTATCGGTTTCAGCCCCGTATCAAACATTTTTCGGCAGTTGCAAACAATTTACCTAAGTGATCAGAACGTTTTGTCCACCATTTTTTTTAAAATGCCCAAACAAATGCCCTTAAAGTGCAAATATAAAAAATTCCGTTTTTCCACATGCTTTGTAGCTCTTTCTGATTGGGCAGTTAAAATTTGGACCATGTAGCTCAGTTAACAGCCGAGCTACAGGGTGGTCAGAGAGATATGTCCGGGAGTATAATTTTGTGATCAGTGTATAACCCGAAAAAGTGAGGTCTCCTCTAAGTCTTAGACAAACTTGTAACTGCTAACTCAACGACGAAAAAAGGAAAAAAGCGGACTTACATTATCTATGGTCATTAATTTCGCCACAATCAGATTAGTGTTTTGACGAGACAAAGCCACATTGTTCCTTGATCAACGCCAGTGATTCGAGCAGTAAGACGCGACTGTCGATTTTCAGAGGTTCATTGCTAAAGTTATGTCTTGAAGAAGGTCAGGAATAACGGAAACCAAGTGCAAATTGTTTTAAGTGCGATATTTTTCAACAAAAAAACGAATATAACATAACTCAATCAAAAGACATTCACACGGCAAATTCAAACAAATGGCTAATACATCTCATTCCAAACTTGATTACCCCATTCAGAGGGTGTAAACGAGGGCCGACTATGTCCACTGCGTCCATTTCTATCTTCTCCATGAAGTCTTTGTTGACCATTTTGAACTTGCTGAATTTCAGATGTCCCTGGAGCTTGATCAAAGCTCTGAATGCGATTTTCATGCCGTGTTTGGTCCTTTCCGGCTTTAACGACGACATATGGGGCCCTATTCTTGCTAATTTTTCCATTTTTTATCTTCTCCATGAGGTCCACTTCCAACTTTAAAACCGTCTCCAAATGGCCTATTTTTCTTTGTTAGAACATCTCCAGCATTTCCATTAGTTCGAAAATGTCCTCTCTCCTCTTGCTGGGAGACAATTTCGCCTTTTTCTTGACCTTTTCGCCTTGATTATCTTCTCCATGACATCCATTTTGGTCAATTTTACCTAAACTGATTATAGCGAAACATTTGAGGATTCTTATGCATGGAAAATATAACAACCCGTAAGAGTGATGTCTCCTCTAAGTCTTAGGCAAACTTGTAACTGCTAACTCAACGATGAAAAAACGAAAAAAGCGGACTTACATTATCTATGGTCTGCGAATTGGATGTTTCTCTTTGTTTCCCTAAAACAAAATCAACATTTTTGGCATAAAATAAAAGAAGAACATCTCCTCTTGCTAATAATAACTTAATTGACCACTTTTCAGTCCATCTTCATGGGGAAAGAGGCTGCACAATATGTCAAGAAAATAAAAATAATTATTTTCAGGAGAGAGAAACTTGACACATCAGGGAAAGACTTGGCGTCAACCTGCAGTGCGCGCTGCATGTCTCAAAATTAACTCCGCGGACTTTGCGAACGGACTACATAATGTTCAGTCAAGGCTCGAAATAATTTTTTCTTTATTCGCGATAAAATATTTTCGCTTCATCTGGAGGACTTTTCTAGTCTAGAGAAACTCTTGGGTTCCGCCCGTGGTCTTGAACATAAGCGATGAGTTTTTATTGGTCAGAACAGAACGATCGACAGACTCAGTTCTTTGCTTTCGATTCTTTCCCTTCTTGGCTTTCTGAAAAAAAAGTTGTTAAATTTTTTTCCATATTTTTTGTAAAAATAAAAAAAAATCTGGCACTGTGCAAAAATTGATTACCCATTGCACAGTGCAGTCACAATTTTTTCAATTTCCTCCCTTACCTTGGACGACTTCGTGTTTCCCATCGAAGAGTGAGGATCCGTCTTTGTCTCCACATCAGTACCACTCGTCTTTGTCCATTTTCTCGTCGACCTACGACGACGCTTATTCGAGGCCTTCAACTTTCTCTCATTTGTCTTTTCTTCCTAAAAACCCGGTGCATTTATGGAACCTAAACAACTTCTTTACCTTATCCTTTCTTCTTCTGTAGAGCAGCGCAATTACAATGGAACAAAGGCAGAGAAGGAGTAGCAAGCCAAGGAACGAGCCAGTGAAAACGTAGATAGTTGAGTAGTCAGCTGGCATAACTAACTTTTCAGAGCTAAAAATAAAAGATATTTACGTTTCGAAGGGCTTTAAAACCATTGGCCAGCTCTAAAATAACGTACTGTGCAGGCAACTTTGTGATGACGTAAGACATATTATCTGTACTTGACTTGATATTGGGATCAATTGTGGTTGGGGATAGAGTAGACGGCACTGTAGTGGATGATGTACTGGTAGACTTGGTCATAGTAGTTGTTGGAGTGGTGGTGGTGGTGGTGGTGGTGGTGGTGGTGGTGGTGGTGGTGGTGGTGGTGGTGGTGGTGGTAGTTGGAGTGGTTGTGGTGGGGGTGGTGGCGGTGGTGGTAGTTGGAGTGGTTGTGGTGGTGGTGGTGGTAGTGGTGGTTGTTGTTGTTGTAGTCTGAAAATTTCTGCGTCACAATCGGGCGGCGCCACAACCCAAAGGCTCGCAAAAGCCGCAGTGTGCGCAAAAATTTCGATGGCACAGTGCACGTCAATCCAGCGCATTTCCTGAACCGTTTCGAAACTTCGTACCGTTTTCATTGGTTTAAAAGAGAGACGAAATGTCGCGAAATTATCGGCACTTTTTCTCGCCCGAAATAATTGTTTTTTTCTCGAAAAGGAAGAAGAAAGATAAGAAAATGCGTTTTATCGGATTTTGAACGAATCACCAAAAAAGGGGCGGGAAATTTTTTCTTCTATTTTGGATTGACGTGCAGTGCAATTTATTTCTTTGTGCACTGTGCACTCTGTCAATCGCAGAACAGGGAAAAGCCTTTCCCATCGCACAGTGCAGTCACAAAGAGAAAACAAAATTTTGTTTATGCCCATAAACTCACCGGAGTAGTCGTGGTAGTGGTGGTAGTCGTGGTGGTCTGAAGATAAGATAAAACTTACAGCGTCATTTGAACCGAAACTTTTTTTCTGCACTGTGTCGCAGAGTAAATGAAAAATTCGCAAGAAAACTATACCGTGGTAGTGGTAGTTGTGGTGGTCGTAGTGGTCGTGCTCGTCGTTGTTGTCTAAATAAAGTTTCGCACTCTGCGGCTGAGAACAAACTTTGCTTTGCACCGTGCATAGAAAATAAATAAAAATAATTTCCACCTACCGTAGGCGGCTGGACTTCAAAACGGACATACGCACGTTCATCGTAACGATATTTCTGAAACATCGGGTCGCAGTTTCTTCCATGCCATCCGAACATCCTCTAAAACATTGTTAGAATTCGCAAAAAAAGGTGAAACAACTTACAAGCGGATAAATAACGCCGGGTTTGGTTCTGGCAAATATTCCAATTGATGGGTTGCATTGCTGGTCGTACATTCCCTGAAAAAAATGAAAAAATATTTTTTTTACACCTAACTAAAACAAAATCTTGATATTTCCTGCCGTAAAATCAAATTTTTCACATTTCCTTACCCTGGAAAAAATTTGAAAAGCCTGCCGACAAATCCCCGTGTAGGGTATATAATACATAATATCCACATCGCGAATGTAGAGGGTGGAATCGGTTAGGTCATCCTGGCTGGTCCATCCTCGTAGTTCAGAAATTATATCGAATTCGCCGGGCTTGCCCCGACTTCGTAAAAACCAATGCTCCATAGGATGTACGGCTGTAGTAAGGTTAGATCTCCAATAATACAACTCGTCTCTGATCATATAGACTGTTTTATCTATTTGGTTAAATCCAGGCATCTCAAAACTTTGTTCGGGCGCGTCTCGCCAGAAGTAAAAAGATTTGCTGAAAAGATTACTGCGACTTCAAAAAAAACTTAAGTTTTGACAAGTTCCACCGAAATGTGAGCGTCGAACTTAGAGTAAAAAACAACTTTTGGTTAATACTTACCCACCGCGAGAGTAAATAAGTGCAATCCGGTCAAAGTTTTCGGAGAAGAATGTCCAGTAAAAGTCCGAGTCCGAAGGGCCGTTATCTGGATACAAACGAACAGGCCTGAAATCACAAAAAAAATTTTGTATTCACTGTCAGCTCAAAATTTCAAAATCAGTCGAATTTCAAAAGCAAAAAAAAACTCACTCTGAGGTTTTATTCCATTCTTTTTTTTCGAAGTCGAATGTGTAATTCAGAAGATGCGGTTGTCCATAGTTCTCGACTGAAAAAACCTCGGCACGTTTCACACCCTCAGGCATGTACTTGGCCAGATCCGCGCAATTGAAGAGCATATTTGCTATGCGCGGGCCATGTTGTGTGAAAGCCAAGGTCCCTGAAATTAGGGCGATCACGAGAATTGGGACCTCCATCAGGAAGCGACTGGTCGGCCCAAAATTTCGCGAGGAAAGTGGGAAAAAGAAAGTTGAAGCTTCAAAAAATGCATGGATTTGGGAGAAAATTTGCATAAAATTTTGGACTAAAAATTTTTTTGGAACTCCAGGAAAATGGAAAAAAAATTTGCACTGTGCAATAGGCCAACCTGAAAGCATCGGAAGGCATATAGGAGGTGCACCCCGAACTTCTTAGATTGATAGAAGAAGAGAAAAGAAATTATATTGTACTAGGCAAAATTGGATCAAAATCGATGAATCTGACCGAATTCGAGCTCTTCCGAGGTTTACAAGAGTAGCAGGGCTTTGATCCTGCTACAACAGACCACTACTAAATTGAAATTCATCAAATCTTCTTTATTTCCACCTAAACATCAAACCAAGAATAATTAAAATTACATACGCCTTCTCCAGTCCTTTCCTGCGTTTCTCCGTCAGTTCCCGCAACATGATGCAATAATGAACTGACAAGTGCCCTTTTTCAACTGTGAAATTTCCAGATTTCTTCTTTATTACGTCCGCTAGGATGTTCCACACAATATCCATCGCTCAACGTACCACTAAAGAGCTCAAAAGAAAGAGAAATCTTACATTTCCTGAAGGCACGTCGATAGATGGAAGATCAATGTTTGGGTCATTGCTAGATGTGCCGGGCTCCATGGATTCATCCATTTTATTCAACCAGACGTTCCTGCCGATCTCTGCTAACTTTATCTTCCTTTGCTTTATCTGCTTCAGCTTGTTTCGTGCCTTCACCAGCCCTTTCTTGCGTTTCTCCCTCAGTTCCGGGTCATTTAGCTAAAACCTCAAAAATCAAACAAATAGTACTCACAATTTGTTTTCTTCTTTGACGTGACCTTTCTGGGTGAGAAACTGGAGTTCCAATGGTGAGCGGGACAAGGCAAGTTCCATTTCGTTGTTCCACAGGTCTCCAAAGGTATTTTTGAGCTTTACCTGCCTATACCCGAATTATTTGACAGGAAACATCTAAAATACAGAGAAATTAAAAACAAAAAAAATCTAAAAAAAAATAGTCGAAAACGCGTGGAAATTCAAGTGTCCAAACAATAAAAACAAGAAAGGAGCGCGACATCGTGCATTTTCGTTCCTGATTGTGTTTGATCCCATTTGTTTATGCTTTGCTTTTCTTTTAGGTAAAAGTATGTTATCCAAGGCCAACAATGATGGTTTTTGCCTTTTTTTCGCTCGGGACAAGAGAAAAAACGGGTAAAAATTGGAATATCTTTACGTTAGCTATTTTTTATTAGATCATAAACTAGAGGTACTGAGTCGATTTCTCTCGAGCCTTCTATTTTCTGTCGAATTTTACGTAAAAAAGGGCAAAGAGAAGTGAAAATAGTCTTTAGTCCAGATTGCTGTCTACAACTCGGGTCGTTGGATTTTGAAGGGACGGGTCCAATCAGAAGTTGTTTGCAGCGCACGACTCAAAAGGGAGCTGTATTACATCAGGTTCGTGGATTACGTGCTGTAATTTAGGCATAAACAATATTTCCCGGCGGCAGGTAAGCTATTTTCACTTCTCTTTGCCCTTTTTTAGGTAAAATTCGACAGAAAATAGAAGGCTCGAGAGAAATCGACTCAGTACCTCTAGTTTATGATCTAAAAAATAGCTAACGTAAAGATATTCCAATTTTTACCCGTTTTTTCTCTTGTCCCGAGCGAAAAAAAGGCAAAAACCATCATTGTTGGCCTTGGATAACATACTTTTACCTAAAAGAAAAGAAAAGCATAAACAACTTACAAATTGAACGCGGGTAACGTGGACAGGTCGGCGAAAAAATGACTGGTCGAATAACAACAGGTTGCAAAACATTTCCTGGCAAAAACGTAGAAATTTCTCGAAACGCGAGAATACGAAACATGCAAAAAAAAAAAACGAAAATTTCTGGCCGAAAATGTGAATTTTTTCGCGATGGGATCAAACACAATCAGGAACGAAAATGCACGATGTCGTGCTCCTTTCTTGTTTTTATTGTTTGGACACTTGAATTTCCACGCGTTTTCGACTATTTTTTTTAGATTTTTTTTGTTTTTAATTTCTCTGTATTTTAGATGTTTCCTGTCAAATAATTCGGGTATAGGCAGGTAAAGCTCAAAAATACCTTTGGAGACCTGTGGAACAACGAAATGGAACTTGCCTTGTCCCGCTCACCATTGGAACTCCAGTTTCTCACCCAGAAAGGTCACGTCAAAGAAGAAAACAAATTGTGAGTACTATTTGTTTGATTTTTGAGGTTTTAGCTAAATGACCCGGAACTGAGGGAGAAACGCAAGAAAGGGCTGGTGAAGGCACGAAACAAGCTGAAGCAGATAAAGCAAAGGAAGATAAAGTTAGCAGAGATCGGCAGGAACGTCTGGTTGAATAAAATGGATGAATCCATGGAGCCCGGCACATCTAGCAATGACCCAAACATTGATCTTCCATCTATCGACGTGCCTCCAGGAAATGTAAGATTTCTCTTTCTTTTGAGCTCTTTAGTGGTACGTTGAGCGATGGATATTGTGTGGAACATCCTAGCGGACGTAATAAAGAAGAAATCTGGAAATTTCAAAGTTGAAAAAGGGCACTTGTCAGTTCATTATTGCATCATGTTGCGGGAACTGACGGAGAAACGCAGGAAAGGACTGGAGAAGGCGTATGTAATTTTAATTATTCTTGGTTTGATGTTTAGGTGGAAATAAAGAAGATTTGATGAATTTCAATTTAGTAGTGGTCTGTTGTAGCAGGATCAAAGCCCTGCTACTCTTGTAAACCTCGAAAGAGCTCGAATTCGGTCAGATTCATCGATTTTGATCCAATTTTGCCTAGTACAATATAATTTCTTTTCTCTTCTTCTATCAATCTAAGAAGTTCGGGGTGCACCTCCTATATGCCTTTCGATGCTTTCAGGTTGGCCTATTGCACAGTGCAAATTTTTTTTCCATTTTCCTGGAGTTCCCAAAAAAATTTTTAGTCCAAAATTTTATGCAAATTTTTTCCCAAATCCATGCATTTTTTGAAGCTTCAACTTTCTTTTTCCCACTTTCCTCGCGAAATTTTGGGCCGACCAGTCGCTTCCTGATGAAGGTCCCAATTCTCGTGATCGCCCTAATTTCAGGGACCTTGGCTTTCACACAACATGGCCCGCGCATAGCAAATATGCTCTTCAATTGCGCGGATCTGGCCAAGTACATGCCTGAGGGTGTGAAACGTGCCGAGGTTTTTTCAGTCGAGAACTATGGACAACCGCATCTTCTGAATTACACATTCGACTTCGAAAAAAAAGAATGGAATAAAACCTCAGAGTGAGTTTTTTTTTGCTTTTGAAATTCGACTGATTTTGAAATTTTGAGCTGACAGTGAATACAAAATTTTTTTTGTGATTTCAGGCCTGTTCGTTTGTATCCAGATAACGGCCCTTCGGACTCGGACTTTTACTGGACATTCTTCTCCGAAAACTTTGACCGGATTGCACTTATTTACTCTCGCGGTGGGTAAGTATTAACCAAAAGTTGTTTTTTTACTCTAAGTTCGACGCTCACTTTTCGGTGGAACTTGTCAAAACTTAAGTTTTTTTTTGAAGTCGCAGTAATCTTTTCAGCAAATCTTTTTACTTCTGGCGAGACGCGCCCGAACAAAGTTTTGAGATGCCTGGATTTAACCAAGTAGATAAAACAGTCTATATGATCAGAGGCGAGTTGTATTATTGGAGATATAACCTTACTGCAGTCACACAGCCTCTGGAGCATTGGTTTTTACGAAGTCGGGGCAAGCCCGGCGAATTCGAAATAATTTATGAACTACGAGGATGGCTCGACGTGATTCACCTAACCGATTCCACCCTCTACATTCACGATGCGGATATTATGTATTATATAACCTACACGGGGATTTGTGAGCAGCTTTTTCAAATTTTTTCCAGGGTAAGGAAATGTGAAAAATTTGATTTTACGGCAGGAAATATCAAGATTTTGTTTTAGTTAGGTGTAAAAAAAATATTTTTTCATTTTTTTTCAGGGAATGCACGACCAGCCATGCAACAACTCAATTGGAATTTTTGCCAGAGCCAAACCCGGCGTTATTTATCCGCTTGTAAGTTGTTTCACCTTTTTTTGCGAATTCTAACAATGTTTTAGAAGATGTTCGGATTTCATGGAAGAAACTGCGACCCGATGTTTCAGAAATATCGTTACGATGAACGTGCGTATGTCCGTTTTGAAGTCCAGCCGCCTACGGTAGGTGGAAATTATTTTTATTTATTTTCTATGCACGGTGCAAAGCAAAGTTTGTTCTCAGCCGCAGAGTGCGAAACTTTATTTAGACAACAACGACGAGCACGACCACTACGACCACCACAACTACCACTACCACGGTATAGTTTTCTTGCGAATTTTTCATTTACTCTGCGACACAGTGCAGAAAAAAAGTTTCGGTTCAAATGACGCTGTAAGTTTTATCTTATCTTCAGACCACCACGACTACCACCACTACCACGACTACTCCGGTGAGTTTATGGGCATAAACAAAATTTTGTTTTCTCTTTGTGACTGCACTGTGCGATGGGAAAGGCTTTTCCCTGTTCTGCGATTGACAGAGTGCACAGTGCACAAAGAAATGAATTGCACCGTGCCATCGAAATTTTTGCGCACACTGCGGCTTTTGCGAGCCTTTGGGTTGTGGCGCCGCCCGATTGTGACGCAGAAATTTTCAGACTACAACAACAACAACCACCACTACCACCACCACCACCACAACCACTCCAACTACCACCACCGCCACCACCCCCACCACAACCACTCCAACAACTAGTTTGACCAAGTCTACCAGTACATCATCCACTACAGTGCCGTCTACTCTATCCCCAACCACAATTGATCCCAATATCAAGTCAAGTACAGATAATATGTCTTACGTCATCACAAAGTTGCCTGCACAGTACGTGATTTTAGAGCTGGCCAACGGTTTTAAAGCCCTTCGAAACGTAAATATCTTTTATTTTTAGCTCTGAAAAGTTAGTTATGCCAGCTGACTACTCAACTATCTACGTTTTCACTGGCTCGTTCCTTGGCTTGCTACTCCTTCTCTGCCTTTGTTCCATTGTAATTGCGCTGCTCTACAGAAGAAGAAAGGATAAGGTAAAGAACTTGTTTAGGTCCAATAAATGTACCGGGTTTTTAGAAAGAAAAGACAAATGAGAGAAAGTTGAAGGCCTCGAATAAGCGTCGTCGTAGGTCGACGAGAAAATGGACAAAGACGAGTGGTACTGATGTGGAGACAAAGACGGATCCTCACTCTTCAATGGGAAACACGAAGTCGTCCAAGGTAAGGGAGGAAATTGAAAAAATTGTGACTGCACTGTGCAATGGGTAATCAATTTTTGCACAGTGCCAGATTTTTTTTTATTTTTACAAAAAATATGGAAAAAAATTAACAACTTTTTTTTCAGAAAGCCAAGAAGGGAAAGAATCGAAAGCAGAGAACTGAGTCTGTCGATCGTTCTGTTCTGACCAATAAAAACTCATCGCTTATGTTCAAGACCACGGGCGGAACCCAAGAGTTTCTCTAGACTAGAAAAGTCCTCCAGATGAAGTGAAAATATTTTATCGTAAATAAAGAAAAAATTATTTCGAGCCTTGACTGAACATTATGTAGCCCGTTCGCAGTCCGCGGAGTTAATTTTGAGACATGCAGCGCGCACTGCAGGTTGACGCCAAGTCTTTCCCTGATGTGTCAAGTTTCTCTCTCCTGAAAATAATTATTTTTATTTTCTTGACATATTGTGCAGCCTCTTTCCCCATGAAGATGGACTGAAAAGTGGTCAATTAAGTTATTATTAGCAAGAGGAGATGTTCTTCTTTTATTTTATGCCAAAAATGTTGATTTTGTTTTAGGGAAACAAAGAGAAACATCCAATTCGCAGACCATAGATAATGTAAGTCCGCTTTTTTCGTTTTTTCATCGTTGAGTTAGCAGTTACAAGTTTGCCTAAGACTTAGAGGAGACATCACTCTTACGGGTTGTTATATTTTCCATGCATAAGAATCCTCAAATGTTTCGCTATAATCAGTTTAGGTAAAATTGACCAAAATGGATGTCATGGAGAAGATAATCAAGGCGAAAAGGTCAAGAAAAAGGCGAAATTGTCTCCCAGCAAGAGGAGAGAGGACATTTTCGAACTAATGGAAATGCTGGAGATGTTCTAACAAAGAAAAATAGGCCATTTAGAGACGGTTTTAAAGTTGGAAGTGGACCTCATGGAGAAGATAAAAAATGGAAAAATTAGCAAGAATAGGGCCCAGGGGTGGTCAGCAGACCCTATTTTTCCGATTTTCGGCCCGCGGCCCGGCCCGTCTAATCACCGGCCCGGCCCGGCCCGTCTAGTCTTTTTCCAGGCCCGGCCCGGCCCGGCCCGTGACGGGCCTGGCCCGGCCCGGCCCGGCCCGTGCAGGCCCGTCTATAGAGGGTTCTGCGAACTGCGCCCAGGCTCGGGATCTAAACTGAGGCAAAAAAGGCGTTGATCTAGCTAGTAAAGGATCAATGTGATAGTTTTGTGGTTCTATAATGGAACTATAGACTTGTAAACGTGTTAGAACTTGAGAAACAGCAACTATAACAACATCAATTAATTTTCCCGGCGCGAAAACAATGAATGCCAACGGTTTGGCATTGTATTTTAGACGGGCCGGGCCGGGCCGGAAAAACCCCAGGCCCGCGGCCCGGCCCGGCCCGGCCCGTGACGGGCCCGGCCCGTTTGTCAATTTCCATTTTTGAGGCCGGCCGGCCCGCCGACCACCCCTGATAGGGCCCGCTGCGGGTCGGGCCAAGTTTTTTTTCATGGGGTGGTCAAGTCTTTCCCCTAATATTATTTTTTCCCCGAAATTCAGACTGTTATATCGGAGGTTAATCAAGGTAAATCTGGTCAGTTCTTGTTGATTATTTCAAGAACAAGTCTTATTCTACTTTTAGAAATCAAATTTGATTGAATTACGGTGTGGGTTTGCCTCAATTTTTAGCATTCTTTGGGGGTAGGTATTCTATACCTAAATGATCAATTGTGAGACAGTTTCAAGTCTGATTTACAATATCGTCTCCATTTCACCTTCGGACGTGCGCCCTCTGTCTCATAAAAGTAAGTATTTGTTATTCTGGTAGTACTTATGTTTTTAGCTTATCTCAGTTTGACGTGCAGGGTGTACCAATTTCGTGGCCCGATTTGAATTGGCTATAACTTCTTTAATTTTGGGTCAAATTATAAAATTTTTTTCCCTGCCCGCAAAGTGGTTGCCCGCAAGTGTGAGCCCGCCGTTTTCGAAGATGCTGGTCTCGAAAATTATGTTAACTTTTCCTCTAGTACTGATAGTACTATCTGATACTATGTAGTACGAGGTGAAAATAGGAGTACTAAGCACCAGAACAACGCCATTAACGTCAAAAGGCATATTAAAGTTTGCGGCAAAAAGCGAAGATCCGTAACTTCTAATTCGACATCATTGATGTGAGCACATGTAAAATAGCTCAAAAAAGGTGATAAGCTACCCAAGGACCCCATCAATCTGATTATTTCTACTAACTAAGACTTCTCCTAGCCTCTCCCATACATGCAACGACAAACCAACGAAATCCATAGTAGCGTTGACCCGAACTGTCGCTGACCTGAAAAGTCGCAGCGCCTTCAAAAATTGCCGTAGTGGCCCTTTAGCAAAACTTTTTGTTGAGTCCCGAGACGAACCTTACAACGTCATTGGCATTGTGTTTGTCCCGTTGTCAATTATTATTATTTATTCAGTGAATGTTCCGGTGTAATGCTACGTATTATTACTTTTATCTGATAATAAATCTTCCCTTATTATCTTTCTACATCTGGCTGACTTCATACCTTCACCACCACTTGTCTACATACAACAGGCGCGTGAAGTATACAACACTTTTTTTCATACATTTCGAAATTCCTGGAAACCTCGAAACCGAAATATGGAATGTCTGCGGAAGAGTCAGCATTGCTCATCAAAGCAATATGAGAAACAATATAAAATTACAATCAAAATGAAACACAATTTTGATTGACAGTCTTGCTTGCTTTTTCGGAAGACAAAACTTTGTTCAAAATTCACGATGTCCCATGGAAGTCGCTATTATTTACATCGTGGAACAATTGTGTCGGCGCTGGTCGGAACGGCGTTGCTGATCATCTCCGCAACGACCCCTCATTTCTACGTCGGCGATCGGAGCGCGTGGACTTACATTGACAAACCGGAGAACTCGTCACGAACCCATGAGGTAAGTCCAAGTCAACCTTCGGGAAACAACTCCCAACCGTCGTCTGGCCGTCCCGCAGTGCCGCCTTTGCCTTCCGCTCACCAGGTAAGTGTTCAAAGTGCGACGCACAGATTTCCCATAGAATTTCGTAGACTTCTTATCAGCATTTTCACAAAGTGCCTGGACAGTTTTTCGCTTTCACACAGCGCATCTTGAATTCTTGCCGCCAACGCACTGCGGATTTTGCGCTCAAGGGGTTATCATTCAACACGAAAAAATCCGTCTCAATGACGGTTTTTTTGGACGAGGTCAGACGAAAGGCGAAATATTGCGTAAACTGAAGAGATTTTCTATCACGAAACTGACTCATTTGACTTTTTTCGTTTTAGGCTCAAAAAATCCGCCTTGTTCCAGACTAGACACGGCTCGTCGGCCGGCCCGGGCCGTCGGCCTGAAGGGTTCCGGCCGGCCCGGCCCGTTTTAAATTTGCTTTGGCCCGGGCCGGCCCATTGAAACGAAAGTCTCCCCAAGTCTAACTCCTTATGACCAAATTTTTTTCTATCATCATGTAAATGGATAAATACTGTGTTCCATAGCTATCTAAAAACAAAAATACCTTTAAAAAAACCGATTGTGTTTTGACATTGCGTTTATTTTCATTATCAAACCCAATTTTCGCTTCGAGATTCTGGATTTAAAATATTCTGGGCTGGGCCGTGTCGAACGATTTGGCTGGGTCGGGCCGAAACGATTTGAAATCGGGCCGACGGACCGAAATTTCGGCCCGGCCCACTTTGAACGCTGCACTTTGAACACTCTCCCGGCAAACATCGTTGAAAATCTCGGCTGCCTTTGCAAAGCGCGAGCCAAAATTCGGCCTTTTTTTGGAAGCAAACAAACAATTTCTTGCAGCAGAACAGCGACAGAAGTCTCACCGCATTCAAGGTGCACAACAGTCTCCAAATCGTCGCAGTTTTAGTCTCCTACATTGGGACACACTACGGCTTGTATGGCGCCGTCCGTTCGAGTTACCGCGCCTTTCTTGTACTCCCCATCGCGACGATTTTTGCCACCGGCTTCTCCGTTTATGGGATGACCTTTTTTTTAATCACGGTGGGAGAATCGGGCGGAAAAACGGCCCTCAGCGGCTTCAGTTTTGTCGGACTCATCGTGGCACAATCTCTTTTATTGTTTTCCGGGATTATTGGGATTATTTATAGTCTACTTCCGAAGTATTAAATTGAAATAAAGAGAAGTTTTGAATGTACCATCAGAAAATGAATATTAAATTTCAAGTTGGAGGTTGTTGATTTCTTGTTTAAAACAATATAAAATGTAAGTGCCTACAGGGTTTTAATGGCCCGAGATTGTCGTGCGAGCTTGTTCGGAATCTTGCAATGCTATAATTTCTTTCCTTTCGCGCTGAGCTAGTCTTTTTTCAGAATAGACATCACCTCATCTAAAGTAATATTCTTTGAATTCGATCTCAAAAATTACGTATTTTACTGTCTGCTCTTCATGAACAGCGTAATAATGCTTAGATTTGGTTTTAAGATCTATATTCCCATGGGGTTTATCCATTTTTTCTGCAGAAAATCGCGATTTTTTTCATTTAGACGTTTCTCTGTCAAACAATAAAACAATGTTTAGACGCTGAAGATTCCTTATTTTTTATATATTAATATGAGTGGGCATTGACGTTGCTTTAGGCATGTTTGAGTAATCTTTCCAGCATTTCCTAGCTTTCGATGAAAAATTATTAATATTTAATAAAAAATGCATCTTTAAGAAAGTTCTCCTTGTTTTTTGCCTTGAATTTGCCTAACGAGGAAAATACTTCTGTGGGGTATGGAATTACCAGTCGAGACTTGCATCAAAAAGATCGATTTTTTCTGATTCAGAATATGTAAAAATTGGTTGCCCAATTTTGGTTTGTAAGGGCGAGAACACCTCACAAGGGAAGTCACTTTTTTCGCAGATCGATCCATACTGGTGACCTAGTGGACAGTGAAGGCCTCAGGCTGTGTAAGAAGAATCTGGCGTCCAAAAGTGTTTATGGGCCTGTGGGCAGAGTTATGTGTCTTCAAAGTTCGCGCAAAAAAGGTTCCGAAAAGACCCTCCAAAAAAACGGAATCATAGAGTCAGCTTCGGTGGCAGAATGGTTCGCAGATTTTTCTTTTGTCTGGAAGGGCCAGGGTTCGATTCCTCTTCCCGGCAATAACTAAAAATAATATTGTAAGAGTAGTGTATCAGTCTGTCGGAAAAAAAAACGGCGGATTGTCGCCTCAAAACGTCTCGCCTCGCCGCTGTCGCGCACCAAATCCCAATCCGCGGCTTGCAGTCGCAAAGCGATGATGGGCGATTCCGAGGCGCGACGATCCGCCGTTTTTTTTCCCGACAGACCGATAAGTTACAAAAAAAAAATGTTGAAATATTTTTTGAAAAATGTTATTATCCTGTCGTTAAAATTTGGGGAAGTCGTTGTGAGATTGGACACAGTGAGGGATGCGAGGGAATTTTTCCACCGAGGATCGCATTCAATTTCTGGAATAATGCGGCGATTACGGTGGATCAAGACGCCGTATCATTGGAGAAAACTGCGGGAACTTTGGCGTAAAGGTAGGACTGGGATTGGGGCTAAGGCAGTACAACCCCCAGTCCAGTTCAGCCCCACATGACCCAGTACAAACCCCCTCATCCAACCTGAACCGACTACTCGGGATTGGGTTCTTTCGGCTACGATCATCGCTGCCTGAACCACAAGAACGAATTTGGACGGTAACTGGGGGTTTGAGCTAAAACGCCGGGGGTCATTTTAATCTAATTTGCATTTTTTGTATTATTCTAATTTTTTCATTATGGGGGGGGGGGTTATTTTAGCATTGGAACTACTATTAATGTGTAGTGTTAATCAAATTTGATATTTTGTGAAGACGCCAGGGTTAATTTAGTTGCTCAAAGCAAAACTTTTTAATTGATAAAAACTTGGTCAAAAATGCATTTACGTGATGTTGCGAGAAAGCTTCAGAGGGTTTTTTCACCCTTACAAACCATAATTGGGCATCCAATTTTTACATATTCTGAATCATAAAAATTTTGCGATTTTCTGGTATGTGTTTCGACATGTAAATAACTCCATACCCCATATAAATCGTTGTAAAATTGAAGCGAATAATATACATATTATCATTTTCGGTTTAGACCGCTAAATCGCGGTAATCTTATCAGACTAGCCTCTAGGCTTCCTGTAAATTCTGACTATCCCCTTCTCCCTTCATAAAATTAAAAAGATTTTCGTTTTCTCTCAATCTTCAAAGCTTTCTCCACTTATCTCTAAAATAATATTCTTATGAGATCCTCGAGAAAAATGGCTCGATGTAAGATCCCCCTCGGAGCTTTGCAATGCGCACACAAAGACCAGAGAGTACCGCGGAGAGCGCTTCGGGCAATCGAACGCCACAGAATCTCTGTCTTAACGGAGGGTTGGGTCATTTCTTACTCGGGTTGGGTCACTGGAAACGTCAATCGATGTAAAGTTGCAGAGTGAGAGGATGTGGTGGAGGTGTGAGGGTGTCGGATATTATACCAGGGCGATCGAGAAGGGGATAAATTGGTTTTGTATGTTTTTTTTTGGCAATATTTTATATATATTACTTGATATTGGAGTCGAATTGAGTGGAAAAGTCGACTGTAAAAAAATGTTTGGCAATTTTTATCGACTTCGATATTATCCATGAGGTCAGATTCAAAGTTGATTAAATATAATTACTGCTCGAATCCGATATTATATCTTGGTTTTTTGAGAGCCTGATAGATGGTACTGTCGAATGATAGCGATTTTCACTTCCTTTTTCTCGTTTTTTGACCGCTTTTTTGTTGTCCTAGACATCTGATGCACACTACAATAATATTGCTGTTATCTCTCTAATTTGCCTTCTTTCAGCCTAACCCTCGTCATGGACAAGACCAACGACACATCCTTTGAGCCCGACACCTCCGAAAACAACGAGAATTTGAACATGTCGGCGATGTCTGGCGAGAATTTGAACATGTCAGCGATGTCCGGCAGCTACCCCTATCCACCCAACCCCTACTTCTTGGCCCCAACTTTTCATCCACAGTCCGGCCTTCCAACCATCCCGTATCCTCCTCATATGCTCAATGGATGGTATCCACATGGTCTTCCTTATGGGGTAAGTTGGAGAGTTTTTGAATTGATCGTACAAGGGAAACTACCTGGAAATCACGATTTTTTTGGGATTTTTTGATTCTTTAGACTAACAGGGGAATTACCCCGAGTGCGACGCTCGGATTTTGATGAAACTTGGCACTAAACTTGAATACTTTTTTAAAAAATATATGTGAGAATCCTAGCTCGCGCTTTGCAGAAACAATCGAGATTTTTAGATCGAAAGTTGGCGAAAATTTGAAACTTTTTGCCGAATTTCGACACAAAAAGTTTCATGCCTATTTCTACTAAATAGGATGATATTTCCACAAAAAATCAACTTTTCCGCAAAAAAACAAGCAACGTTATGGCAAAAAAATGTGCTTCTCTGTGACCGCTCTCCGCGTTTAGTGTACTCTCTAGGCCGCAACGATCGTTCAATATCTCGGCTTCGCCTTCAAAGCGCGCGCTAAAAATTTTGAGGAGTTTATATGTGGCCTATGCCCAATGTGTGTGGAAAATTTAAAGAAAATCTGAGCTTCGAACTTGGGGTATTTCCCTTGAATTTTGAGGTTTTTCATCTTTTGACTAAAAAGAGGACTTTTTTTTCATTTTGATTTATTTATTTTTTCTGATTTTAGGATCCCAACCTTACCTCGTCCCTTCAAAAGCCCGCCCCCTCGCCGGCCAACACCTCCAGCACCAACTCGAACACATCTTCGCCGAAGGAGGGCAAGCCGGGCAAAATTGTCGTCAACCGTCTGACCAAAGAATTCTACTCCGAAGAAGACAAACTCCTCTACGAAGAACGTCGCGCTAAGAACAACGCCGCGGCCCGCGAGTCGCGCAAACGGCGCGCCAAACGCGAGAGCGAGGTGATGAGCGAAAATGAGCAGCTCAAAGCGCAGGTCGCCAACCTGAAGCGCGAATTAACCGAGACGATCGCGGAATTGAAGGTGATGCGAATGAAGGTTGGGGAGGCGCTGTGCGAAGACAATCGGGTCCTCAAAAATCGGACCAATTTTTAAGCGAAATTTGAAATTTTTTGAATTTTTATTTTCATCTTAAAACGTCAAGTGTACTATATTTTTGTGCTCAAAAATTTTGTTTAGAATAGTATAAACGTCTCTTTGATTATGTCAGCTCTGAAAAATGTTAGAATTCCAAAAATTCTTTATATTATACTTGATATTTTTGTTATTATTTTTGTCTTTTGACTCATATAAGACCTCAGAATTTTCTCAGAATACCTGAACTTTCATTTTAGCTTACCTCAGATTGTCTAAAAATAGATTATAAATTAAATAGAATTACCGAAAAGGTCTCTGTTTTCTAAAATACGGGATTTAAAATTTTTTTTTGTCTTGGATTTCACCGACTTTTCTCTTCACACGATACTCAATATTGTTTTACAGCCCATATCATATTGTTTGTAGTAGTTTTACATAGCTAGTTTTTTATCAATAAAGTAAAAAAAAATATTTTTGATTTTTATTTTTTTCGATTTTTTTAAAATCAAATTAAAATTTGAAAATCGCATGTTATGTTTGGAGAGAAGTGTAAAATTTTCCCGGAAAAAATCAATTTTTTCCAAGGAGAATTGAAAAAATTACAGCGATTTTTTTTGTGAACTTTGCCTTGGTCCCCCCTGTGGATTTTTGTGAAAATTTTAAAAAAATAATTTTGATTTTTTTCGTTTTTTAATTTCAAAATTGCATGTTATGCTTTAGGGGAGATGTAAAATTGTCCCATAAAAATCAAATTTTTCCAAGGAGAATTGAAAAAATTCCAGCGATTTTTTTTGTGAACTTTGCCTTGGTCCCCCCTTTGGATTTTTGTGAAAATCAAAAAAAAAAAATTTATGTTTATCAGCAAAATTTCTCGCCAAAGTCGAGAACCAAATCTCCAGTTGTTGCAAAAGGGATGATGGGTGATTCTAAGGCACGATAATCCAACATTATTTTATCCGACAGACTGATTTGTCACTTTATTTTAGCCGTTGAATAACAAACTAGACGGCTAGGAAGTTCCGCGACAGATTTTCGCAGTCTTTTTGGGCGAATGGAGCTGCGAACGTCCAATATAAAAAACAAAAAAAAATTTTGATTTTCGCAAAAATCCACAGGGGGGACCAAGGCAAAGGTCACAAAAAAATCGCTGTAATTTTTTCAATTCTCATTAGTAAAATTTGATTTTATCTGAGAAAATTTTACATCTCTCCAAGCATAACATGCAATTTTCAGATTAAAAATCGAAAAAAATCAAACTTAAAAATCAAAAATTTTTTTAAAATTTTCACAAAAATCAACAGGGGGGACCAAGGAAAAGTTCACAAAAAAATCGCTGTAATTTTTTCAATTCTCATAGGTAAAATTTGTTTTTATCTGACAGGGGAAGTACTTCAAGTGTGACGCTCAGATTTTCTTTAAAATTTGCACACAAGTCGGGTATGGACTAAATATCAATTCCTGAAAGTTTTAGCTCGCGCTTTGCGGGCGCCGCCGAGATATCGAACGATTTTTGCCGCCGAGAGAGCACGCTCAACGTGGAGAGCGGTCAGAGAGAAAACCGTTTTTTGGCCATAACTTTGGCAGTTTCGTGCGGAAAAATTTGATTTTTTGTAGAAACATTATCCTTTACAGTTGAAATAGGCATGAAACTTTTCGTGCCGAAATTCGGCAAAAAGTCCTAAAATTTCGCCGACTTTCGATCTAAAAATCTCGGTTGTTTCTGCAAAGCTAGGATTCCCGCATATATCTTAGAAAAAATTATTCTAAATTTGTGCCAAGTTTCATCAAAATCTGAGCGTCACACTTCAAGTACTTCCCTTGTGAGAAAATTTTATATCTCTCCGAGGATAACATGCAATTTTCAGATTAAAAATCGAAAAAAAAGTTTCGAAGATCAAAAAATTAAAAAAAATTTTTTTTTTAAAAAAATCCACAGGGGGGACCAAAGGTGATAAGATCAAATAATCAAAAAAAAACGAAAAAAATCGAAGGTTACAGTCATTTCCTTTTTTTTGCGTAATCAAATAAGCCCGCTAAATTCGAATCAACAGTCCCACCCAAAACAATTTACGACATTTTTTCGAAACAAATTTGGAAAATTCTTTTGTGCTGTTCACAAAATTTTTTTGTTTTGCGAAATTTTTGGTCTCACTTCGAATCGATTTCCGGGATTCTGTAAACAATAAAAATGACTATAAAAGGGAGGGCTGCTTGATCAGATAAGCGGAAAACTTTTTGATTGTTTGAGCTAAACAGGTGTCGGAAGACGAGTTACGTGAGCGTTTCGATGACTATTTCTTTTCGAGGGCGTTCAAAAGTAGCCAGAAGCGGGGGTTTTTGGTTCGAAAAAAGTGGAAAAGGAAGTAGCGGCGACTTTCGGAAACTTTTTTGAAATTTTTTGAAATTTTGTTTTGAAAAATTGGGGTGAGAGCTAATTTTTAATGCCGGTTGATAAAATAGACGACTTTGGGAAGAAAAAAAATTATCAGCCTGTCGGGCAAATAATGTGGATTTAAAATTTTTTTAAAATTTTTTTGAATAAATGATAAGGGGGGACCAAGGCAATTTTTTTTTTGAAATTTAAAAATATCCCCCTCAGATTTCTATTTACGCTAAAATACTATGATATTTATTAAAGTAGAGTACGATACAACCTCCGAAAATGATGATTTTTGCGCTTAAATCTTCAAAAATAAAAAAAAATCCAAAAAACCGCCATTTTCAGCGCAAAAATGGGTGTTCAAACCGCCACCATTTTCACCCTCACTTTCTCCGGCGCCACCCTTCTCTTGGCCATCATTGGCGCCATGCTCATTTACCGCGACATTCAAGACGTTTGGATGGAATTGGACCTCGAAATCGACCGCTTCAAACTCCAAACCGACGATTTGTGGCTGGAAATGGTGCAGATGGGTGCCGCAACCCCATCAAATCGCGCTCGACGTCAGGCCTATGGAGGCTATGGGGCGCAGAGCACGGGATATGGCGGCGGGAGTGGCGGCCACTCTTTCGCCGGCCCCAGTGTCGCTAGTCAGCCGTTGACGGTGGGAGTGCCGAATTATGGACCGAAATGCGGTGAGTTTTGCGGAATATTTGGGTTTTTGGAGGGTTAAAGGAATAGTGGAGACTGAATTGATGAAAAAAGATAACAAAAAAAAATCTGCGCCCTAGGGGCTTTATCCTATAGGAATTAGTATCAGTCCGTCGGGAAAATAATGAGCACTCTGTCGCATCGAAAAAATGAATTGTATCGCGACAAAATCAAATTTCTTTTCACTAAAAAGTTCATGTCGCAGCGATTTTTGATGCACAGTGCGAAACTAAAAAAGTTGTACTCATTATTTTCCCGACAGATTGAAATGCAAAATTTACGGATACTCGAAGAATAAGTGCTGTGAAATTTTTTTTCTCTCACTTCTAAAAATCATCATCTTTAATTAAAATTTCCAGCCTGTTCCGCCGCCGACGGACCTTCCAACAACTGTCCCGCCGGTCCAGCCGGCCCTCCCGGCGAGCCCGGACTCGACGGATTGCCCGGACTGCCCGGAAAAGATGGTATTCCTGGCGTTGACAACGATGACGTCTCCCAGTCGCCTCCTGAAGGCTGCTTCAACTGTCCGCAAGGCCCTCCAGGTGCGCCGGGCGACGTCGGAAAGCCGGGACCTCGCGGAAACCGTGGGCCGAAGGGAACTCCCGGCTTTCCGGGACGCGACGGCCAACCCGGCGAGGTTGGGCCGGACGGCCCGCCCGGCGCGGACGGTCTTCCCGGTGCGGCCGGAGAGAAGGGAACGGACGGAGAGAATGCCGAGAAAATCATTGGAAGAAAGGGTGATCGGGGTGTGCCTGGTCCTCAAGGCGAGCAAGGACCACAAGGCGATCAAGGACAGACCGGTGCGCCTGGCGCGCCCGGTCCTCAAGGCGTGCCCGGAGCTCCGGGATATCAGGGAAGTCCAGGACCCGACGGTCCAGAGGGATCGGCAGGGCCAGAAGGAGCCGCCGGAAAAGATGCGGAGTATTGTCCATGCCCGGGACGAAGCTCGGACGCTGGAGCAAGAGGAGGAGATGCGTATGGACCAGCTCCGGCAAGCAGTGGAGCGTACAGGAGGAGAAGAATTTAAAGAGTGTTTTGGAGAGGATTTCGAAAATAAATATTGCATTTGTATGTCTCATTATTTTCCCGACAGACTTTTAGTATTTGTCGTAGTTTTTTGCACAGTAGAACAGTGGCCGCTCAGAAAACATTTGGATCGCCGCCGAGTCCCGAATCGATCAGATTGCTAACATTGGCATTCCGTCGCAAGCCGCTGAAAGATGAAGAATGGGGATTCCGCACATAGAAGAAGCAGCCGAGAAGAGTAGAGGACCGTTCAGGCCAGAAGTCAGTCGGTGATACAGAATCTGATACGTTATTTACTTGCTGATATTGTGATCGGATTGAGGCCGGTAAACCAGCTGATATTTGTTATTGAGTGTCGTTATTTGGTTGAGTGTTTTAGGAATAGGTCGATGGAGTTATCCGAGACTATTCCGGCTGAAACGGTGTCCGATCCACAGAGAGAGGAACCGAGTATTTCAGTAGTGCACGTCGAAACTTCAAGACTTTTTAGCCCTCTTGAAATGATGTTTATCAGGTCAGCCTTGTCTGTATTTTCATTACCAGAAAACCCCCCATCGAGTTCAAGGTGAGAGCTCTCTTATTTTCGCCACCATCAACATACCACTTCACGTGTTGTTACAGCTCTCCTGATTCTTACACTTCTCCCCCAAAATAACCCATTCGACCGTATTGGCGTCGTTGAAAACCCCGAATTTTATGGGTTTATTTACAAAAAAGTCATCTGATTCCAACGTCATACGTTGAATGGGCTCGATGAAAACAGAATGGAAACATCGCAGAGACAGAAGGAATGCCGCTGTAAAGTGGCCGGTAATTCGATAACACTCGGCGTCAGCCGACGGATTTGGCGGTTGTAAAGTAGTGCAGAAACGTGGTCAACAAGCGAAGACGGTTTGCGGACAATGTGGAAATTCTGATTTCTGTAGCCTTAGAGTTTTGTTTGGGCGCAAAAGTGCAGTAATTTCGAACAGAGATCCGAAAATCGGCAAGTTATGGCGGTTTTGATGACAAAGAACATGTTTAATGTGTGATTCAGAACTTTGAAGCAATCTAGGGAGAGCAACAGCTACAATGGGAGACCTGATCCAAGCAAAAGACGTAACATTTTGCATCCAGGAAGTATCAAAAAATGTGGCAAAATACCTCCCTCTCCAGAAAATTGAAGGTTTCAAGTTTGAACGCTAAACTCGATTCTCATTGGCCTCATAGGCGTAATAGAAACATGGAATTTTGCATGTGTTTCGACTATAACATAGATAATCATTCGACCGCGGGCTATTTTTTATTTTTGCACAAAAAGTTCAAATAAGTCAAAAAATGTTCAAAAAATTGCCAAAATCAAGGATTTTTTGGCTCTAACTTTTCTCAAACCCCAACAAAAATCTTGAAATCTTGCTATGTTGTAGCCCTTGAAATTCTCGTCACGATGGACTCCACCATCTTTTTTGTTGACCCCAGGAAAGCACATTTTTTGGCATGAAAATGTGAAAATCAATTTGATTTTCCCGCGACACAATTCATTTTCTCAGCGGCGATGCGACATTGTGAGCATTATTTTCCCGACAAATAATAGACAAAATGGTCAAATTTGGTCAGAACTGTTTGTCGGCCGGAAAAGGCGAATATTTTGAAAAGCCTGTAGATGGCCAAGTCATTTGTCTTTTACCATCATTTTCCATCGCAAACCTTCATTGTTCATTCCTTTCCATCTTTCCCAAATGACCTTAAAATAATCGAAAAGCTTCGTCTGTAAAAAAAGAAGACCCCGAACGTCCTTACTGTTCGAAAAGCGCACCGAAAGACAACGGCAAAGAATGAGAGCGAAAGCAGGTGGGAGAAAGCGCAAGTGTACCCGGGGTCACTGACTAGATCTTGACCACGTAACTGGCAAACAAGAACGCTTTGTTTCGATCAGATTTATCTACAATAAAGTGGATGAAAGGGCAAAAAAGGGGGGAAGAGTGGCTTATTGAGGTTTTTAAGGAAATTATCATATATTTGTATAGCATTACTATACTATCTTGACTGTATTTTATTATATAAATGTTTTTTTCAATCTTTCTTATGATATTCTTTCATTACTTTCTAAATTTTTTAAGTTTTGGAGCTTATTATGACCAGTCATGGATAATATAAAAAATTTCGTATAAAATGTCGCCTCGTCTTCATATTAAAGAATCCAATATTTTGATGAAATTTTGGTGTTTTTAACGACCTTTATTCGGCTTACTGACATTATTTTTTCTCTATTTCGCTGTTTTATCAAGGTTGATTCGTAATGTAAGTTCTTCGTATAAAATGTCGCCTGCCTTTTGAAATGAAAATCCACAGGTATGAAATAAAATTTCATGACTTGTTTTGTCCCCTTTGTAAATCTGGGCTTTATTTTTGCATAGTTTTTTAGTTATTTTTTCACTTTCTATTTTTTCTTCGTATAAAATGTCAATGTCTCAAAAAAATTTCAAAATCCAAAAAAAACCGTGTTGATTCCCGAAAAATCGGTGAAGACTCAATCTGCGATCAAACTCGATCACCTACTGAGGGTTTACATCAGCTAAATTTCCCGTTCCTTCGACCAAAACAACCTTTAAAAAGTCAGCGTTTGTAGTAATTCAATTTCCATCCGAAATCTTGTCCCCCGCGGTTTTTGTTTATTGTAATTTGCATTACTCAGTGGGTGAACGAATTCAGGGAACTCCCGGCTTCACGTGAACCACGTGAAAAAGAGAGAAAAAGCTATCGCCAGGAATTGTAAAGTCTGACGGGGAAAGCGTTCAAAGTTCAAGGCACAGAGAGAAAATTGGTTTTCTTTGGCTCTCTACGCACTTTCTATATTCTTTTCTCTTCAAAGGTCTTTCAATGTCTTCGCAAAGCGTGTTAGAATACCTTCTACAGTGGGAGACCTGATCCAGTGGCAAAAAACGTACCATTTTGCATCGGGGAAGTATCAAAAATGTGGCAAAAGGCTTCCCTCTCCAAGTGAAAAAGAACTTCGTTTTGAAAGGCCCTCACAAAAAGAGCGCTTTTGAAATCGGAGTTTTTTCACATGGAAAGGGAAGCATTTTGACACATTTTTGATACTTCCCGGATGCAAAGTGGTACGTTTTTTGCGGCTGGATCAGGTCCCCCACTGTACAGCAAATAATTTCATAAGAAAAGTAGCCCAAACGCGACGCTCAGATTTTGATGAAATTTTGGGACAAATTCAAAATAACTTTTTCTAATATATATGCGAGAATTCCAGATCGCGCTTTGCAGAAACAATCGAGATTTTTAGATCGAAAGTTAGCGAAAATTTGAAAACTTTTTAGCCAATTTTGGCACGAAAATTTTTAATGTCTTTTTCTACCGTAAAATGCAATATTTCCACAAAAAATCAACTTTTTGTCTTACAAAATCTCATAAGACATCAAAATCCTAATTTTGCAAAAAAAACAACTTGCAGAAGCAGCACTTTACCACGTAAACATCAGCTGAATGCGTTTTGAAATTCACTTTAATTAATTTCAAAACCCCTGAAGCGAATTTCATCGACAAATTGGTCGGACCATTTGAGTCATCCGGGACGTTCTCCCTTGTTGAAATGAAGATAAACTTGGAATTAATTTTGTAACGCAACTTCCGTTAGAATTTGGTGGGAAAGGACAATAGAGAAAGGAGTGAAAACTATGGTGTTTCACTTGCAGAATTTTTTGCTTTACTGTACAATCAGTTTGTCGGGAAAATATTGAGCAGTCTGTCGCATGGAAAATCGCATCGCAGCCGAGAAAATGAATTGTGTCGGGGGAAAATGATTTTTTTTTCACTTCAGCGACACCATTGGCGCAGCGACATTGTGCATTATTTTCCCGACAGACTTAGACCGTTCGCAAAGTCGCTGGAGCGATTTTTTGGGCTTTGCATCGTGCAAGAAAACTCAGGGTGCGAGCGACAGCCCAAAAAAGCCATTCGCACGGTGCAAAAAGCAAGAAACTGCACAGTGCAAAGTGAGCTTTTATTTTCTCACAGTGAATGTCGCAAAAATCACTCCAGCAACCTTGCGATAGCACAAGATTTTTAAGGGAATTTCTGGGAAAAAATTGAAATTTGAATTTCGAAATTCGCAAAGAAAGTTGTCGAAGTAAAGATTCTTTAGCTCACAAAGGAAATAGTCCATGAGCACCGCTCAGATCTTGGTAAAAATCATCGCCATTTTGAAAAAAAAAGGTTGGAAATAGTCTGCGGACTTTTGAAAAAGCTTTGAAAAATGAATAATAGGCATGAAAAATTGAAAAATAAGAGAGAAAATTGTATTTTTGTAGAGAAAAATCGATTTTTTAGTGCAAAACTTGATCTTTAGGCGGAAAAATTAGCAAAACAAGTGATTGCATTACAATTAAAAAAAAATTTTTTTGTCATTTGTAATACTTCCTTTGAATTGCACTTTCTGCTCCACTAAACCTTTCCGTCGAAAGTCTTTGACCCCGCTTCCGGACGTCTAATCCGATCGGGAAATTCCTTTGTTTTTCGGAAGTCAAAGTTTTTTTTGCACTTCAAAATAAATTTGAAAATTCTTTTTGTATGTTAAAAACGTGATTTGAGAGAAATTAGCGCCCATTTTTAAAAAATACCGGGATTTTGAAAATCTGAAATTCTCGAATTTTGAAATTTTTTGATGATTTCGATATTATAAATAACGAAAAATTTCCAAATTCGGGTCCAAAACATATCAAAATCTATTTTCTCGTGTCTCCCATTCAGAATCCTCGTCTCCATCACGAGTGGAAGACAAATTTCGCGCCTCCACGAGACCGCAATCATCGTGCAAAACGGGCCCGACTCTGGTTTAAACAATCGCCCCTCTCTCCCGTCCGCGCGTCTCCGCCGTTCGCGCGCTCTCTCCGCCCCCCAGCCACAGCGTTGTGGGGAGGGGCCGGGAAGCGGGTATAAATTGGAGACGAATCGGCAGCGAAGCCTTTTAGATGCAAAGACTGAGCGCGGCGAAAACCTTTTTCCCGCAATTCACGACTTCTTCAACTTTTGAAGCCGTCCAATCAACCCGCGAAGCCGTTTCCACAACTGTTGAAGCTCTTGTGCCCATCACAAAAGCTTCTGTTTCATCTTCAACCTCTGAAGTTTGCGCACACAACGCCAAGAATGTTCTATTTCTACCCTTCCTCGGCCTCGTCGTCGCCGGCCTCCTCGCCCATGGCGTCGCCGCAGACTCAACGCCGCTCTTCCGCATGGACAAAATCAATTTCGTTTGGGCGAAAGCGCAGCATCGTCTTGACGGCCAAGAAGCTGCTCAGAAATTACAGGTAGGTCTTGAGGGATTGGCGGAAAATTGCCTGAGGGCTCTAATTCATCAAGAGGGAAAAGACGAAATTTTCAAAAAAAAAAAAATGTCATATTATTATTTTCATAAAGTGCATAGACACTTCTTCTCTTCCGCACAGTGCATTTTGAACTTTTTCCCACGCTTGTCGCTAACGCACAGTGCAGACTTCAAAAAGCCGTTTGCACTGTGCACGTTGAACTTTTTCCCACGCTTGTCGCTAACGCACAGTGCAGACTTCAAAAAGCCGTTTGCACTGTGCACGTTGAACTTTTTCCCACGCTTGTCGCTAACGCACAGTGCAGACTTCAAAAAGCCGTTTGCACTGTGCACGTTGAACTTTTTCCCACGCTTGTCGCTAACGCACAGTGCAGACTTCAAAAAGCCGTTTGCACTGTGCACGTTGAACTTTTTCCCACGCTTGTCGCTAACGCACAGTGCAGACTTCAAAAAGCCGTTTGCACTGTGCACGTTGAACTTTTTCCCACGCTTGTCGCTAACGCACAGTGCAAACTTCAAAAAAGCCGTTTGCACTGTGCACGTTGAACTTTTTCTCACGCTTGTCGCTAACGCACAGTGCATTTTCCTCTTTTCGCGCAGTGCAAAACTCAAAAAAACCGTTTGCACTGTGCAAATTCCTGGCCCCGCCGCAGCGATGGAGTTGAAACTTGCTTTTGTCGCAGCGCACAGTGCAAAAACAAAGCAAAAAGATGAAATGCACGGTGCAAAAAAGCGGTTTTTTGTGCACAGTGCAGATCGCGTCGCAGCGATGTTTCCCCGCACAGTGCAAAAACAAAGCAAAAAGATGAAATGCACGGTGCAAGAAGGCGGTTTTCTCAGCACAGTGCTGGACGCGACAAATGTCCATGCACTTTGTGAAAATACTATATTCTATTAACTTACCATATAAACATTACCGTATAACTATTAAAATCACTTAATTTCAGGAAGAACTAAAAAAGTTCGATACCCTCTACGTATCGATCAAACACGAACAAGAGCACCATAAAAACACCAAATCCTTAAGTGAAGCCGATGACAAACTCGAGAGACTCCTCGAGCGCTACAACTTGGACGATGCCCTCAAGGCTTTTAGAATTGTATGTGGATTTCACTATCATTTTTTATATGCCTCTATCTCAATTAAATCGATGTTTTCAGAAATACAAACACGATTCGAAACAACAACCCAACATAAACAAGCTCGCCGACGACTCCGCCGCCAAAAGAACGGCCAAATTCTCGGATTCTCGTCTACAAAACCTCTGGTCCAAAGTCAGCACTGACCAAGATGTCGCAGCACACGAACTGAACGATCTACATCGCCAATTCGAAGGCCTACAGAAGATTATCGAACGTTATAATGAAGTGAAGAAAGATTTGAACGAACTGGATGAGAATGAAGTTCATGACGTTGTAGATCATCAACAACTAGTCCGGGAGGCAAAAGCGCTGAACAGCGGGATTGAGGACACCATTGAGCATCTGAAGTCGCAAATCGAAGCTGTCAAAGAGAACCCGTTCGAGAATGAGAGTGTTCGAAAATTGTGGCTAAAGGTGAGCAATGAGAAGATTGGGGGGATTAGAGAGGAAAAATTATCAGTCTGTCGGGAAAATAATGTGGATTTGTCGCGCCTAGGAATTGCCTATCATTGTGGTTGGCTGTGGAAAAGCAATGATGATATATTTCAAGGCGCGACAAATCCACATTATTTTCCCGACGAAATAATATCGGAAAATCCACATTATTTTCCCGACAAATTAATATCGGAAAATCCACATTATTTTCCCGACAAAATAATTTCGAAAAATCCTCATTATTTTCCCGACAAAAAGATATCGGAAAATCCACATTATTTTCCCGACAAAATAATATCTGAAAATCCACATTATTTTCCCGACAAAATGATATCGGAAAATCCACATTATTTTCCCGACAAAATGATATCGGAAAATCCACATTATTTTCCCGACAGACTGATAGCAATGACTAATGCGTTATTTCCCCCAGAACGTGTCTATTCCTAGAAAAGCAAGCCGTAATTTTTCGTTACCGTGATAAAAAAATCCAAAAGATTTTTTTTTGTTTTCGTCGTCAAACCGAATTTTCATTGTGTCGACTCCATCGACTCATCAATCTCAAATGGAATTCAGCGAACAAGCCTTCTCTCTTCTCCTCTCATTTACGGTAAAATCTACTTTAAAGTGGGGGCTAAAGAACGCTGAACACGAAATTGACGAGGGAAAACATGTGAAAAAATTTCAATTCCTATCTAAAATTACATGTGAGACAGCTCAAATTGCAAATATATATCCAAATCTATCCAAAAAATCATCTATTAGGTTGATGCATAATTATCCGGCGTTTTTTCAAAAATTTTTTTTTTCAGGCCAAAAAAGCTCCAAAACTCATTCCCAACGAGTTGAATGCCATCAAATCCGAGCTACGGCATCTGGATCGGCATTTCCTCAAGCTGGACCACCACTCGCAGATGATGGACGAGCATCGGAGTCTGCACGACACCGAAGACGACGAGATCTGGGGCTCGATGGAGTCGCAGCGAGAGAAAATTTTGCACAAATTGCGGAAATTGGAGGAATATTTGAACGAAAAGCTCGCTGAGCACGATGAGCTTTGAATTTTTATCCTTTTTCTTTTTGTTTTTGGTCTTTTTTACAAAGATTTTCCTTTGTTTGAGCCTTACTGTAGCTACAGTAAGATCTTGACCTTCCATTTCCAAATTTGGCAAAAAAATTTTTTTGGGTTTCTTAGGAATTTTCGGGTATCCCAATTTTCTATTTATTTCGCCTTTGGCAATGTTGTTTTTGCTTGTTTTGAATCATTGTATTTCCCATTTTTTTCTCATCATTTTTTTGGACAATTCACTTGGATTTTGGTGCATTCATATCACATTGAGTTTACCTCAGTATTTTGTATAAATATATCATATTGTATATCTCGGAGATGATTGTAAAAGGCAAGCTTTTAATAACTGACGGCCCGTCCCGACTTTTCGGGTCGGTGACAGCTCGATTCAACACAAAAAAGGTTAATACGGAGAGTAGGGCAGATGGAGACCCAAAAAAAGGTCGTAGGAAGTGCATACGAGGCCTGGAAAAACCGTTGGATGGTTGGCGGAGGCTCGGCGAAGGCTCGGCGAGACTTGGCAAAGGCTTGAAGTGTGTCCATTTTTGTAAAATTTTAGCTATTACTAACGTTAGTTTTCATTACCCTGAGTTATTGTAACATACAAAGGAACAAATTTTTCGGCAAAAAACGAAGATCCATAACTTTAGTCGTGACCTTGTCCGTGAGCTATTTAGTTCAGGTACGCCCTCCCAATAAAAGTGTCAGAGTGTCGTTTTCATATTGAATCTTTGATGAACTTTAGGTTTTTTAGAAAAGCATAGGCTAGCTCATGACCTAGGTCGTGATCTAGCTCGGGATGAATGTCCAGAAGCCTTTGTAAATAACCCTAATAGTCGTGGCAAAATCCAATTGTTTTTCATTTAAGCAATGCGTATTGCGCAGCGACATTTTGCTCATTATTACACATATTTTCCCGACAGCCTGACATGCCAACTTTTGTCAAGTTCTGGGCAGTCGATTTCTTCTTCAAAAAACCATTTTTCGGTCAAAAAGACAAAAAAAGTCGACAAAAAAAGAAAAGTTTATTTCTGTCATGATTCACTTATGACCATGTATGTTACACACTTTCCCTTTCCAGCTCGGCCAATTGCTGCTGTATGTTTGGATCGTTCTCCATTCCGAGCAAGAAGAAAGTCTCCATAACTCCTTTTCCTTTGACAATAATCTCCCCTCGACTCGTCGTCACATATCCTCCAATAACTTTGGTCAAAAAGTAGTTGGTGTCCGCGGAGATGTGGATTCGGTTCGCTGAAAAAATGGACTTTAAACAGTGGTACCGTACATATTTGAAAAAAAAACAAAGACTCACGTTTCCCATTGCTTTCCATTCGACTGGCCGTATTGATCGTATCACCGAACAAACAGTATCTCGGCATGGCCAAACCAACAACTCCGGCCACACAAGAGCCAGTGTGGATTCCGATTCGAAGCCGGAATTCTTCCCTTGGCAAGTGTGGGATCTGAAAAGATTCAAGCGTTTTTTGGGGCCATAAAGTCATCAGTCAACTATTAAAATGCTAATATTACTAATACAAATGTTGAGAGACACTGTGCTCATTATTTTCGCGACAGAATGATAGTCCTGACATGTTTCGTATGGTGCGGTGGGCGCCGCAAAGTGGCCTTTCGTGACAATTTTTCGCTTCTACACAGTGAGTTTCGAGCTGTTGGCCACGCTTGTCGCCAACGCACAGTCACTTTTTAGCCCGTTACGATCAGTCTGTCGGGAAGATAATGTGCATTCGCCGCGGCTTTAAATTGGCCATCAATGCTTTGCAACGGCTTGCCGCGGCCGAGGGTGTTGAGGCCAATCCACATTATTGGCTGATAAAAGAAGGCTTAAGCTGATTTGTTGGCCCTTTGGTTGCTTCAGAAAGAAAAATTTTGCTTTGCAATGAATCTCGGGACCGGGCATTTGGGGCTTTGGTAAATTCTGGAAGGACTGGGAGGAGGGCGACTTAGCCAGAGGCTAAGTCCCGAAGGTGCAAAATCTCAGCCCTCCAGCCATGCATGTTTCTATAGTTGCGCAACAACTGGAGGGCAGGCTCGTTTGCGCATTCTGCATACCTTTCTTTACAATGTAAAAGCTTACTCTAAAACTCCTCATAGCCCTCATAATGGACAATGACATATCTGCGATATACCGGGCATGCTCATTTCCATTGCGATGTGGTAATCCCGACACGCACATGTAGCCATCGCCTGGAAATAAATAACACAATATCATTGGGATCACTGCTGTAATATGCCCTAAAAATATGTGATCATTGACTTACCAATAGTCTCAACTTTGTACACATCAACCTCGGCGATGATTGAGTCCAACGTCGTGTAGAGATCGTTCAGCAAATTGACCACTTGTAGCGGTGTGCATTTGGACGAAATGGCCGTGAATCCAACCACATCGGAAAAGTAGACTGTGACTGATTCAAAGGATTCCGGCTCCACGGTTTGGCCGGCTTTCAGACGCTCCGCAACGAGTCTGAAACGTATAAATATTATATAATCGGTCTGTCGGAAAAATAACGAGCACTCTGTTGCATCGAATTGTCGCTGTGAGAAAATGAATTATGTCGCGACAAGAATCTTTTCACTTTAGAAACGCGATCGGCGCAGTGAAATAATGCTCAATATTTTCCCGACAGACTGATATGACCACCGAATCTGAATGAAAGCGTCGGGAAAATAATGCGGATTTGTCGCAGCGCACCAAATTTCCAGCCGCGGACTGCAATTCCGAGATGCGATAACTTCACATTTTTTTTCCGACAGACTGATATGACCATCTGAACCGATTTAAACGAAAGCGTCCGGAAAATAATGTGGATTTGTCGCGGCAAAAGGGGTCGCTTAGCCTCAGTCGTGCACGAAATCTCCAGCTAGCCGCTGCAAAGCAACTACGGGTGATTTCAAGGCGCTACAAATCCACATTTTTTGCCCGACAGACAAATATGAACATCAGATCGGATTTTAATGAAGGCGTCGGGAAAATAATGTGGATTTGTCGCAGCAAAAGGGGTCGCTTAGCCTCAGTCGGGCACCAAATCCCTAGCCGCGAATAGCCGTCGAAAAGTGATGATGAGCAATTCCGAGACGCGATAACTCCACAGTATTTTCCCGACAGACTGATAGTTACAATTTTTCCGTTTTATATAACGCTTTTTAGTGGTTTTTTCAGATGAGCTCTTCTGCAAGCGATATAAACGAAGTGATCTGGCCTCTGTGGCTATTCCCAACCTACTTTGGAAGCATTCGGTACAACAGAATGTCGGATTTTTTCTTTTCCTCGACCAATTCTTTGGTCCTCTCCTCGACCTCCTCTTCCAAAGAAACCGCATATTGCTCGAGGATTTGGAACACATGATCCATCAAATTGGCCGTCTTGGACGTATTCATCGATTGTAACAGAGTTTTTACAGTTGTAATTCTAGGTCGTTCGTTCGGATTTTCGCTCCAACAATCGCGAATCAGGTGGGTCTGAAATCAAAGTTTTTTTTGAGTCAATTAATGGGAGAGAACGTATTTTACAAACAGGATCTTTCTTGGACTCACAAAAGCAGGCGAAATGTCTTGCGCAACGATCTCCATGACCGGCCGGTATGGAGGGTTTGAGCCTTTTTTGACCATATAGACAACATCTGAAATAAAAAAGCATAGTGCATTAGTCTGTCGGGAAAACAATGAGCAAAATGTTCAATATAGTAAAACAAAGTTTTTTTTTTGAAAAAAATTATCAGGGGGGGCCAAGGCAAATTTTTTCTGGAAAATTTCGAAAATTTTTTGTCATCGTTTTTTAACGAATTTTGACGCAGCTCTAGATTATAATTTTCTAAGGCAAAATGCAGTGCTTTTATCAGTCTGTTGGGAAAATAATGAGCACAATGTCGCAGTGTCAATCGCGTGGTTGAAGTGGAAAGCAATTTGATTTTGCCACGACAAAATTCATTTTCTCGGCGGCGATGCGATTTTTGACAGAGCGCTCATTATTTTCCCGACAGACTGTTACTCCTGAAATACGTTAGATCACAATTCCTGAGAATCTTAGCTCGTGCCTTGCAGCGGTAGACGAGATATTCGACGATCTGTTGTTACGAGAGAGTGCGCACACAATGCGGAGAGTCAGAGAGAAAAGCGATTTTTGGCAATAAATTTGTCTATTTCGCGGGGAGAAAATTTGCTTTTTGTGGAAGAGTTGCAATTTTTAATCGAATTAAGACAAAAAATTCTCAAGGATAAATTTGAAAAAAATCCCAAATTTCCACCAATTTTTGGACAAAAAATCTCTGTTGTTTTTGCATAGCGCCAGCCAAAAATTACAAAAAACGTTTCAAAAATAAGACTATTCTCCTAAAAAACTTTTTTCAACCTACCCTCCGGATTCGCTTTCCCATCGGCCCCTTCAAACGCCGGCTTCATATTCAACAGTTCGCTGGCAACTATGGCAAACGAATAGACATCGCCTTGTTTGGAGCCGGTCAAATCATTGGAGCGAAGGAATTCCGGGGCAGTCCAAAGGAGCTCTGAAAATTTGCCGGTGAAAAAATCAGAAAAATTTAATTCTGACAAATAAAGTGCTCGATTTTGTGAAAGTTTCTTAAATTTTACAGACCCATCGGGCATAGGCCAACCAATAATTCTAAAAATTTTAGCTCGTGCTTCGCAGGACCAGCCGAGATTCAACGATCTTTGCGGCTGAAAGGGTAGGCGGAACGCGGAGACGGCCAAAGAAAACCACTTTTAGGCCGTATCTCTGGCAGTTTTGAGAGGAAAAGATTGAGTTTTTGTGGAAACACTGTACTCTACGGTAGAAACAAAATAGGATTCTTTTCATGCCAAAATTCGCAAAAAAAATGCAAGATTTTTCCAAATTTCGATCCAAAAGTCTCGATTATTTCTACATCGCGCAAACTAGGTGTCTCGCAAATGTCCTAGAAAAAATTATTCCATATTATTGGTAAAAATAATTTTGATTACCTTTCGGCTCTTTTGCTCTCATATTCCGTATAAATTTGAGGCCAAAATCCCCCAACTTGACTTGCCAACGGTCATCAACAAGACAGTTTGTCGACCGCAGATTTCCGTGATGTTGAAGTGAACTTGAATGGAGATAAGTTAGACCCTGAAAACAATATTTTTTTTCTGTAGAATACCTTGTGCACCATGGAAAAGACGTATTTTACCTCACAAATATCTCTGACCAAGCTGTAAATGAAAAATCCATCCGAAGTGATCATGTTGTTGCTGGTTATCACATCCTGAAAATGTGTTAGTGGAGGCGAAAGTCTTTTTCGATATAAGAAATCTGGATTCTTCTTTTTCTGTCGGGAAAATAATGTGGATCCTTTTTTTGTGTCGGAAAAATAATGTGGATCCTTTTTTGTGTCGGAAAAATAATGAGGATCCTTCTATTTTTTGTCGGGAAAATAATGTGGATCCTTTTTTCTGTCGGGAAAATAATGTGGATTCTTTTCTTTTTTCTGTCGAGAAAATAATGTGGATTCTTCTATTTTTTGTCGGGTAAATAATGTGGATTCTTTTTTTCTTTTCTGTCGGGAAAATAATGTGCATTTTTTCTGTCGGGAAAATAATGTGGATTTTTTCTTTTTTCCGTCGGGAAAATAATGTAGATTCGACGCAGCAAAACGTCAAGCCTCTTCACAGTCGCGCACCAAATCTCCAGCTAGCGGTTGCAAAGTCATGAGATCTGATTTCAAGGCGCAAAAAATCAACATTATTTTCCCGACAAAAGAGAATCTCTTTCCAGAGATTCTCTTTTATTGGTCGGGGCAAAAGTGGCACAGCCCCAAAATTTTTAAAGCAGCTAAATTTGCAAAAACCCCTTCACCTCTGCACCCCCTAAATTGGCGATTTACCATATTCATTACATAGGTAAAGTCGCCCTAAAATGCGGTGAATTTCCAAATTTTGTTTCAGAATTTTTTTCCTATCGCAACTTACACACAACGGGCCTCTTGAGCAAAATCTCCAGACCGAAATCGTATTCGAGCCGTCAGTAGTGAGCCCGATGAATTTGTTGAGATTGTCGTGGTCCATCATTCTCATCTGCAATAAACTATCATACATAAATTACCATCAAAAGATGGCTTAAATAAACGCTTAAAAAATTACAAACCGCTCGGATTTCGCTTTGATCATGCGGGGCGATTTTGAGAACATTGACGTTGTAGTTGATGCCAATCACCCGCTCGCCATTCAGCACGTAGATGATATAGAATTCGTTGCTCTTCACCGAGTCAAAGGTGAATTTTGTCGAAGTTGATGATGGCCCGGATTGAAGAGATCGTGCGCTTTCGAGATCTTTTTTCTGTAAAGAGAACATAGCATTACTATAATACGAGCATTTTCATAAAGTACATAGACTGTTTGCTGCAAAGCCGCCCCATCGAAAAAACACTGTATTGCACTGTGCAACCGCAAATTTCAACTGTGTCGCCGCGAGCGCTTCGTGCACGCAGAAGCCAAATGCACTGTGCGCGCGACAAAAAGCACTTTTGAAAAAGCGGAGGCGGGCCAAACAGTCTTGACAATTTTGCATGGTGCGTCGTCGCGCAAGAAACTTTTCGCATGGCGACGAATGAAATTAAAGGTGCACGGCGACCACGCACAGTGCAAAATGAATTCTTTTGAAAGGGTTGAAACTGCACAGTGCGTTTTTCATTTTCACTGTGCCAAATGTTTGTCGAGAAAAAACGGTTTGCGGCGCCGTGCCAAAAAATTTCAAGACTTATTGTCCCGACTATCAGTCTGTCGGGAAAATAATGAGCACATTGTCGCTGTGCCAATCGCGTCGCTGAAATGAAAAGCAATTTTATTTTGCCGCGACACAATTCATTTTCTCGGTGGCAATACGATTTTGGATGCAGCAGACTCCTCATTATTTTCCCGACAGACTGTTATCACTGCAAAACCGAGTAATGCGGTAATACGACTTACTTTGCTAGCCAATTTGATCAGCTGCTCTGTAGACACTTGCCATTGCCTGTTTCGCTCTTCTATTGCCAACATTCTCGATCTGAAAGAATCCAATTTTTATGCTTTCTAATTTTTTTGGCAAAAATGCTTTCTAACTTTTTTGGCAAAAATGCTTTCTAATTTTTTTGGCAAAAATGCTTTCTAATTTTTTTTGGCAAAAATGCTTTCTACTTTTTTTGGCAAAAATGCTTTCGAAGTTTTTTACAAAAATACTTTTTGTTTTTTTGGCAAGAATGCTTTTCCATTTTTTTGGCAAAAATGCTTTTCCCAATTTTTTTTTTTGGCAAAAATGCTTTCTAATTTTTTTGGCAGAATCTTTTGAGATAATATAACAATGGCAATCTTCATTTTACCACCTGTATCATCTTACCGTATCAACATTATCATCGCTCCAATAACCGCCAAGACAAAAACCGCAGCCAATGTGATGCCAGTGATGACGTATCCTCGGTACTCTACGAAAATGTCGACTGGACAGGAGTTCCCGTCAAACCCACAGTGCGGAGTCGAAACCGGGATAAATCCATTTCGCTTGTACCAAATTGCATTCTTGCCAAAGGTGCCGTTGACAATTGCGGAGGTATTCTGAATCTCCTGATATTTAGGATAAGATATGGCGTTTTTTAAAGGCGAATATCTATTACTCTTATGGGAAAATGAGGGGTATTAATATGGTAAAATACGAGGACAACCGGTCCGATAAGTTTAATGACATCAATTTTTAGGAAATAAAATATCGCAACAATGCTTTTCCTAAATTTTTTGGCAAAAATGCTTTTTAACTTTTTTGGCAAAAATGCTTTCCCAAATGCTTTCCAACTTTTTTGGCAAAAATGCTTTCAAATTTTTTTTAGCAAAAGTGTTTTCTAGTTTTCGTGGCAAAAATGCTTTCTAATTTTTTTGGCAAAAATGCTTTCCCATCAAAAAAGAGAATTAAAGCAAATCTGAGTGTTGTTCTTTCAACACTTCCCTTGTAAATTTTTGCCAACTTTCTTCAAAATTTTCGCGTTTTTTTCAAAAAACCCGATATTCATTACTCACCACTCCCGCCTCGGAGATCTGATACTGAACCCACGGCTTCAACGACCCAATCGTATCAATATATTCCGACATCATATAAATGGAATCCCGAACGCCATCGCTCCCCAACGCCACAGTGCCGCTCATCCCTACAAACGGCGGTTATTTCAAACAGTTTGGAGACGGGATCACCTTCAAACTCGATACCATTTTGTTTGGAAATTGCGCGGCCGTCCCGGTGCGAAGTCAAATTCCCGTCAGTGTCGTTGATGATTCGCGACAAGGCCCGTGTATACAAATACATTGCGTCGTATAAAGTGGCAGCGTAAATGGAGGCTTCTTTGTGGTTTTCAGCGCAATAGTCACAGTAGAAGGGCCATTCAGCCATGTCTTCTACTACCTGAAAAGGATGGATTGACACAAGGAAGAGTGAGGAAATAATATTATGAGGAAATTTTTAAAAAACGTATTTTAAAATGATGATTTTTTTGAAGTTGAAAATCTTCGCAATTATTACAGTGACGGACCTGATCCAGTGGGGAAAAACGTACCATTTTGCATCCGGAAAGTATCAAAAATGAAGCAGAATGCCTCCCTCTCCAAGTGAAAAAAACGTGGTTTTGAAGGGTCCTCTCGAAAAAAGAGCGGGCCCGCTTTTGAAATCGGATTTTTTTACTTGGAGAGAGAGGCATTTTGCCACATTTTTGACACTTTCAGGGTTCAAAATGGTAAGTTTTTTGCCGTTGGATCAGGTCCCCCACTGTACAACAAATAATTTTACAAGAAAAGTAGCCCAAGTCGACGCTCAGACTTTGATGAAATTTGGAATAACTTTTCCTAAAATATACGCAAAAATCATAGCTCACGCTTTTTTACCGCAGAGACAACCGAGATTTTTAGGTCTTTATCGCATTGAAAATCGCGTCACCGCCGAGAAAATGAATTGTATCGCGGCAAAACCATTTTTTTCACTTTAGCGGCGCGATCGGCGCAGCAAATTGTGCTCATTATTTTCCCGACAGACTAAAAAGAATTAATCATAATTTTTTTCGCATTTCATTAGAATTTGATTGTGAGAGTCGTAATTGGGGCACTTGCGCCCAAGTAATCGCACTGCAGTTTCCGCAATGCGATTACTTGGAATCTCGCACACTAATTATGTAAAAAATAAAATCCCAAATTTTTGCTCAATCGAAAACTCAAAATTTAATGCTATTTTTAAAATACGCTGCTTCGTTTTGCACAAATCGCAAAAAAGATGCTGTGCACAGTGAACTTTCACTCCCATTTTCCACAGCGACAAATTATCTTTTTGGAATATGGAATTCGGGGACACAATAAATTTTTAGGACTTTTGCCGCAAAATATGTCGCGCGATCGGTTGAGCCTGAACTCTCCTCCTTTTCTGAACTCTCCCCCAAAAAAAGCGGAACTCTCCACCTTTTTTGATTTTCACCAAAAAATCTGAACTCTCCCCTTTTTGAACACCCCATTTTGAAAATTGAAAAAAACGAGGTGTGACATGTTATACGATGAAGGTTTTTTCGAATTGAAAAGATGAGGTGTGACATGTTATACGATGAAAATTTTTTTCAAATTGAGAAAAATTGGATGTGACATCTTATACGATGAAGATTTTTTTCAAATTGAGAAAATGATTTGAAAAAAAATTTCATCGTATAACATGTCACACCCAATTTTTCTCAATTTGAAAAAAAATTCCGTCGCATAAGATGTCACACATAATTTTTTCAATCTTCAAAGTGAGGGGGAGTGTTCAAAAAGAGGGAGGGTTCATTCAATGGGGAGAGTTCTGCCGCAACGCGCGCGATCCCCTCACCTGTTTCGAAAAATTGGCATAATACGCGTCGGCGATGTCGCTCGTTTTGTCCACATGAATCAAGTAGCTCAACTGCGCAATCTTCCACGCCTTTGCCTCTTCCTCAGCCGTGGAGTTTGTCCCATTCCAGAAGGGGGTGTCGCTTAAGCCATCTGCAATTTCGCCGTATACGTCTGCATTTTAAATTTATAAATGGTTGCGCTTACCGTTCTGCATGTCTGTATCGGGCAACAGGAAGACGTATTCGTCCGTGTCGAGGCCATACTCGGCCAGCTTCACAGTGAAGCGACGTTGTTGCTCTACGTCGTCGAAACAGAGAACGATGACTAAAAAAAGGGAAAGGCGTTGTAAGGAAATTTTTTGGTTATTACAGAGGAAGTGGTCGAGGTGTGACGCTAATTTTTTTTATTTTGGCCACTCCTAGGCCAAAAATTAATTTTTGGAAAATTTTAGCTTTTTCTTTGCAAGAGCAACTGAGATACTCAACGATCTTTTTTTTACGAGAAACTACGCAAAATGCGGAGAGCAATCAAAGAGAAAATAAATTTTTGGCCGTATCCCTGCAAGTCTTGTACGGCAAATTTTTGTTGTGGTAATATTGCCCGATATGGTAAAAAAGTATGAGAAATTTCACAGAAAAAAAAATTTGGGCCGTATCTCTGTAAATACCATACAAAAAATGACTTTTTTGTGGAAATACATACTACTCTATACCGTAGAAATAGCTTTGAAACATTTCATGGCCGAATTTGCGAGAAGTGTCCCACTTTGTCCAACTTTTGAAAATAAAAATCTCAACGGACAAAGAGAAAAATACCTTTTGGCCTTCGCTCTGTGAGCCAAAACTTTCAGAAATCTTTGGCGTAGAAAGAGTGCGCAAAATGCGGAAAGCGGTCAGAGAGAAAAACACTTTTTTGCGATATCTTTGCCAGCTTGACGTGGAAAAAAATATTTTTTCATTGAGATATTACACTTGACGGTAGAAATTGCTATGAATCGCTTCATGCCCAAAATTCGCAAAAATCTTCGCCAATTTTTGATTTAAAAATCAGCGTCACACATTGACTTTCTCTGCAAAAATTTTCAAGTTTTATAAAAGTTTCGTCTCACTTCTAGCTCTCGTTTTCAGTTGCGACATAGTGAAGTCAATGTCCTTTTCCTCCCAGCTGTCCACCACTTCCTTGTAGGCCATCACACAGTCTTCAACTTGATTTGAGACGTCCTGAAAAGTGATTTGTTTTGGCCTTGTAAAAATATCGTCTGCGTTTTTGCGCCTGTCGCTAACGGCATGCTTTCTTATTTTTTGGCAAAAATGCTTTCGAATTTTTTTTGGCAAAAATGCTTTCTAATGGCAAAAATGCTTTCTATTTTTTGGCAAAAATGCTTTCTAATTTTTTTTGGCAAAAATGCTTTCTAATTTTTTTGGCAAAAATGCTTTCTATTTTTTTGGCTAAAATGCTTTCTAATGTTTTGGCAAAATTGCTTTCTATTGGCAAAAATGCTTTCTATTTTTTTTGGCAAAAATGCTTTCTAATGGCAAAAATGCTTTCTATTTTTTTGGCTAAAATGCTTTCTATTGGCAAAAATGCTTTCTATTTTTTTGGCAAAAATGCTTTCTATTGTTTTGGCAAAAATGCTTTCTATTTTTTTGGCTAAAATGCTTTCTATTGGCAAAAATGCTTTCTATTTTTTTTGGCTAAAATGCTTTCTAATGTTTTTGGCAAAATTGCTTTCTATTGGCAAAAATGCTTTCTATTTTTTTTGGCAAAAATGCTTTCTAATGGCAAAAATGCTTTCTATTTTTTTGGCTAAAATGCTTTCTATTGGCAAAAATGCTTTCTATTTTTTTGGCAAAAATGCTTTCTATTGGCAAAAATGCTTTCTATTTTTTTTGGCAAAAATGCTTTCTATTTTTTGGCAAAAATGCTTTCTATTTTTTTGGCTAAAATGCTTTCTAATGTTTTTGGCAAAATTGCTTTCTATTTTTTTGGCAAAAATGCTTTCTAATGGCAAAAATGCTTTCTATTTTTTTGGCTAAAATGCTTTCTATTGGCAAAAATGCTTTCTATTTTTTTGGCAAAAATGCTTTCTATTGGCAAAAATGCTTTCTATTTTTTTTGGCAAAAATGCTTTCTATTTTTTGGCAAAAATGCTTTCTATTTTTTTGGCTAAAATGCTTTCTATTGGCAAAAATGCTTTCTATTTTTTTGGCAAAAATGCTTTCTATTGGCAAAAATGCTTTCTATTTTTTTTGGCAAAAATGCTTTCTATTTTTTGGCAAAAATGCTTTCTATTTTTTTTGGCAAAAATGCTTTCTATTGTTTTGGCAAAAATGCTTTCTATTTTTTTGGCAAAGATGCTTTCTATTGGCAAAAATGCTTTCTATTGTTTTGGCAAAAATGCTTTCTATTTTTTTGGCTAAAATGCTTTCTATTGGCAAAAATGCTTTCTATTTTTTTGGCAAAAATGCTTTCTATTGGCAAAAATGCTTTCTATTTTTTTTGGCAAAAATGCTTTCTATTTTTTGGCAAAAATGCTTTCTATTTTTTTGGCTAAAATGCTTTCTATTGGCAAAAATGCTTTCTATTTTTTTGGCAAAAATGCTTTCTATTGGCAAAAATGCTTTCTATTTTTTTTGGCAAAAATGCTTTCTATTTTTTGGCAAAAATGCTTTCTATTTTTTTTGGCAAAAATGCTTTCTATTGTTTTGGCAAAAATGCTTTCTATTTTTTTGGCAAAGATGCTTTCTATTGGCAAAAATGCTTTCTATTGGCAAAAATGCTTTCTAATGGCAAAAATGCTTTCTATTTTTTGGCAAAAATGCTTTCTATTTTTTTGGCTGAAATGCTTTCTAATGCTTTTGGCAAAAATGCTTTCTATTGTTTTGGCAAAAATGCTTTCTATTTTTTTGGCAAAGATGCTTTCTATTGGCAAAAATGCTTTCTATTGGCAAAAATGCTTTCTAATGGCAAAAATGCTTTCTATTTTTTGGCAAAAATGCTTTCTATTTTTTTGGCTGAAATGCTTTCTAATGCTTTTGGCAAAATTGCTTTCTATTTTGTTGGCAAAAATGCTTTCTAATTTTTTTGGCAAAAATGCTTTCCCCAATTTTCGAAATGAACTTTTCATTACCTCCATATCCTGCTGGAACGCGTAACAACCTCCATCCTCGTTTTCCTGATAAATCAGAGCATACAAATTCCAGTCAAAGTAGTGTAATGTTGAGCAAATCACATTGCCCAGGCTGAAACATATCACAAAATAAAAACCTCTCTACAGTGGCGGACCTCATCCAGTGGCAAAAAACGTACCATTTTGCCTCCGGGAAGTATCAAAAAATGTGGCAAAATATCTCCTTATGCAAGTGAAAAGAACTCACTTGGATAAGGAGGTATTTGGCAACGGCGCGCCTTTCAAACATTTTTATTTTTTTTTTAGTTTGAGAGGGAGGCATTTCGCCACATTTTTGATACTTCCAGGAGGCAAAATGGCACTTTATTCCTCTCGATCAGGTCCATTACTCTATCATCGCCTTACTCATTGTAATTGGGCAGAGTGCTCATCAACGTCGGATACATTGTGGTGTCCGTGAAGGCATTGTCGAACGCCTGGCCCCACAAAAGCACCGGAATATTGTAAAATGAGGCCACATGACCAGCAAGAATCGCTCCATCGATGCATGGAGGAGCCAGAAGAGCGTCCACTCGTTGCTCCGCGATCAGTTCGAAACTGTAGCCGATGGCGGTGGACTCAACGCATTCCTCGATTTTCCAAACAAACCTAGAAATGAGTTGGAATTTGGGAGCGTACAGACATGCCATGATTTTTCCCCCGCTTACAATTAGTATAATTTTTTTTTAATTTCACTAATTTTCTTGTTTTTTGAAACTTCTCTTGCTACCGTATATCTCTTTTTACGCAAGCCAGACAAATCTAGCGCAAGATTAACCTAGTATCACACAATTTTCTACGTCAAAATCTTACGTAAAATTGGTTCCTGCTGGCAGTATCTCCTCGTCATACGCTCTTTTCAAGCCCTCGATCAGAGCCCCGGCCGTATTGTCAAATCCCATTTCTTCGGATGCGTTGGAAGGGATTAGAAACCCCACTTTGATGTGCAATGGAGTCTGAAAGCGATACGGTAGAAAAGAATAATGAAGTAGTAAAAATTTAGAGAGGAAAAAAACAAAATTTTTGGGATTTTAATCCAAAAATTCTTATTTTGCACTTTATTTCTTCTTTGGTGACATTTTATACGAAAAAATATTTCTTCGTATAAAATGTCATCTCACTGAAAAATGAATGAAGAATATTCGAAATAACATAAATTAGTCTGTATGTGATGTAAAAGTATTTTTGCGCTTTATTTTGGCTTTGGGGACGTTTTATACGAAAAAAATATTTCTTCGTATAAAATGTCACCTTACTGAAAAATGAAAGAATAATATTCGAAATAACACAATTTGCATAGTTTGAAATTTACTGCAATTTTTTTGCACTTTATTTTGGCTTTGGTGACATTTTATACGAAGAAATATTTTTTAATCATCAATTTTTTTTTTAGTTTTATATCCAAAATCCTTCTAAATAAAGAATAAAAAGATACATCCATCTCCAGCCTACATTAACATCCGGCGCCAAGGTAAACGGAGCGATTGTGGGCAAAGTCGGAAAAGTCCCGAAAGTTGGTAAAGTCGCGAAAGTTGGGAGTGTACCCAGAGTCGGGAACGTCCCAAAAGTTGGGAATGTTGGCAATGTAGGGAAAGTAAATGGGGCAGTAGTTGTAGTAATGGCCATGGTTGGGCCAAGAGTGATGGTTGTTGTCATAAACGGCGAGCCTGCCGTAGTCGCTGTTGGCTGAGTTGTAACGCCCGCTGAGGAGCTAGTTATAGTCGTAGAAGCGTCTTCTTGACTTTGGTAACATCGCAATAGTATACAGAATATAGTCAGTAGAAAATTTACCGTAGTTTTTGACATTTTTTATCGAAAAAATGAGAAAAACTGAAAAATCAGCGGTTTCCCAGGAAATTTTGATTTTTTCAAAAATTTTCGGTCAAAATATCGGTCCGAAGTATTCAAATACTTTTTTAAATAGCTGAAAGACTATGGTGAATAGACTGAAAATAGCTTGAAATACTATTGATCCGGGTAGTAAAGTAAAAACGGCACCGAATCCCAAGGATAATATTAGGGTGTCCCATAAATCTTGCAAATTTTTGGGTCGTCGATTTGTGCGAATTCTTGTAAGCTTTGAAACGCATTATGGAGTATGTTGGATATACTGTTTTGAAGCTCAGATAAAGGGCTTCTAAACCGCGTATGACAAAGCCACAGAAGATCCACCTGCTGCCCAGACTGCCCCGATATTGTACTAGACATTAAGAAAAATTTTGCTTGCCGATTTTGAAATGGCTATATGCTTTCTAAAAATAGATCTGTTGGCCCACTAAACGTGAAAATAGGACGCATGAGAGCTTTGGATCTTATTCTAGTCCCCGCTGCGATACAGACATGGGCACTTTTGTGGTGGTTTGACCAACATGAAAACTGTTGCACTCACGTTTTTCTGACCTATTTTTTCGACGGTAAAAAATGTGGGCCGTAGCTGTGCATCGTGTGTAATCTACGCTTGCTTGTGAACATAATGAGGCTACAATTACCGCCTGTATCAATTTTTTGCCTTGAGATATACATAATTCAAAATTTTCATGATTATTTTTAAAATTTACAGAAAATTTTTTAAATTTAGTGTTTTTTCAGCCCCTGGCACCGCTATTCCAAAATCCTCTGGCTAAGGTAAAATACATATGTCAATGTTTAAAAGACACTGCAATACAAGATTATTTGTATACATGCCAACTTTTTTGGTATTGAGTAAATGCACCTCATTTTTTCAAATTTTCTTGGGTTAGCGGTAATTCAGAACAAAGTAGCCAACGGATCCGTGCTTAAAACGCATAAATCTAACGCTATTTTCATTATGGTAACGGCCCGACCTGAGAAACCATCCTCAAAAAAATTTATACGCAAAAGTATGTACATCGTGATATTCACCATGGCGTCTGATACAAGAAACCTGTAGGACAGCGTCATAAGCAAGAATTCAGTGGAAAGCGCCGCTTGTTTAGAAACAGAGTACGCAGTAGATTTATAAAAAAGTGTCGTTGCAAAGGTGCAGCCTCACTTACCAAAGAACGGAATCGTTTTCCTAACCCTTCCCAAAACTGGACAATATTAACGAATGTCAAGTATTTGCCCGGAGGGCACGTGGTTAGTTAAAATTTTTATGCTGTTAACAAGTGTAAGAGATGGTGGTTCTAACAGTACCAATCATTAAGAAGTATAGTTCTCTAGGCCCTCAAAATGAGACGTTAATTCTTAAACCCAAAAATTTGCAAGACTTATGGGACACCCTAATATAAAGTAATGTCTAGGAGCCGCAAGAAGAAGGGATTAGCGGATCCTTAGATTGAAAGGACTACAAATTTCAGGGATTATCCGGTGCCTTTCAGTTTCATAATCCATTTTTTAGTACAGATTTTGAAAAAAAATATCGAAGAAAAAACATTTTTGATTACAAATATTTTTTTTATTTTTTTGTCTTCCAAATTTCATTTGGCTCATTTTTTTTATCTCACGGAATGGTCGGTTCTTCAAATCTGCCGTCTCAAAGTGCCGAAAGCAGAGAAAGCGCTGGGAAAAATGCAAGGAAAAAGGCAAGCACAAACAACGTCGGGAAAATAATGTGGATTTTCCGATATCATTTTGTCGGGAAAATAATGTGGATTTTCCGATATCATTTTGTCGGGAAAATAATGTGGATTCCGAGATTATTTGGTCGGGAATATAATGTGGATTTTCCGATATCATTTTGTCGGGAAAATAATGTGGATTTTTTGAACATCAGCTGTCGGGAAAATAATGTGGATTTTTGGGTATTATTTTGTCGAGAAAATAATGTGGATTTTCCGATATCATTTTGTCGCGAAAATAATGTGGATTTTTGGATATCATTATGTCGGGAAAATAATGTGGATTTTCGGATATTATTTTGTCGAGAAAATAATGTGGATTTTCGGATATTATTTTGTCGAGAAAATAATGTGGATTTTCGGATATTATTTTGTCGGGAAAATAATGTGGATTTTCGGATATCATTTTGTCGGAAAAATAATGTGGATGTTCGGATATCATTTTGTCGGAAAAATAATGTGGATTTTCGATATTATTATGTCGGGAAAATAATGTGGATTTTCCGATATTACTATGTCGCGAAAATAATGTGGAGTTTCTGTTATCATTTTGTCGGGAAAATAATGTGGATTTTCCGGTATTATTATGTCGGGAAAATAATGTGGATTTTCCGATATTACTATATCGCGAAAATAATGTGGATTTTCCGATATTATTTTGTCGGGAAAATAATGTGGATTTTTTGAACATCAGCTGTCGACAAAATAATGTGAATTTTCCGATATTATGTTGTCGGGAAAATAATGTGGATTTGCGGCGTTTTGAAATGGCTCATCATTGCTTTGCGACGGCTAGCTGCGATGATGGGCGCTTCCAAGCCGCAACAAATCCACATTATTTTCCCGACGGACTGATAATTTTTTCTGCCTTATTCTTTGTCGCTGAAGAAACAAACAATTTTATTTTTTTGCAGCACAATTCATTGAAGTGATGAAATCTTAGATGCGACATTGCTCAATATTTTCTCGACAGACTGATATTACAATAAAAAATTTAATTTCAGCCCATCATCAAATCCTCGGCGAAATTATCAAATCTGCCTGGCCAAACTTCCACCAAGCCCTCCAACGTGGCCTCAAATTCAAGTCGAGCTCGCAGGAGCCGCTCAAGAAAGTCTTCAAGGGCTAAAAGGCAGGGATCCGCAAAGAAAACCGCCGAAAGCAAGAAGAATACAACAGCAGCTGCGAAATCGGATACTGAACCGTCTACCTCAAAATCGACCTCAAATAAGTCGGTGACTGGAGAGAAGGCAACGGAGGAGCCAGAAGAGGTGTTGAAATGTACATGCCGACCGAAGAAAAAGTGAGTTTAGCGCGTATTTGGAAGTTTTGCTTTGGCAGCCTGCGCCCTTGCTTATTGGAGAGTGATTTTAAAACAAGAAAAATTAGTTTTAGTAATGACTATGGCTATATTTTTCTTAGTTTGAACCTATAATATGGTCTTTTGATGATTTTGTAATTGGCAGCTTGCGCCCAGGCTTGACTATTTTTTTGGATTGAGTACGGAAAGGTCCGCTGCGGAAAGGTCCGCTAAAAAAAGAAAAGAGAAGGGCGGGGGGAAGGGTGGGGGGAGGTTTTCGATGGCGCTGAGTTCGAAAATCATATAAATTTTTTTCTGAATTTTACAATTTTGCTTAAGCAGTAGTGTCATTTTCGCTGTAAAGACGAAAAAAGCGTCATAAGTTTTCTTACAATATCATACAAGTTTGACCAAGTTTTTACCAATTAAAACATTTATTTTAAAGAATTGAGGAAGATAGGCAAAAATTCAGAAGAAATGGATACAATTTTCAAAATCAGCACCACCGAAAACCCCTAAATCCATTACTCAAAAAAGATTTTTTTAAAATTACTAATTAATACTACTGCTTGCAAAATTGTAAAATTCAGAAAAAATGGATACGATATTCGAAATCAGCGCCATCGAAAACCTCCCCCCTCCCCGCCCTCCTCTTTCCTTTTTTTAGCGGACCTTTCCGCAGCGGACCTTTCCGTCCTTCGTGATTTTTTTGACGTCTAATAACTGATAAACAAGAAATGACAACTCTAGAAGCATCCATTACGTCATTTAAATATCGATTTACCTGATTTAAAAATTTTTCGTTTCGCAGCTCGCGCCCTATTCTTCGGGTCGAAAGCTTTTACAATGGCCAGAATTTGATGGCAAAGGCAAATTGACAACATTCTTAACATTTTTCATTTTCAGAAGGAACCGAAAAGACTACTATTACCTTGTACTCGGCCTTACCCGGCACGCTGCGCCCGAACATATCGCTTTGGCCTATCAAATGGAGATCAACCAACTTCGGATCCTTCAAGCACATCAAAATGGCTCATTAACTCAAGAACAAAAGGATCGTCTTGCTGAAATCAACTTTGCCTATTCAATACTGGGCCATGCCCAAAGACGAAAAATCTATGATACGTATGGATTGAGAGGCGTTTTACTGGCACAAAAACACCCGACTTTTCATCATAGTCTATGGATGATTGCGACTAAAGCCTGGAAGGTGAATTTTTAGAGGATTTTTATGAGGTGACATTTTATACGAAAAAATAGTTTTTTCGTATAAAATGTCGCCAAAGCCGAAATAACGTGCAAAAATAATTTTGCAACGTAGTTCAGACTAATTTTCGTTATTTGGAATATTCTGCTTGCTTTTTTCATTAAGGTGACATTTTATACGAAGAAATAATTTTTTGTATAAAATGTCACCAAAGCCAAAATAATGTGGAAAAATAAATTTTCAACACATTTCGGACTAATTTTCGTTATTTCAAATATGCCTCTTTCATTTTCCATGAGGTGACATTTTATACGAAAAAGTAATTTCTTCGTATAAGATGTCACCAAAGCCGAAATAAGAACAATTGCAAATATATTTTTAATTTTAATCTCTTTTTCAGTTTGGCATTCACCTTCTCACCTACCTCACCTGTTTTTGGTGTGGTTGCTGCTGTTTTTGTGGATGTTGTTGCATATTTTGTTGTCGCTGCTGCTGCAATGGATGCTGTGGACACTTGAATGAGGATGTTGTGGTAAGCTTTATCCGTCAAATAAAAAAATAAATTTTTTTTATTTTCAATTTTTCAGTGTGAAGTTCACCATGCTCAATTGGAGGATTACACAGTGGATGGAAAGACGATCACCAGAGTCAAAGATGGGGTAAGAAAAATTACAAAAAAGAGATTTTTCAATAAAAAAATATTTTATTTTTTTTTTATTTTTTTCAAATTTTCAAAAAAAACTTTGCAGAAAAAGCATTCCATCTCACCGGACAAGCTTACAATATCTTCGAAGTATCGAGGACGCCGTCATTCGGCCCCACCGGCAATAAGCACGACGTCTTCAACGCCACATAAGGAACGAGCCAGGTTATTCATCGATCAACCACAATACTCCGTGAAACATATGCATCAATTCAAACCAGCGTGTGACAATGCTGCTGGTAAGGAAATTTGGAAGGAAATTGCGTTGCAGTCAGTCGGATTGAAGGCTCTGAAAGAGGGTTTAGCGATTTTGGAGATTTTCGAAGTTTTCGTGGTGGGACCCGATTGGTCCCACCACGAAAACATTTTTTGCGTAGAAGAAAGTGTTTTTAGCGCCAAATTGAAAATGAATTGGTATTATTATTGAGTTTCGTTCAATTTGGGAGCTTTTTGAGCCCTACAATGTTTTCGTCCCGAGACCCGATTGGTCCCACCACGAAAACATCTTGGCATAAAAACAGTCTTTTTAGTGCCAAATTGCGGCTAAATTGGTGTTATTAATGGCTTCCGTTCAATTTGAAAGCTTTGTTGAGACTTCAAAAGTTTTCGCCCCAGGACCAAATTGGTCCCACCACGAAATCATTAAAAACCAAAAATTATTCTTTTTTCTTATAAAAAGTTTTTTTCCAGCTGACATCCTGAAGAAATACAATGCCCCCGGAGAACAGAAATGTATTGAAGAACTGGATATGAAGAAACGAGCCAACTCGGATTCAAAGGTGTATGTGAAACGCTCAAGTTCGAAGAAATCGTCGGAATTAAAGACTATTTCGGGTAATTTCAACTCATCATTTTCACTTTGCAGTCTCAATTGACGTATTTTACATTTTGTTTGCTTGGATTCTAAGATTTTCAAAGTTTCTTCGGGCGCAGCTCGCCAAATTAAAATTCTGATTTTTATGGCGAACCTAATATAAAACAATTTTTAGGCTCCAAAGACACAATTTCTGACCTAGGAGAAGAGAGAATTAGATCCCTCGAGTCGTTGAAGGTCCAATCAACGATGATGTCAAGTTACACGCAGCCTGCGCCCGACCAAAAAACCGGATCTTCAACCGTTGGCAGTTCCTCTTGCACCTCGTCGAACTGCAAAAATAATGGAAAAGGTTCAAAACACAAGAAAGTAGAAAAATCGAAGAAAAAGGGCCCGTCCAGGAGAGGATAATGTTATTCTTGATAGCTGATTTGCGAAATAAATTTTTGGAAAAATTAATTTCATTTTGGCGGGAATTTTGATAAAATTTGAGGCAAAATAAGGCTACAGTTTTTTATTTTTTTTTTATTTTTTTTTATTTTTTTTATTTTTTTTTGTATTTTATAAAATTTTGTTTTATTTTTTTTTATTTTTTTTATTTTTTTTATTTTATAAAATTTTGTTTTCTTGTTTTTTTATTTTTTTATTTTTTTTTTATTTTTTTTATTTTTTTTTTATTTTTTTTTATTTTTTTATTTTTTTTTATTTTTTATCGGGTGGTTTTATGAAAAATAAAAAACTTTTTTGAATATTTTTTTTATTTTTATGATTTTTTAAAATATTTTTCTTCATTTTTTAAAAATTTTGCCGGACTCTTATGCAAAAAAAAATAAAAATTTTCTTCCAATAAAATAAAAAAAAGGCTGGTACCATTTTTTATTATTATATTAATCTCCAGGTCAAAAAAATCCGAAAAAAGGAAGGTTGCACGTATTTTACCAAGAGATCAGTTTTTCGGTTCGAAAACGTTCTCTTTGTAGTGACCGATCCGATTTCCATTGGGCATGTAGCGACAAACCACGTAATATCCGTTGCTTCCTTTGGCGACTCCAATCCCCATTGCATGGCATTCTTTCCAAACTATCTGAAAAAAAATAATTAAAAAAAATTTTTTTATTTTTTTTTAACGAGATTTTTTTACGCTAAATTTTTTTAATTAAAAAATAAAAAAAAAATAAAAAAAAATAAAAAAAATAAAAAAATAAAAAAAAATTCATATTTTTCATATTTTTTTTTAATTTTTTTTTATTTTCTTAAACGAGATTTTTTTACGCTAAAATTTTTTTAATAAAAAAATAACAAAAAATAAAAAAATTAAAAAAAAAAATCATATTTTTCATATTTTGGTGTCAAAAAAATTGCTAAAAAATCATCTCCTTACTCCAAAAAATCCCAAAAAACCTTTCCTCACCTGTGAAAAATGCGAGATTTGATCGCAAATATCCTCGATTTCCCCATAACTTTTGATGACATTGCTCTCCTTGTACCAAGTCTCGGTCGCACCATCGGGACTGCTGCTGCTGAAGAAGACATTTTCGCCCAATTTACAGGTCGGATCATGCCTCAGAATCCCTTCGGAAGCGAGCTTTTCGGCGAAAAGTTGAGCGTCTTTGCACAGGTCCTTGGACAACTTGAGCGGGTCCACTCCGTGCTTTTTTCGGTACTCATTGTGGAGTTTGAGTTGCTGCAAAGAGAAGGCGACCATTGGGGGAAACTTTTTTTTTTGGTTGTAGATGAATATAGCGGCTATTAAAAGCAATAGAAACTAATTTTGTGACAAAACATTGAAAGTAAAGCTGGTTTATAAAGCGCTATGAAGTCTTTTGCTTTGTTAGTCAAATGAGATAAGCATTTTTCATGATTTTACAACTTTATTTTTTCTGTTTGAATCATAGCCTCGATCTTTTTGATAATGTAAAAATCATTGTGATTCTCTTGAAAATCGATAAGGAACACAAAAACAAAACATCGCTAGGGTGTCTATCTCAAGTGAAAAGTTTCAAGCCTAAGTTTGGCTTGAAACTTTTCATGACAAAATTCGCAAGAAAATGTCGCACTCGTTTGTCCCTGCAAAGCGTGATCTAGAAGTCTCGTTTTTCATTGAGGTGACATTTTATACGAAGAAATATTTTTTCGTATAAAATATCACCAATGAAGAAATAATGCGAAAACTAATCTTGCTACACATTTCAGACTAATTTTCGCTATTTCAAATATTCTGCTTGCTTTTTTCATTGAGGAGACACTTTATACGAAGAAATAATTTTTCGTATAAAGTGTCACCAAAGCCAAAATAATGTGCAAAAATAATCTTGCTACACATTTCAGACTAATTTTTGTTATTTTGAATATTCCTCTATCATTTTTCTTTGAGGTGACATTTTATACGAAGAAATATTTTTTCGTATAAAATGTCACCAAAGCCAAAATAATGCGCAAAAATAATCTTGCTACACATTTCAGACTAATTTTTGTTTTTATAAATACTATTCTTTCACGTTTCATTGAGGTGGCATTTTATACGAAGAAATATTCTTTCGTATAAAATGTCACCCAAGCCAAAATAAAGCCCAAAATAATTTTACATCACATTTCAGACTAATTTTTGTTATTTTGAATACTCTTCTTTCATTTTTCATTGAGGTGACACTTTATACGAAGAAATAATTTTTCGTATAAAATGTCACCAAAGCCAAAAAATGTGCAAAAATAATCTTGCTACACATTTAGACTAATTTTTGTTATTTTGAATATTCTTTTTTCATTTTTCATTGAGGTGACATTTTATACGAAGAAATATTTTTTCGTATAAAATATCACCAAAGCGGGAGTAAAAATAAGAACATCCGAAATTTGGAAAAAATAAACTTTTTTAATTTTAATCTGTCGCGTTTGAAGCTTGCGTCGCCGCCGAGGGAATGAACAGTGTCGTGGCAAAATTATAAGTTGCTTTCCACCATTACAACACGATTGACGCAGCGACATTGCTCTCATTATTTTCCCGACAGACTAATAAGTAGTCAAACAAGATCTCTTCGCCTCTTCCAGCACGCACAGACAACCTGCTCTTACCTTTTGCTGACATTGCTCCTGAAGACTCGGTTTGTTTCCCATTTCCGTTTTTGCGAACACTCTCCGACTCGAAACAACAGCCCAAAATTAGCGGATTTGCGGGGCGTTACGAATGGCGAAAGTTCCGGGGCAACTCCTGACTCAGCGTCGCCATGAATCGGCCCGCCGGGCCATAAAATTGGAGGCGGCGTTGCTCACGTCAATCCGCTTTTTACGATTCATGTCGGGAATATTTTTTATTGTTTCTCCCACCGCGTTGAGACGTGTTTGAAGGGAATTTGAAAACACAGACATTCAAATTCATAAGGAGAAAGTTGAAGAATGCAACAACAAAAATATGATGAATCAGGGGAAATATGGGTTGCGAAATTGAAATTTTTTAGCGATAGTGTCAGAAGGTTGTGAAAAATCAGTCTGTAGAGGAAAATAATCAAATCCACATTATTTTCCCGACCAATTGATGTGACTTGCCTTGCGGAATTCATCGAGAATATCGGTGGTTTTTGCCCTGTGCATCGATATAAATAGTAAATTTTTATCGCTGCAAAGTAAGCAAGTTTCAATTATTTGCCTGTCGGGAAAATAATGAGCACAATGTCGCATCGAAAATAGGATCGCCGCTAAAAAAATCGCGGAAAAAATAAAATTTTCTCAAAGTGCACGTCGCAAAAATCACTCCTGCAACCTTGCGATAACACAAGATTTTTAAGAGAGTTTACTGGGAAAAAATTGAAATTTGAATTTCGAAATTCGCAAAGAAAATTGTCGAAATAAACAGGGGAAGTACTCCAAGTGCGACGCTCAGATTTTGGTGAAACTTGGCACAAATTTAGAATAATTTTTTCTAAGAAATATGCGAGAATCCTAGCTCGCGCTTTGCAGAAACAACCGAGATTTTTAGATCGAAAGTCGGCCAAAATTTAGGACTTTTTGCCGAATGTCGGCACGAAGAGTTTCTTGCCTATTTCAACCGTAAAGGATAATGTTTCTACAAAAATCATCGCCATTTGGCTAAAATTTTACATGAATTCTTCATAATTTGTTTTGAGACTACACTTTTTTCAGTCTGTCGGGAAAATAATGAGCTCAATGTCGCGGGGCCGTTGCGTCGCTGAAGTAAAAAGCAATTTCATTTTGCCGGCGGCGATGCGATTTTCAATGCTACAGAGTGCTCATTATTTTCCCGACAGACTGAAATCTCTTTGTAAAATACGCCTTTTCCTGTATCGACTTTTTTGCGGCCTGGAGGTTACAGTTATGCCAATTGATTGCTTATTATAATGCATATATTAATTTTATACCCGTAAAAACTGCATATCACATAAAAAAGTCATGTTTTTTTATCGATTCGGAACATTTCCCTGTTCAAACATTGAGCGTAGGTTGTTGAAATGAGCCTCTGCCTCCTCATTTCTCGTCACAGTACTCGTATTTTCTCTCGGCGTTGGCAGAATGCATGAAAAATCCTTGTAGACGGCCTTCTTCAGCTGCGGAAACTCGTCATACAAGAATAGAGTGCAGGCCAAATTGTAGGTCTCCGTCATGGTTAGGAGAAGCTGAAAAAACAGCTATTTCCGGATGGGAATTGGTGGGTTGTATATACATAGGTCGAAAAAATACAGCAGCCATTATTACCAGTCTGTCGGAAAAATAATAAGCACTCTGTCGCAGCGAAAATCGCATCGCCGCCGGGAAAACTAATTGTTTCTTAAAGTTCCTTATTCTGGCCACAACAAAGGGACTCTGCGAACTGCGCCCAACCTTGGAACTAAAGTTAGGAAAAAAAAGACTTAACTGGCACTGAATTACTATGACATCGCTATAGTTTTGCGGGTATCTACGAAGGCAATGACGACTCATTCAGTTCTATACCGAGGCAATAAGTTTAGTTCCGGACATGTTTCATCGTATAAAGTGCAAAATCGCGGGCTGCAGCCGTTTTTGAAGGATAAGGTGGTACGTAAAAAAAGTAGCTCACTAACTGTCCGGGCAGTCACAACGATGAATTTAGCCTATGCGCTAATTTTGGGCTAATTCTGACCAGTTTCCGCAAAGTTATAAGTTGTGGCCAGAATACGGAACTTTTACCAACAAAGGTTTTCTTTGCACTGTGCAAATGGCTTTTTTGTGCTGTCGCTCGTACTCTGACTTTTTCCGCACAATGCAAACGCCAAAAATTTCTCCATCGACTTTACGAACGGACTAACGCAATTTTTCTTTTGATCAAATTTGGTTCGGCCCGACCCGAAGCCATGTCCAGCTTCAACTCACCCCCAATATTGCTTGAATGTCCACCGTATTCGTATTGTAATCACAAACCAAATAAAGGTAGTTCAAAACAAAAATAAATGGAAGCGCGATAAGAATCAGCACGGCAAACGCCGTCACCATCCGCTTAATCCACTGTAATGTGTATTTGGTCTGTCTCATTTCATAGGATTGCGTTAGCGATCGACTAAATTGACCTTGAACCTTGGCCATGATGCCTCTGAGGACCTAAAAATTTGATGTGAGCAATTGTAAAATTATTTTTTCTAAGCCATATTCGATCATTCTAGGTGGCGTTTAGCTGAAACGATCGAGATTTTATAGGCTAAAAATTGAGAAAATTGTGACATTTTTTTGTGAATTTAAACATGAAAAGTTTCACTCTTATTTTTACCGTAGAGTCTAACATTTCCACAAAGAATCAATTTTTTGCAAACAATTGGCAAAGATACGGCCAAAAAAATGTTTTTACTCTGACCGCACTCCGCGTTTTGCGTACTCTTTCGGCCACAAAGGAGGTGTAATATCTAGGCGTCGCCTGCAAAGCACGAGCTAAAACTTTCAGAAGTTTGTACATGGCCGTACCCAACGTGTATACAAAATTTAAAGAAGATCCGAGCGTCGCACTTGGGGTACTTCCGTTGTAATTTTGGCGCTCGAAAATTGTTCTTTTTTTTCGTACCGATGGATAAGTACAGTTGGGGAGCTAATCCATTGGCAATAACCGTACCATTTTGTATCCAGTAAGCATCAAAAAATGTGGCAAAATACCTCCCTCTCCAAGTGAAAAAACTCAGATTTCAAAAGCACGCCCGCTCTTTTTGTGAGGGAACCCTTCAAAACCATGTTTTTTCTCTTGAAGAGGGGAGCATTTTGCCACATTTTTGATACTTCCCGGATGCAAAATGGTACGTTCATTGCTACTGGATCAGCTCCCCCACTGTAGGTATGCACAAAACAAGAAAAAACGATTTCAAAAAGTACCTAGAGCTTGCGACTCAAAAATTGCTGAACTTAACATGAACTTGAACTCGGTTTCAAATATTATTGAAGTTATACTTGGCCTTGAACTTGGCCTTCAAAAATGATCAAACTCGAGCTCAAAATTGAGTTTTGAATTTTGAATTTGGCGGAGCCGTAGTGTCATTATGATTTTTTTCTTCTTACGAAAAAAAATTTTGTAGTGTCCGACAAAAAAATTGTAGGAAAGTAATGCTAAATATAAAAATTTATTATACCTACAAAAATGGTGTGTAACATCCCAGCCGTCGCCAGACAGACATCGAAAACATATCCGGGAACGGATTTGTCGGTAATAAATGTTCGTTGCAGCCTGTAGTCTACATTGGATTCTGGCAGACTCCATATTATTGTAGACTTTATAACAAGCAGGAGCAAGGAAGAGAGAGTCTAAAAAATGAAAAGATTTTATTTTTATTCAAATATAATTTTGTCGCAAAGAAAAGCACCAAAATTTCGGTTTTTTCAACTTATTTGCAAATTGTGGAAACGTTCCAAAATAATTTTTTGGCACAAGAGTTATAGTACACTAGTACATATTGGAGCCAAATATGGCACAGTTTTATTGACAACCACAAAAGTTACAGCGGTTTTAAAAGTGCATTTATAATTTTGTCGAGCAATGTATAACAGGGCCGTAATACAAAAAAATAAAAGATTTAGGCGGGTTAAAGAATTTGTAATGTGGTTTGTCGTTTGTGTAATCTAAGGAAAATAAGATTTGATGTTTTAGAAAGGACTTTCAAAAGCATAATTGAGTTGGACCAAGGTTCGTATTGCCCCACTCATAATCAGACACTTTCAAATGAAAGGAATGGCAAAATATTGAGTGCATGGGGAGCACTGTCGTGTAAATAATAAGCACTCTGTCGCATCGAAAAATCGCCGCCGAGAACATGAATTGTCTCGCGACAAAATCAAAATGCTTTTCACTTCAGCGACACTGCGCTCATAACGCATAAACATTCTGTTCTATATGGACATTGCAGGGCAAATGCATGGACATTCTGTTCTGATTGCCCGCATTGTGCACCAAAAACATCGTGCATCTAACTCTTTTTGGTTTTCGCAAAGTGCATAGAAATCGAGGCGATGTAAGCTTTTTCCAACTTTGTCGCCGCGGATTTGCTCAAGCATTTTCACAGTGCAAACGGTTTTTTAGAGGTTGGAAATTTGAAGTATCAGTATGTCGGGAAAATAATGAGCACAATGTCGCTGCGCCAGTCGCTGAAGTGAAAAAGCAATTTGATTTTGTCGGGACACAATTTATTTTCTCGGCCACTCAATTTTCGACGCGAAAAGGTACTCACTATCTTTCCGACAGACTGACGACAGTAAAAAGGGCTCCTCTTTGCCCCATTTACGGCTCGCTTTCACTTACCACACACCCCACCAACTTGTATCCGAATCCATTTCCCTCCTCGTCGTAGGTCGCCATTCTCCTGTACGCCACCGTTCTTTCAATTGCGATACCCGTGTATTTCAGGGAAAAAACAAAAAATCCGAAATTATTGAACGTCATAATCGAGTAAAACACGTAGGCGCCAATGCAATTACGGTCTTCCATTGAATAGAAATGTTCTGGAATGACGTTTCCGAATGAATTGAGTGTAGCGCAGAGAGCAAAAATCAGCGTCGGCAGCATTACAACCAGCTTTAGGTTGCTGTTAATTGTCGCCACATTGCTCAGTTTGTAAGCAAAATATAAACTGATGATTAGAGTGGGTACAGTTATGAAGATTTGGAGGGAATGTAGAACATGCAAGATGAATGGGAGATCCACTAAAAAAGCCATTAAGATACTCTCGGGGTCGGGGTGAAATGTAGTCTAAAAATTTGGAAAATAGACCAGAAAAAGTTTTGTATCAGTCTGGCGGGAAAATAATGAGCATTCTGTCGCAGCGAAAATTGCATCACCGCGGAAAATGAATATTGTCGCGGTAAAATCAAATTATAAAGTTCACTTCAACGACACAATTGGCGCAGCGACATTGATTTTCCCGACAGAGTGGTGGGCGGGACAAAATAATCTTGGCATGCTTGCACTATGCGCCGTCGCATAAAAAAATTGTCTCAAAGAGACAAAAAAAATCACGGTGCAAAATGAATTCTTTTGAAAAGGAAAGTACTTCTAACGGGTACGGAGTTACAGGTCGAGGCATAGATCAAAAAAATCGCAGGATTTTTGTGATTCAAAATATGTAAAAGTTAGCTGCGTAGTTTTGGTTTGTAAAGGCGAAAAAATCTGAATTTTCAAAATGCCAGGACCTACTTTAGCCCAAAACAAAGCTTTTAAAGGAAAGATCTGGGGTTTTTTTCGCCCTAACAAACCAAAATTAGACGGCTAATTTCTACATATTCCGAATCGCAAAAATTTTACGAATTTTTTGATGTATTAGGTTGATTCAAAAGTTTTTCCACATGTCTTTAAAAAATTTTAAAAAATTTAGACCAAAGCCAGTGGGCCTGATATATATCTTGTTAGAAAGAAGGCTGTTTGTAGATTATAGTAGATTAATAACTTTTTACAACTTAGCAATTTGTAGTAGTAGCGCCGTGTTAAACCTTAACTACTCGAAGGAAGAAAAAGTAAACCGCCGGCGTTACGTCTAGAGTGGCTGTATCTTCTTAATATTCTCGAATATGGTATGCCTGTATGTAATCTCTATGGCATCGAGGACAATTTGCTATAGGGCTAGTCGAAAAATTTTTAGTGCGAAAAATCAAAAATTAGGGTCTGGCAAAAGTAGACCCTGTAGACGCAGCTATTAGAAGCACTAAGAGATAACGCTTTCTGTTATTGTAGTGTATGAGTAGCACTACAACGCCAATGCTAAACATTCGCGCTAGCTTTACCTATGCGGCAGAAAAATCGAATCTTTTTAATCTACCAATATTTTACGAAATTTAGGGGATTTTTACAAAAACGTTTTCTGTTCATTACTCTTGCCCGGTATCCTAGTTATTTAATAAATAATTGATCCTACTTGACATACACTATCAGTTGCTAGACGCGCTAAGCTGAAGGTCCTCTTGAAATACCAGTAAAAAAAATTACAAAAATTCGCCTAAAAGTGCAGTTTATGCTACTTTTCTACCTTATAAGGCAATTTCAGTTGGTGACTTTTTGAATGTATCATCCGCATACTGTCTTTGTACAACCTGAATGGCAGCCGAGTCAAAAAAATTTAACTCCTTTCAAAAAATTTTTAAAAATCTGCTTTTGATCGGTAGCTCGGCTCTCCGGCCAACTTTATGGGATGCTACAAAAAACGTCAGTGTAGATATAAGTAGAGCAATAAATTCAGAAGAAACTACAGACATCCCCAGTACGAATAACCCAAAACCCGAGACTTTTTAGTGGGCTGGAAAATTGCTAGGGCCCGGGATATTCACCATGACACAAACGGAGAAGTTTTTAGTATTTTTGAAATATTCTGAAAGGAAGCTTGTATAAAATAAAATGCTACGAATCAAAAATTTTGCAATGTTCTGCCCCATACATCTATGCTTTCAGTTTTAACGTACATTCAATCAGGCTCCAGGAATTTTATTTTGAGGTGTCTCAAAAAAATGTGGAAAAACTTTTGAATCAACCTAATATATATCGACCTGTAACTCCATATCCCATACAAATACAGTTGCCATGTGAAAAGAGCAGTCGAAGTTTATGTTGCGCGATGAAACTGCACAGCGTGCTGATTGGTTTTCGCCCAAAGCCACTTTGCGACGCCGTGCGAAAACCGCTGGGCTTTTTGGCCCGCCTTTCTGCAGGACGAGCCAAGTCTTTCGCCCTGGGTGGTCAACTCAACCGCTAAAAATATTTTTCCCGCCCAGGCCAAAGACTTTGCTCTTCCAACGCCAAGTATTGACCACTTACAATGGACGAGAACTTCAACTAACATAGGCTTCATTAACACTAAAATGGCGTCGCCGAAAATGTAGTGAGGCCTCGGAAGAAAAAAATTTGCATATAACGACAACTTTCTTTGAAGAAAAAGATTTAAGGTGTCTAGTCAATTCTTCTTGGGGTTTGCATAGCAAATTTTAGCGGTTCATCAAACTTTTTTCGAGATATAACACAGCAACAGTAAATCACAGGTGTCCCAAAGAAGGTATGAAAAAGCCAGCAAAAAGTTTGAATACAAACACTCCCACCAAATGTCAGTAATTACATACAGGCGTGCGCTTTCAGTGTTCCCTTAAACATGAGCAAAATTAAATTACAAAATTAAATTTAGTCAAAACGTAACAACAACTGTGCTTTGTAAATATAAAACTAGGATTGTAGGAGAAAATAAAGCCAATTTGCAGCTAAATACAAAGACGACTTGCTTGAAGGCGAAAACTATTTTGGATGCACGGCTTTTGAAAGAGATCTTTGGTTGTAGTTGTAATCATTAGGCGCGTTGTTAATCTCTGACCAAGACAGGCACAATAACCAAGAGCACTTTGTATTGAGCAGCTCTCAAGATGGATTGTTCTCTAGTTTGCAGAGACATTGCACGGCAATCTGGGACCTGTTCCCTGGCTCACAGGGGAAGTACTCCAAGTGCGACGCTCGGATTTTCTTTAAATTTTGCACACACGTCGGGAATAGACTAAATATCAATTCCTGATAGTTTTAGCTCGCGCTTTGCAAGAGCCGCCGAGATATCGAACGATTTTTGCCGCCGAGAGAGCACGCTAAACGTGGATAGCGGTCAGAGAGAAAACACCTTTTTTGGCCATAACTTTGGCAGTTTCGAGCGGAAAAATTCGATTTTTTGTAGAAACATTATCCTTTACGGTTAAAATATGCATGAAACTTTTTGAGCGGAAATTCGGCAAAAAGTTCTAAATTTTGGCCGACTTTTGATCTAAAAATCTCGGTTGTTTCGGCAAAGCGCGAGTTAGAATTCTCGCATATATCTTAGAAAAAATTATTCTAAATTTGTGCCAATTTTCATCAAAATCTGAGCGTCGCACTTGGAGTACTTCCTAGACGATTTGCAAATCAAAGGAAATGTTACAAATTTTGTTTATTCAGTGAATGCAATTTACAAAATTTACAGAAATCGACAAAAGCAAAATTGTCCTTTTAGAAGGCGCGACGAGGGATGTGGGAAATGGTCACTGGCACTTCGGTACTCCTGACAAGATGGTTGCTAAAATCAGGTTTTATGAACGAGATAGGTGTGACATTTCAAAATTAAACGACTACCAGAACGAAGCAGATTTATGTTCAGACCTTTCAATGCGATCTACATATAAAGGTGGTCATATAAGATCCCGGAATTTTTTTTTCCCAAATCGCGATTTTCGGTGCACAAAAAAGTCGACGCCCAAATCGAAAAATTGGCGTCAACTTAATTTTTTCAGCACCGAATTCCGAAATGCGGTGCTGACTTAAGCACTTAAGTCTTCGGTGCAGACTTAAGACTTTGTGCACTGATTTCGAAAAACTTAGAAAAATTTACCGAATTTCAGAATTCGGTGCCGAGAAAAAAATAAGTCGACGCCAATTTTCGATTTGGGCGTCGACTTTTTTGTGCACCGAAAATCGCGATTTGAGAAAAAAAAAATCCGAGATCTTATATGACCACCTTTATATCTAACTATACAGTGAAATATTCGAAATTATTCGCATATTTTTTATTTTTTTCATTTTTTTTTTTTTTTTTTGTGTTGGATCTTTTTTGCGAAATAGTTATAGTAGTCAAATCACTGGACAACGAATTGTAAGTAACCAAAAAATATATGTTTTATAAAGGTTTTTTACTCGGTATTGGCTCAAAAAAACCGCAGCGGAACCTCTGTAGAACGACCTGTTTAATTTTAGTTTTTTAGGGCAAAAGGCTCAATTTTAGGTAAAAATAAAAAATTTTAAACAAAAGCCTTTCTATAACAAACAAAAAATTCCTTTGGTTATTGGCTTATGTAAAAGACTTTTTCAAAAACAATCTTATCCTGTCTCATTATCTCTCAAATTTTCTTACAGAACCGTACTATACTGTACCCATAGCAAAACACAAAAAATCCCAACTTACTTGAACATTACAACGGAAGCAGCAGCCGCCACTCCGGTAAACAGCACCTTCTTCTTATTATTCCACAAAATTTGGCCGACATTTTGGATAAGAGCCATTAATCGGAGAGCCGGAGATGAGAAGCGAAACGAATGGACTGCCCCATTACACTACCTTCTCTTTTATGAAAAGAGAAATTGTTTTGCAGAAAAACATGCTTGGTCTGCCCTACGCACGTTTTCTTTATCGAAACGCCTTCAATCGCACAATGGCGGAAAGATCGATGTTTGAAAAATGCTCGGTAAAAGTTCGAATGCACTTTCAAGGCAGAGAAAAATTTTTAAAAATCGAAAAAACTTATTTTTTTTTGGTCATAGAAGGTCTCAATGATCGGGGAAAAAAGAAATTTCCCCCATTCTTTTTATCTCCTCTTTTTTGGAGAATCTGAAAAAACAACAAAAAGAACGTGAAAAGGGAAAAAATTTTTTCTCGAACACTTCTACTAAAAGGCTGACTGATTTGTTTATTTTTTGGGGTGAATTGTAAAAGTTTTAGTATTACAATGGATAATTACACCTCAAACTTTTATTTTTTTAGCCTGTATGAGACCTCGGGTTGAGCCTGAACTCTCCTCCTTTTCTGAATTCTCTCCCTTTTTCAATTCTCCCCCAAAAAAAGGCGGAACTCTCCTCATTTTTTGATTTTCTCCAAAAAATCCGAACTCTCCCCTTTTTTGAAGACTCCCCCATTTTGAAAATTGAAAAAAACGAGGTATGACATGTTATACGATGAAAATTTTTTTTTCAAATTGAGAAAAATGAGGTGTGACATCTTATACGATGAAAATTTCCAAATTGAAAAAAATTTCCATCGTATAACATGTCACACCTTATTCTTTTCAATTTGGAAAAAAAAATTCATCGTATAACATGTCACACTTCATTTTTTCAATTTTCAAAATGAGGGGGAGTGTTCAAAAAGGGGAGGGTTCGTTCAAGGGGGGAGTGTTCAAAAGAGGGGAAAGTTCGGAAGGGGGAGAGTTGAAAAAGAGAGAGCGTTCAGATTGGGGGGAGAGTTCAGAAAAGGAGACCTCGCTCGCTGTTGTTTTGGGAAATTATCAAGCTTTTATTAACAAGAGATGCGATTTGCGACACACATTTTTTAAACATAAATATTTATATTAAAACTTTGTGTGCCCGCGTTTTTCAGAATATTCCTAATACAGGGTGCGGCAAAAAAATGGAAACTTTTTTCATTGGGTCCTGACGCAAACATTTTTAAGTGCAGCAAAATTATTTTCATACCATTAAATTCTACGTAGCTTTCTCTCCTAGACCTTATAATTTCATGTCCATATCAGTTTATTAACATTCTTTTTTTGAATGACAAACAGAGGGACCTCGATTTCGGACCTGTTTTTTTACCTGTGCGAACTGTTAATTTGCCCGGCATAGAGAGCAGGTTGCGTCCAAAGTAATCACACAACGCAGAGAGCTTTTTGACAATTTTAAGCGTCCAGTAAGCGAAAGAAAACGCACCGCCAACACTTCTGCCAGCCGCGGAGTCATCAATAGCTAAATCCGTCGATTTCGAGAAAAAATTGCCCGTGAGACCGGCATCAGCGACCGACCAGTCGGCCAAATAGCTAAAAATCAACTCAAAGTCTCCTCACGCAAGGTCTGAAATGCCCAACTCCTAATCGGCAAGATCAAGCCGGTACGCCTGAAAAAATGCCGAAAATTCCGACGTCGGGCCGCATGTCCGCGATGGGAGCGCATTCCCTTCGCAGTGCAATCTTTGACGGGTGCACAACCAACAGAACGTCATAGTCTAATCCGATGAGGCCCCGTGCACGTCGGCTAACGACGAACACCGTCAAAATAAGGGCCGTCATCGCCTAAGGCGGAATTTGTGCCTGCGGCAAGAATTCCGAGATTTTCGCGGATCAAGCGGGCAAAATTCTAGCGCCGCGGTAACTTCGATTTCCTCATGCTTCTGTTGGCTCAGTAGAACCTTGGCAGCGCAAATTTGACGTTCCAACTAGACTCAGCGCCGACTCACAGGGCAACAACCAGTCAAGACCGATTTTTAGACCGATTTTCCCGATTTCACCCCGTCTGCGAAAAAAGCGCCTGCGCGCCGGGTATAGATCCAATGGACTGTAATTTTTTTTCAATTGGAGGCCGGCATCTGTACTACACGCCACAAAAGTTTGGAGTCGCAAAGTAATCGCTGCGTCAAGAACGGGACCGATTTCCCCGAAAAAAGCTGCGGCCAAAAGGCCAAAATTTTAAGTCACGTTTGGAGCTCTATATCGCCACCAAAAGCAGTCACGGTAAAACGGGTTGAATATGTTATAAACAATGCTCTATGTTATTGAAGATGACCGTTACTTTTGCGGAATTTGGATTGCTAGGAAAAATATAGCTATAAAAATAAGTTTCCATTTTTTTGCCGCACCCTGTATTGATTTAACTTTTTGTAGTGCAGAAATGAGAGCTCGCGCACAGCTGATGGATCACAAGTCGAGTGTTCGGCCAAACTTGAATGGACATCCTTTATCGTTTTTGTTACGTTTTGCCGCTGAGAACGGAGATATGCAATTGACTCGGAGTTTTGTAAGTCTTTGATTCGAGAGAGGCTTAAAAATTTGGTACAAGTTACATAAACGGCAATACTTTTTTCTGTGTGCATGTTTCTATTTTACGCCCTCTGCAGCCTGAAAACGAATTTTGGAGTCATGCACTGTGAGAAAACAAAAGTTTACCTTGCACAGTGCGAATGGCTTATCAGTCTGTCGGGAAAATCACGGCGGATTGTCGCAGCAGAATGTCTCGCCTCGCCGCTCTCGCGCACCAAATCCCCAGCCGCGGCTTTCAGTCGCAGAGCGATGATGGGCGATTCGGAAGCGCGACGATCCGCCGTTATTTTTCCGACGCCAAAAATCACTCCACCTTTGCGAACGGACATTGCGTTGACGGAACGGCCGCAGAGAATCTGAAACGACAATCAAAAAAAAATCTTTTTGTTAGTATGTCGGAAAAATAATGAGCAGAATATCGCAGGGTCAATCGCGTCGCTGAAGTGAAAAAAAAATTGATTTTTCGCGACATAGTCATTTTATCAGCGGCGATGCGATTTTTGATCCGACAGAGTGCTCATTATTTTCCCGACAGACTAACAAGCAAAAAACTTATTTTTAATAACTTGTCGTTTCAGATTCTCAGCCGCCGCTCCGTCAACGCAATGAGGACCACAATGGATAAACTTTGGGTGAAATCTCGATACTCTGGCATTTGTCTCGACATGTGCACCAAAAACCTAAACTTTTCTAGCGGTGTGTCAAACTGGCTGGTCAGAACCATCTTTGCTTGGACCAACCCCGTCAGCATTTCGCTGATTTTAGAGGAGTACACGGATTTTCTCGAACAACTATTGGGTGGTGCTAAACGTAAGTATATTTGAATATAAAACATCAACTTTTTCAGCTACCATCAAGCGTTTGAGGCTCGAGACTTGCAGCAACTGGCCAGAAAGGCAAATCGCTCGATTTCTTGGAAAATCTGTTGACTATCTTGAATGCGATCTCGAATTTTTGGGCTTGTCTGAGCTTATGGGAGCCAGAATCGGAGAGCTGAAGGTGACTGAAGGAGTCTTGAAGCCTGAGTGAGTTTAAAAATTCTGAGATAAGATTTGTTTTAGGGTTGTAATGGAGAACGATGCTTTTCGGGGCAGAGGTAAGAACGTTTTTTCGCTCACTTCGTAGTGCTCGAAGTGAGCGATATTGTGGTGTAGTAAATAAAATAATTGTTAGGTCAAAAGTTAATCATTCTGTCGGGAAAATAATAAGCGAAATGTGGCTACGCCGATTGTGTCGCTAAAGAAAACAGCAGTTTGGTTTTGTTGCGACATAATTTATTTTCTCCGCGGCGATACGATTTTCGATGCGACAGGGTGCTCATTATTTTCCCGACAGGCTGATTTCTCTAATACAAGGAGAACACTAAATTCAGCGAAAACTTCACCATCCCATTTCGAGCATTACCCTTGACCGACAAAAGTTTTCAGACCCGTCATTCTTATGCAGAAATCTGCACAATGTCTCAGCCCGAACAATCCATTTCGAGATCGTCCCGTACGACACAATGGACCGTCCAATTGAAGCCACAACTCACTTGGTTTTTCACGATCCACTCTTCTTCTTTCAAAATTACAGTCATGCCTTTGAAAAGTTTCCAAATCTTCAAAGCGTGGCGTTGATTTATTCGGAACGGCGGACCGTTGTGCACAACCTGGTGTTCGGCTTGACGAAGATGTTTGAGGAAGGCTTCTTGGAAAAATGGCGAGAAAAAAATGTGACGGTGCACTTGAAGGGCACCGATATCCTGGATGGAATCCGCAATGTGAGTCTTAACAGTCTGTCGGGAAGATAATGAGGATCTGTCGCATCGAAAGTCGCGTCGCCGCCGGAAAACTGAGCTTTTTTGCGGGAAAATTGCAGGAAAAATGTCAGCGACGAGATAGGTGAAATGACATTGTTCTCATTACTAGTCTGTGGGGAAAATAATGCGGATTCGTCGGAGAAAAACTTATCGCCTTGCCGTAGTCGTCCACCGAATCCCTGGGCCTGGCTAGCGCTCGCAAAGCGATGATTGGCCTTTCCGAATACACATTATTTTCCCGACAGACTGATACGTGCCGATTTCTGAAAGAACACGAGCTTTTTTACAACTATTCGGAAGTGACCAAAAAAATGATTTGTTTTGAGTTTGTCGAAAAAATAATGGGCCCAATGTTGCTGCGCCGCTCGCGTTGCTGAAATGAAAGGAATTTGCCTTTGCCGCGACACAATTAACTTTCGATGCGACAGAATGCTCATTATTTTCCCGACAGATTGGCATTGCATATTTTTGGTCGACAGAGGCTCATTTTGGTCTGTAATTAGCCCTTGAGACCTCAAAAATTGTTTGTTATACGCAGCTTTACTTGTTCTTTGTACATATCTCCTAACTGCAGGGTGGGCCAAAAAAGTGGACATTATTTTTTCTTCGATTTTTCGTGCCATGAAACAGTTTGTGAAAATCTTTTAGGAGCCAAGTTTTGTTCAGTCAGAGCTCCTCGCACGGACCAACGGTCAAGTCGCCATAGAGCACAATAAAAGTTTTATTGAATCGATTCATTGGAACAACTTTCGCATAACTTTTCAAAATGCGAATGTTGAGGTTGATGTCCTCCTAAAACTCCCATGCTTCCCCGAAATGGATGACTTCAACATCAGAAATAGCTACAGGTCATATTAAACTACGAATAAATTTTCATTGATTTTTGGACAATAAAATCTATTTATTCCAGTTTTTGCAATGGCTTTGTGACACAAAATACGTTAGAGATCTGGGAAAATTTTTGCATTCACATCCTTGGCAAGCTACAACGCCATTGTGAGGTCTTGAGAACGCGTTGCGGCAGAACTCTCCCCCTTTTCTGCACTTTCCCTCAATCTGAACTCTCCCTTTTTGAACTCTCCCCCTTGAATGAACTCTCCCCCTTTTTGAACACCCCGCTCATTTTGAAAATTGAAAAAATGAGGTGTGACATCTTATACGATGCAAATTTTCCTCAATTTGAAAAAAATGAAAAAAAAATTCATCGTATAACATGTCACACTTTATTCTTTTCAATTTGAAAAAAATTTTCATTGTATAAGATGTCACACTTCATTTTTCTCAATTTCAAAATGGGGGAGTGTTCAAAAAGGGGGAGAGTTCAGCTTTTTTTGGGGGAGATTGAAAAAGGGGGAGAGTTCAGATTGAGGGAAAGTTCAGAAAAGGGGGAGAGTTCTGGCTCAACCAAGAGAACACGCACGATGAGTTCGTAGAAAAATGCGATTTCAAAATATGTATTGTTTGGAGAAAAAAAGGGAAACAAAAAATTTCGTGAAAAAGGTTCAGCACTTCCATGAAAAGACCCCTAGCTTTTCGTTTTGGGAAGTTATCAAGCTTTTATTGACAAGGGATGCGTTCGAGTTGCGGCACTCCTTTTTTAATACCAAAAATTTAAACGAAAAGTTGTGCCCGCGCTTTTCAGAATATTCCTAATATTGATTTAATTTTTTGCACAGTGCAGAAATGAGAGCTCGCTCACAGCTGATGGATCACAAGTCGAGTGTTCGGCCAAACTTGAATGGACATCCTTTATCGTTTTTGTTGTATTTTGCCGCTGAGAACGGAGATATGCAACTGACTCGGAGTTTTGTAAGTTTTTTATTCAGAGAGGAAATACTTAAAAATTTGGTACAAGTTATATAAAAAAAAGTCGCAAAACGGTGGTAGGCGATTCCAACCAAGACGTGACATATTCACATACTAGCCCTTCCGGCATGTCGGAGTACTGATTTTTGGCGCTTGCACTGCGCGAAAAAAGTCAGGATGCGAGCGACAGCCCAAAAAAGCCTATCTCAGATTCTCAGCCGCCGCTCCGTCAACGCAATGAGAATCACAATGGAAACGCTTTGGGTGAAGTCCCAATACCCCGGCATTTGCCTTGACATTGGTCTGGTCGATCCGACTTCCATGGGCAAGAGAGGCTTTAGCATGCCTAGCGGTGTGTCAAACTGGCTGGTCAGAACCATCTTTTCTTGGATCAACTCCGGCAGCATTTCCCTGATTTTACGGGAGTACACGGATTCTCTCGAGCAACTTTTGGATGTCGCTAAACGTATGTCCGTTCGAACATAAAACACCAACTTTTTCAGCGACTATCAAGCGTTTGAGGGTTGAGACTTGCAGCATTCGGCAAGACAAACAAATCGCTCGTATTCTTAGAAAATCTGTGGACTATCTCGAATGCCATCTCGATTTTTTGGGCTTGCCCGAGCTTCGGGGGACCAGAATCGGAGAGTTGACGGTGACACTTGGATACTATAGCCAAGGTATTACAAGCTCAAGTCTTTCAAATTTCATGTACAGCCCTAGAGCGCGGAACACAACAAAAATCGAGCCTACCCATTTCGAGCACTGCCGTTTACCGATAAAAGTTTTCAGACCAATCTCTGTTATGCAGAAATCTGCAAAATATCTCGGCCCGAACACTCTATTGGCAGGTCCCCGACTACGGCAGAATCGAAAGCCCAATTGAGGCCACAGAACGCTTGGTTTTTCATTCTCCCAAGCCTTTCTTCAACGAACACAGCCACATTTTTGAAAAATTCCCGAACCTTCAGAGCGTGTCATTGATTTATTTGGAAGAACAGAAGGTCTTTCTAGGCGACTTTGTATTCGGCTTGACGAAGCTGTTTGAGGAACGCTTCTTGGAAAAGTTGCGAGAGAAAAATGTGACGGTGCACTTGAAGGGCACCAATATTCAGGATGGAGTCCGTGAAGTGAGTCTTATCAGTCTGTCGGGAAAATAATGAGCACTCTTTCGCATCCTCGCCGAGAAAGTGAATCGCGTGGCGGCAAAATCAAATTGGGTTTCACTTCAGCGACAAAGTCGGCGCAGCGCGGTAGTGCTTATTATCAGTCTGTCGCGAAGATAATGATGATTTGTCGGAGCAAAATATCTTGCCTCGTCAGAGTCGCGCACCAAATCTCCAGCACGTCTGGCCGTCGCAAAACTATACTGGCGATTCCAAGGGGCGACGAATCCACATTATTTTCCCGACGGCCTGATATAGGTGCCGATTTTCGAAAAAAAAGGTTCTATACAACTATTCGGAGGGGACATAAAAAAGTTTGATATAGCAGGTCGCTCTACAGAGGCTAGCTTTGGCGTATAATTAATTAACTGTTGAGACCTCACGAATTGTTTGCTATAGGCAGCTTTCTTCGATCGTGGCCTTCACTGTACACTTCTTAATTACAGGAGCCAAGTTTTGTTCGGTCCGATCTCCTCGCACGGACCAATGGTCAGGCCGCCATAGAACACAGCGAAAGGTTTATTAAATGGATCCACTGCAATGAGTTTCGCATAACTTTTCGAAATCCCAATGTTGAGGATGATGTTCTGCTAAATTTCCAGGATGTGGATGACGTCGAAATCACAAGTAGCTATACTGAGCTAGTAGAAACAGCATTTTTTTATAATCCATGATAAACGATGGAAACGTTTTTTTTTTTGGAACAAGTTTCACATAACCTTTCAAAATGCGAATGTTGAGGTCAATGTCCTCCTTTTAAAACTCTCTTGCTTCCCCGAAATGGATGACTTCAACATCAGAAATAGCTACGGAGCATATTAGCAGCTTGGCAAAACTATGAATAAATTTTAATTGATTCTTGCACAAGAAAAACTATTTATTTAAAACTATGCATCCTTGCCAATCTAAAACGCCATTGTGACCTCTTCAAGAGAACAGACACGATGAGTTTGTAGAGAAATGCGAAATTAATTAACTTGAATGATTGAAATTTCGTGAAATTATCGGCGCTTTTTTCGCTAACAAGTGCGACGCTCAGATTTTTATGAAAATTGGCATAGATGGAGATTAGAATTTTATTATTCGATTGCGAACATCCTAGCTCACGCTTTGCAGAATCCGCTGAGAAAGAAGGGCCGGAATATCGAAAAAAATCTTCAAATGCCGGCGAATTTCCCTGATCTTGGCATTCCGTTGCAGGAGAAAAACATATTTTTTCGCATGTTTTTTCTGGAGAAGGAAGAAAAAAGATAACAAAGAAAGTACTTCTATGGGGTATGGAGTTACAGGTCGAGATATATTTCAAAAAGTTCGCAAAAATTTTCTGATTCAGAATATATAAAAATTAGCTGCCTAATTTTGGTCTATCAACGAGTTTTATGAATAAATGTATTTCTCGAGGAAAAAAATCTGCGGCAACAAAAGCGCGCTCGGTCTCTTCCTTCGGAAGAGAACGGTGTGGCCGAGTGGTTAGAGCGTTATTAGGCTGAGAATCCGATGGGAAAGGCTGCCCATGGGTTCGAACCCTTTTGCCACAGAACCCGTTTGTTTTTACGTTGGAAGTACTATTAAGAGGTGTAGTTGTAATCCAATTTGATATTTTAAGGCTTTTCAAGGCCTCAGAATTTATTTTAGCACAAAACAAAATTTTTTATTGGTAAAAACACGGTCAAAAAGACACTTGCATGGTGTCGCGAGAAAACTTCTGAGGACAAAAACATGTCATCAGACCAAAATTAGGCAGCTAATTTTTATATGTTCTGAATCAGAAAATTTTTGCGAATTTTTTGATATATATCTCGACCTGTAACTCCATACCCCATAGAAGTACTTTCCTTGTAAAAAATGTTTTTGATCGATCGTGACACTTCGTTGTGAACGAATCACCAAAAATGGGCGGGAAATTTTTTCTTCTGTTTCTTTCGTTTTTTTAGGGTGTTGCAACAACATGTTGTGCCTTGTTTCCGGATATTATCAAGCTTTTATACATAAATATTTACATTAAAACTTTGTGTGTCCGCGTTTTTTTGTTTTTCAGGATATTCCTAATATTGATATAACTTTTTGCAGTGCAGAAATGAGAGCTCGCTCACAGCTGATGGATCACAAGTCGTGTGTTCGGCCAAACCTGAATGGAGATCCTTTATCGTTTTTGTTATGTTTTGCCGCTGAGAACGGACATGTGGAATTGACTCGGTTTTTTGTAAGTTCCTTATTCAGAAAGCAACAAATTTCACAATGCAAATGGGTTTTTTTGGGCTATCGCTCGTAGCCTGACTTTTTTGCACAGCGTATGTCGGGAGAATAATGAGCACAATACCGCAGGGACGATCGAGTCGCTGAAGTGAAAAGTAATTTGACTTTGTCGCGACATAGTTCATTTTCTCGGCGGCGATACGATTTTTGATCCGACAGATTGCTCATTATTTTCCCGTCAGACTAACAAACATAAAGTTATTTTATAATAAATTTCCGTTTCAGATTCTCAGCCGCCGTTCCGTCAACGCAATGAGGACCACAATGGACACGCTTTGGGTCTGGTCTGACTACGAGGGCATTTGCCACATTTGTCTGAACCGTCTGGATTTCTTACGCCCCAAAAATAGCGGCGTGTCGAACTGGTTAGTCAGAACCGTCTTTGCTTGGACCAAACCCGTCAGCATTTCTCTGATTTTAGAGGACTACCCGGATTTTCTCGATAAACTATTGGATAATGCTAAACGTATGTATATTTTAATATAAAACATCAACTTTTTCAGCTACCATCAAGCGTTTGATGCCCATGACTGACAGCATCTGGTCACAAAAACAAATCGCGCGATTTCTTGGAAAATCTATTGACTATCTTGAATGCGATCCCGATTTTTTGGGCTTTCCGGAGCTTCGGGGAGTTAGAATTGGAGAGCTGAAGGTGAAATTGAGCACTAGTTCTCAAAGTGAGTGATATTTTGGTGTAGTAAATAAAACAATTGTTAGGTCAAAAGTTAATTAGCGAAAGAAACGTGCGTAAAAAGAATGAGCTATGCTGTTTTGTCGCGCGGCGTAAGCTTCGACTGCCCTTTTCGAAATCTTGCACTGTGCGGGGCCGCAGTGAACCGAGATGGCGACCCTGCAAGCAGATTACGAGTTTTTGGCGACAGAGTTGATATCAGTCTGTCGGGAAAATAATAAGCGGAATGTCGCTACGCCGATCGCGTCGCTAAAGAAAACAGCAGTTTGGTCTTGTTGCGACATAAGTTATTTTCTCCGCGGTAGTGCGATTTCCGATGCGACAGAGTGCTCATTATTTCCCCGACAGGCTGATATCTCTAAAGCAAGCAGAGCACAGACTCCAACGGAAATTGAACCATCCCATTCCGAGCATTACCCTTGACCGGCAAAATTTTTTCAGCACTTTTTTTATGCCCAAATCTGCATAACGTCTCGGCCCCAACACTTAATTGGGAGATCGTCCCGTACGACACAATCGACCGTCCAATTGAAGCCACAACTCACTTGGTTTTTCACGATCCACGCTTCTTCTTCGAAAATTACATTCATGTTTTTGAAAAATTCCCAAATCTTCAAAGCGTGTCATTGATTTGTTCGGATGAACGGCATTACCATCAAAACGACCTTCTGTTCTGCTTGAGAAGGATGTTTGAGAAGGAAGGCTTCTTGGAAAAATGGCAAGAAAAAAATGTGAAGTTGGACTTGAAGGGCACCAATATTACGGGTGGAGTCCGCGTGAGTCTTATCAGTCTGTCGTGAAAATAATGAGCACTCTGTCGCATCGCCGCGAAGAAAATGGATTGTGTCGCGGCAAAATCGAATTGCTTTTCACTTTAGCAATGCGATCGGCACAGCGACACTGTGCTCATTATTTTCCCGACAAACCGATATGTTGATTGCTTTGAAAAGCGCGCCCTTTTCTCGAAGAAGAGAGCGCTAACTCCGAATGCATCCGACAATATTCGCAATCAAAAAACGGGCGATTTTTGCGCTTCTCTCTTTCTTTTGGCCTTCTGTATTTGCGGAATTTTATGTATTGTTTTTTTCACGGAAGAGGAGAAAGAAAAAGCGCGCGCTTTTTGATTGCGAATATTATTGGATGCATTTGGAGCTGATGCTCTCTTCTTGAAGGAAAGGGCGCGCTCTGCAAAGCGGGGTTTTTTAGCTTAGAGAAGGGAAGGGGTTTGCGACATTTTGGTCCCTTCCTGGATGCAAAATGGGACGTTTTTTGCCACTGGATCAGGTCCCCACTGTAGCTGGGTTTCGCCCTACAGGGGCTCATTTTGGTCTGTAATTGGCCTTGAGACCTCATGAATTGTTCGTTATAGGTTTTCTTTTTTGTTTGTAAATATGTTTTCACTGTACGCTTTTTAATTATAGATGCCAGAATTCCTCGCACGGCTCAATGGTCACCATAGAACACAGCAAGTCGCCATGGAACACAGCGAAAGCTTCATTAAATCGGGTCATTGTGACGACTTTCGCATAACTTTTCAAAATGCGAATGTTGAGGTTGATGTCCTTCTAAAAGTCCTATCCTCCCAAAGCTTAAATGGCAGAGAATGTTATTTATCAGCTTCGCAAGACTACTACGAATAAATTTTATTATAATTGATTTTTGGACAGTAAAAAAATCTTCATTCCAGTTTTCGCAATGGCTCTGTGACACAAGATACTTTACGACGCGCAGGCCCGATTGCCACCTCTAGTTTACCCAAGATCCGCTGGAATTTAGTCCATGGTTAAGTTTGGCATATTTTGTCTCCGTTCAGCACTTTTATGAAAAGGCCCCTAGCTTTTCGTTTTGGGATGTTATCAAGCTTTTATTGGCAAGGGATGCGCTCGAGTTGTGACACATATTTTTGGTACTGCGACATTTCGGGTCAGAGACAACTCGGGTCGCAACATTGTCCTTCTTCTCTGCCAACCTTCCTCTTCCAAGCCTCCAATCTTCTGTCCACGTGTCTTCTTCCCGGTAGGCTGCGCGTTGTCGTTACGGGACCAAATGTGGGTCTGGGCGCGGCCGGTTCTACTAGTCGGGTCAACGATACCGTTTAATATTTTCGCTTCGGGACTTGGGACGAGGAATTTTTGGAGGATTTGAAAAAATTTTAGAAATGTTTTCGCTTCGGGACAAATTTTTGAGATGTTTTCGCTTCGGGACTTGGGGAAAAGACTTTTTTGAAGAATGTGAACAAAATTTTGAAATGTTTTCGCTTTGAGAATTGTGAAAAGGATTTTGTTTTGGAGAATCGTTCTGAATGTTACAATTTTATTTTACTAAGGTACGAATGTTATTTTTGGATTTTTTTTTCTTAAATAGTTATTTTAGGGGTAATTGAGGTTTATTTTAAAATTTTTTTGTTAAGACAGTGTTTATAAGCGAGGAGCAAATAAGAAAATCGTTATTTTCAAACAATCATTACGGCTATCTTCTTACTCCACTCTTTGGCACTGTCTGTGTCTAAATCCCGTGCTTCCAGTTAAAAACATAAACAGTGGATACGACTTTCTTTTTTGTTCGTCGCTTATAAGCATTATCTTCCTAAAAAATTAAAAAATAGACCTCAATTCTCCAAAAAATCCTCTTTCCTCAGTCCCGAAGCGAAAACATTTCAAAATTTTGCTCAAATTCTCCAAAAAATTCTTTTTCCCAAGTCCTCTAGGAACGAAAGTCGCTAGTAAAGGTTAGGAACCTTTTGCAATATATCGTCTAATTTATCAAAGAACATCGCCGGCTCTCCAAACTTCAAACCAGTTGTGGTTTCAAGGGGTCGTTGAAGTTCGTAGAAATTAAGACGATCAGCGCGAAGCGTGGTTGCGACCAGAGATTGCCACGGTCAAAATTTCGCCTCCGGCTCTTAGCTCCCAGAGCCGGAGCCGAGGCCAAATTTGCAGCTCCGGCTCCCATGAAAAACTTAAAAAGGTCTGCGGCTCCGAATCCCGGCTCCCGTGCAAAAATTTAAAAAAAAATATTTTTTGAAAAAATAAAAAGTATTAGTGACACCCTACGTATTTGCAGTCAAGTCGTGTGCTTCCAAGTATTTTTCCTTCCTTCCTTCCAAGATCCTTCCAAGTATTTTTCAAGCAATTTGGTTTAACAAGATCATGAAAATTTTTCTTTTCTGAACGTTGAGAGGCCTGGCCCGGACTTTGGGCTCGGGAGCCGGAGCCGCTCAGATCCGGAGCCAAGAGCCGGCTCCGGAGCCGTGGCAATCTCTGGTTGCGACGACATTGTGCAGATTTTTCATGGCTGAATTCATTTTTTCAGGGGAAGTGCACCAGGTGCGAAATATCAGTCTGTCGGGAAAATAATGAGCACAAGAAATTTGATTTTACGGCGACACAATTTTTTTCCCAGCAGCGATGCGGTTTTCGATGCAACAGAGTGCTCGTTATTTTCCCGACAGACTAAAATTTATTCTTCCCTAAGCCACCAACTAACCGGCCGTTCAACTGTAATTAAATTAATTGTTCCTCGCGTCGAATCTGTTCCCCATAGCAGCGCCCCCCTCTCCTCTAATCTGCATCCACGGCGCGCTGGCCATAGAAAGGTAGCGGGGGTCACAATGCACACGCGGCTCGCGAAGGTCGCGAGGCCGAGAGTCCGTTATTTGCGCACACAGGTAAAATACATATTCGAAAATGCGAAAAAGTGAAAAAAGGCAGGAAAAGGAGGAGGAGGGGGGAATGGCCAGCGAAACACACAAAAAGCGGAGGTTGGAGCGCTATGGCGGGGGTGCGAGGTAAATTTAATACTTGCATGATCCGGCAGAGCTCACTGCAAGGATTTTGAGGGGTAAACAAGTAGTTTGCAGGGATTTGGAAGGGCTGCGGGATTTTGAATATTATCTGGGAGGTCTTATGGAAATTTTGAGTGAAATGGAGCGATATTTTGTCGCTGTAGAGAATGGACACTACAAAATTGAACCTTATTTTTTTATTGATTAAGTACGCCAAGTGCGACGCTCAGATTTTCTTTAAATTTTGCGCACACGTCGGGCACAGGCCACATATCAATTCCGGAAAGTTTTAGCTCGCGTGTTGCTTGCGCTGCTGAGATATTAAAGGATCTTTGCTGCCGAGAGAGCACACTAAACGTGGAGAGCGGTCAGAGAGAAAAACGCTTTTTGGCCATAACTTTGGCAGTTTCGTGCGAAAAAATTTGATTTTCTGTAGAAACATTACCCTCTAGGGTAGAAATAGGCATAAAACTTTTCGTGCGAAAATTAGCCAAAAAATGTCAAATTTTTTCCAATTTTCGATCTATAAATCTCGGTTGTTTCTGCAAAGCGCGAGCTAGGATTCTCGCATATATTTTAGAAAACATCATTCTAAATTTGAGCCAACTTCCATCGAAATCTGAGCGTCGCACATGGGGTACTTCCTTTGTTAGTTTCGCGCGGAAAACTTTATTTTTTGTTGAAAAATTACCATCTAACAGAAGTACTTACTCCAAGTGCGACGCTCAGATTTTAATGAAACTTAGCACAAATTTAGAATAATTTTTTCTAAGGTATATGCGAGAATCCTAGCTCGCGCTTTGCAGAAACAACCGAGATTTTTAGATCGAAAGTCGGCGTAAATTTAGGACTTTTTGCCGAATTTCGGCACGAAACGTTTCATGCCTATTTCAACCGTAAAGGATAATGTTTCTACAAAAAATCAAATTTTTCCGCGCAGAACTGCCAAAGTTATGGGCAAAAAGCGCTTTTCTCCCTGACCGCTCTCCACGTTTAGCGTGCTCTCTCGGCGGCAAAAATCGTTCGATATCTCGGCGGCGCCCGCAAAGCGCGAGCTAAAACTTTCAGGAATTGATATTTAGTCCATACCCGAAATGTGTACAAAATTTTAAGAAAATCTGAGCGTCGCACTTGGAGTACTTCACCTGTAAGGTAGAAATCGGCATGAAACTTTTTGTGCCGAAATTGGCCAAAAAATGAAATTTTTTCCAACTTTCGAATGATGTTTTTTTCCTGTTATTTGGTCAAGTTGACTCGTCAGTTTTCACCAACTTGCCTGGTTGAACTGCTACTTCAAATCTTTCAAAATTTCAATCAATCTGACCGCCCAAACTGACCGGGCAGACTGGTCAACTTGCCCAGTAAAATTCATCAAAAAATTTTTTTGAAAATTCGCTCTTCCCCAATTTTTTAAAACTTTTCAAAAATACTTCTCACCTTTTTACCCGACCTACCTATCTCACACGCCTTGACCGCTTGGAAATCCCATTCCCCCTCCCATTCTTGCTCGTAACGTAACCTCAACAAGTTATTTGCATAATGATTCATTCGGCGAGGGTATTCGAAAATTCGGAAGAAAGGGAAAAGAAATATTTTCGGGGCTTTTAAAATCATTTTTTTCGATGTTCAGATTGCTATGAGTGATAAGTTAAAACAATGAGTAATGCTTTGGAAAACGATTTTTAATGCGAGGAAAGGATTTTAATGGCCAAGAAAGCAAAAATGGACCGTGAATTTTGTTGTTATTGCTGGATTTTTTGTAAAAAATTTTTCAGTTTTTCAAAAATAATGATAAGGGGGGACCAAGACAAAAATTTTTCAATTTTTTGATTACGGGTTTTTTAGATTTTCAAAAATTCCTGATGAGACATGGCGAGAATTAAAGGTAAAATTTCTTAAGGCGAATTCAAGATTTTTAGCCTTCGTTTTGCGAAATCACCGGGATTTTTAGGTAAAAATTATCGAAAATTCGTATTTTTTGCGGTTTTTTGGATAGAAATACACTTGTTTTATCAAAATGAAATTCAATTTTAATGTCAAAAAAAATTTTTTTTTTGGACGTGGCCTTATAGATATAAAGAGGCAAACATGATTTTTTCTCACTGTCCCTCTTCATTTCCCGTAATCTCTCGTTTTCAAAAATCGTTGAATATCTCGGCTGTGCCGAGATAGCGTGGGCTAAAAAATTTTTTAATGTATTTTCGACGAATTTAGAAACACTTTTTTTTAAAACTTGAAAAAAATCCGAGAAAAAATTTTTTTTTTGCAAAATTTTTTTTTCTTTTTTCAATTTTTTTTTTTTTGATATTTTGCCTTTTTTATTTATAAAAATTTTCCAAAAATTTTGAAATCCCCATTACAGAATCTTCCCTGTTTCAAACTCGACTTTTTCTGCTAATTTCCAAAAATTAGTGACCAATTTGAAGAAGTCCGTTCGGCGCTCCCTCCAAAAAATGTCGAGGATCTCTTTCTCCCGAAATGAAAAGGCATTTCTCGGCTTATTCACACAAAATTATTCTATTTTTTTAAGAGGTCATTCTCCCTTTCGTATTTATTCGTTTTATTGCGATTGGCCTTGCGTAACGATGACTTTCCCGAAAGAATTTTTCGGATTTTTCCATTTTTTGAGGGAGATTTTGGCTTGAAAAGATGTTGGGGTTATTAGAAGATACATAAATTTTTGAAAAAATAGGATTTTTAAATAAATATTTTTTTTATTTTTGACAAAAGATTGATCAGGGGGGACCAAGGGGAAAACGCAAAAAAAAAAATTTTTTTCGTAATTTTTTTATATTTATAATTATGTTTACAACCCAAGCGCGGTTTTAAATATGTATATTAATTAGTGCCAGATACCAAGCTTCAAATTTTTTGAATTTTGAAAAATTTCGAAATTGCAAAATTTTTATGCCTTGGTCCCCCCTTACTATTTTTTCGAAATTTTAATTTTAAAAATTTACTGAAATTTTTGAAAATTGCATTTCATGTGCTGTCATAAAGTCTCTAGAGTGATTTTTTAACACATGCAATGTGCAAAAACAAAAGTTAACTTTGCACTGTGCAATTTCTTGCTTTTCGCACCGTGCAATAGGCTTTTTTGGCTGCCGCTCGCACCCTGCCTTTTTCTGCACAGCGCAAACGCCAAAAATCACTCCAGCGGCTTTGCCAACGGCCTAGTACACTTATATCACTTTTCCAACAAACTTTTATTCCCCAATCTCCCCAAACCCTCAATAATTTCTTATCTTTTTATCAGCCATTAAACATTCTCCTTACTCATTTGTTTATAAATGATTTTTTCTCGACAAGCCTGATGCTTGGGTCATTTTTGTTGTCTTTAACCTTTTTTGGCTAGCATCGGCCCGGTCGTTGGGCAAACAAAGGCAGCGAGGGGAGGAAGAAGAAGAGCTGATCGAAGGGGAATACCGAAAAAGGCTTGCGTTTTCGAAAGGCATAAGATTTCTCAAGATTTTTTTGCGGCATTAGCTCTGCTTTGATTTTAAGATTTTTGGGCAGGGTAAAATACGGAGTTCTTTCTCAACTTTTTTATTATCAACCATTGAAATTGATGCTAAAAGATCGATAAAAATTTTTTGTAACATCGTAAGGGGGGACCAAGGGAAAAATTTTGCAAAAAAAAATAATTTGTTTTTAAATTTCAGTCGCCATGTTTAACACATCTCTGAAAATAGCTGAAAAATTTTCCGTAAGCAATTTGCCGCAAAAACCGAGATTTTTTGTTGAAAAAGTCAAAAAAAAGTTTAACGATTTTTTAAACGTTTCAGCTTGGTATTGATTTTTAACAAAATAAATATTTTTGTGGATATAACTGATCATCACATTCTAGTGATCTAATTTGGCTATTTTGAGAATGTTTTAGGCAACCACCTTGACCTTGTTGACGACTTATCGTTAGTTCGTGAGTTTTTTTACTGATGATATGACTTAAAGACGGTGTCTTGACCATCTTAGGCAAGCATTGAGAGGATACTTTTAGGTAATTTTAGGCAACCGCATTGACTTTGGTCACGATCTTGGGTGAGCTTGGCGATGATCTGACCTAAGAAAATGTGTTTTGTATCCTAGTCAAGTATTGGGAGTTTATTCTTTGGGGTAGTTTTTTAAGCAATCGCCTTGCCCTTGTTCACAACCTAGGTGCTGACAATCCGACTAAAAAAGGTGTCTTTCATCCTAATCAAGCATTTAGACCATTTTGGGCGACCTTATCCAACCAGCTTTACCTTGGTCACGATCTAAAGCTTGTACCTATCTCATAATCCCGTTGGCTAGCCAGTCAAACAATTTTGCGGTATTGGCCATAAATATAGAGCAGATACCCGAAATCTGCCCCAATGAAATTTTGCGTGCAATTGCATCAGTTTGTCGGGAAAATAATGAGCATAATGTCGCGCCAATCATGTCGCTGAAGTGAACAGCAATTTGATTTTGCCGCGACACAATTCGTTTTCTAGACGGCGATGCGGTTTTCGATGCGACACTGTCCCCATTATTTTCCCGACAAACCAATAAAGTCGCTTATAATTCCTACTACCTTTAGCTGTGCCTCCACCCATGCCCTTATCAACATGATCCAATTCAAATCGCGGCTGAAAACGCCGTTCTGTCTCCTTCTCCAGGCAATACTCTTCATCTACATAACAGACCCCTTTTCCTGGACCTATGTGGAAGCCCAGGGCCAGCTCAAGTTGCCTCCGGGCCTTCGCCAACAGCGTCAGCAGATCCGCCATGCTGTGGGCGGGATCTACAGCGACAACACGACGCTGTTTTTTCGCAATTCGCCGTTCAGGGTGACCGAGGACATCATTGTAAATCCGGGGGTTACCCTCGAAATTGAGACTGGCGTTCAACTTTATTTCGATACCGGTGTTGGAATAAAGGTTTATGGAGTTCTAAGAGCAATTGTAAGTTGATTTTGAAAAGGATTTTTTGATCGAAATTTTGAAATTTTTTGGTTAAAATTGGTCAGGGGGGACCAAGGCAAAATATTTTTTGAAATGCACCAAATTTAACTCTTCGGTTTTAATGAAACTTGGCACAAATGTAAAAAAGATTTTGTATAACACATATGTGAGCTTTTTAGAAGGCAATTTGAAAAAACAACCGAGATTTTTCAATCCAAAATTTTAAAAATTTTAAATTTTTTTTTCAAATTTTGCTAAAATTTTGCTTTTTACATGTTTGCCCCAAGGTTTCCAACGTTTCCACATAAAAAATATTTTTTTCTAATCAAAATTCAAAAAGTTATCGCCGAAAAAAAAATTTTTCTAGCCGACCCTCTTCATTTTACATGCTCTCTCATAAAAAGTCAATTTCAAACTTCTAAAAATCGCAAAGAAAAAATTATGATATTTCTTTCCAGGGAAACGAATTTGCCCACATTGAGATGCTCCCATTTCAAGAGCAGCTCAATTACGAGGAAAATATGCCCGAGTTCCGGCTTGTTGATGGTCCCTCAGTTCGACAAGGACGATTACAAATGAAATACCGGGATCGATGGAGATCAGTGTGCACTATGGTTACAAAGTAGGCGATTTATCTTCGTTTTTTTGTAAATTTTGAGATTTTTTTTGATTGGTCATCTTCCCCGAATCTGACCGGTCAAATTGGGCAAGTTGACCGGTCATTTAAATTGGGCAAAGTTTTAAATTTTTTTCAAATGTATTTTTTATGATAGGTAGGATATGTGCCTGTCATTTTGGCCAAATTTCGGGCATATTGGGCAAGTTGACGGTCCAAATTCAATTCTCAAATATATCAGTCTGTCGGGAAAATAACGGCGAGTCGTCGCAGCAAAATATCTCGCCTCGCCGCTATCGCACACCAAATCCCCAGCCGCGGCTTGCCGTCCCATTTTTTTATGATGCATCGTGATGTGTGATTCCAAGGCGCGACGACCCGCCGTTATTTTCCCGACCGACTGATGGTTTATTACGGAATAAAAATTCCAATTACCATATCAGTCTGTCGGGAAAATAATGTGCACAATGTCGCTGTGCCGATTGCGTCGCTGAAGTAAAAAGCAATTTGATTTTGCCGCGACACAATTCATTTTCTCGGCGGGGTGCGATTTTCGATGCGACAGAGTGCTCATTATTTTCTCGACAAACTGATATACACATAATTTTCATTTTCACCTCTAAATTCAAACTTCTCCCTTCTTTTTTCCCGCAAATCCCATTTTCTTTTCAGTTGGACCTCAATTGACACCGGAGTTGCTTGTCGATCAATGGGCTACTCTGACGGAGGGTTCTGGCGTTGGTATCGACGAGTCAACGACACCTATCCGTTGGCAATGCCAGTGCCGGGCTGTCTTCCGTCGGCGAAGAATCTGTGGGAATGCGATGGCTTCAAAGAGCCGAATCAAATCCGAATGAGCGAGAATCTCTGTCAGGGAGAAGACGACATCGGATTGTACTGTTGGGGACCTCCGACGTTCAACGGATGGGCCAGGCATTGGAAAGGTAGGAGATTTGTTAATCTGTAATGTCGAAGAAAACATCGGTCTGTCGGGAAAATAACGTGTGTTTTTTTGCGTGTTGGAATTGCCCATCATCTCTTTGAGACGGCTAACCGCAACTGGAGATTTGGTGGGCGACTGTGACGAGGCTAGAGATTTTGCTGCGACAAATCCACATTATTTTCCCGACAGACTGATAAATGGAAATTTGGAAAAGATTTTTTTATTTTGGTTACAAAATTGACCGGTCAATTCGATCAGTCTGACTGATAATTTTGCCAAAATTCAACTGGACAGGTCAACCTCTAGAAAATTACAAAAAAAATCTTTTCTAAAAAAAGCGATGTAACTGGTCAATTTCATCAATATGACCGGTTAGTTTGACCTATAAATTTATTGAAATTTCAAACAACACGATTTTATGGGAACCAAAAACTTTGATGAGCAGCTTGCCCAATCTGACCATAATTAAAATAACATTAGTCTGTCGGGAAAATAATGAACATGATTTTTCTGGACCAATCACGTCGCTGAAGTGAAAAGCAATTTGATTTTGTTGCAACACAATTCATTTTCTCTGTGGTGATGCGATTTTCGATCCGACAGAGTGCTCATTATTTTCCCGATAGGCTGATGTTCAAACCAACAAAAAACTGAATATTCTTTATGGCATTCCAACTTTTTGCGCTGGATAATGATAAAAAGATCGCTGTAAATGAACTACGCACCTATTCAGGCATCCAAATCTTCAACTCTCCCTTCTACTACGTCCCCAACGACCCGGATATGGTCGCGGCTCAACGAGAATCCCACAGTCGTCTCGAGTTCATCGACATCATGTACGCCGGCTACGATGGCTACACGAAAAACATGACCGCCGCATTGTACATCGAAGGGGTCCCGCCGATCATGAACGGGCTCCGAATCCAGCGGAGTGCTCGGGATGGAATCCATTTTTACGAACCCACCGGCCCCATTATTCTGGCCAACTCCACGGTGGCCGACAATCGAGGGCACGGGTTGGTGATTGAGAATACGACGGACGGAAGATTGTTCGTGAATTGGACACTGATCTCGGGGAATTATGGCGATGGGATTTGGTATAGGCAACGATATGGAGGCGCTAGTTTGGTGAGGCAACCCGGAATGCCTGGACGTAAGTTTTTCAGCGATTTTTTTTCAACTGATAGGGGAAGTACTCCAAGTGCGACGCTCAGGTTTTGATGAAACTTGGCACAAATTTAGAATATTTTTTTCTAAGAATACCAGCTCGCGCTTTGCAGAAAAAACCGAGATTTTTAGATCGAAAGTCGGCGAAAATTTAGGACTTTTTGCCGAATTTCGGCACGAAAATTTTGATGCCTACTTCTACTGTAAAAATAATGTTTCTACAAAAAATCAAATTTTTCGGCACGAAACTGCCAAAGTTATGGCCAAAAAGCGCTTTTCTCTCTGACCGCTCTCCACGTTTAGCGTGCTCTCTCGGCAGCAAAAATCGTTCGATATCTCGGCAGCGCCCGCAAAGCGCGAGCTAAAACTTTCAGGCATTGACATTTAGTCCATACCCGACGCGTGTGCAAAATTGAAAGAAGATCTGAGGGTCGCACTTGGAGTACTTCCTCGGTGAGCTGCGCTAAAACTTTCCGGCGAATGGATTGGCAATTCGCTAAAAAAGGCGCGAAAAATCCTTCTTTCGGTCAAGAAATGGGGAGTTTTTGGGGCGAGAGAGTAAGTCTGTGCGCGTCTTTTCTCTGTCTTCTCTGTGAAATCAAGAAGTGTAAAAGCCCGACGCAATGTGCGAAAACAAAAAATTGTAAAATGTACTGTGCAAAGTGGGGGTTTTTTGTGCATGGCGCGACAAAATGTCCATGCACTTTATGAAAATACTAATACCATTCTGTCGGGAAAATAATGAGCACTCCGTGGCATCGAAAATAGCATCGCAAAAATGAATTGTGCCGCGGCAAAATCGAATTGCTTTTCACTTCAGCGACACGATCGGCACAGCGACATCGCGCTCATTATTTTTCCCAGACTGATAACAAAGATCTCTTCTTCAGGTTACAAACGCGAGCTGACTTCATCGCCTCATCTCCATCTCATGAACATCGAAAAGCCTCGTGCTGAGATTTGCGAGTCCCACAAGTACAACGAATCCCTCTTTTTCCCCCATCTCTTCGCCATTCATCTTCAAAACGGCTCCACCTACAGTGAGCTTCAGCCGAGGCCTTGTTGGATTCAGGTGCGGCTTCCAAAGCGGCTCGATTACGTTTATACTCTGCAATTTTTGTCCGTCGCCAACCGGAACCCGCATCAATTTGGAAGCAGGACTGATTTGATTGTTTGCGATGGAAATTTCACTTTTGTGGAGTTATGTGCGAGGGAGAGGTTTAGATTGCCGATCAGGAATGGAGTCATCCCACAAAGTGTTTCTATCAGGTATGAAAAAAATGGCTTTTTCAGTGATTTTTTGAGCAAAAAAATTTTTGTAAAAATAAGCTTTTTTTTGACTTATAACAGCGAGAAAAACTGCGACAGCTTCAGATTTATTATCTCTAGCGGCAAATCCAACTTATAATCCAACTAAATCACTACATTAATAAGATTAGTAAGCATTTCTGCGCAAATCTTCGTTTTATCGCCGAGTTCCATCCTCAAAGAAGACACCACCATCAATAGCACAGTACTTGGGACAGATTCCCTTCTCTCCTGGAGCGCCAGGTGGGCCGGGAGGTCCTTGAGCGCCGGGCTGTCCGTCATTTCCGGGTGGTCCGTCGGGTCCATTGGGTCCTTTAGGTCCTGGGGCGCCGGGTGCGCCAGGGGCTCCGGGTTGACCGACTGGGCCAGGGGGTCCTGGTGGTCCGGGTTCTCCTGAAAATTGAAATTATTTAACTCACAGAGGTCGAAAAATTAAAAAAATCAATATTTTGACGAAATGTCACATTTTTTAAAATTCTCTCTGAAGCACGATTGTGTGTTTTTTAGGTTGTAATTAAAAGTTATAAATAGTTTTTACAATTTTACGCCAATTACAATGTAAAATCAATAATGTTGCGGAATGTCACACTTTGTGACACTTCGCAACATAGTCGATTTTACATCTTCATAGGTTCTATTATAATTCCCAATTGTTCTTTACGGCCGAACATCAACAAAAAATGGAAAACTAGTGAAATTGCGCAATGTCAAAATTTGTGTCATTTCGCAACATTATCGATTTTACTTACCAGCTGGTCCAGGTTCTCCAGGCACCAAAGGCTCACTGTGAGCGGGCTGTCCAGGCTCTCCGGGTGGTCCGGGCAATCCGGGTTCTCCTGGTGGGCCAGGTGGTCCTTTTGGTCCGGGTTCTCCGGGTGGGGCATCAACTCCTGGTCTTCCCGGCTGTCCTGGCGATCCCGCGTCTCCCGGTGGGCCTGGAGGTCCGGGTGGGCCAGGCGGACCTTGTGGGCATGGTTTGCAAGGTGGTGGGGTGACTGGTTCGCAAGGCTGAGTTGGTGGGCGGCCTGGGGCGCCGGGCAAACCGGGAGCACCCGGTTTTCCGGGCTTTCCGGGACGACCGGGTGCGCCGGCTGGTCCTGGTGGGCCGGGAATGCAGCATCCCTCGCAGGTGCCGCTGTTGGAAGAGCTGGACGACTCAACAGCTTGATCGTAGCCGGCTTGACGAGCTGTACGATTATTGGCTACTGGGAGATTTTTGAGATTGTGGACTTCTTTCCAGATGTCTTGTGCTGATCCCTGAAATTCGCGGGGTTAAAAGCCGTGATGCAATATAAATACCATCTCATTTTATCCTCTAAGAATCCGGTTTTACGGTCGCGAAAAAGTTTTATGGCTACTTCGCTGCGGGATATTCAAATCCGGTGGTCAAAAAATACCTCCAAAAAGGCATTAGCTGCGGAAAGAAAGTTCGGCGTCGCATTTTCTGGGACATTAGCGCGCGAGAAACCGGTTCTAAGCCGCAGCGAGTGCTATGAAATACCCTATAAGCTACTGTAGAGCAAGAAACTCACTTTGCAAAAGTTGATCTCACTGTGCATTTGCGAGCGCACATGATGGACATAGTTGTAGACCATGGGCAAAGTCACGCATACGGAGAGGACGGCGACCACGGAGAAGGTCACCGCCGAATAGGCGACAAATTTGTACGCCTTGATCCGACTTTCAAAGTCCATCAAGAGCTGAAAATTGAGATTTTTAGGTGGAAAATGTAATTTTTTGATGAGAAATAGGGGAAATATGAAAACTCGCGATGTTACTATAATCCAAGTTACTAAAAAATTTTACAAAACAGCTTTTTAAAGCAGAGAGAGGCTACTTTCTCAGGGTATGGCAAAAAATTGAAAAAAGTTGGGTAAGGGGGGACCAAGGCAAATTTAAAAAAAATTTTCCAAAAATTTTGTCTTGCGAAAAAACAAAAATTCGACGTTACAGTAACTAAAGTCACTAAAAAATTTTACAGAAATACTTTTTAACGCAGGGCGAGGCTATTTTCGCACGGCATGAAAAAAATTTGGAAAAAGTTGGTTGGTGAGGGGGGACCAAGGCTAATTTTTTCCAAAAAACTTTTTTTTGTAAAAAAAAGTGATTTTCCTTAACTCTAAAATGTCTTAAAAATCCCCCACCAACTTTTTCTATTCGAATAGTTCGATTAACATCCGAGAAATCGAGGATTTTCGGATATTATACGTAATAATATCCAATATCCGTCTTGGAATATTCGAATATCCCCCTCTTAATTAGGGTGAAATCTAGCAAATGGCGCGTCGACGCCTCCGGGAAAACTTTAGCTGGAGCGTTGGCGCCTCATCTCTTATATCGCGCTTGACTCGAAAAATCTTCGAAAAATGGGGGCGGAGCGGGCGGAATTCCGTTCGCAAAGCGCGTTTTCGACGGCTTTTTGCTCAGGAATTTGAATGGATTAACAGTGGGTGACCGGAGGGCCTGTTCCGTTTATAATAAGAGACCGCCGCTTAATCCCAGTGAGGAATTTTTGAAAAAAAACTTCTGTGATTTAGGTGGAGATCCTTGATTTTTTACGAAAAAAAGTAAAAAATACATAAATTTGTCAAAAAATAGAATCAAAAAACTCCAAATTTTCCTACGTGCACTCTCTGAATCTTGATAAAACTTGGCACAAAAAAAATAGAGCCTTCGAGGACATATCTGAAAATTGCAGTTTGCCATTTTTAAAATCCTTCGAGATTTTAAAGCCAGAAATTTGAAAAGTCTCAAAAATTAAAAATTTTTTTTGTCTTGACGTTCCTGGGCAAAATTTGAAGAAAATGCAAAGGCTATTTTTTCAATTATATACCAGAATGTCGGGAAAATAATGTGGAATCGTCGAGCCTTGGAAAAGCTCATCATCGATTTTCTACGGCTAGCCACGGCTGGGGATTTGGTGCGTGACTGTGATGAGGCAAGAAATTTAGCTGCGACAAATCCTCATTATTTTCCCGACATGATGTGAACTTTTGAAAAATTCAAAATTTTCCCTTGGTCCCCCCTTATCAAAATTTTTTCGAAAATTTTTTGCCATGCCTATAGAAAAAACTTAGCTAATATTTGTAATGCATCATGAGTGGACTCTACATGCAAATTTTAAAGCAATTGAAAAGCGATTTTTCTAAATTTTTTCCAGATCAAAATTTTTCAAATTTTTCCCTTGGTCCCCCCTTATCAAAATTTTTGCAAAAATTTTTTGTCGCGCCTATAGAAAACCTTAGGTAAAATTTGTAATGTGTCGTATCTGGACATTACACACAAATTTTAAAACAATTGAAAAGCCATTTTCTCTATTTTTTTCAGATCAAAATTTTTCAAATTTTTCCCTTGGTCCCCCCTTACCAATTTTTTTTATAAATTGGAAAATTTTTACACGCAATTTTTTCAACTTTTTTCCAAACTCATTTCAAGCTCAAACCGGTGTTCCGTCCATTTTCGGATCCAGTCTTTCTCCTCCGCAAACATTACAAAATGCAAATGAATTTTTTTGGAGATGTCTTCTGTATTCGCCTTTCTCACTGTCTAATGTGTGTTTTTTGTGCCGACGGAAAATTGAAAATGCGTTTCTTCGCTCCTCTCATAAGAGAGGAGAAGAGATATTCGAATTTTCTCGAAAAGAAAAATGAGGAAACCGGAAATTTCGGAGGAATAAAATATAAAATGCAATAAAATCATCATTTAACAAAGAATTTGGCCATATTTTTTTGGTAAGAGAAGCTCAGGTTGGCTTTACTTTTCCCTATAAACCTCACTTTGGCCATTCGTCCATTCCTGAGAATTTCAGCCCGGATTTTGCAAGGGCAGCCGAGATATTCAACGATCTTTACGAGAGAGTACGCAAAATGCGGAGAGCGGCCAGAGAAATGACTTGAAAAACACTTTTGGCTATATCTTTGCCAGTTTTGCGTGGAAAAAATTGATTTTATGTGAAGATATTACCCTCTACAGTAGAAATAATCATGAAACTTTTCATGTAAAAATTCACAAAAAATGACGAATTTTTTGCCAACTTTTGAACTAAAAATATTGATTTCCTGGGCAAAGCGTGAGCTAAAAATTTCATTGACCCTTTCCAAAAATTTTAGCTAAAATTTTGCTCCAATTTTATCCCAGATCTTCCGTAAAGTCTCCAAGCTTTTTTTAATTTCTCGATTTCTTTCCTGTTTTGGACGCAAAAGCTTCCTTCGTCATGCCTCTTCAAAAAAACTTGATCTCGAACTTTTTTGCAAAAAAAAAAAAAATTATTTTTGAAATTCCAAAAAAATGAGATTTTTGAGACTTTAGGCGCGAAACTTCGGAGATCCATGGAAGTGTCTACGTAAACATATTTAGATTGTTATCTGACCAACAAGAAAAAAACTTGAGGCTGCTAATAAGTGAGCCTCGTTACGTGAAAAACTTGATGAAATTTGTGAAAATAAAAATATTTAGAAGTATAACGAACTATAAACTGTGTTCTAGGCCAAAAATACACTTTTTGTCGATAAACATGTTTCATCGTATAAAATGTCACTTTTCGGAAATAGCCCGCCAAATGTGGCAAAATCAAAAAATAACTTTTTTTGGACTACTGTAATGTAATATAACCCATAAATTAAACCTTTTACGATCAAACATGTTTCATCGTATAAAATGTCTCTTCTCGGAAATAGCCCGCCAAATGTGGCAAAATGTAAAAACAACTCTTTTTTGGACTACGGTAACGTAATATAACCCATAAATTAATTAAAAATCCCCTTATTTCTCTCCGATTTTCCAGAAAATTCCCTTAATTTTCCCAATAAAGTCGTAATTACTGTGCAATCCACGATTACATAACGAAATGACGATCAAACCCCTTTACGCACCCAGATCCCATCGCAAACACAAGTGGATTCATTGTTCGTATTTTGTTGGGAACAAGAAAATTACGTGAATCCTTGTAATAAGAGGGTATTACCAACACAGTTCAAGGAGTTTCGTGATGAAATCGGTAGAAAAGGAGATGAAAGCTTATGCCCTACACATTAATTCGAAAACAAAAGAAGTGTCGGAAATTATATGAAAATCAGCAAAAAAAGTCGCAGTTCCAGCCGTCAGATCACCTAAAACAACATAAATTTTCTAATTTTTCAGAAGTTCTGGAAATCCCATTTACATCGCGTTGGAGCACTCGTTGGGAACAGTCAATAACGGCCATGTTTTTGGCGATGTCGACGTTCTATTTCGAGTTCACGCCTCTGTGGAACGTAAGGAAGATTTGTTTTTGTTTTGCACCGTGCAAAATTTATTTCTATCGAATTACTTGTTCAAAACACGAAATTTTGTTTGTGGCAGAGTAATACCAGTAAAACTGAGGTTTTAAAATACGGGAGTAATTTTCTAGTTCTTGAAAAGTGCGACAATTTTGCTAAATTTTACATTTTGAAAACTGCACTGTGCAGTTTTTCAAAATTTATTTTTGCACAGGGTAAAAATTTAATTGCGCAATGGATCGTAGGCTATCATATGGCTCTAAGAAACGTTTTTTCTCTGTTTTTATTCTGAAATCGTCGGACAGTGTAAAAACAAGTAATTTTTCGAACCGCACAGTGCAATTTTTCAAATTCTTATTTCGCACTGTGCAATAAAAAAATCTTTGTGGAATAAGCTGAAAACGAGACAAGGTGGTCCAGCAATTACTTTTCCTGTGCGTAGTTACCTCCACAATACTGCAAGGTCCACAAAAAGAGTAATTTTTAAACCGCACAGTGCGATTTCGGAAATTTTGATTTTTGCACCGTGCAATAAAAAACGTGTGGAATAAGATGAAGGCGACACATGGTTGCTCTGGAATCACTTTTTCTATGCTTAGTGACCTCCAATTTGCTGCACAGTGCAAAAAAAAAGTTTTTTTTCGAACCGCACAGTGCGATTTTTAAAATTTTTATTTTGCACAGTGCATAATAAAGGATTAAAAAAATCACTGATTGCGAGATTCCTGATAAAATTATATTCTAAAATTCCTATTTTTCATTTTCAGACAAAGCCTTCTACGGCCTAAACGTCACCAATTCCATTATTTCCAATAACACGGCTAACGGGATTTCCGCCCGCGATATAACGGACAGACTCGCTTTAACGAACGTCACAGCTGATGGGAACCAAGGATATGCCGGGTTGTACGTTCACGGAGGCGCTGGCGACATCTGGATCAACGACACTTCGCTGAGTCACAATTGGGGCGATGGAATGAACGTTACGTTTGCCGGCGGATCCATCAATCTGAATAGCTCCAGAGTGGTGGGGAATCGGTGGAGAGGTAGGAGAAAATGATAATAATGATAGATTTTGATGAAAATTGGGGAAAGTGAAAGTAAAATTTTTTAAGAAAAATGCGAAATTTTTAGATCGCGCTTTGCAGAAACATCCGAGATTTTTTGGTGGAAAAATGCCATAATTTTTTTGTCATCTTTTTTTGAAAAAAATGGTTTCTATTTTTCATTGTCTCTCGAATTTTCAAAAAAAAAAAAAAAATATTTTTTTAATTTTTTTTAAAAATAATCACTCAAATTTTCAGGAGTTTCCGTCCATTACAACACCTCCCTTCCATATTTTTCGCTGCACAACGAAGTCGTGATCAAAGGCAGGCCGGCGAACAATTTATTCTACCCCAAAATGCTGATTGCTCAAAATTTGTGGGGTGGAGTTTTGATTGGGAATTACTGTAGGGATGCGGACGAAGCGGCCGAATACGACATTCGGCCGAGAGTTCAGATCAATTGGGTCCATTTTGATGAGAATTTTTACCATCCTCATATGGATATTTTTGCGTGTCAGGAGAATCGAGTGGCTCAGGGAATCGTGGACATTACTGGTAAGAAAAAAATTTATTTCTTTTTATATCAGAAAAATTGAAAAAATGTTAATAATGGGGCACAAATTTGCAAAATTTGAACGAACCAAAAAAATTTTTTTTTCAAAAATTTTTGCCTTGGTCCCCCCTGTTGATTTTTTTGGAATTTTTCAAGGAAAAAATTTTGCAAAAAAACCAAATTTATGGGTTATATTACATTACAGTATGCCAAAAAGAGTTATTTTTTGATTTTGCCACATTTGGCGGGTTATTTCCCAAAAGTGACACTTTATACGATGAAACATGTTTATCGACAAAAAGTGTATTTTTGGCCTAAAACAGTCAATTTTTTCTGAGTAACTAATGCAATATATTCCAAACGTCCCAAAAAAATTTTACCACCTTATTTTAGTCGATAAAAACCCCTTTTATCACCTAATTTTAGGCAACTCAATAATCGGCGGCTCCGGGATGGGGTTTCGAATGGAGCCGGCGGTCAACACTCATCTCATAATCAACTCCAATCGCTTTCATAACATTCAAAATGCCGCGATGGTGGTGCGGAATGCCAAGCACCCGCAATTGAAACATCTTCCGGCCAAGGTTGAGATCTACAAAAATGACATCAAAATGAATGTCGGGCAGTTTATTGTGGCGATCGGGATGAACGAGGACGCCCCAAAACAGTCGTTGATCTTTTCACAGCAAAATGAAGTGAGGGCGAACACGGTGATCAATCCATTCCCGTTTTTGAGGCCAAGAAGTACGCCGTATGCGGCAGTGGTGGTCTCTAGCAGGTAAGTGAAAAAAAATATTTTAATTTTTATTTTATAATTCTTCAAAAAATCCCAAAAAAACATAAATTTTCAGTCAACTAGATCATTAAACATTTTCATAAAGTGCATGGACATTTTTCGCAGCCCGCACCGTGCACAAAAATCCCCGATTTTTTTGCACCGTGCATTTCATTTTTTTTGCTTTTCGCACTGTGCATTTGGAATGTCGCTGCGACAACAGCAAGTTTCAACTTTGTCGCTGCGGCGGCGCCATAAATTTGCACAGTGCAAAAGGCTTTTTTTGACGTTTGCACTGTGCGAAAAGGGAAAAATGAGGTTTGCACTGTGCATTGGCGACAAGCGTGGGAAAAAGTTCAAAATGCACTGTGCGAAAGCCAAAGAAAAAAGTGAAATGCACAGTGCGGAATGGGGGTCTTTGTGGTCTGCACGGTGCCATAAAAAAATGCACTGTGCGTTAGCGACAAGCCTGGGAAAAAGTTCAAAATGCATTGTGAGAAAGAGAAAAAATGTCCATGCACTTTATGAAAATACTAATATTCAAAATTTTTTGGATAAAAATTGAAATTTTAGAAATTTCGAAAAAAAACTTTTTTAATGGTAAAGGGGGGACCAAGGCAACAAATTTTTTGAGGTACAAAGTTTGATTCTCAGATTTTGATGAAACTTGGTGAAAATTTAGACTATACTTCTATAATGAGTATCCAAAATTTTTAGCTCATGCTTTGCAAAAATCATCGACATTTTTAGGTCGAAAGTTTATAAAATTTAGATTTTTTTCTGCTGAAAATTTCAGGCTTTTCCGGGCAAAACTGTAAACCACGTATTTTAAAAACAATTCTATTTCCTTTTCAGCAATGTGAAAATCAACTACAACTGTTTCGGAAACCCGAAAGCCGACTTTGAATTGGGCGTGGAATTGATGGAGCACGCCAAGAGAATCGATGCCAAAAATAACAATTGGGGCGATGCGGACGCCAGAAACTTCCTTCACAGGATTTTTGATCAGGTAAGAAAATCGCGAAAATCCAAAAAAAAAATTTTTTTGCTTAAAGGTTACGGTAGTTATAAAAAAATTTATAGTACTCCATGGTGACTTTTGATTTTTTGAAAAATCTTGCATACACACCCTAAACAGAGGGGAGATCAATCTCTGAAACTTTCAGCTCACGCTTTTCTGGGAGACCCGAGATATTAAAAAATTTCCGAGAGAGCACGTAAAAAGAGGAGAGTGGCTAGACAAAATTTATTTTTCGCTAATAATTTTTCGAATTTTCGTAGGAAAAGGTTGATTTTTTGCAGAAATGTTAGCCACCCCATTATTAATCAGGCTTAAAATTTAATCTACAACAATCTTCACCAAAATCTGAGATTTTTTACATTATCCATGACCAATTTCTCATCCCCAAATTTGATCACTCAATTCAAGAAATCCATTCCAAATCTCATGTCCCTTTTCCAGTTCAACCGTTACTCTCTGGCTGCCGTCGATTTGAATCCCTACGCCGCCGTTTGCAATCAACGTTCCCCGAATCCCACCTTTCTCCAGCAAACTTATCGCCATTTCCGTCGCGCGCATCAACCCTTCGTGATTGGCGGCACAATCTTCGAGAACAGCGACCTCCAACCGGGCAAATACACCGTCACCGACGATCTGCACATCAGTCCGGGCGCAAAATTGACGATTTCGCATGGGACGGAGCTGGAATTTTTGGATGGCGTGGGGATGTTGGTGCAAGGAGAGCTGATTCGCAACGATTATTCCAATCCATTCCAGCCGATAAAGTTCACTTCCAAGCCGTTTCAGCTTCCGCACGTGGAAAATATTCGGTGAGTTTGGAAATTGCGTCGCGCTGACGAGTTTTTTGGAATTTTTGGGGACAAAATCTTCTTTATTCCTTTTTTGGCCGATTTCGAGGTTTTTTGTAGAGAATTGGATAAAAAGTTGTAGAAATAAACAATCACAACCTTAAGTGCGTCGTATTTTACAGTTTTCCGAGGTATTTTTATCCATTTTGGGCTTTTTCCGACCTTTTTTTCAACTGGAGGGTAAGACAATATTATTCTTGCTGAATCTCAGCAAATCTCTAATAATTTCTATGTCGCTGGCCATTTCTAGACGTGTAATGACGTAGACTTACTCTATCTCCCTCATTTTTCAGTTTGGTTGACGATTGGGGCAATGAGGACGTCTTTTCTGGCCGACTCGAGATCAAGATTGAAGGTCAATGGGGAACTGTTTGCAATCGGTCTTGGACAGCTTCACATGCTCAGTTAGCTTGCAACCAGCTTGGACTAACTATGGATCCACAATACTTTGAGAATTGGCGGATCTTCGTCGACAAAGGGGACTTGCCAATGTTGGTGGATAACATCAGATGCGAAGAGCGAGAATGGGATCTTACGCAATGTAGAAGGGATGGAACTCTTCATAATGTCCAGGTAAGAGAATTTGCTTGTCTTTTTTTTAGTTTAGGATCATCGGAGTACCTAAGGCAAATTCATTTATGCCCTATATTGAACTAGGTGTTCATGAATAATAAAATCTCTCTTTTTGTCCGTTTAACAGCTAAATTGCGCAATTTTAGGCGTCCTGCCGACCAACTGAGGTTGTTGGCTTGCGCTGCGCTCAACCTCATTGGGCTGGAGTCCGATATTCCCTCCTGGCAAACCCTCCATCAATCACTGGTCAAACCACAATGAACAACTGGATAATCGAAAGAGCCGGACTGTTTGACTTTCGAACTTCCACATTCTCTCCTGCCCTTCAAATTGATTGGAATTACCACACTTTCCATGGGCTGGTTATTCGGTGAGAGGGTTTTTTTATATTACACTTGATACTTTTCTTTGATTTTTTATTTTGTTCGTAATTTTTCAGCGACAACTTTGATGAAGGGCTAGATATTGTCTACAATGATCTTACAAAAAAGCCAGCTATTCGACACTCGAGATTTGAGAGGAACAGAAGAGATGGGATTCGCTTGAGATCGGTTGGACTGACCATCGAAGAAGTCACGATAAAAGATAATCAAAACGCCGGAGTGCGGTATAATCCGTCAATCAGCGAGTCACTCCAACGAGACATTGTCTCATGGCTGGATAGAAAAGAGCAGCCGGAACTGGAAGCGAATAATGTTCATGTTTTCCCGAACAGAAGTTTGAACAAGCTTCAGGTAAGATTTTTGATTAGTCTTGTTGGTTTTTAGGTATGAAGTTATGAAAATGAGGAACTGGAATATAGCTAGGATCATGGAGTTTGAGATTTTTTATTTTGCAAGTGGCTGGAACAGTTTTTTTTGGCGGAAATTTCGAGGTTTTGGCTTCAGAGGTCATGTGTAATATCGTAATGCTATGAACTATAGGTTTTAGTGCAATTTACACCTTGAATTACTAATTTTGAGTAAAACTAGGGATTTTTCAACTGGGTTTGAGTAATTTTGTAGTCATTGTGGGCATAATTACATTGATTATGACCACTTGGGTCTAGTGCAATATAATTGGAATTTATAGTGCAAAATCGACGGGATTTTTTTTCTAATTATATTTTATGGCAGATTACATCATATTATGAAGATGGTTATTAGTTTTTATTGATTTAAGTTTTGATTTTAGCAATTTTTTTATCTTGAATGTCAAGTGTAATGTCAAAATTTCAAATTTTCGAACGTTTATTCTCATCTTTTCAGGTCCACGAATCCCAGTTAAACCACCGTCGCTTTCTCGTCGCCAGAGCCACCCCCGACTGCCCGTTGGTCTCCGGCGATCCATGCTCATTTGAAATGCAGCTGGAAGCCCAAGGATATGAATACGGAATCACTTCAAAACTTGTAGTTCAGCTGGTCAACCGCCCCAACAACGAGTCCGATGAAGATGTCGTCCTAGTCGACCATCAAGGACACAAAGTTTGGAGTGCTCGCAAAAATCCGATCGATTTTCCGATCCAATCAGCTGGCCCAAGTTTAACTTTGAGGTACTCCCGAAGCTATGGCGCCCCCAAAGTAATATTGTTGGTCCTGTTTTTGGACACTCAAGAATATCTGGACAAGTTTGTACACGTTTATCAGAGTGTCATCGACAATAATCAGTACGGGGTTTCCGCCATCCACTACAGTAACCTCACTTTTGACGATGGCACGGTGCTGAATAGGTGGAGCGAAGAGAAATTGTGGTTTCAGAAGGTAAAATACGAGTTATTTTGCTAATTCTGGCATTTTGCGGTTTCAATTTTGGGGTCTTACGGATTTTTTTGGAATTTTTTATCAGGTGTCTAGTGTAGTATAATTTGTTGTCAAATTTTAAATTTTTAACGGCTTTTTAAAATACGACTGATTTTGTTAAGTTTATTGCGTTTTGCGATTGGAATTTTGGGGTTTACGGGATTTTTTTTTTGGAAATTTTTATCAGGTGGTCTAGTGTAATATAATTTGCTGTCGAAAAGTTTAATTTTTTCGGGTTTTTGGGTTCAAAAAATTATATACGGTCTTATCTTTCTCAATGTTCGATATTCAGGCAAAATTGAAAAATTTACGGTATGCTTTTAAATTCAGATATCAAATGTCAAGTATAAGGTAATTTTATGATCAAAATTTTGAAGTTTTGATGATTTTGGAGTTTCAGAAGGTAAAATACGAGTAATTTTGCTAATTTTGGCATTTTGCGAGTTAAATTTTGGGGTCTTACGGATTTTTTTCGGAAATTTTCATCAGGTGTCTAGTGTAATATAATTTGCTGTCGAAAAGTTTAATTTTTTCGGGTTTTTGGGTTCACAAAATTAAATACGGTCTTAACTTTCTCCGTGTTCAATATTTAGTCAAAAATGGGGAATTTTCAATACACTTTGATATTCAGGTGTCAGCTGTCAAGTATAAGGTAATTTTTTGGACAAAAGTTTGAAGTTTTTGTTATTTTGGAGTTCCAGAAGGTAAAATACGGGATTTTTGGTCCGTTAAGTTATTCTTTATGAGTTTTAATTTAAAAAAATTTAAATTCAATTTGCATAGTGCAATATAAATTTTTGGAATTTTCGATGATTTTCTTTGGTTTTATGGTGTGAGAAGCTAAGTTATGAGCCAAAAATCGCTCTTAACGCTATCTGAAATAATTCATCACCCTTTTTTAGGTCAACTTTACCAACAATAAAGAAGCCGTCGTCTGGATTCACAGCCCTCAACACGGCGTCGTAGAAGGCACCCCACTCGCCGACATCACTTGGCACATTGACAACTGCTCCATACATCATAATGCGGGCCCAATTATTGATACTCATCGAGATTTGTTCGCCAGCGCAAATATTTTCCATTGGAATTTTTGGTCGAATACCTTTGAAAACAACACGGATAGTGGAGTTAATGTGGTTTTACCGGACACATATGACCTTTTGAGCCACAAGGAACACACTTTTTGGGTAAGTGGGACGGTTTGAAGAGGTTTTTGGAAAAAATTTTATATTAATTTAGGTAAATTTTTGGTGAAAAGGTCTGATTTTTTCAATTTTTTTTGATTGAAATGGTAAAATATTGATCAAGGAAGCTGTCAGAAGAAGGTTGTAGGGGTTGGAAGTGTTCTAACAACTTTTTTTTACAAATTTTTGTTTTTTATACCTAAAATAATATAATTTTGGAAAAAGTTTGTCAAAAAATCAAAATTTATTTGGTCTTTTGATGTCTAGAGTAAAATAGAGGTCTATAAAAGCTGTGGAATCACTTTCAGATGACAGAAAATCGTTTCCAAGGCAACACCGGCTTCTATATTAACCTTGGCGGATACCATTGTTTTGCCAATATCTCCTCCAACAATGTCACCGACAACTTTGCACGACCCGATCTGGGCATTATGTCGCTGAATGGAATGGAAAAACGCCTCGTAATGGAGCGGAATCGCTTCTTTAATAACTGGGGACACTGGATGGTCAGAATTGACACGGACAGCCAATATCTCCGCTCCCAGGAGGTCCCAAGCTACGTACAGTACAATTACTTCCAATTTAACAAGTTTGTACAAAGCCTCGACGACTATGTGGACTCTTGGCCAAGAAGTTTTTGTGTTGGAGCATTTGGAACACAAAAAGTGGACGTTCATTATAATCGGCTGAAAAATAAATTGATGGACTTTGAAATTGTGGCTGGAGTTAGGGTAGGTTGATTTTAGAGAGTGGGAAATTGGTCTGAAGGGGGATTGGGAGAAAAATAGAGGGTTTTAATGGAGTTTTGATTAGGGTTTAGGGCTAATTTTGAAATTTTTTGAGCGAAAAAATAGGTGAAATCGCTGATTTTGATTAAATTTTTTTTATTTTTGGGAAATTTAGAGTATAATTTTTTGTTTTTTTTGCCCAAAGATGCCTCGGAAAATTTTTAATTTTTTAAAAAAAATTTTTTTTTAAAAATTTTTTTTTGTTTTTCCTTCAGTTTTTAGCCTCAACGACTTTTTGATGAAATTTGAGAGGAATTTAGAGTGTAATTTTTTGGTTTTTTTGGCTCAAAAAATGCCTCGAGATATTTCAAAAAAATTTTTTTTTGAAATTTTTGATTTTTTTTTCTAATTTTTCAAAAATTTTTCAGCCTCAGCGCCCCGCCATCGACGTCATGAACATTACCTATAACTGGTACGGAGTTGCAAACGAAGCCGGCGTCGCCCAACGCATCTTCGACGTCGACGACTGGAACATTTTCTCCGTCGGAAATTACTCCCCATTCTACAGCAGTGAAGAGCAGTTCCTAAATTTTTGGTGGGAACCCCAAAAAGGCCAACTAATCTACGCCGATCCGGCAGAACCGAACGAACTGGATTTGAAGGGACGAATGTATCAATCCAAGAATTTGTCGCTGAATCCGGAACGATGGTACAAATTCCCATATGTTTATAGACCGTTCAGACCGTATCGAGTCACTCGGTGAGGATTTTTATTTTTTTTGAAAAAAAAAAATTTTTTTTTTTGAGTTTTTGGATGGTAAGGGGGGACCAAGGGGAAAATTTTGTAAAAATCGAAATTTTCGAATTTTCGAGAAACAGTGGTACTACTTTAGAATAATTTTTTGAGATGTGGTTGAGTTGTTTGGGTCGAAATTTTAACGAAGATACCACCAAAATTTTTTAGTTTTCCATGTTTGGAAAAATTTTTTTTGCTTTTTTGAGTAGTAAGGGGGGACCAAGGGAAATTTTTTTTAAATCGAAATTTTCGAAGTTTCGAGATCGTGTTGAAACTTTAGAATAATGTTTTCTAAGATGTATTTGAGTTCTTTGGGTCGAAATTTTAACGAAATTACCTCTAAAATTTGTGAATTTACCATTTTTGGAAAAAATTTTTCGAATTTTTTTTTTGAAGTTTTACTTTTTAAAAAAATGTTTTGGCCTTTATCATACTGCTTTTTAGACCAATTAAAGTTTACTGTAAAAGTTTTTAATTAGATATTAAGTTATTTTTCCAGTGATCTAACTATCATGCCCGGCGCAACCTTGACCATCGAACGAAATGTGGAAGTCCATGTGTGGCCAAACGTTCGAATTTTGGTCCTCGGAAATTTAATCGCCGATGGAACACTCTGGCAGCCGATCAGATTCAAACCAATCAACGCCACCGAATGGGCGGAGGAACAAGGAACGAGACCCACAAGATATAGAAGACATACAACTTTGCGACGCCAGAAACGGAGGATTGATCTGGATCAGAGACATGAAGCATATGTGAAACGGAGAAAGAGGGCGTAAGTGGGGGATTGAAGGGATAAAAATAAAAAAATTTTGTGGAATTTTGGGATTTTTTCGCATTATTTTTAGGTATTTTTGGCCGGAAAAGGCCGTTTTTTAGTGGAAAATTTGATGAATAAAGAAGTTTTAAGAGTCAAGGAGGCCTTTTGAAGGTATTTAGAAGACGTTGACTGAAAAAAGACGACTGATTTTTTCATTGAAATTTTTTCAAAAAAATCCGATTTTTTCACTAAAAAAATCAAAATTTTGACTTATTTTGCCCTCGGGCATGATCTTATAAATTTTCTTTTTGGTTATAAAAATTTTTATTATTGAAAATTACAGTACTCCGCAACGATTTGACCCGGTTTACAATCAGTTCCCGACCCTCAGAAGAGAAGATCCATTTCATCAAGATTTTCGAGTCTTGCTGTCTCAAAATGGAAGTATTCTTGGAAGAAGTGGCTTCCTGGAACTTTATAACGCAACCACAGGCGAAATTGTACCCTCTTGCGATCAACAATTTACAGCGAGAAATGCTATGGTAAAAAAGATTTTTGAGGAAAATTGACAAAAGTTTGTGGAGATTTTATAGGCTTTTTTGCCCTATAAATTATCCATAAATTTTCGTAATTTTTTGGTGAAATTTTTTTTTGTTTTAGGTGGTTTGCCGTGAGCTTGGCTACCGAACCCAGAATGCATATCATTGGATCACCCCAAGATACGACTATAATCCCCAAATCCGACTGGTCAAGACTTATATGGAGCCCAGGGAATGCCGCGGAAATGAGCGGCGCCTCGCCGAATGTCCCTTGCGTTTAGCCGCAAACGACCAAATTTGGATGTGCATGAATACGATTTTCCACAACTACATTCATTGTGGAGACGCCCAGAAGATCAGTACGGAGTATTTTGGGCAGTTTGGTGGAATCACTTTTGCTCATCAGGAGCTGGATCTAATTCAAGAAAAAGTTGATGGTAAGGGATAAAGACGAGATTTTTAGATCGATTAGAGGTTTTGGAAAATAGCAGGGATGTTTGAAAAGTATATTGAGAGAGTATTTTATGGGGTTTGAGTCAAGATTTTTGATTTGGAGGGGTTTTGGTATCAGATGTCATGGATAATATAAATTTGATGGAAAGGTCTGAATTTTTGAGTTGAAATTGGGAAGTAGAATTGGACTATGGCATTTTAAGGCATATGGGATGTTTTTATTTAATTTTTAGACTTGATTTACCTTGTTTTAGATAAAAAAAAAATTTTTTTGAACTACATATTTTTTAATTATTGTAAATTTTGATAAATTTTTGCGTTGAAACACTCGATTTAATTGCTGATTATGGTGTTTCAGACTCCTCCGTCCTTCGGCACGTCGAAATTGTGGGCGGCGGCCAAGCCCACAACGACTCGTATCAAACGGCGGCCCTCCAAATCGTCCGCCGAAACCCGATCCTCGAAAATGTAAACGTCACCAACTCCTCAATGCATGGCCTCCAAATCATCGCGCCCAGAGAGAATGTCATCCTCACCAGGCTGAATATTTCGGACAATCCGGGTCAGGGCCTCAATATCTTGTCGATGAACCTGCAAGCCGCCCAAAACGGCGGCCAGACCTCGAAAGGCCCTCTAAACTTGCCGTATAATGTCCCCGGCATGCTTGATGTGTGCTCAGGAGGAAAGGAGGTGATGGTGGGGAACAGAATATTGGTATATTATAAATATGACTCGAAGCCAGTGGATTGTGTCAAAGTTTTCAAGTCCAAAACGGCGAAGAATCTTGGATTCAGGTTTTTGCAGGTGAGCTGGGGTTTTAAAAATTTAAAAAATCGGGTTTTTTGTTGAGAAATAAAAAAATTTATTTTGAAAAAACAATTTTTTGATAAAAGCATTTCTGAGAAAAAATCAAAAAAAAAAATTTTTTTGGTGAAAAATTCATTTTTTTCAAAAAAAAAAATATATTCTTTCCAACAAATAGTAAAAATTTTTTCAACCTTTTTTTTATTCTGGAAATTTTTTTTTTGATAAAAAGCATTTCTGAGAAAAAAAATCAAAAAAAAAAAAAAATTTTTTTGATAAAAAATTCACTTTTTCAAAAAAAAAAATATTTTTTTTCAACAAAAAAAATCAATTTTTTCAACGTTCAGGTGAATATTTACTCGGCCAATAACCCCCTTGGCCGACCGGACGCTCTTTCCCTTTACTCGGACGACACTTTTCGCCCAATTTCCCTTCTTGTGAAATACGACGGAACTTCGACCGGAAATCCGGCCACAACCATCGCAAATTATCCCCCGATTTCCTCGAGATCCACCGTCCTGGGCCTCCATCTACGCGCCACCGCCGCGGATGGAGAGTTTGGGTTTATAGCGGAGGTCGCCGCACTCCCATCGGCACCGGATTCGAGACAGGTCGATGAAATTTCGCTGAGGAATAGCCGGTTTCATAACAATGACCGAGGAGCTGTGCAGGTGAGATTTTTTGAGGTTTTTGCGAGGTTTTTTGGTATGATTGGGGAAAATAAAAGTGTGATAGGAGTGATACTGGATCTAGAGGATTATTTGATTGTGATTCGAAAAAAATTTTTACGGATTTTTTTTTGAAAAAAAATCACCTTGGTCCCCCCTGACTACTTTTTTTTGAATTTCGATTTTTTTTTATTTTTTTTTTTTATTTTATTGGTATTGTAAAGGAAAATGAAACTGAAATATCGGATAGACAGGGTTTTATATATTGTTTTACGGTGATTTCTAAAAAAAAATTGACGTATTTTTTCTTCGAAAAAAATTGACCTTGGTCCCCCCTTACCATTTTTTTTCAAATCTTCAAAAAAATTTTTTTTCAGTACCGAAATGTCGGAGAAGTTGGTCCCAATTTGATCATGGAACAGTGTCTAGCCCAAGGGAATGGCTACTTCCTCTTTGGAAACGTCTCAACTTCAGCTCAAGCCGTGGAATTACACCTACATAACACAATACTTCTCCTGTTCAGAGCGAATGCACTCCACGAAAATCAAGGTGGATTGTTGGTGACGGCCGAAAGTAGCAGCGCTGTGGCTCGATTAAACGCGGTGGTGAAGAATTCCGCTTTCACAATGAACAGGAATTCAACTGCTTTGGCTTTTTTGGGTAAGGAAATGGGGATTTTTTAGATTTTTTTTTGTTTTTTTTTGGTTTTTATTTTTTGAAAGTGAGAATAGAAGGGTAAAATACGTGCGACCAATGTTTTCAGTAGGAATTATGGTTTTTTTCAAAAAAAATTTTTTTTTATTTTTTGGTTTTTTTGCGGAAAAATATTGTGTAAAATATTGTTTGATACTGAAAAAAGTGGTGTAGATTAAGTTAAATAATAGTTTTGTGCTTTTTAACTGGATAATTTTGCCTCCTGGATCTTTTTTAAAAGTTTTATTTTTTTAGGTATCAAAAAAATTTTTTTTTTATTTTTTGATTTTACTAGAAAAAATTTTGCTGTATAAATTAGTGAAGATCTTTCTGGAATAAAATTAACATATCTTACAATTTTTTTTTGAGCTGAAAATTCAAATTTTTTTTTTAAAATTTTTTGAAATTTTTTTCAGGCAACGATTACCAACGAGTCACCCTCCTAAACAATATCATCTCGAAGAACTACGCCCTCTACTTTGACACCTGTCTCGTCCAAGGAATGAGCGTGAATTTCACGAGGAATGTGTTCAGCAATAACACCGGCACGCACACTGTCGACACCCAAGGATATTCCCAAATTTCATCGGACGCCCAGTACTTTTACGAGAATTTCTTCGAAAACAATGTCGCATTAGGCCATGGAAATCAGTATGTGGAACGGTTTGGGTTCTTACCCGAGTTTGAAAATGAGGAATTCAATCGGAGGCCGAAGAGACGGGCGAAACGACAGGTGAGAATTTTTTTTGAATTTTTTGAAAATTTGAAAAAAAATTTTTTTTTGGATTTTTGAAATTAATTTGGCAAGACTTTTGAGGGCAAATAAAATAATTTTTTCTCATTTTTAGACCGAAAATTTCCAAAAAATTTTTGAATTTTTACAAAAAAAAAACAAAAAAAATCTGCAAAAAAGGCACGAATATTGATTAAAAATTGTTTTTTCTGACCGTCTCTTCTTGTTTTTCTGTACTATTATCGGGTTTTTTTAATTTTCAAAAAAAAAATTTTTTCCAATTTTATCAAAATTTTGATGTCAAATTTAATCAAAAATCAAATTTTCAGGTGATAAATCAACGCGGAGTATCCTTCGACTGGTGGACCCATGTTGGCCGAGAAACGGGCCGTTACAGATCGACAATTTTGTCCGGCTCCGCAGCCCAAAAATTGGAGAGAAACGTGTTCAACAACCCCGGCAACCCCTACGAATTGACGACCTCCGCCCAAACTCAGTTCGATACGGGCGCTGTAGACGCGATGAACAATTATTGGGGCTACCCCGGAACTCCTGGAGTCGCAGCAGGCAAAATTAGAGACCAGGCCGACTATCCGTACCTGGTGAAAGTCAATTATATTCCGGTTTTGGATTCAAACACCAGCTTGATTGAAGGTAGGCAAGGAGAATGTGAATTTTGATGAAAAATTGAGGGTTTTACAAGGGAGAAGTGATAGAAAGTTGTTTCAAATGAAAAATAGATTGTATGGAAGAGGGGAAAGGCAGTGTTTGGGAAAAATTACGGCAAGAGGGGACCAAAAATACTTTTTGGAGGTAAATGTCATGGGTAATATAAATTTGATGAGAAATCGAGGATTTTACATGGGAAAAGTGATAGAGAGTTGTTTCAAATGAAAAATAAATTGTAAGGAAGAAAGGAAGACAGTCTTGGGAAAAATTATGGCAAGAGGGGACCAAAAATACTTTTTCGGAGATTAATGCTACGGATAATATAAATTTGATGAGAAATCGAGGATTTTACATGGGAAAAGTGATAGAGAGAATGAACAATACATCATAAGGAAAGAGGGAAAGGCTGTGTTTGGGAAAAATTATGGCAAGAGGGGACTAAAAATACTTTTTGAAGATATATGCCATGGATAATAAAAATTTGGTGAGAAATCGAGATTTTTACTTATGAAAAGCGTTAGAAAGTTGTTTCAAATAAAAAATAAATTGTATGGAAGAGTGGAAAGGCAGTGTTTGGGAAAAATTACGGCAAGAGGGGACCAAAAATACTTTTTGGAGATTGATGTCATGGGTAATATAAATTTGATGAGAAAGCGAGATTTTTACTTATGAAAAGCGTTAGAAAGTTGTTTCAAATGAAAAATAGATTGTATGGAAGAGGGGAAATGCAGTGTTTAGGAGAAAATACGGCAAGAGGGGACCAAAAATACTTTTTGGAGATTGATGTCATGGATAATATGAATTTGATGAGAAAGCGAGATTTTTACTTATGAAAAGCGTTAGAAAGTTGTTTCAAATGAAAAATAGATTGTAAGGAAAAAGGGAAGACAGTGTTTGGGAAAAATTATGGCAAGAGGGGACCAAAAATACTTTTTGGGAATGGATGCCATGGATAATATAAATTTGATGAGAAATTGAGAATTTTGACTGTGACAGGGTTTGTAATGGAGTAAAATGTTGAATGTGATCCTGAAAAGATGATTTTGGAAAACATGGGGGGCAAGAAAGGACCAAAAAAATTTTCTGGAGAAAAATGCCATGAGTAAGATAATTTTGGGGGAAGAAATAAAAAAAGAAGTGTTTTTGTGAATATGAGCGTTGGAAAATGGTTGGAGGTGGATAAAAATTCTTTTTCAAGGTGTGGTAATAGGGAGCAGGGAAAAAAAATTTTATTTTTGATGTGTGTCCCATGGATAATACAACTTTTCCAAAAAAATGGAAATTTTTGGTCGTTATTTGGTTGTTATTTGGTTTGTATATAAAGATAATGCCATATTATTTCAGGAGATTGCCCAGCAGGCTGGTTCCAAGTCGGAAACGACGAGTTCAAGTCCTGTTTTCTCTTTGTTGGCGCCTCAATGACGTATCATGGAGCGGTCGGATTCTGCGAAGATTTGGACGCTTTCATGCCAATTTTGCGCGCCGACGATACGCGACAGAAAGATCTGGCAAGACGAGTCGATTTCTTTGGCCAGCATTACATTACCGAAGCCGAGAAATACAATTCAATGGGGGTGAGTTGAGCAGGTTTAATGTAACTTTTTTTGTCCTTGGAGCGGTGGTATTGAGGGGTAGGTTTTATCATAGAGGCTGTAGAGGATTTAGAACTAGTTTGAAAAATTTTACGGCCATCTGAAAGCTAGATTTTGAGCAATGACTATTTCGATTTTAATGTCAAGTGTAATATAAATCTTTGTTTAAAAATTTCTGAGAGTGTCTAAAAATGAACGAAGATGGCGTTAGAAGCATTACAAACAATTTAGGAGCCTTTTGGTTATTATTCTTGATAAAAATTTTGTCAAGTGTAATATAAATTTTTGTCAAAAAATTGTCGGAAATGATAGAAGGTAGTCCAGCAAGGAATAAAAAGCCCTAATATGTCATTTTCAGCACTCTTTTGACATCCCCATATGGATTTCGTCGGTGACTTTGCCCTCAAATCAATGCGGATGGCTGTCGTCGAGAACCGGAAGTATTGGAGAGCAAAATTGCAACAATTTGCTACCGTTTGTCTGCGAAAAAGGAACCCGACCATACAAGGAACCGATTTTATGGAGAAGAGACTTGGTCTTTGTGGCAATTGCACTTCTTTTGTTGGCTTTATTGATATTATTTTTGTTGATTTGTGCATGCCGAAGGGCCAAGAAGCGAGAAAAGCAATTCAAAGCGCAGAAGCTGCAGTTTAGAGAGGGATCGTTGAGGAAAAAGAGCCCGTATAACCCAAGGGCAATGAGAAATGGAGGTGAGAACGTTTTTTGGGAGGTTTTTGGAAAATTTGACGAAATGTCACATTTTTTGACATTTCGTCTTTAGATCGAAAAAGTGTCAAAATCGAGGAAATTTTGAAAAAATATGTAGGAGATTTGAAAATATAGGTGTCTAAGGCTGTAATAATTGAGTTTGGTAAAGTTTTATTGAGATGTTATAGGTGTTATAGCCGATTTTCGATATCAATGTCAAGTATAATATAAATTTTCAGCTCCACCCAACTCCACCGACATTTTTGACGCCATGAACCCACAAGCCAATGTCGCAAACGTCGCCAAACTCCAGGAATCGATGAGAAAGCACAATTCGTTGACGAAGAATAAGAAAAATTTGGCAGCAACCACCGTTACTTCTTCCTCATGCACCTCATCCTCGGTGACATATGAGTCCACCGACTACTGCTCACGGACGAATTGTGACCTCAGCACGGAGAATACATACTCATCGCTGACGCAATCTCCCCCACCGGCATATAAAACGGACACGATGCGATCAAAGGGGTTGGGGACAAGCAGAAGTAAAGGCGTTTCGTTGAGACCAGATCCATACGATCTGAGCACGTTGAGATCGGCGGGAAAGAAGGGATGTCAAGGTAGGTTGGAAAGAATGGATAATGGATTTTTAAAATTTGGGGGGGGGGGGTTATGTTATACTTGGGTCTAGTATAAGGTAAAAAGTTGATGATTTTTTTTATCATTTGGGGTTAATAGTGTGGTTTAAATTGTCGTAAAGGGGTTGTTGAGTTATGAGAAAAAAGAACAGCAATTTTTATGGCTATTTTTTGGAGTATTATATTGTACTTGAGTCTAGTGTAAGGTAGTCAAAGTAATGGTCAAACTGGAGAAGTTTGCGAATTAGGGAGACTGTTGTGTCGGTATTTGTCGCAGGCTTTCAGTTGGAGCTGAATTTTTAAGGGTAATGATTATTGAAGGATGAATTTTATATTATCCATGGGTCTGGTACGAAATAATTTAAAAATGAAGAAATTTTAGGAAAGAAAAGGGTCTGGAAATTATCAGTGGACGTAATATGACATTATAGAGCTTTTAGGGTTGGGAACTTAAATTTATCATTTTCATTATTGTCTATGACACTAATTTTTTCAGTCAATAGCACCTTCGATTCGGAAGCCAATAGCACATATGTGACCTGTTCGAACTGCTCAAACTCATCAAGAACTTACTCCTCAACATATTATTGCTCAACATGCACAGCCGACACGAATTCGGTGGCGGACAGTGAGGCGACTTTAACCGAAGCACCCACCGTTTTGGACACTCTGGACGAAGAAGTGAGCAGCCGGTCGTCAAATTCGACGGTCACTGCCGAGAAACCGCTCATAAAACCCCCAAGAAACTTGAGTGGACGCTCTCAGGGAACTATCCCAATTGCGACACCTTCAAGCACATTAATGGCTAGCAGCAGGACCGATTCGACCTTACAGTAGGTTTTGAAAGGGGTTTTTTGGAGGAAAGGCCTGTGAATTTTATGAAAAAGATGGGTGAAATTTGTTTTGAAAGCAGAATGAGGTATTGAGATAAAATTTTAGGAGGAAATTTGCAGATAAAATCGATTTTTTGGATACTTTTTGAGGAAAAGTTGGAGAAAATTTTCAATTTTTTTTTAGATTTTGTTGACTTTTTTTTGATTTTTTTGATGAAAGATGAGTAAATATGGATTTTTATTGGTGTTCAAATGCTCTGAGAAAATTTTAGAGTTGTCAAAATGATTTTTTTTTTGATTTTTTATCGATTTTTTGGTCCGGCCCGCCCTCGACATATTTTTTTGAAAATTTTTCTAGACGGGCGAAATTGTTTTAAAAGTCTTTTTTTTTTTGAGTAAAATACGAGAATAGAGCTTTTTGATTGGTGAAAAGTCATATTTTTTGACAAAATTATCATTTATTTTTGATCTAAATGATGATTTGATTAATTTTTCTCCCCATTTCAGACCGAATCCCCACGCCTCAGCCCGATCTCAGCACTCTGGACTCCCATCGACGAGATCCAACCCGAATTTGGCTCAAATCCCTCAACAATTTATTCCGAGACAGCCTCAGAAAGTAGCCGAATTGGAGTCGGAACCAAAAAGGCAACGTCCAAAGTCGGGTTTCCAAGAGCCACCACCCCCGTATTCGTCGCAAGAATTCTTGGAATCGGACACTTTGGGAAGAAGAAAGGCCCAACCGACGAGCTTGAATGAGATTCTGAGGAAGTCCAGTGGATTGGTGATGTCACCCGTGAATTTTCAAAGTGAGTTTTTTTTTGATTTTATTTTTTTTTTTTTGGAAATTTTGGGGATTTTTGGAGTTTTTTTAAGGATTTTTTGTTTTTTTTCGACATAAAAATGCATTTTTCCGCTCAGAGTTGGGGAAAAATGGCTGAAAAAAGTGTCGTTTTATGACGGTCTCTCCTCATTTCCCATAGTCTCTCTTTAGGATAGATTGTTGAATATCTCGGCTCTGTCTGCAAAATATTGACCAAAATTTTTGGTGGTTGAAATATGGTCTGTGCTGATTTATTTTTCGAAATTTGATAGAAATCGGACATTTTTTTTAACTTTTTTGATTTATTTTTTTATTGATACCTGTCTAGTATAATATCGAAAATTTTTATGCTTTTTTTTCATTTTCAGCCCAACCAAAACCCCCACCACAGCCCCAAGCCCGCCCTCCCACCATGGGCTACATTAATATGGGATTCCCGGCGACCGGAGAGCGCCCACAAACCAAGCCGCCACTACCTCCGCCATCAATTCAGCTGCGACAAAGAACACAATCTGGCGGTCAAACCCCCACGGGCAGCCAACGCCCAGCCCAACGACCCAAGTCAGTAATGCGGATGGATCAAGGAGTCATGAGAATGGAGACTTCCATGTGATTTTTCATCAGTTTTTTGCCTAGTATAATATAATTAATATAATTTTTAGCTCATTTTTCATTGTTTACGGGTAGATTAACACACTTTTTCACTGTCAAAATCAAAGTTTGGTCTCGATTTGTATTTTTTTACTTCTTCTTTGGCCTTTTTCTTGTAATTTTTATATTGTTTTAGGTATAAAAATTGATATATTTTGTCTCAAATTTGAGTAATTTCGATCCCTCGGGTATTATAATTGCTATAAAAGTGTTGTAAATGTAATTTTTGATCACTCAGGAATGTAAATAAACAAATGTTTTATTGATTTTTGGCGTGATTTGTCATGGTGAATATAAAAAGTTGCTCAGATTTGGATGAAACTTGGCATGGACGGAGTAGAGAGCTTTTTCAGAGGTGTGAAAGGCTTGTTTGGGGTAGCAAAAAGTTTTTTTTTGGGGTAAACAAAAGTGTTTCGAAACGAAAAACTGAAATGCCAACTTTTTCCTTGGCGTTCTTATCGGTTGTTTTCGCCACGACAAGATTTCGTTTGGCCGCAAAGAACGGGATTGTGTCGTGGCGTTCTCGAAAATTCTTTGGTTGCCGCCTTTTTGCCCTCACAGGGGAAGTACCCCAAGTGCGACGCTCAGATTTTGATGAAACTTGGCACAAATTTAGAATAATTTTTTTTAAGATATATGCGAGAATCCTAGCTCGCGCTTTGCAGATACAACCAAGATTTTTAGATCGAAAGTCGGCCAAAATTTAGGAATTTTTGCCGAATTTCGGCACGAAAAGTTTCATGCCTATTTGTACCGTAAAGGATAATCCTTCTACAAAAAATCAAATTTTTCCGCCCGAAACTGCCAAAGTTATGGCCAAAAAGCGCTTTTCTCTCTGACCGCTCTCCACGTTGAGTGTGCTCTCTCGGCAGCGAAGATCGTTCAATATCTCGGCGGCGCCTGAAAAGGGCGAGCTAAAACTTTCAGGAATTGATACTTAGTTCATGACCGACATGTGTGCAAAATTTAAAGAAAATCTGAGCGTCGCACTTGGGTTACTTCCCAGCTGCTTTTCAAAACTTTGTTAAATTATTTGATCATTATTTTTTTCAGAATCAAGCATGCTGACCGATCTGCTCCCGCATTTGAAATGTTGTCTGTGCGACGTCTTGATGTCGCCGATTGGTAGAGCCCCCACCTGTCTCGACTGTGGCCATGTGTTCTGCTCGCCGTGTGTTGAGGAGAGCAGATCGTTTTGCCCGATTTGTCGTCTTCAAAGCTACCGTGCTCCACTGTGTCGGCCCATGGCGGGTGCGTTTTTTTTTTGTTGGCTTTAGCCAAAAAATCCGACATTTCCTGGTGATTTTCAACCGAAAAAGTCCGAAATTTCTCGATCATTTTCAACCGAAAAAACCTGGGTTTCGGGGTAGAGATGCCTCTACTTCAGAAGGTCGTAGCGACCTCAGTTTGCACTTTAAAACCTTGTTATTTCTTAGACAAAAACTTATGTCTTTTAAAAATACATATTTCAAATACGAAGTCTCTGCGCCGCCTCCGCCGGAAGTTATAGCCTTCCACTTTCCTTCACGTTTTTTGTAAGACCCTGTATTAGTCTGTCGGGAAAATAATGAGCACAACATCGCTGCGGCATCGCTTTGCTGAATTGAAAAGCAATTTGATTTTTTCGCGACACAATGGATTCTTTCGATAGCGATGCGATTTCTGATGCGACAGGGTGCCCATTATTTTCCCGACAGACTGAAAAAATAAATATTTGCAACTAGCAGAAAATAATTCTGTCTTATTTGAAATATTTTTAGCCATCCTCGAGCTCTACCACGGGAATGTTTCGGGTCGTGAAGCGCCTCCACAACCATCACCCCTGCCCACGGAGATCCATCTCGAAGACGTGGCAACTCCACAATCGCAAAGCGAAGAAGACGTCGATAGCGCCGTGGAGGACGTCGCCAATCCCAATATTATCTGTGGCCGGCACAATTTGGCAAGGTATGATGTGGACCGCTTCTACGTCGTCAAAGTGCTGCACGCCGGAGTTCACGTCGATCTTCCGCAGTTGCACAATATTTTCCCAGGTAATGAAAATACGAGCGGGCAAAAACATTTGGTCCGAAGAGGGAACGTTGAGGAGAAATGATGGGGTAAAAGGGGACCAGGCGGATTTTTTTAGAATAATTTTTTTGGTATGTCAACAAAGTGATGTGGTTAGAGGGGACCCCAGCGGATTTTTTTAAGATATCTTTTTTGGTATGACAAAAAAATTATGTGGATTTTCGATGCGACAGTGCTCGTTATTTTCCCGACGGTTGAGCCTGCACTCTCCCCCTTTTCTGAACTTTCCCCCAATCTGAACCCCTTTTTGAACACTCCCCCATTTTGAAAATTGAAAAAACGAGGTGTGACATGTTATACGATGGATTTTTTTTTCAAATTGAAAAAACGGGGTGTGACATGTTATACGATGAAAATGTTTTTCAAACTAAGAAATATGAGGTGTGACATCTTATACGATGAAAATTTTTTTCAAATTGAGAAAAATGAGGTGTGACATCTTATACGATGAAAATTTTTTTCAAATTGAAAAGAATAAGGTGTGACATCAAAAAGGGCTAGAGTTCAGAAAAGGGGTAGAGTTCTGCCGCAGCGTTTCCCGGCAGCCTGATAATACGTTCATACGTTTTTTAGGTAGTGTATTCGCGTTCGCGTACAAAGCCACGGACCAGAAGGGCTACAGAACCGGGAACATCGTCATTGGGCTGTTCACTGAGGAAGAGAGACTCCGAATTTTCTCATGCGATGGGAAATTTTTTGCCGGCAGAATTCTCAAAGGTAAATTTTTGATCGCTACCTTGAATTATTACAAATTATTTTCCAGTCGTGCTCACCAACTCTCCCGCGTTGCCCATTCTCCAAGCGAGTTTTTGCAATTCCGCCGTCCTCGTCGAAAACATCCCCTTCCTGGAGGCGATGGATTGTCTGGAAGAGCTGGTCGATCACATCGAAGGAACCGCTTCTCTGAGGGTGGGACGTGGCCCCAATAAACATCTCGGTGCGATCCATCTGCACGACTTCCGCGACGTCCGACCGGTATTGGAGAAGAATGGGATCGTTCTGTTCCGAAAGCGCTTGACTCTGACCCCCATTTCCCTGGCCCAGTTCAGCCATTTCGAGACCTACTCATCTTATCTTTAAAATTTCTTACAAGCCAATTTATTTACTCCAATTTTTTCATCTTTATCCCTCCTTTCATTGTTGTTGTTTTTTGTTATTTTCACTGTTTTTTAATAAACAAATGAACAATTTTTGACCAATTTTTAAACAAAAAATGTTGTAAAGTTTGGAACGAAATGGAATTCCGTTCTTTGTAAGTTCAGTTTGACTTCATAGATCAAGTTCAAAATTCGGTTTGATAAGTTGAGAAAACTAAATTTTTTACTCATGTTAGAAAGCCGACGTAAAAGCGGTCGATTCGGCGCCTATACTGGTTGACAAAATTTTCTTTCCACCTCGTACCTCGGGAACCGCTGGGCCGTTAGACTGTTCCACTTTTTTTTTGTGCCCAAGTTCAAGGTTCTAGGCCCAACAGTTCCTGGGATCCAGGTGGAAAGAAAATTTTGTCGACCAATATAAGACAGATGAATGCCCCAAAACAGGTTGTGGCAAATGCCTACGAGGCCTAGCAAAGCCGTTGGATGGTCGACGGACGCTCGGCGAAGGCTCCACAGAGACGTGGAGAAGACTTGCAATATGTCCACCTTTTTCTTACTTTAGCAAGTCCTAAGGTTAGTTTTTCCTACCTTGAGTTACTGTAACATATAAAAGACCAAAATTTGCAGCAAAAAAGAAGATCCGTAACTTTTGTCTAGATATTATTGCACAAAGGACGGAAAGGTCCGCTGCGGAAAGGTCCGCTAAAAAAAGAAAACAGGAGGGCGGGGAGGGGGTCAGGTGTTCGATGGCGCTTATTTCGAATATCGTATCCATTTTTTCTGAATTTTACGATTTTGCTTAAGCAGTAGTGTTAATTGGTAATTAAAAAAAAAATTTTTTTGAGTAATCGATTTAGGGGTTTTCGGTAGTGCTGATTTTGAAAATTGTATCCATTTCTTCTGAATTTTTGCCTATTTTCCTCAATTTTTTAAAATAAATGTTTTAATTGGTAAAAACTTGGTCAAACTTGTATGATATTGTTAGAAAACTTATGACGTTTTTTTCGTCTTTACAACGAAAATTAGACACTACTGCTTAAAGTCCGAGGTTCTCCAAGCCAAGGCGCAAATAAGGAATGTTCCCGCTGTGGGACCCAACACGGCGGGTCTCTCTCGCTAAAAAATAAAAAAAATATTTTTTTATTGTTTGAAATGGTACAAAGAAGGTGAAAGATGAGTGACGATCACTGAAAAAAGGTATGTTTTTTGTGTTTTCTGATTTAGGGCAGCTCGGCAAAAATTTTTACGACAGCTGATCCAAGATTTTTTGTGTTTTGGGCGAATGAAGGTAATTTTGGACATTCCTAAGCATGAAAATGGGTGTAGCTTTCCAAAGAACCATCCAGGAGTGATGTTGATCGAGTTTTTGCCAAGTTAGAGTCAATCCCTTCAGCAAACTACCTAGTGTAATATAATTTTTTCCAGGATTTTGAATTGGAATGCAGCCAGACGGCTAAATTTCACCGCAAGGACTCGCTGAAGCCAGAAGAAGAGACGACACCATTCAAATTCCATGTGGAATGGCTTTTTCCGAAGCTGATGTCAACATCGAAAAGGTGAGTTTTTCTTGGTTTTCACTTTTTAGGTCGGGAAATCCATTGCTCCTTGAGCAAGGCAATGGGTTTAGCTTCCCAAACATGCTATCTGGAATGCGGCTGCTTCATCTTGCGCCACATCAGGCCCACTGTTGTTTCTAGTGTAATATAATTTTTGCAGGTGAGAACGCTCCCCGACCGCGAAGCTTCGACGATGCGAAACGTCTGGGACAGTATATGGGCGATAAAGAAGGTCTCATCGATGGCAAACGCTGAGGAGAACCAAATCAATTTATTATTGTAAAAACACACCAAATGTTTTGATATTAATCATAAAATATTATACCGTTGACCTGGATATTGTTGAACCTGTCTTTACTGAGATCTTTAGATGAGGCTGGCGGGCATGGGAGGCGAATGGGCCGGTTTTCCTGTAAAAATTATATATAAGAAACATTGGGTCTGATGTGGCGCAAGATGGAGCAACCGCATTCTAGATAGCATGATTGGGAGGCCATACCCATTGCCTTGCTCAAGGAGCAATGGGTTTCCCTACCTAGAAGGTGAAAACCAAGAAAAACTCACCTTCTCGACGTTGACATCAGCTTCGGAAAAAGCCATCCACATGGAATTTGAATGGCGTCGTCTCTTCTTCTGGCTTCAGCGAAGAGTTTGAGTCCTTGCGGTGAAATTTAGCCGTCTGGCTGCATTCCAATTCAAAATCCTGGAAAAAATTATATTATACTAGGTAGTTTGCTGAAGGGATTGACTCTAACTTGGCAAAAACTCGATCAACATCACTCCTGGATGGTTCTTTGGAAAGCTACACCCATTTTCATGCTTAGGAATGTCCAAAATTACCTTCATTCGCCCAAAACACAAAAAATCTTGGATCAGCTGTCGTAAAAATTTTTGCCGAGCTGCCCTAAATCAGAAAACACAAAAAACATACCTTTTTTCAGTGATCGTCACTCATCTTTCACCTTCTTTGTACCATTTCAAACAATAAAAAAATATTTTTTTTATTTTTTAGCGAGAGAGACCCGCCGTGTTGGGTCCCACAGCGGGAACATTCCTTATTTGCGCCTTGGCTTGGAGAACCTCGGACTTTAAGCAAAATTGTAAAATTCAGAAAAATGGATACGATTTTCGAAATCAGCGCCATCGAAAAACCAAAGTCGCAGCCCTGTGGAGCCTTGGTGGTAATGGACAAAGCGTATATGGCGTGTCAAAAATTTATTGATTATTGCTCTGGCCACACAATCTGTGGTGATGGGAATACCACAACCCTTTGCGAGGGTTCTTTGCTTCCCTTCCTTCCACTTTTATCACAAAAAAAGCGCAGACTTTACTTCTTGTAGCCTGAGCTTTTATAGGCGACGAAATTCTCAGCTCTTTTCTTTTCACGTTTTACTTTGCATCGAATTTTTAGCCAATCTCTTTAACTGTAAAATTCTATCTAAATCCCAGCTAATCTTTCTTTTTCAGCCGATAAATTTGCAAAATGGCCAAGCCAAAAGTAGTTGTGGTTGGAGGCGCTGGAGGCATCGGCCAACCGCTCAGTTTGTTGCTAAAATTGAACAGCAATATTGGGCATTTGGCGCTGTATGATGTTGTGAATACTGCTGGAGTTGCCGCAGATCTCTCGCACATTGATACTCCGGCCAAAATCTCGGGCCACACTGGGCCAAAAGAGCTGAGAGATGCGTTTAGAGTGAGTTTTATGAGCAGTCTGTCGCGAAAATAATATGGATTTGTTGCATGGGCAATATCAGTTTTTTTATCTGTCGGGAAAATAATGTGGATTTGTCGGTGAAAAATGTCGATCATCCTTGTCGCGGTCCCGCACAAAATCTCCAGTCGCGGCTGGCCGTAAAGCGAGCGATAATGGCCGATTCCAAGGAGTGACGAATCTACTTTATTTTCCCGACAGGCTGATATCAGTCTGTCGGGAAAATAATGAACACAAGGTCGCTGCGCCAATCGCGAATGAAAAACAATTTGATTTTACCGCGACATGCGACAGACTTCACATTACTTCCCCGCCAGGCTGATATCCCATTCCAACCTTTGTTTCTGATTCTCTGTATATTTTGCATGTGAGTTCAACTAGGCAATGATTATTTCCTGAAAATTTTAGCCGCACTGTTTAATGGCGGCCGAGATATTTAACGGTCATTTTCGAGTGCTCATACGAATTATATTATTATAATATCAGTCTGTGGGGAAAATAATGAGGGGTTTGTCGCATCGAAAATCGCATCGCCGCAAAAATAAATTTGTGTCGCGGCAAAATCAAGTTGCTTTTTATTTTAGCGATGGGATTGGCGCAGCGACATTATACTCATTATTTTTCCGACAGAGGCAAAATTTAAAAAAATTGCATCATTTGTGCATTATAAAATTTTGCTTTTTCAGAACGCTGACATTATCATAATCCCCGCTGGGGTCCCCAGAAAGCCCGGGATGACTCGAGATGATCTCTTCAACATCAACGCTGGAATCATCCGAGATCTGGCTGAGGCCGCCGCTGACGTCGCGCCAAAAGCGCTGATCGCCGTTATAACGAACCCAGTCAACAGTACCGTACCGATTTTCAGCGAGGTCTTCAAAAAGCGCGGCGTCTACGATGCTCGCCGAATTTTCGGCGTCACAACGTTGGACGTTGTAAGAGCTCAAACGTTTGTGGCGGAAAAAGCCGGACTGGACGTGAAGAGAACGGAAGTGCCAGTTATTGGAGGCCATGCTGGGATTACAATTATCCCGCTGTTGAGTCAAGTCAGACCGGCGGTCAACTTCAATCAGGCTGAAGTTAAAGCGCTGACCGAGAGAATTCAAGACGCTGGGACGGAGGTTGTGAAAGCCAAAGCTGGAGCGGTAGGTCGGGGTTTGGAGGGGTGGTTCTGGAGGTGATACAGGATTTTGAAGAGCGTTTGGGGGGAAATTTAGACCTTGGATATCTAGGAAGGAAAATACTTCTATGGGGTATGGAGTTACAGGTCGAGACAATTATCAAAAAATTCGCAAAATTTTTTATTTTTACATATTCTGAGTCAGAAAAATTTGACAATTTTTTTTGATATATGCCTCGATCCATAACTCCATACCCCCATAGAAGTACTTTCCTTGTAAGAAATATGATTTTTAGCCGGCGTTTTGCAGAAACAACCGAGATTTTTTTAGGTCAAAAATTGTCGCAAAATCAAAAAAAAAATCATATACCAATGACAGTATACCAATTTACACCCTCCAGAAAACCCTTTGATGCTGAGAGCGTAAAAAACATGTCCATATAAAGATTTTAATAAAAGACGAGCTTTAAGATACCAAGAAAAAAATTTGCATATAATTTGCATAATTTGGAAGGAAAATTTACGAATTTATATCCATGTATTCTGCGTACCACCAGCATTAATATTTTTTTGGAAGGGCGCAAATTGGTCCACTGTATCAAAAGTTATGGCCCAAAATGTCCGGCCAAAGTCGATAAAAAGTCAGGTCACTCGAGTACCACTCCTCTTTTTCTCTGCTCTCTCGGCTTTTTCTGTGATGCCGCTAACTCGAGTTAGCGCCCTTTTTGTACGTGAAACATCCCCCTGAGCGTCGCAATTTTAATATTTTACTTGTGAATTTCAATCAATTTTTGACAAAAAAAGCCGGCTCTTTTAATTAAAACGTATTCAAAAAAAATCATCAATCTTTTAGAGCACATAACCAATAATTTTTTATTCCTAAATTTCCAAAAATTTGCAGGGCTCCGCCACCTTATCCATGGCCTATGCTGGCGCACGATTCGTCGAATCTCTCCTCAAAGCCCTCAACGGTGAACGAGTTGTGGAATGCGCGTATGTCAAGTCTAACGTCGTCAATGGCGTTGAATATTTCTCAACACCCCTTGAGATTGGACCCAACGGAATCGAGCGGATCCTCGGATTGGGAGAGATCTCGGATTTCGAAAAGAAGTTAGTCCAAGAATCGCTGCCGGAATTGAGAAAAAATATCGGAAAGGGCGTCGATTTTGTCAAGACTAAATTGTAGATTAAGAGTTGATTTTGATAAATGAAGTAATGTAATTTGTCTTTTCGGTAAATCCTTTGATTTTTTATGACCAAAAAGTGGGTTTTTTCCTGACAATTTTGCCTCATATTCCATAATTTCTGATCTGCAAAGGTCGCTGAATATCTCAAATTTACGAAAAAAGCAAGATCTTTATTTTTTACCCAGGAATTTGCGTATAACCAGCAAAAACATTCGGATCACCCTTCAAATCCTCCACAAACACTTTACAGCCATCCTTTACCGCATAATTATCGCCCTCCCTGCAGCTAAAAGCATTAGCGAATCCGGCGAAATTCGCCATAATCCCCCAAACTCTTGCTTGCGTCGGCGCATGCGTTGAGCCTTGACTGTAGGCGGCCCAAGTCGGGTTCATAAACGCGATCAGCTGAGCCGTGTTGATGAAGAAGAGTTGCTGATCGTTGTATGCGCTGAGCGAACGATTAGGGATGTGGTAGGTGGAGCGGTTGAAGCTGACGTATCGGTTGAATGCGGCGTACGCAAAACGGATACCTGAACGGTTGAAGATTGTATACTGCGCTTGTCATTTGGCCGACTGCTTACCCAACTGATCAGCAATGTTCTCCTCGTAGGTGCGCGCCGGATTCACGCAGTACGCCGGATTGTCGGGATTGCATCTGTCGGCGTACAGCTTCAGCAGACATTGGTAATTGTCTCTCAAGGATTGGCTTAGTCCTTGTTGTTTTACTGAAAGAAATATGGCCTCATATGACAGAGCACAGTGCAAGCCTCTGTACAGGAACTCTCATGTAGCAAAAAGCTGCATATAACAAACAGTTTGGGAGGTAGCAAAAGCAAACGACGCTCATTATTTTCCCGACAGACTGATTGTTTATTTTTAAATTGTGTTTCAGTTGGAAACGTAGCCATTTTTGGCCAAAAATTAGTTGAAATTCACGAGTATAAATTACTCATTTCCGAAAATTTAGTCACTGTGTCTGCGTGTATAAAGCAATTTTTTAAAAGCTTAAAAGTCACTTACAGAATGTATGTCCAAGCTCGTGTGCGACCACAAACCCAAGACCCGAAAACGTGAGTGCTACTGGCCATGATGGTTGATAAAAGGGATAGTGGAAAAGTCCGAACTCAAAAATGTTGGCTTGACTTTCCTCAATGTGAAAGGCGTTGATCTGCAATTATTTTTTTTTTTTAGAAAAGAAGAGAAAGTATATCAGTCTGTCGGGAAAATAATGAGCACTCTGTCGAATCGAAAATGCGCCAAAAAAATGAATTGCGAATTCGACAAAAACATATATTGATTTTAACTTCAGCGACGCGATTGTGATATTGCGCTCATTATTTTCCCGACAGACTGATAGTACTCGAGATGAAAAGTCCTGATAATTTACACAGTCCGAAAATTTTAAAATGCTCTCAACGAAATGGCGTTTTGTGGTCAAATGCACTGGGCAGAGCAAAGAAATTGGGGACTGTATAAAGGGCTCAAGGACATTGGGCAAAGTGTAATTTGGAAAATTTTTTACACTCTAAAAGTTATAAAAAAGATGAAAATACGCCAAATTTCACCCCGTCCAATTTGGGTGAGCCTGAACTCTCCCCCTTTTTCTGAACTTTCCCTCAATCTGAACTCTCCCCCTTTTTGAACACTCCCCCATTTTGAGAATTGAAAAAAAACGAGGTGTGACATGTTATACGATGAAAATGTTTTTCAAATTAAGAAAAATGAGGTGTGACATCGCAAGTGAAACGATATACACCATAAACACATAAGTAAATGTGATTTTTGCAAAATAAATATTATTCGACCGTTAAAAAAATCCATCGTATAAGACGTCACACCTAATTTTTCTCAATTTAAAAAAAGTTTCATCGTATAAGATGTCACACCTAATTTTTTTCAATTTGAAAAAAGTTTCATCGTATAAGATGTCACACCTCATTTTTTCAATTTGCAAAATGAGGGGGAGTGTTCAAAAAGGGGGGTTCTGCCGCAACGGTCCAATTTCACTTCTTCTCGTTCAAAAAAGAAGCCTACCTCCGCGGTCGGCAGCCTCAAATGTCTTCCTCCATTATCATTCTCATAGAACACAAACGGCAGATAATTATTCGCATACTTGGCTGAACTAGGGAACCGTGAATTCACAGTCCCCGCATACTTATGAAAATTTTGGTCATTAAAAAAGGGGTGGTCGATAAATGCAAAAGTGTTCTTGTCGAAAAGGCCCGACAATTTTTCAATCGCATTGGCCTCAAGGATCTTGTTTGAACGAACGAACTGCTTGGCCTCGTCCAAAATTAAATTCACCATCATGAAAAATTCATCTTTCATGTAGCGAAAGTCCTTGAAGGCCGATTTCATATCGTCGATGGCCAGCTTCACCATGAATAATGGAAAGTTCTTGGTAATGTAGTGTTCGCAGCTTTTGTAGTAGACTTGATTGTCGAATGCTCGGACGAATAATTTGTTGACAACATAGGCGCGGGATTCGAGCTGAAAAGGGTAAAGACAGTAGAAAGAATAGTAATTTTTGAGATTTTTTTATGTTTTCCTTGATACAACGTCTCAAAATTTTGTTTGGGTAGGTTTACTGACATGATATTTACATCATTTACTAGGTAAAATACGGGCAACCGACATGAGACTTAAATTTTTTTTGAAATTTCCCAACTACAAACTGCATAGGTCCCTTACGAATCCCTAAAAGTTTTCGTTCACGATTTGTATTTGAAGCCGAGATATTCCATGATATTTTTTCGAGAGAGTACGTAAAATGAGGGGCGCTACGACTTTTCGGGTCAACACAAAATCGATCGATACGGGGCGTAGGGCAGGTAGATACTCAAAAAAACCAGCTGTAGGAAGTGCCTACGGGTCCGGCAAGCCGTTGGATGATCGGTGAAGGCTCGGCAAAGACTTGCCAAAGACTTGCAATATGTCCACCTTTAGTAATTTTATCTATTACTAGCGTTAGTTTTCTTTCCCCGGAGTTATTGTAACATATAAAATACCAAAATTTAGTACATGTAAATGTTGCATCACTCAATAGGTAAAATACGGGCAACTGACATAAGTCTTTATTTTTTTTTTGAAATTTCCCAAATACACACTTCATAGGTGCCTTATGAATCCCTGAAAGTTTTAGCTCACGCTTTGCATTCGCAGCAAAGATATTCCACTATATTTTTTCGAGAGAGTACGTAGAAGGAGGAGGGCCGGTAAGAGAAAAATCGTTTTTTGCAAATATTATGGTGTTTTAAAGTTAAAGGTATAAATCCGACATTTCATATTGAACAACCTAATAATTTTTCGTTTCTTCTTTAAAATTTTGCCAAATTACCGTTGACATTTCAAGATTTCTTATTCTTCGCAAAAATCTCCTTACCAGCAAACCCATCGTTTGCTTGCCGTAGTAGGTGGGCCACATAACAGTCATATTTTCCATCCGAACTTTTGTTCCAAAAACCACTTCCAGAAACTCTTTTTGTCTTTCTTTCAAAACATCCAACGCAATAATTGGCTTTTTAATAAACCTCGGGATCTTGTTGCAATTCTTTACAATATTGCAGTAGAGCTCCCTGAAACAGTGGTTGGTATTCGCCAGGAATTGAAATGCAGCGTTTAACCTTTTTTTAAGTTGTTGCAGTCGCATGGAAAATCGCATCGCCGTCGAAAAAATGAAATGTGTCGCGACAAAATCAAAATTCTTTTCACTTCAGCGACACAATTGGCGCAGTGAAATTGGGCTTATTGTTTTCCCGACAGACTGATAGGCGGGCCAAAAAGTCTTGGCATGTCTTCTCATGGAACGGTCGGCACTGACTTTGCGCGACAAGCAATTGACACAATGCGAATAAAAAGCGCACTGTGCAATTCCATCAGGCGACATGAGTGACATTATGTTCATTATTTTCTTGACAGACTCATAGCCTTTCCACAAATTGCGTAGACTTTTTGTCACAAAGCTTTTTGCACTACGCAGTTCGAACATCGCCGTGACATAGCCATTTTTTAATTGCTTGATATGCATTTTGCGCATATCCCTTTTTAATTGTGCCGCTGTCAGTGGGGGGACCTGATCCAGTGCCAAAAAAAGTACCATTTTGCATTCAGGAAGCATCAAAAAATGTGGCAAAATACCTCCCTCTCCAAGTGAAAAAACACAGATTTCACAAGGAAAGTACTTTTATGGGGGCTCCTAATTTTTGGCGGGACATATCTCAAAAAATCAGAAAAAATGCGCTGATCAAGGATATATAAATCTTAGCTGCCCATTTTAGGTTTTTAGGGGTGAAAATGCCCAAAAACTGGCTTAATTTCCCTACAAAAGGCGCATGCATTCGAAACGATAAAAAGCGCGGTCGGTCTCTTCCTTCGGAAGAGAGCGGTGTGGCCGAGTGGTTAGTGCCGTAGTCTGGGAATCAAGGGGGGGAACGCCGCACGGGTTCGATTTCCCTTTTGGGCCGAATCAACTTTTTTTGAAGTTGAAGGTCGGAAAAATAAATTTTTGTGCCAAGACTGATTTATTACGTATTAGAATCTCAATAAACATCATTTTAAGCCAAAATAAAAATTGTAAACCCGTGAAAAATTAAGCGAAAAGGGGTTCATATAGGACTTTCAGTCAACTTCCGATTGAGTTTTCACCCCTAAAAACCTAATATGGGCAGCTAGGATTTATGTATCCTTGATCAGCACATTTTTTCTGATTTTTTGAGATATGTCCCGTCAAAAAGTAGGAGCCCCCATAAAAGTACTTTCCTTGTCAAAAGCGCACCCGCTCTTTTTGTGAGTAAAAAGGGCGCGCCCTTCAAAACGGAGTTTTTTCACTTGGAGAGGGAAGCATTTTGCCTCATTTTTGATACTTCCCGGTGCAAAATGGTTCGTTTTTTGCCACTAGATCAGGTCCCCCACTGTATTTTGCGCAAGCGACAACAATTTCACAGGGAATTTTGCTTCAATTGGCGCGGTCTTCGGGCCTTTTGAACCATTTTGCTTTGTGCAATCTCTGTACGGTAATAAAAACGTTTCCTTCTCTTCCTACAACATCTTGTGCATTTTTCATCTCACTTCACTTTATTTTAATTTGATGTTTTGCCCAAAAAAATAATAACTCTACAGAACAACTCACCAAATCTTCTTCTCATCTTCCAGAGAGTCCTCCGGAAATCGAAACGTCAGTTTTCCATCTCGATGATCCGTGAATATATTCGAGAAGATCTCATCGATTCCCCGATGAAACAACGCGTTGTAAATCCTGGCAACCAAATTCTGATAAGACGTAGCGCTTTGAATAATCGCGGAATCTTTGGTCAGCGGCAATTTAACCTTGCCGAATAAGATTTTCATATATTCGGCGGTCTCAGACCAATTGTATTCTCTGACGCTGGTCGGGTAGCCCGACTGATTGCATCTCGCATAGATGTCGCGGACTGAGCGGATGGACTGGAACTGAAAGACGGGCGAATTTGAATCAGAATTTGAAGGCTGTCGGGAAAATAATGAGCACAATGTCGCTGCGCCGATTGCGTCGCTGAAGTGAAAAGAGTTTGATTTTTGTCGCACAATTCATTTTCTCGGTGGCGATGCAATTTTCAACGCGACAGAGTGCTCATTATTTTCCCGACAGACTGATATTGGTGCAGACATGGCAATCGGCCGGGCTTTTTGCGGAGTCCAGGCTGATGAAAAGTAGGGCCGTTCCGTTCCCAAAATTTTCAAAGACCGGCCCAGAAGTTTGACGTCATTTTTCAACATTCTCTTTTTCAAAAAAAAATACTGTTTATGTAAAGAAAAAACTACCGAACTGACAATAAGGGCCTCTACTACAGTGACGGATCTGATTCAATGGCAAAAAACGTGCCATTTTGCATCCAAAAAGTATCAAAAATGTAGCAAATTATACTGTTTTTGTGAGGAAAAGGGCGCGCTCTTCAAAACGGAGTTTTTTTTAGTCAGGAAAGGAGGTATTTTCCCACATTTTTGATACCTCCCGGAGGCAAAATTGTACGTTTTATTGATCAGCTGTAAAAAGCAGGCTCGATATGACCCATTTTCAAATTTCCGAAAGCACGTAGCCTGGCTAGACAGCGGCTTGGCTGCGATGTTTCCCCAGCCACAAATAAGCCCTTACCTGATTAGAAAGCCCCGCATTCTCCAGCAAACTTTTGAAATAAGCATTCCGATACGTTTCCCAAAATGTCCTTTCGCCATTTCCTGTAGCGTATGTCCAGAAATCTTCACACGGGTTAGCCTCGGTTTTCATCATCGCTTTCATAATCCGCATTTTGAAGGACAAATTTGCATTAGCGACAGTAACAATTAAGCATATTGTTAAAGCAGCGCAAAGTATGGCTAGCTTCGGTCGAATAACCATTTTCCGAAATGTTGTTAAATTTGTCTGGAGCTGGTAGCAGAATAATCAAAAAAGGGGGAAGATGTTTGCATAATTAATTGCTCAAAACTGAAATTATTGAAAAATGGGAGGAAAGGCGAAATGAAATTGTATTTGAAGGCCAGAGAGTTCAAGCAAGGTATTACTCTGTCGGGAAAATAATGAGCACAATGTTGTTGCGTAGATCGTGTTGTCGAGTGAAAAGCAATTTCATTTTTCCTCGACACAATTCATTTTCTCAGCGGCGATGGGATTTTTGGTGAAATAAAATGTTCATTATTTTTCGGACAGACTAATATAATAAAAAATGAATTTCACGCCGAAAATTGATCGCGGCAAATTTCATTTTCTCAGCGGCAATGCGATTTTCGATGCGACAGGATAGTCATTATTTTCCCGACAGGTTGATAGTCTGTGCAGTAAGTCGTCGGACTAACATATGTGACATGCATTGTGCAAACAACGGTTAACTTTGCATTGACCCGTCATGATTCCTTTTGCAATCCGTTTCGGCTATTACATGGAAAAAAATGTGAAACTTTTTTGCGGATTTTGGCATGAAAAGTATTATGGTATTTCTACCATAGAGTTCAATCTTTCAACAAAAAATCAATTTTTCTCTCTCAAAACTCGCAAAAATATGATTTACAGGGGAAGTACTCCAAGTGCGACGCTCAGATTTTCTTTAAATTTTGCACACACGTCGGGTATGGACTAAATATCAATTCCTGCAAGTTTTAGCTCGCGCTTTGCGGGCGCCGCCGAGATATCGAACGATTTTTGCCGTCGAGAGAGCACGCTAAACGTGGAGAGCGGTCAGAGAGAAAAACGCTTTTTGGCCATAAGTTTGGCAGTTTCGTGTGGAAGAATTTGATTTTTTGTAGAAACATTATCCTTTACGGTAGAAATAGGCATGAAACTTTTCGTGCCGAAATTCGGCAAAAAGTCTTAAATTTTCGCCGGCTTTCGATCTAAAAATCTCGGTTGTTTCTGCAAAGCGCGAGCTAGGATTCTCGCATATATATTAGAAAAAATTGTTCTAAATTTGTCTGAAGTTTCATCCAAATCTGAGCGTCACACTTGGAGTACTTCCCCTGTAAGAATCGTTTGTAAATTTGTACAACCTTTATCAAGATCATTTTCAGTCTTCAAAATCATCAATTTCCCCCTTTCCATATTCCTCAATTTTCAAACTTCGACCGTCTCCTGACGCTTGTCCATTTCCGCGTTTCGATCGGATTAAGTGTCCGGTTCGAGGCGCACTTGAAGGAGGCGAAAAAAAACCCGCTGCGGACGGGAATAACCGTTTTGTTTGCGCGCAAAATATGAACAATTACTCATACTAATTAGTCATCTATATGCTAAAGTTTTTCGTCCTGATCTGTAATCTACTTTCGTTGGATTGCCAGGACAATGGAGTTGTAAATGGTGCTACTGCGAGTGCTTCTAATAGCACGTTGAGCTCGAATTTTACGTTGATAGACAGTAATAGTTCCAGTTCTATTGTTAGCGAGTCTATTATTGATAATAATGGCTATAATCAAAGTTATGGCCATACTGGCCAAAGTGAGGCTCAAAATTCTACTTTTCCCATTGCTGTTGACCCTTTAAACAGCTCACTAAACTCTTCAAATATTGCTGAAAACATCGCTGCTTCGACCAATTCTACTTCTACTTCTACTCCCCCTACTACTATCACAACTAAGCCCATTTTTGACGACAGTATAGAAGAGCTCCTGGACAGGCTTGACACTGACAACTCAACGAATTCAACCTCCTCTAAAGAAACAACTAGCAGTAAATTTGATCCATTGATAAAATGCAATGAAGAGCCGGAACCACCAATGTCGACACGGTCGGTGGACGAGAACGAACCCATCGAATCGACGCAGATCCGCAAGCCGGATTCTACAACAACCCCGGCCACAACAACAATGGCGTCGCCAAGAATTGTTGTGGATGCCAAGAGCACCGGGATTTTTAACAGCACCAAGTCTTTTGCTCGACGGTGAGTTTACACGTCTATTTTTTTGAAATTCTTTTTTTTTTGCCTGTAAAACCCCTCATTTCGCACGGTGAATTTGAAATTTTGCACGGTGTTACTGCATCATGCTCGATAAAAATCAATTTTAGGCCGACTCGCTGCAACTTTTAAGCTATATCGCGTGTTGGATGTAAATGCACAGTGCACAATTTTTCAGTTTGAAAAATGACGAATCACTGTGCGTAAGCGAAAAAAAGTCTGCGCACACTTGAAAAAAGCGTCCTCAAATGGGAAAAAGTCCTGAGAATGGGGAAAAAAGTGCTTTACGCTATGCATTTGACTCAAAAACCTCATCCAACATCCATTTTCTTACAGCGACAAGTTTTCCCCATTTTTTTCAGCGAAAAATCAAATTGTTTTTCACTTCAGCGACCCAATTGGCTCAGCGACATTGTGCTCATTATTTTCCCGACAGACTGATAGTATTTTTTACACCAAATTTTCAGACGTCAATCCAACGCCTCTGCCTTTCAATACCATCTGTATGGAGCGCGACAACGGAAGAAATGCAAAAAGTTCACCGAACAAGAGAAATACATCATGCTGGAGCGGATTGGTGGCCGTAATCAGCAGTTCATGGCGAATAGTGCGGATGAGGCGTCCAGAAATTTTCCGAAACTTCTTCCATCCCACAATGATCCTACGAATACGAGATTATACGATGGTTATAGCGCTGATGATTTGTAAGTGAAAGAGAGTCTTCTGATTTGTTGCATGGGAATTTTACTTGCGAGGAAATAGTGTTGTTGTAAATGATATCAATCTTCAGCGATGTGACCAGCCCGTTGGTTGATCAGTTTGTCTGCGACGACACTTGTCAAGAAATTCGACGGAAACTCGGCTATATTACAATTTCCCGTACCACCGGACATTACGCACCTCATGGAAAGAGGAAGTTCATGGGACCGCTTGGAGATGACCATAATGCTGATAAAAGCAGCAGCAAAGAAAATGTGAATGTCACTTCCACGGAGCGGAGTAACAATGGAGGACAAACTTTCAACGTTTCCGGCATGGATGAGGGAAGGAAAAGCAAAGGCTGCAGTTTGGGTGGGTTTGTGAATAAGGATACGTCTTTTTTGGGCTACATTGCATGTTATGGGAATTATGAAGAGTCAAAAATTTATTTTTTGATTGGGCCCGGTTTTGTCCCCACCCCGGTTTTGTCCACAAGACGGTTTTGTCCACAGGACGTTTTTGTCCCCACTCTTTTCGAGCCTTTTTGTCCCCAGGACGGTTTTGTCCCCAAGCTGGATAGTATTATACAATCAAAAATTATGCATTCAGATGTTAATGATGTTGGTTTGGTGCACAGTACTGCTCAAACAACATGTTCTTAGCACTTGGTACTGTATAGTACAAGGTGGTACTATATATCACGAGGTAAAAATTAAGCTAGAACGCGTGAATGACGTTTTTTTGGTATGCAGTACTGATCAGACGTTCATTTTGTGCAAAAAAAAATTCGTGCTATATAGTACCACCTCGTACTATACAGTACCAAGCGCTAAGAACAAATCGTTTGAGCAGTACTGTGCACCAAACCAACAGCATTAACATCTGAATGCATAATTTTTAATCGTACTATCCAGCTTGGGGACAAAAACGTCCTGGGGACAAAACCGGTGTGGCGACAAAAAAATAAAAAAAGTGCGGACAAAAACGTCTTGGGGAAAAAACCGGGGTGGGGACAAAAACGTCCACTACGTTATCTTTTCTATGTTTTTGATTGTAGTGGTTTTTAGGGAATCAAATGTAAGTCAAGGTAGGAATGAATATTGCTGAAATTAACAAGAAAAGTACCCCAAGCGCGACGCTCAGATTTTCTTTAAATTTTGGACACACATAACGCATAGACCACACATCAATCTCTGAAAATTTTAGCTCGCGCTTTGCAGGGGCAGCCGAGATATTCAACGATCTTTGCGGTCGAAAGAGTACACGAAACATGGAGAGCAATCAGAGCAAAGTATTGCCCATATCTTCGCCGGTTTCTTGTTAAAAAAAATTGATTTTTTGTGAAAAATTACCCCTCACGGCAGCAAAATAAATGGCCGATATATTAAACAATCTTTGCCGCCGAGATAGTACACGAAATGCGGAGAGCGATCGGAGAGAGATATAAGAGTGAAGATATAAGAACGCAAGAGCCATTTTCAAAAAGCACCCTAAATTTGCTCACTTTTTGGCTCGCAGGCGATTCTTTCATTTTGCTCACCGAAACGGCGAGCAAACTTTCAAAAATGCTCGCCCCCGCCGAAGCGGCGAGCAATTTTTTAATTTCGCCTGCCGCGGCGAGCAATTTTCTAATTTCGCCTGCCGCGGCAGGCTAGGGAAAGACTTGGCTTTGAGCCAAGTCTTTCCCCTTGGGTGGCTCTTCCTCCCAAAAATTTTTTTGTCAAGATTAATATAAATTTCTTTATGGTGTAATCTGCATGCATCGACAGGACAATAACTCCAAAAGTAAGTTAAATTATCCCTCTTTCTAAGTATGCCATCATTTTTTGCATTACATAAGCTTATCCTGGCGCATTTAGCCATTGTTGTAGGTATTCAAATTTCGCTGAATGATGTTCGTTCTTGCGATTCCATGAACGAAATTTGAGAGTCTTCCACGCAAAAGAACCGGCGTCGGGGTCTTCGTGCCAGAATTGTTTCAGCATGAAAGGATTTTTTTGTTGCTTCGATTTTCGATATTACACTAGGTACGTTTTTGATTTTTTTCCGATTTTAGGTATGGAACAATTTTGACGTATCCATAGATGCGTATTTATACTTAGCAAACCATATTTCAAAATTATGCGGTCGATCTAAAGCATGTTTAGAACAGTATGAGAGGTATTTGGGACTTTTTTAGATCCACGTTATACTTGATCACTTAGGCCCTAAAACATCTCAAACCCGGGTTTGAAAGAATAGTTATGTTGGGGACGGTTTAGTAATGGCTCACCTTTGTAGATTCGGGTTTAAACTTCAAAAACATTAGATTTTGCCTGCAACTTGATAAAAGTATCTAGTGTAATATCGAAAATCGAATCAAGAAAAAATCCTTTCATGCTGAAACAATTCTGGCACGAAGCAGGCCCGACGCCGGTTCTTTTGCGTGGAAGACTCAAATTTCGTTCATGGAATCGCAAGAACGAACAGCGTTCAGCTAAATTTGTATACCTACAACAATGGCTAAATGCGCCAGGATAAGCTTATGCAATGCAAAAAATCGTGGCATATTTAGAAAGAGGGATAATTTAACTTACTTTTGGAGTTATTGTCCTGTCGATGCATGTAGAGTACACCATAAAGAAATTTATATCAATCTTGACAAAAAAATTTTTGGGAGGAAGAGCCACCCAAGGGGAAAGACTTGGCTCAAAGCCAAGTCTTTCCCTAGCCTGCCGCGGCAGGCGAAATTAGAAAATTGCTCGCCGCGGGAGGCAAAAATAGAAATTTGCTCGCCGCGAAAAATTTGCTCGCCGTTTCGGTGAGCAAAATGAAAGAATCGCCTGCGAGCCAAAAAGTGAGCAAATTTAGGGTGCTTTTTGAAAATGGCTCTTGCGTTCTTATATCTTCACTCTTATATGCCTATACCTCTGCCAATTTTTTCGCGCGGAAAAAATTTGAATTTTCTCCGAAGCTTTGCCCTAAAAATCTTGGCGTTTTATGCGTTTTAAAAACTCCAACTTTATTTCCGAGTATAAACTGTCAGATCAACATAGAGATACAAAACACAGCGTCTCTGCAATGTTCCAATCAAAAACTCGACTGTTTCTATTATTCCTTATTCAACCTTATTCACCCTCTCGGATAATACGGAGCGGGTGGTGGAGGTCTGTTAGTATACGACGGAATTGGAATTGGAGCAGGTGGAATTGGAATTGGCGCCGGAGGGGGGAGAATAGGAATAGGGGCAGGAGGAGGAAGGGCATACGGTGCCGGAATGGGAGCCGGATACGGCATTGCATATCCCGGCAACGCGTAGCCGGCTTTTGTGGTCGTCGTTGTTGCCTCTGTAGTCACTGGGGCTGGTGTCGTTCCACGACCACAAGCCTGAAAGATATGGGTAATATCAGAACTTTTTTACTTTTTTAAAGGCTATCAGTCTGTCGGGAAAATAATGAGCACAATGTAGCTGCGCCAATTGCATTACTGAAGTGAAAAACAATTTGATTTTGCCGCGACACAATTAATTTTATCGCGGCGATGCGATTTTCGATGCGACAGAGTGATCATTATTTTCCCGACAGACTGATAGACGGCCCAAGAAGTCCTGCTAGCTGTCTCAAACCGATGATGAGCGACTTCAAGGCGCGAATTACACACAAATTAACATTGTTTTCTCAACAGACTAATACTCGTCGCCATACGACAAGCTTTGCTCGTGCAAACATGTCAAGACCTTTTGACCCGCCTAGTAGCAATAAGTGTACTAATTATTTTACTATCTGCAATTTTCCGACCATGGACGAAATGTCAAAAAAAAATTCTTGACACTTCGTCTCACTTCGTCTCACAAGCTGTAAAAAGCACGATTTAAAAGTAACTGTGATTTCACTTACCTCTGCTTGATTTAAGAATATAAAAACAACAGTGAAAATAATCAGCCTAAAAAATGACGTCATTTTATTCGAAGTGAATGCTGGTTAAAATACGAAGGTTCGGTATTATGATAGTTTAAAGTTGTGAGCTTATATACCATACACAGACTGACTTTCATGACTCACAGTAAACTTCACCATTTCATTGAGACCTATAACCTTTGAAATTACTGTCTGACCTTATTACGAACCAAAAAAATTGACCTAGAAACGGACAATAAGCGGGTATTTATTCAAGTTCGTTTATATTCACGTTCATATATTGAGCATTTAAGGTAAGGTGGTAGTAGTTGGGATAGTGACTATCGTAGACGAAGCGGGAGCCGGTGTGGTTACACCACACGCCTAAAATCATCGTAATAGTAGGGTTAGGAGCCAACAAGAATGGGTGCTGCGAACTTACTTCGGTCAACTCCAATGTTAGCGCAGCCATGACGATTACGAGCAGGACGAACAGCTGGTTAATGTTGAACATATTCGGGCCTGACAGGGGCTTAAATAAAAACTGAAAGTGATACTAGTCTGTTTGTAAAGTCGCTGGAGCGATTTCGATTACATGCACAGTGCAAAAACAAAACCAAAAGTTCACTTTGCGCTGTGCAATTTGTTGCTTTTTGCACTGTGCAATAGGCTTTTTTGAGACGCTGTTTTACTTGGCATGGCTCGGGGCCGGGATTTCCTAAATTTTTAGGCCCGGGACGGCCCGATTTTAAAGGAAATTCAGATTTTTCGGGAATTCTCAAAACAATAGCGGATTTTAGAAAAAATTAAGATCACCCAAAATATTGCAAGATTATACCAAGAACACCAAAAAAGATCTGCAGTTCTCCTCCAGAAAAAGTAAAATGAAATGGCCAGAGTTTTTTTGGCACTCCAAAAAATCCGGCTGGGACATTTTTCACAGAATGAAACTTTTCGAAACTCACAAGGGAAGTACCCCAAGTGCGACGCTCAGATTTTCTTTAAATTTTGCACACACGTCGGGTATGAACTAAATATCAATTCCTGAAGGTTTTAGCTCACGCTTTGCAGGCGCCGCCGAGATATCGGACGATTTATGCCGCCGAGAGAGCACGCTAAACGTGGAGAGCGGTCAGAGAGAAAAACGCTTTTTGGCCATAACTTTGGCAGTTTCGTGCGGAAAAATTTGATTTTTTGTGGAAACATTACTCCCTATGGTAGAAATAGGCATGAAACTTTTCGTGCCGAAATTCAACAAAAAGTGTTAAAATTTCGCCAACTTTCGACCAAAAAATCTCTGTTGTTTCTGCAAAGCGCGAGCTAGAATTCTCGCATATATCTTAGAAAAAATTATTCTGAATTTGTGCCAGGTTTCATCAAAATCTGAGCGTCGCACTTGGGGTACTTCCCCTGTCAATAAATTACAACAGAAAGGTTGCCTGGACCGACCTGGACAAGCTTTCAAAATATTTCAGCCCGAACTTGGGCTGGGCTTGGAAATGCTGGCCCGAATTGCAGCCAAGCTTTGCTCGCATCCTAACTTTTCCTGCACAGTGAAAACGCTAAAAATCACTTGAGCGACTATGCGAACGGACTAGTAGTTACACAGTGTCTTGTGCTAGTTTAAATACCCAAAATCAGTGAGTAATCGCCGTTTAAGCTTCAGTAACAATTAAGGTCAGAGTACAAAATGGTATTATTCAACCTTCAAAACGGGCTTAAACAGATTTTTATAACCGAAAACGTGACAAATCGCTTTATTCAGAAACCCTTTTAAAAGTTGGATTAAAGTCATATTATTGCAAAAAACGTCTTTGAAATTTTAATTTTAAAAAGCTTACAACGGTTATGCTGACTAGTCACACAGCAACGCAAAAAACTCGTTAAGGGGGAGAGATAAGGTCGGCTAGTGAGAGGGCGTTGTAGTAGTGCTGCTCGAAGGTTCGGTAAAATCTGGCAGTGGTATTGGAGCTGTGGGGAAGCATGGCTGAAATCGTATTTATTGACGAAAAAAAACAGTTCAAAATGAAGAAGAAGCTCAAAGGAAAACAAAAAAATCAAACAAATAACGCCCCAAATATAGAGCCTTGTGGAATTTTAACGGATTAATTTATCAAATTGATATCTTTTCATAGACCTTTTGGGAAACATAAAATTGTGAAAATCGACAATCGGGGTATAAAAAACATTTTTTTGGCTAGCCAAATTAACAACTGCCCATTACACCCCCACTGAAACGCCACTTTCAGTTGCAGCCTCTTTTCTCTGGCAATCCTCTTATCTGGTCCCAAAGAATGTTTTATCAGTCTGTCGGGAAAATAATGAGCACTCGGTTGCATCGAAAATCGCATCGCCGCCGAGAAAATCAATAGCGTCGCTGCAAAAACAAATTGCTTTTCACTTTAGCGACGTTGGCGCAACGACACTAGCTTATTATTTTATCTACTGACTGTTAAGAGTTTTTATGAGAATGTGTAGGAAATATACGAGTTTGGCTAGTTAAAAAAGAATAAAAAGTTATTTTTCAGTCACAATTGTCCATTTCCCCAACAATCTGACCACAAATTTTTTAGTCCTTCGGGAAAATAATGAGCATAAGCCGATCGCGTCGCTGAAGTGAAAAACAATTTGATTTTGCCGCGACACAATTCATTGTACCGACGGCGATGTGATTTTCGATGCAACAGGGGGGCTCATTATTTTCCCGACAGACTGATATGATTTTCATCGTTACGATTTTGATGATAATGGATATCTAGTCTGTTTTCTGTCAAAGCCTTACCTCACCAAACTGAATAGCTAAAAGAACAAAGAGCAGCCCAATTAAGGCAATATAAAGCAAAGAGAACGTCATATTTTGATTAATAGCTGGACAACTTTAGTCTTTTTTTTGGTGCAAAATGTATTGCCTGCTGACATAAATACCATTTAAATTCTACCGTACCTTAACTGCATTAGAGCTTTAGTCATCGGTTACTCACTTTTAACTGCTGACTGGAGCTATTGAAGTGTTTTATTCAAGTCAAAAATAAATCCAAGGCCAAAAATTCAAGTCCAATTTTCCGTTCCGTATTTTACAAAAAAAAATTGTTTTTGGACTATTGCATTCTATGCGCCGGAATCATCATGGGCATAAAGGGATTTCTGTTCGGTGGGAATGGCTGAAACGGCTGGAAGAACGGCACAAACGCAGGCGGCGGCGCTTGGAAAGGCTGCGAAATTCTGGGCTTTGGAGTTAAAGGCTTTGGTGAAGCCGTTGCAAACACAACAATCGTTTTCATCGACGACTTTGTTGTTGATTTCTCATCGTCTTCCAGGTCGGAATAGTAGTCTTTTGCCACGTCAAGTTTCCCGATTTTATGCGTCTTTGCGGCCGCGGAAATATTGGCCATAGCCGAGCGATTGGCCTGAATTATTTCTTCTGCCTCTTTGGGGTAGCCGAGGTCTTCAGGAGAAAGTTTTTGATCATCATTGGAGCCGCCAAAGCAGGCCTGAAGTTAGAGTTTTTAGAGGGACTTGGAGAGATTGTCATAGGGACATAGCTAGGGAGAGGGGGTGACCCGACCATTGCGGGTCGGGTCAAGTTTTTTTTTGGGGTGGTCAAGTTTTCCCCCTTAATATTAGTACCCTCCCCAGGCCGGGACCGAAGAAAAAAATGGTAAGGGTGGACCAAGGTAACCTTCAAACTTAAAGTGGAAGTATCCCAATTGAGACGCTCAGATTTTGATGAAATTGGGTACAAAATTAGAAAAACCTTTTTAAGACATATTCGAGAAATCTAGCTTGCAGTTTGCAGAAACGACCGAGATCTTTAAGTCGAAAGTTTAAAAAAAATATTACAATTTTTTTACGAATTCCAGGGATGAAAACTTTCATGTTGATTTTTAGCATAGAGTAAAATCTTTCCACAAAAAATCATTTTTTTTCCAGGCGGAACTAGCAAAGATACGGCCGAAAAGTGTTTTTTTTCTGCCGCTCTCCGCCTTTTGCCTGCTCTCTCGGCCGCAAATATCGTTCAATATCTCGGCTGCAACTTCAAAGCGCGAGCTAAAGTTTTCAAAAATTATTATGTGGCCTATACCCAAAGTGTGTGCAAAATTTAAAGAAAATCTGAGCGTCGCGCTTGGGGTACTTCCCTTGTAAATTCCCGTAATATTCATTCTTAATTTGACTTACATTTGATGCCCTGACAAACACTACAATCAAGAGAGTAGCAAAAAACGCTTTTTGGCTCTTCATAATTCCCATAACAAGCAAAGGAGCCCAAGAAAAATGAGGTGGAAGCGAAGAAATCTTGAGCTTTTGCTCAAGATTAAAACCGACTTACTCATACTTCTATTGAACAAAATCTAGGCCATGCGTCATACCGAGTACTCGTATATACTTTTTTCGTATCGCAAACATTTTAAGGAATGATTAGCTCAATTATAATATTTTTGCAGTCAATTGCTATGAGTATATGTTCCAAATCACCAAAAAAACGAACAAAATAAAGAACAGCTTTCAGAAAAGTTCATTACGATTGGCAATTGCACTGTCAGAGGAGATGAGGAGGTCTTGGATCATGAGAAATTGTGTTCAGCTTGTCAAGGGATCTTCGTGATGAGCAGCGACTGTTTTCCCAGCTTTCTGAATGCCGTGAATTGTGGGAAAGACGATGGAAGATGCATCTTCGACCATTTTACCGGATACGGTAGGTTTTTGGAGACGAGGATTTTTTTTTTGAAATTTTGGATACATCCGCAGTTTAAATAAGTCCAGAAGATATATGGTTTTACAACTGATACCGAAGAGTCTTGCTTTTTGAGGTTAAAAAATTAAGGGTGACATATTATACGACGGATTTTTACTTGCAAATTTTCGAAATCGAAGGGGTTATATACGATGAAATTTTGACTTAAGCGCAAAGATCGTTGAATATCTAGGCTGCGCCAGCAAAATGCGAGTTAAAACTTTCAGGAATTGATACGGACCTATGCATGGCGCGTTAAAAAAAGATATCAGCGTCGCACTTTTAAGGTTTCCTTTGTGCAAACATTTCGGATTTCAGCCCAAGGCAAATGCATGAGCAAGACACTCAGCTTCAAAGTGATGCACAACCGAGGCACTAAGGACTGCGAGGAATGGGAATTTGTCTACATTGATATTCCTGTCGCCTGTGAATGTTTTCTCAGCAAAACCTCGTTTTTGGATACGATTCCGAATGAGGACAGCCAGTAGATGTGATCATAATAATAATATTAATTTGTATAAATATACATGTATATAATTGTAGTATATAATTTTCAGACATGGCTACAGAGCCGGGCTTTTGGCATTTCCGGACCCTGGGGGATGTTTCACGTACAAAAAGGACACTAACTCGAGTTAGCGGCATCACAGAAAAAGCGGAGAGAGCAGAGAAAAAGAGGAGTGGTAACTCGAGTGACCTGACTTTTTATCGACTTTGGCCGCACATTTTGGGCCATAACTTTTGATACAGTGGACCAATTGGCGCCCTTCCAAAAAAATATTAATGCTGGTGGTACACAGAATACATGGATATTTATATGCGCATAATACATGGATATTTATATATGCATATTCTGTGTACCGCCAGCATTAATATTTTTTTGGAAGGGCGTAAATTGGTCCATTGTGTCAAAAGTTATGACCTAAAATGTCCGGTCAAGTCCATAAAAAGTCGCCCGATTTGCCAATCAAAAAGAAGAGGGATCACTCAAGTTACCGCTGCTCTTTTTCTCTGCTCTCTCCTCTTTTTGCGTGATGCCGCTAGCTCAAGTTAGTGCCCTTTTGTACGTGAAACATCTCCCAGGCTCCTAAAAAATCTCTTTTTTTGGGTTTTTTTTTGAAAAGGACAGGGCTTAAAATTTCGAATCTCGAGTCCAAAGCGCGGCCCCAAAAGAACAGGTCCAGCCCCAAGCCCAGCCAAGAAAAGCTCGGCCTGCCCTTTTCGAAATTTCCTAGCCCGGCCCGGCTCTACCATTTCTGGTAATCCCAAAATTACTCCTGTAAATAAAACCTATTTCAAAAAGAGATTTTAAAATCATCATTGGAACCCCTTGCATAAATTAATTTTCCAACAAAAGCCGTTAAAAGATGACTCCATCTTGTGAAATCGGTAATAAAAAATGGAAATCGAATTTCCCGTTGCTCAGAAAAATCTTGTTCAATTATACACGAAACACCTTTACATAATGAATGGTTTAATTGTATTTATCTTGTTTTCTGCAAGTTTAATCAACACCGTCAACGGATTATGGCAAGTGAATGGCTGCGAATATGTGGTAGGTTAAATACGATAGGTTTAAGTATAAGTTTATAAAGGAAGTGTCTCAAATTTGACAAGAAAAAAAGGGTTTTTGGCCATGTTTCTGTTTCTGCCAATTTATATCTTTGCTTTTTTAGAACGGCCTCATAATTGAATGCGACGGCACTAAACGACGAGCGACTCCGGAGGAAATCGCCTTGGTCAAAAAGCATTTTACAGCCGAGAAAGCGTATTTCAAAAAGAGAGTAAGTGTTCACAATGATGAGTATATAAATATATCAGTCTGTCGGGAAAATAATGAGCATGCTGTCGCATCAAAAAATGCTGAGAAAACGCAAAATATGTATAATTGTTTTTTCACTTCAGCGACGTGAACGGTACAGAGACATTGTGCTCATTATTTTCCCGACAGACTAATACTAACTCGTCCGTAAAGTTGCTGGAATGAAAGCGCACCTTTCAACCGAAAAACGCTGAAATTTCTCGATCATTTTCAACCGAAACCCCCTGGTTTTCGGGGTAAAAAAGCCCTTTTCAAAAGGTTGTAGCGACCTCAGTTTGCACTTAAAAATCTTGTTATTCCGTAGGCAAAAAATAATGTCGCTTAAAAATACATATTCCAAAAACGAAGTCTCTGCGCCGCCTCCGCCGAAAGTTATAGCCTCCTACTTTCCTTCACGTTTCTTGAAAGACCCTGTACATTCGTTTGGCCCACAAAATTTTAGGGAAATCGAACGGGAAAAACTACAAAATTTCATCCAAAATATCAGTCCGAGGGGAAAGTAATGAGCACTCTGTTGCATCAAAATCATTTTTTTGCCGCCAAAAAAGTAAGTTGTGAAAAAAATCAAGTTGTCTCTAAGCATGGCTGCAAACCGGCCCGGGCTTGGAAAATTTGGAAAGCCCGGCCCGGTTCGGCCCGGAAAATTTTTGTGCTAGGCTGGAAAGAAAGAAAGCGGGAAATGAAGGGAAAATTATTGGACATTTTCGCAAAATGTAAAGAATAATTTAGCAAAACCTATGTATAGAGCAATTGCCGCTTGACTATTTTTATAAATTACTAAGTCGCCATAAATTGTCTTGCCATATGGTTACAAAAAATCATAAAATTTTGTGTATAGTTACCCAAATTTTAGCAAAAATATCTTATCACCGGTCTTTTATCGGCTTTGAAAAAACCTACAAGCGTATTGCGTATTTTTGAAACGTTTTCCCTTTTCTCTTTTTGCCAGCGTATTAACTATGAGGTCGCACTTTAGAATTTCTGAAAATTTTTTCAAATGTCACTTTACGTTTGCTATCAGCATTGTGTTCGAAAAAATGAAAAATTCTATCGAAAAAGCTTATTTTTCCCTTTTTCCGGGCAAAAGTCAGATTTCAAAAAAACCGGGCCGTCCCGGGCCGAGAAATTAGTCGGCCCGGCCCGGGCCGGAAAGTTTTGAAAAGCCCGGCCCGGAGCCATGCCTAGTTGTCTCAGCGACTCGACAAGCGGCATTGTGCTCATTATTTTCCCGACAGACTGACGTGAGTTTCTAATGTAATATTTGCTTTCAGTTTCCACCAGGATTCCCATTTAATAAAGGGCCAGACAACTTGATCTTCCCGGACTTCCCACATCTTTGTAAGACCTGCTAAAAACGGGATTTTTTGAAAAAAAAAATATTATTTTTTTAATATTTTTTTATTTTTAAGTCAATTTTAAATTCCCTCAAAAATCAAAATTTTTTCTGTTTATTCACAATAAATAAGTAAACAATTCGCCAATGATTTGATATAACATGTCACCAGTAAAAATACGGACGGTATTTACAATTGATTCCTCAAATTTTTACAAAGTTAGATTCTTCGGCCGCCGAAGATTGTGCCATCGCTCCACGGAGCGCCCAATATCATGGACCATCTCCATCCAATGCTCCGCCGCGTCCGCACTTTCCATCTCGTCCGCGCCCATGCGAATAAAACCCAAGAGGGCGCGGCGTTTCAGGAAGCCGGAAACGCAGAAAAGGCCGATGATTACGGTAATGTCGTGGAGCTCTTTGAGAGTGGCCTGAAAATGGGGAAGTTTAGAAAATAAAAAATTCAAAAAAAAAAAAAAAAATTTTTTGACGATGAGTGTGAAAAAAAAACAGTGAGGGGGGACCAAGGGAACTTTTTTTTTTATTTTTTGGATTTTGGGGAAGTACTCCAAGTGCGACGCTCAGATTTTCTTTAAAATTTGCACACACGTCGGGTACGGACTAGATATCAATTCCTGAAAGTTTTAGCTCGCGCTTTGCGGGCGCCGCCGAGATATCGATCGATTTTTGCCGCCGAGAGAGCACGCTAAATGTGGAGAGCGGTCAGAGAGAAAAGCGCTTTTTGGCCATAACTTTGGCAGTTTCGTGCGGAAGGATTTGATTTTTTGTAGAAACATTATACTTTACGGTAGAAATAGGCATGAAACTTTTCGTGCCGAAATTCGGCAAAAAGTCCTAAATTTTCGCCGATTTTCGATCTAAAAATCTCGGTTGTTTCTGCAAAGCGCGAGCTAGGAGTCTCGCATATATTTCAGAAAATATTATTCTAAATTCGTGCCAAGTTTCATCAAAATCTGAGCGTCGCATAAGGTCATTTTTTGGGAAAATGCATTCCATTTTGGACTGAGTTTTTGAAAAAATTTGTATACAAATTTGGATACAAATAGTTAAAATACGCAAAGCCAAATGGTGTTTGATTTTTAAAACAAATCAAGAAAAGATAGCAACGATAAAAGCAATGGTCACCAAATAATGCTCGTATAATATCACTTACCGGAACAACAACTGACTCATCAACCTCACATTCGCTGGTACAGTTGAGCATCTTTGTCCTATGCCTGCACAATTCGACACCATCGGAGCGGACAATGATTTGGAAAAAGCAGTCTGAAAGAGAAATTTTGATTATTAACCAAAAATCGAAAAAAAATCTATTTTTTTTTAAATTTTCGCACTAAAAAACTCGGTCAGTTCTGCAAAGCGCAAGGTGAAAATCTCAAATATGTCTTAGCAAGGCTTAGTTTAAATTTGGACCAAGTTTTACTCAAATCTGAGGGGTGAATTTTTTTCACGTTTCAACCGAAAATTTTGCCTTGGTCCCCCCTGACCATTTTTTGAAGTTTTTTTTTTGATTTCTTTTTTATTTTTTTTTTCAAAAAATGCTGCTCTAAATAAGTGAAACGTTGAATCAAAGTCCGATAAAGCCCTTTAATTTCAAAAAAAAAAAAAAAAAAAAAAAAAAAATTTAAATCAAAAAATTCAAAAAAATATCAAAAAATATTTTTTTACCGAAATACCGGAATTTTCTTTCCTGACGCCCCCAAAACCCTCTTACCAACGCTTTTTCCATCATCAGTTTTCAGTTTTTCCATGGCCGAAGTCTTCTCAATGGCCACTCTAAAAGTCTCATGCTCCTCGCTGTAGGCCAACGAGATCATGACTTCGCTCCCATGAGCGGCCGTAATTCTCTTCAAAATCGACTGATTCGGCTTCGGCGTCGTTAAGGGAAGCGTCTTCATTGGCGACGGCACAAAAGCCGTTGAGATTTCACTCGTCAATTTCTGAAAAATCATCGTTCCGTAAATGGGTCATAATTTTTTTCTTGTTCATTTTTATATCATCTGAAATGACATTTTAGGCGAATGTCACAACCCGAACCCCCCTACGCAGTTTGTGTCATCGGATAGTGCGGAAAAATACCGATTAAATTTCAAATTGTCTGCTGAAATGGAAGAAAAATCTCGAAAACACCCGGAATTTCGCAGACTTTTGGCAAATAGAGAAGGCTAAAATTTAAAAAAATTTTGTGCAGCGTGAGAAGTCATAATATAGAAACTAGAAGACTCGTACGTAAAAAAATCGAAAAATATTTTTTTGGAATATAAGGTATTACCTGGACCGCAATATCACCTTTCTCCACCATCGCAACAGTCTCAATTCCCTAAAAAAATAAAAATTTAATTTTTCAAAAGAAAGCCCATGCAAAAGTTCAAAAAAAAGCTATGGCAAGGGTGGACTAGAAAAAAAACTGGTAAAAGTTCCTTATTTTGGCCACAACTTATAACTTTGCGGAAACTGGTCGGAATTAGCCCAAATTTAGCGTGCACGCTCAATTCATCGTTGTCAATGCCCGGACAGTGGATTTAGTTAGTGAGGTACCTTCTTTTTTACGTACTACCTTACCCTTTAAAAACGGCTGCAGCCCGCGATTTTACACTTTATACGATGAAACATGTCCGGAACTAAACTTATTGCCTCCGTATAGGACTAAATGAGTCGCCATCGCCTTCGTAGGTACCCATAAAACTATAGAGCTATTATAGTAATTCAGTGCCAGTTAGAGCCCAAGCCTTTTTTCTTAACTTTAGTTCCCAAGCTTGGGCGCAGTTCGCAGAATACCCTTGTTGTGGCCAAAATAAGGAACTTTTTCCAAAAAACTAAAAATTTTTATTTATTTAAAAAATTTTTTTTTGCTCAAAAATGATGAGACTTTTTCAATAATACAGATTTTACACTCACCTTTTTGGAGCAGATGATCGGAGGTCTCAACTTCATGATATGAATGGATTGCCCATCGACTTTTTTCCCCTTCAGAAAACATTCCCCCACCAGCTGACTGCGCTTGGGCCTTCGTTTTCGGTAGAGTCGCATTCGGACAACTGCATCTGGGAGTTTATCTGGAATAAATTTTTCAAAAATTTGCATATCCAAAAAAAAATTTGCATATTTAATAATGGCTATTTATTAGATCGTTCATAAACAGGCAAAAAAAAATAATCAGCAAAAAATTTGCATATTCAAAATTTTTAATTTCACAAATTTGCATAATCAAAATTTTTAATTTTACAAATTTGCATATTCAAAATTTTTAATTTCACAAATTTGCATATTTAAAATTTTTAATTTCACAAATTTGCATATTCAAAATTTTTAATTTCACAAATTTGCATATTTAAAATTTTTAATTTCACAAATTTGCATATTCAAAATTTTTAATTTCACAAATTTGCATATTTAAAATTTTTAATTTCACAAATTTGCATATTCAAAATTTTTAATTTCACAAATTTGCATGATCAAAAAATTTAAATAATTAAAAAATCTATTATTCAAAATCCGAGATTTATTATTTTTAGAACAGAAATTTAAAATTGAATATTCTAAAAATTTAAATATTAAATTTTAAATCATTAAAAATTTGCATAATTAAGACTATGACCAGCTGAAATTTCTAGTCAGAAGGTTTATAATTGTAAACACTCACCGAGTTCAATTTTGAAGGCAAATGTTTTGGCAAATTTGAAAACCGGACCGACCTCGAATTCGGTCCTTTTTCGGATCGTTTTGTCCGATAGAAGGGCAACTCGGACCTGAAAAATTAATATAGTGTAAAAAAAAAGAATTAATATCGTGCAAGATTGGGCACCCCAAAAATGAAAAGACAATGCGAGCTGCGGCCCAGGCAAGAAATGAAAGCCTAAGCCTAAGCTAAACTAAGCTTCAATTAAGCCTAAACTAACAGGGGAAGTAGTCCAAGTGCGACGCTCAGATTTTGATGAAACTTGGCACAAATTTAGAACATTTTTTTTCTAGGATATATGCGAGAAGCCTAGCTCGCGCTTTGCAGAAACAACCAAGATTTGTGGATCGAAAGTTGGCGAAAATTTAGGACTTTTTACCGAATTTCGGCACGAAAAAATTCATGCCTATTTCTACCGTAAAGGATAATGTTTTTACAAAAAATCAAATTTTTCCGCACGGAACTGCCAAAGTTATGGCCAAAAAGCGCTTTTCTCTCTGACCGCTCTCCACGTTTAGCGTGCTCTCTCGGCGGCAAAAATCGTTCGATATCTCGGCGGCGCCCGCAAAGCGCGAGCTAAAACTTTCAAGAATTGATATATAGTCCATACCCGGCGTGTGTGCAAAATTTAAAGAAAATCTGAGCGTCGTAATTGGAGTACTTCCCCTGTAAGCTTCAATTAAGCCTAAGCCTAAGCGTCAAGACTAAAAAGCTCTTCATTGTATAAAATGTCCTCTGCAGGTCGCGCCCCTATCATTTTTCCCAAGACTTTTGATTTTTTTGGGTGATGGCCAATCTGCGCAACTTTATATCGCAAAAAATGTAAAAAATGCTTACCTGAGCCTCCTTGCACTCGGCCACATCCATTTCCCCACCCGCTTCGATAATTGTGATAATTAGCTAAAAAAATAAAAAATTTAAAAAAATTAAAAAAAAAATTATGAAAAAATAGAAGAAAAAATAAAATCAGAATAACTCACTAATTTTTTCTGCTCACTATATTGCGATGATATCCTTAGATGATCAACTTTCGGATCAAACAGCTCATCCAACGACCGGTCATCTGTATTTTCGAACTTTTCCATCTGAAAATCCCGTATTTTAATACAAAAAATACTCAGAGAAAAATTGTTTAAATACAAGTTCAAATTAGATTACAACTGTTTTTTCAGACTCCAGCTAGTCGTTAAGATCATTAGCGAAGCTGTAACTGGAATTTTAAACCAGCATAATGTAAATAGGAACAGGTGTTTGGAATAAATTGAAGGTAAAATCATGTGTCTTGGAGTATAAAGATTCAAAAAAAAAATAAAATAAAGAGTGAGGGTTCAAGATTTAAAAAAATGTAGGCAATCGAAAAGATTTAAAAAAAAAACAAAAATTTTAAAAAATCTGACCTTGGTCCCCCCTTATCATTTTTTCAAAAATTTTAAAAAATCTCCAAAATCAAAATCTCTGATTTTTCAAAGATTTCTCCCTGGTTGATCTAAATATCAGTCTGTCGGGAAAATAATGTGGATTTGTTGCAGTAAAACGTGTCGCCTCGCCGCATTCGCACACCAAATCCAGCGATAATGGTCGATTCCAAGGCTCGAAAAATCCACATTATTTTCCCGACAGACTGATATTTGGATCAACCAGGGAGAAAAATTGAAAAAATCAGAGAGTTTCACTTTGGAGATTTTTAAAAATTTTTGAAAAAATGATAAGGGGGGACCAAGGTAAAATTTTTTTCATCCATTTAAAATTTAGAATCGAAAATTCCAAGAGATTTCGTCATTTCATACGTCTACATACAAGATTTGCTCTTTTCGAGCAGAATTCAAAGAAAATTTGGCAAAAACAAATCTTTTTTTTGCGATTTGTGGCCCTTTCTCCCAAAAAAATCTCCAATTGACTTCCTGACACACAGACTTCCCGGACTTCCCCTCTCAGCTCCTTTGAATTATAAATAGAATCTCGTCAAGGAAGGGCGTAATTCAATAAATCTCAGGTGTAGACTAGTAAGAAACGAAAAATTTCTTTTGTCTAATGCGATAATAAAATAACAAAAGTCTGGCGAAAATGTGAGAAATCTTCTAGGTATATAATAGTTGAGTCTACCATGCGAAAAAAAATTTAGCCAGGTGAAATGTAATGGGATTACAGAAATTCGGTAACCAGGTGAGTTGTAAGTTTTTGAGACAAAAAACGGTAACCTTTGTTGGAGTTTATTTTTTAATAGAAGTCTTGTTCTTGAACACACATAGATCCGAGGCCGAAGCAAATATGAGAACACTGCCTTCGAGGGAGTAAAGTGAGGGCTGGCCCGGTAAAGTGAGTGTACTACCAAAGAGATAAGTTGTATGAAGAGATAAAGGTAAAACTATTTGTAAATGCGCAAGTGACGGTCAGAAAAAAGGGTGAATTGAATTACTAGTATGTCGGCAAAGCCGCGGTTATGATTTCGGCCACATGCACTATGCAAGAAAAGTCAGCGACGGACCAGTAAAGCTTATTGCACTGTGCAAAAAGCCGAAATTTTCACAGCACAGTGGGAACTTTTGTTTTTTCACAGACCCACCCACCATCGTTTGAACAAGAGATTTGAGATATCAAAATTCGTTGAGAAGAGTTTTCCTACGAAAAAATTACGACGAATTTGATATCAAAAAATAAAAGAAGTATAAAGGTTAGTATCTCAAAACTGGAACCCGGTCTTGTGCATAGCCAAGAGAAAATTAGCCAAAAATTCCTGTCCCAGGAGATCGTTGAATATGAGTCTGTCGGGAAAATAACGTGGATTTCAACATCATTTTTTTTGAATCGTCCGTCATCATTTTGTGATGGCTGACCGCGCCTGGATATTTTGCCGATCACTGCGACAAGACGAGAGATTTTGCTGCGAAAATAGCTTTTTTCCCGACTGAAAGATACTTCCTTATCTCGACTGCCGCAGCAAATTGCAAGCCAATTTTTTTGGAGATTGCAATGTAGACTACATACTATAACATACCGGTCAAATTTTGAGAAAATATGTCAATCGCCCTTTGAGAAATTTAATTTTCCAAAAAAATCGTATAAATATTGTCATAAATATATTATGTATAATACAACGGCTAAATGAAACGACATCAAAAATCTAATTTCGCTTGTACTTCCGTGTCACTATGAAAATTCCAATTTTACAACACCCCAAATTTTTGTTACCGTAATCCTCTTTTCGCAGCCCTTTTTTCGTATTCGGGCAAATCCGAAAACCCCTCCGCAATCCGCTTTCATCAATGCCCAACTGATCGTAAACCACGCTACAATCGTCGCCAAAAATAGCAATAAACCCCGCAGGGCATTAGTCGCTAATGTACACAACGTACCGCTAATGCACACAACGCATACGCCATTTACGTTTTACACATTAAGGTTGAGGGTTTGAAAAAAACTGCAAAATTGGCGGAAATTCAAATTTCCGGCCCCATTATACGAAACGTCGGAATTAAAATGCGAAAATGGCCGGTTGACATGCACATCGAGGCCGAAATGCGATCCGCCAAGGGCAAACAAATCAGTGAGAGGCCATGAGTTAGCGCCGAAATGGATATATTCCAATTCGGCTCAACGACGCCGCAATGCATGGGAAATTAAGGCAAAATACGACGCAAAAAGAGGGTTGGGGGAAGGAAAAAGCGGTTAGGGATCGGAGAACATACGACAAGTTGTTTGTTCGAACATGATTAATAGAATCAAAAGGGTGTAGGAGAAGTTTTTTGGACCTTTTTTGGTTCAACTTGTGAAAGGCGATTGAAATGGAGGCCAAAGTAAAAAAATGCCAAGAGCTCACAGGAAAATGGCTGGATCTTCTCCAAATTTGGCATACATTCGATGCATAGACTGACTATCAATCGTTGCAAATTTTAGCTCAGCCTTTGAAAAAGCGGCTGAGATAATCAGCAATCTTTGCCAGTGGCTATAGAAATTGAGGAGAGCGGGAAAGACAAAAAATGAAAAAGAAAAAAGTTAAAACTAACTGTCTATTGAAAGATAAAGCATTCGTCGCTCATCAAACAAAAAAACAACAAAGAAGAGAGTGAAAAAAGGATCTTTTCTGTGACCGTTACTCCTCATTTTGTTTTTACTTCCCTCGATAAAGATTGTTGAATATCTCGGCTATGCCAATAAGGGAAGAGCCAACATATCGTGGGATTAAAGTGTGGTCTATTTAAAGATGTTCCTGCTTCATTCAAAAGAAAAAACAATTGTGCCGTTACAAATAGTCACATGGTAAAAAAAATTGGCCAAGACATTACCAGTCTGTCGAAAAAATAATGAGCACAGTGTTGCTGCGCCGATCGCGACGCTGAAGTAAAAAGCAATTTGATTTTTCCTCGACACAACTCATTTTCTCGGCGACGATGCGATTTTCGATGCGACAGAATGCTCATTATTTTCCCGACAGACTAATAAAAAAGGCTTTTCATCTCGAAAATATTGTATACCAAGCTTAGCATGCCATAACCTACCCATATATTCATACAGAATCAAATATAATGTTCTCTGAACCCAACAGGAACAACAACAAGGCCATCGCAATCTCTAATCGGCACGATTTCCGATTCAGACCCCCGTTTTCCGCCTCAAGTTCTACTCAGTTTCCCGTTCGCCAAAAAAGTTTCAAAATTGGATTCCCTCCGCCTATTTAGAGGCACATTTGAAGCGGAACGGCCAAAAATCTCCGCCAACAATAGACAAAGAGAGGAGACATCCGTGTTGAAAAATTCAGGGGGTAATCCGATTTGAGGAAGTTTTTCTCAACTTTTTCGGGACAAAGCAGTACCACTTGAGCCAAAACACTTGAAGGATGACGAATGTTTTAGAGGATGAGCCGTACGTAGGCACAAAAGGTGTTTGAAAACGTGAATGTGCAGTTGAAAATGGGGAAAAAGTAGAAGCCTAACTAAACTAACGTTTTTTAAAAGCTTTGGGGTATTGTGTTTAAAAAAGATGGCTTAAAAATGTTGTTAATACCGTAAGCAGCCGAAATTTACCGATTAGAATTACAATTACAATTTTTCTACCGGAATCTACCTATAGTATGTTACAAATTTTTCGTCGACAACTTTTCGGTATTGATAAAAACACGAATCTATTAAATTCATCCACCGCTTTCAAAGCTATGGGAGTTTGTCTTCCAAAAAATGATTTCTGAACGTCTAAAAATGCCTGTTTAATCCTATGGTTATTATTCAAGCCATTGATACACCTGGAAAACCAATTCGCAACATCTAACTGAAAAGTCTCATCGTTAGAATTTTCTGTTGTAAAATAAAATTAAAAAAATGTTGGCTGATTTCCAAACACTCCCGCAGAATCTCCGTGATCATTTTTACTGCCCGCAAAGTGGTTGCCCGCCGGTTGCAAAAGAATGGACGTTTTACACCGTTTTCTTCAAGTCAATAAATTTGTCATAATTCCGTCATCATGACATATTTTTCAAAAATATTTTATAGGGTGGTTCAAGATGGCCCACAGTATTACTTCAACTCAAAAAATGGCATAGTAAAATTCTAACGCACATCAATGTTACCGGCTGTTTCTGCCAAATCTCATCAAAATCTGAACGCCTCATTTCCAGCATCTCCTCAGTGAAATCAAAAACAAAACAGCACTTTATACTTTTCTTCAACGACTGTCCCAAAAACATTAAAAATTCGAGGACCCACGCCAAAATAGTCTGCTGACTTTGCAAATAAATTTCGCATATTTTATGCATCCCAAAACAACATTTCTGAACATTTTCGCTTGCCGTAAACAGCTTTCACGGTTCGCACTTCCATGACTACAAGCGGTGTGTTATAAGATCTACATAAATTTATCGGTTTGTCGGGAAAATAATGTGGCTTGGCAAAAGTGCAAAAATGTCTCGGTTTTCCGCAGTCGCCCACCATGGTGCGGCTTGCCGTTGCAGAGCGATCATGAGCCATTCCAAGGCACGACAAATCCACATTACTTTCCCGACAGACTGATACAGAAAAATTTTTCGCTTAAAAGGATTCTTGTGACATTTCGTTCAAAATTCTTCGTAAGGACACAGATAATTTTTTTGGTGAAACTTTGCCTCTGAATGGAGCTAAAGCTTCCCGCTACAAAGCACGCGAAAATATTCGAATTTTTGTTAGCCTTCGACCACATGGTAATTAGGCCCTTTTATTCGTATTTTCGTAAAGTGCATGGAAATTTTTTCCCTTCCACACAGTCCATTTTGAACCTTTTCTTACGCTTGTCGCTAACGCACAGTGCATTTTTCATTTTTGTGCACTGTGCAAACTTCAAAAAAAAAACCGGTTGCACGGTGCAAAGGACATTTTTTCCCTTTCGTAAGTGCTTTTTGAACTGTTTCCCGCGCTTGTCGCGAACGCACAGTGCATTTTTCATTTTTGTGCACTGTGCAAACCTTAAAAAAAACGTTTTGCACTGTGCAATACGTCGCAGCGATATTTCACCGCAAGCGCAAAAACCAAAAAAAAATTTGAAATGCACGGTGCAAGACGTAGATTTTTTTGTGCACGGTGCGGGCCGCGACAAATGTCGTTGCTGAAACTTGAATTTGTCGCCGCGATATTTCACCGCACAGTGCAAAAACCAAAAAAAAAAAATGAACTGCACGGTGCAAGATGGAGATTTTATTGTGCACGGAGCGGGCCGCAATAAATGTCCATGCACTTTATGATAATACTAATATAGCGGCACCCCACGTAGAAGAGCACAATCAAACTTGAAAAAACAAAACAAAATTTCTCATGGGAAAATCCTCCAAGCTCCTTCCGCCTCAATTTTTTTACAAAGACCGTTCTCGGAAATGATCTTTTCTTTCTGCTTTTCAAATTTCAAAGGAACCCCCCAAAGATTGCTCAAAACAAAACATCTAAAATTCCCTTAAAAGGCAGGCATTCATAAGAGCTTTTTTTGAAGTTCATTTTAAAACCTAATCGACTTTCGGGGCAGACCAAAACAAGTAATAGGCATCAGAAATTATTTTTTACTGCAAAAACATAGGCGTTTTAACCGCGCTCAACTTGAACGTTCTTGGCCATTTTTCGGGGCTTCTCGGAACGTCTGACGTGAAATGGAGGAGAGAAAATGGATGAGGAGAGTGTCAGGTGAAGGAAAAGATTATAGGGTATGACCGATTTAATAGTAGACGCTGCTTATGTAAGTATCTTGAGAGAATTGCAAAAATGTTTCACCATACTTTAAAAGGTTTATATATTTTTGCCAAAAATGGCCTAAAAACATGATAAGGGCTCGAGTTCAAGGCCTAATCTAGAATGAAACTTCGCTATGACAAAATTCTCTGTTGTGGGACAATAATGCGCATTTTTCGCCACAAAATGTTTCGCCTCGTTCCAGTCGCGCACCAAATCTCCAGCACGCTGAGAAAGATTCAAAATTGCAACACAATGCCAGAATTGCCAAAAAAATGAAAATAAATTTAGTTTTTTCTTCAAGGCGCGACGAACCCACATTTTTTTTCCCGACAGATTGATTTTTCAACCTAGCCAAAGCTCGCTTTTTTATAATATTTTTACCATATCAGTCTGTCGGGAAAAAAATGTGGATTCGTTGCTGGAATCGCTCATCATCGCTTTGCGACGGCTAGCCATGGCTGCTGATTTGGAGCGCGACTACAACGAGACGAGGCATTTTTCTACGACAAATCCTCATTATTTTCCCGACACATTAATATTTTTTGCTTCGAGTAGCAAAAGGCCGAGTAAAGTTTAGAAAAATTCTGCTATAAAATTTTTTCAAACGCCTCCAAAATTCCCTTGCCAAGTCCACCAAACGCAAAACGGAGCCGAGTATGAATCTTCAGCCTGCCTTCCAAGGCCCTAATTTTCCGACAAAAAAACAAAAAAATTCTGAACCGTGAAATCGGCAGCTCCCATCTTTCAATAATAAGAATAAAAATGTCAAAATAACCGTATGAATGGAAGGAAACGATAACAATTCAAGTATTTTGCCTTTGGGGAATCATCATAAATTGCGTCAATTTATGATAATTCCAAAAGGAACTATTTTTGTAGTTTGAAAATATTTTTTTTACAAGATTATTTTTATACACATATGTAAAGAAATAAAAGTAAATGTGTCAAAACTACAAATCCAAGAGCAAAGAAAGGACAAAAAGCCTACAATATTAGGCTGTCGGGAAAATAACAAGCCGTTCGCGTCGTTGAAGTGAAAAAAACGATGTGATTTTGCCGCGATGCAATTCATTTCCTCGGCAGCGATGCGATTTTCGATGTGACAGAGTGCTCATTATTTTCCCGACAGATTGATTGGTGGGCCAAAAAGCATTGACAAATCTGGCTTTTTGGCCCGCTTTTTAAAGCAGTAAATATGGGGGAAGCTCAGAGGTAAGAGATTTGAAGTTTATTTATTTTTTGGATTAACCCAGAACGTTTTCAAGGCTTTCAGAAAATTTGGGAAAAAGTTCCTTATTTTGGCCACAACAAAGGTACTCCGCGAGCTACGCCCAAGCTTGGGCACTAAAGTTAGGAAAAAACGCTTCGACCTAGCTGGAACTGAATTACTATAATAGCTCTATAGTTTTAAGGGTACCTACGGAGGCTATGACGACTGATTCAGTTCCATATGGAGGCAATAAGTTTAATTCCGGACATGTTTCATCGTATAAAGTGTAAAATCACAGGCTGCAGCCGTTTTTGAAGGGTAAGGTGGTATGTAAAAAAGAAGGTACCTCACTAACTAAATCCACTGTCCGGGCATTGACAACGATGAATTGAGCGTGCACGCTAAATTTGGGCTAATTCCGACCAGTTTCCGCAAAGTTATAAGTTGTGGCCAAAATAAGGAACTTTTACCAAAATTTGAAAAAATTGAAACAAATTACGAAATTTTGTAAGGGGGGACCAATACAAAATTTTTGAAGAGAAAATTACTCAAATTCCAACAGAATTCAATTGAATTTTGTAAATTTTTTTTTCAGTTCTTCAAAGATACTAAAAATAAATACATACAAGATGATCTTATTGTTCGAGAACTTTGCAGAAAAACTTTGAAAAAAATCTGGCCTTCAAACTTACAAGGGAAGTCACTTTTTTCGCAGATCGATCCATACTGGTGACCTAGTGGACAGTGAAGGCCTCAGGCTGTGTAAGAAGAATCTGGCGTCCAAAAGTGTTTACGGGCCCTGAGGGCAGAGTTATGGCTCATCAAAGTTCGAGTAAAAAAGGTTCCGAAAAGACCCTCCAAAAAAAGGGATCGGAAAAGTGAGCTTCGGTAGCAGAGTGGTTCGCAGATTTTTCTTTTGTCTGGAAGGGCCAGGCACGTCAAACTGAGGATTCCGGTGACCCGAATAGACTCTTCGCTATCGGTTTTTTACACTTCGTCTATTTCGCAGAGAAAGAGAGAAAAAAGACGCGCAAAAACGTACTCTCTCGCCCCAAAAATTCCCCATTTCTCCCCCGACAAAACGTTTTTTCGCGTCTTTTTTTGGCAAATTCCCAATCCATTCACCGGACTGTTTTAGCTTATCTCAGTTTGACGTGCCAGGGTTCGGATTCCTCTTCCCGGCAATAACTAAAAATAATATTGTAAGAGTAGCGTAAGTTACAAAAAAAATTGTTTTGAAATAATTTTTGAAAAATATTATTATCCTGTCGTTAAAATTTGGGGAAGACGTTGTGAGCTTGGACACAGTGAGGGATGCGAGGGCATTTTTCCACCGAGGATCGCATTCAATTTCTGGAATAATTCGGCGATTACGGTGGATCAAGACGCCGTATCATTGGAGAAAACTGCGGGAACTTTGGCGTAAAGGTAGGGCTGGGATTCTCAATATGTATATCTCTGATGTTTTAGAAGACGCCCTTGGTGATCGTGATATCATGCTGAAGCGTTTGAGTCAAACGCTTGCTGTCTGGGCAGATGATAAATTTAGTGACGATATGAACAAAATCGTCATTTTTTTAACGACAGGATAATAATATTTTTCAAAAAATACTTTAAAATATTTTTTTTGTAACTTACCCTACTCTTACAATATTATTTTTATTAATTGCCGGGAAGAGGAATCGAACCCTGGCCCTTCCAGACAAAAGAAAAATCTGCGAACCACTCTGCTACCGAAGCTCACTTCTCCGATCCCGTTTTTTTGGAGGGTCTTTTCGGAACCTTTTTTGCGCGAACTTTGATGAGCCATAACTCTGCCCCCAGGGCCCGTAAACACTTTTGGACGCCATATTCTTCTTACACAGCCTGAGGCCTTCACTGTCCACTAGGTCACCAGTATGGATCGATCTGCGAAAAAAGTGACTTCCCTTGTTAGAGCTGCGGCCTTTGCAAAGAGCAAGAATTCAATCCTTGGCATGGCCTATCTTTTTTGCATTTCATGGCAAGTAGGAGGGCGGTGAATAATTCAAAGACATAAGGGTTCGTTTTCGCGGCTTTTGAGGTCAACTGTTTGTTTTTGAATAAATTATCCGTTCCTAGGCCACGTGCTGCAAACAAAAGGTCGTTTGATTTGGACCTCTTTGCATTAGAGGCTGCATGTATAAATCTGGAGAATCTATTCATAAAAATGAGGGCAAATTTCCATAATCTAATTTGCGACCCACTTAGATCATCTCTTCAAAAATGATGACTAAAATCTGTCTGTTAAAAAAACTGTAAAGGGAAGGTGCAAAGGTAATGCACTTTTTTTGACTAGTATGTTAAATCACAATGAATTGCTGAAACCTTTTCTAATCCTGAGATCATCCCACTTGCAATGATGACTAAATCCCTCAAAGTTACCCCACCCAAACCTACAGTACCCTCCAAAATTTCCACTTCAAAAAACTCCCCAAAAACCACTCACCTGTCCTTCCTTGACCTCGCCAAGACTTCCCATCTCCAGCTGAAAGTCCGTGTCGCCGAGCTCGGGGTCCATGTCGGCGGCGGTCAGCGTCTTTCGGCGGAACAAAAGAAACCCCAACCAGGGGCAGCTCTGATAACAACAGGAGAACAGAAACGCCATAATTGCGCCTCGGATGCGGTGGGGGAAATCCGCTTCAGAACGTGCCCATCGTTCGCCACAGTGAAATCGTTGTGAATGCCCTTTGGGGAAGTGGGAAAAGAGCGAAAGTTCGGGCCTAAAAAGGTGACAGTTTGAAGGATTCGAAAAATTTACGGGTTATATTTGGAGGGCAATTAAATTGGGACATACGAATGAATAGTGTCGGATGTCGTCGCGGTTTACTGGGGTCGAAAACGGGGAGATTATGAGCAAAGTACAAAAAAAGAAATGGAATTTTAAGAGAAAGGTGTTCCGGTACATTTGTAGGACATATTGTATTGCACTCAATGTATGGCTCGAAAAACAAATAAAAGAGGTGATATTAATACAGGAAGTGCATCAAGGGTACCATGGCTTCCCAAACAACGCAATGAAGGCTGGATTTTGAAATAAACAAAAGGAATTGGAAGAAGAGGTAAGAACGATTCATAAACCTTTGATAAAACATAGAGATAAAGGAGATACCCACGAGTACAGTGAGAGACCTGATCCAGTGGCCCAAAACCTACCATTTTGCCTCCGGGAAGTATTAAAAATGCAGCAAAATACCTCCCTCTCCAAGTGAAAAAACTTCGTTTTGAAGGGCCCGCGCTTTTCCCCACAAAAAGAGCGCGTTTGAAATCGTAGTGTTTCACTTGGAAATGGAGGTATTTTGCCACATTTTTGATACCTCCGGGATGTAAAATGGTACGTTTTTTGCCACTGGATCAGGTCCCCCACTGTATAACTAACAGTTTTTTTATTTTTGCGAGCAAAATCTGATCAGAACTTTAGCGGTATTTAAAATGGAGGTACAGGAAGAGCAACGCTCAGACATTTAGGACACTTGGTACAAAATTAGATGATTTTTTTCTCAGGCATAATAATTTACCAAAACCAAAGATTGAGCAAGACGGAAAGAACAACTGTTAAAGTATTAGTCTGTCGCAGAAATGCAAGTAGTGAGCGCTCTGTGGCATCAAAAATCACATCGCCGCCGAGAAAATGAATTGTGTTGCGACAAAATCAAATTGCTTTTTAATTCAGCGATCAGCGCAGCGACATTGTGCTCATTATTTTCCCGACAGACTAAATGCATACTACTGCAAATAACACGTTTTTTGACGCCGTCAATTTTACAGTACTACTTCTGAAGAAAGACAGACAGTATAACAACAGTGCGACGTACTTTTTGAGATATTAAAACCCCCAAGTAATACATCGGAAATGAAAAACTGACGTCTGAAAGCGGCGAACGAATCCTTCGTTCTAATTGGCCTGGAAATTTAGACGATGAAAAACAATGAAATTGGAGAATTATTGCGACCTTTTACGGAATGTTTGCTTTACGCGGTCCAAATGTAACAAGGCTATCGAATTGAAATCAAATACAAATTTTTGGATTGGAAATTAGAGATAATATAATTTAAAAAAAAAGAAAAAAGAGTGCAAAAGTCGTGTGGATCCAGGCAAAATTTGGTGAAAATTAGGGCTTTTTCTAAATAATGAGCACTCTGTCGCATCGAAAATCGCATCGCCGCAGAGAAAATTAATTGTGTCGTGGCAAAATCAAATTGCTTTTCACTTCAGCGGCACGATTGACGCAGCAAAATTGTCTCATTATTTCCTCAACAGACTGATTTCAGCCTGTCGGGAAAATAGTGTGGATTCGTCACACCTTCGGCCATTATTACTTTACAGCTAGCCGCAGCTGGGGATTTTTAGCGACAAGGATTGACATTTTTAAGTGATACATCACATTATTTTCCCGACAGACAGATGAATTATCGGTCTGCCGGGGAAATAATTAGCACAATGTCGCTGCGCCGATCGCGCCGCTGAAGCAAAAAGCAATTTGGTTTTGCCGCAACACAATTCGTTTTCACGGCAGCGATGCGATTTTTGATGCGGCAGAGTGCTCATTATTTTCCCAACAGACTAAAAACAGGGGCCAATGCGCTAACTGAATGTTGCTGAAAGTTAGCCGAAAATGTTAGGGCGCAGCTCGGAAAACAACGTTTTTCAGCTCGCCGGAGCTAAGTTTCAGCTTGTTTTCGAGCTGCGCCCAAGACGCGAGCTGCGCCCGTGCAAGTTCTCCGAGCTGCGTCCTATGATTTTCAGGAAACTTTCAGTTAGCGCATTGGCCCCTGTGCTCCAAGCGCGACGCTCGGATATTAATCAAACATGACAAAAATTAGAGTAATTTTTTCTACGACATATGCGAGATTCCTAGCTCGCACTTTGCAGAAAAAACCAAGATTTTCATTCCAAAAGTTGGTCAACTCTCTCTCTCTCTCGGCCTTTCGCGTACAAGGCCGTAAAGATCGTTGAATATCCCGGCTGCTACAGCAAAACGTGAGCTAAAATTTGATATATGAGGCACAATCTTCGTGCCAAATTTAAACAAAATACGAGCGTTGCACTTACGACACTTCCCCTGAAAAGTCCAAGCCCATTTCTAAGCCAGAATTTCCGAACATTTCACAGTTTCTTGCCCGCGAAATTTCCGAACACTCCTCCGGACGTATTTTTCTTCAGTATTGTCCTGCTTTAAACCCATTACTTCCTTGTTTTCTAGTTCGGACGCAAGATACAAAGAAAAGTCCGCTAATGAACTGACTCTACGCCGCAACCCGACTAGACAGAATGGTATAAATTTGGGGACAGCTTCACAATTGTGCCAACTAGATAACAGAGATATTCACAACGCTTTTTTTATAGAAGTATTATCAGTCTGTCGGGAAAATAATGAAGACTCTGTCGCTTCGAAAATCGGATCGCTGCCGAGAAAATGATTTTTGTCGCGAAAAAATCAAATTGTTTTTTAGTTCAGCGACGGGACTGGCGCAGCAACATTGTGCTCGCTATTGTCGACAATTGTCCCGACAGATATTCCGCGATCTTTATCGACGAGAGAGTACGCAAAATGGGGAGAGCGGCAGAGAGTTCCAAAAAATAAAAACTTTTTTTCATGGATCCTAACGCGAAGATGTTTAGGTGTGGTAAAACGAATCTTTCGCCATTAAATTCTCTGTGTTTTTCTGTCCTAGTTCTTCAACTTTCATGGTCATATCGATTATTTAACAAGGTTTTTTTGAATATCAAACAGACGGACCTAGATTTCAGGCCTGTTTCGGGCCTTATAAAAAGTGAATTTTGTGAATCGGTATAGCAAAATCTGTCATTCCAAAAGTCACCAGCTGGCGATTTGCCGGAATATCAAACAAAAGTCATCAAATAAAAAAAAAATGCCCCCAATTTAAATGCAACACTTTGTCCGCTTGGACAAGTTTTAATTTGAAAAGTTAATTTTCGTTCGTCTAAAAAAACGCTGTAGAAATACGTTCATTTACACTTGTTCAAAAAAAAATTAAGTCCTCTCCACAATTCCGCCGAAAAAACTCATAACTTTTACGATCATGTGACGAAGGCGCGTGACAACAAGTCATTTCAAATTCCATTTTTGGGTATCAGACAGTTGTAGCGCAGACGGAAAATTCGTTTATTCAGAGCTCAGACTATAACGGCGTGAATTATTTAAAAGCGTGTTTTGAAGTTTACCCGTCTGTCGGGAAAATAATGAGCACAATGTTGGTGGAGTGATCGCGTCGCTGAAGTGAAATACAATTTGATTTTGCTGCGACATAATTCATTTCGATGTGATTTTCGTTGCGAGAGAGTGCTCATTATTTTCCCGACAGAGTGTTATTTGCAATTTTGCCGGTTTTGTTTTTGTGGCAGGAGACAAAAAAAATTTTTGACGTTTGTTTTCCCAAGCCGTAAAAGGCTCGATTCAATAGTAGAAAAGACGTTGATGATGAGAGCGTAACGAACACGTCCATATAAATATTTTATTAAATGACGACCTTTAAGATACATAAGAAAAAAAATTGAATATAATCTGCATAATTTCGAAGGAAAATCCACAAATTTATAAGCAATTATTCCGTGTACCACTAGCATTAATATTTTTTTGGAAGGGCCTAAATTAGTCTACTGTGTTAAAAGTTATGGTCCAAAATGTTCGGCCAAGTCCACAAAAAGTCGCCCGATTCGCCAATCAAAAGAAGAGAGGTCACCCAAGTTACCTTCTCTGTTTCTCACGCTCTCTCCGCTTTTGCGTGATGCCGTTAATTCCAGTTAGTGCCCCCTTTTGCATGTAAAACATCCCCCTGGATAGCAAAAAAGCCCCTGTATGTCAGGTTTATCTCTGTAGTCGGATCACATCGGCCTCCAGAGGCTTTGAAGTATAAAAACGTTTGTTGTAAAAAAATATGCCTTCCGGGCATAATTGGGCAAAAATGCTTTCAGCTTTTCTTCCACAAGTGCTAGCCATGATTTTAAACAAAAATCTCAAAATCGATTTTTTCCGAAGACCCCACTACCGGCTGACGCAGTGACTCAAAAATCGTGTTTTAATCCAATATATGTATATATATATATATATATATATATTGAACCTCTCATACTAATTCCTACGTCCTATAGGGGAAGTCAAAAAAGAATACTTTTGACTAGGACTTTGCAATTTTCAGAAGGTATCCAAAATTGCCAAAAAACAAGGAAACTTCAATCTAACAAGGGAATTACCCCAAGTGCGACGCTCAGATTTTCTTTAAATTTTGCACACACGTTGGGCATAGACGAAGTATCAATTCCTGAAAGCTTTAGCTCGCGCTTTGCAGGCGCCGCCGAGATATCGGACGACTTATGCCGCCGAGAGAGCACGCTAAACGTGGAGAGCGGTCAGTGAGAAAAACTCTTTTTGGCCATAACTTTGGCAGTTTCGTGCGAAAAAAATTGATTTTTTGTAGAAACATTATACTTTACGGTAGAAATTGGCGTGAAACTTTTCAGGCCGAAATTCGGCAAAAAGTCCTAAATTTTGGCCGACTTTCGATCTAAAAATATCGGTTGTTTCTGCAAAGCGCGAGCTAGGATTCTCGCACATATCTTAGAAAAAATTATTCTAAATTTGTACC